TATACTAAAACCTATTTCTTAACTAAGTATAGCTTTACTATAATAGTAGAAGGAAATACTACTACTATTATAAATAAGTAACTTAGATAAGTACTATATATTAATATACGCGACTACACTAAGGCTTATAGAGTAGATAAAAACTAAAAGCTACTATAAACTATATAGTAAATATAATAAGCGACCTACTACTAGAGTCCTTCTATATAGAACTAGATTACTAGAATTAGTCTATAAGTATTTATAAGAAGGGCCTAATAGTTAACGATATAATATATAGAATAATTAGTAAGATACTATAGAAAGAGCTAGTAGAGCAAGGACTTCTTAGCTAAATATTTAAAATTATAAGTAACTATAAGAGCGCCTAAGTCCTCTTGAATATAGTATACTACTAATTTCTAGATATATTTAATAACCTTCTAACGTAGTAGAAAGATAGGTGTATAATAGAGATAGTAAAGCGCTATAACTATAATAAAAGGTATTACACGCTAGATACTACCGCCTTATACCTATTACTACTACTTTAAGAACTAAATAGTAATTTAGGAATACTACTAAATACACTTAGAGCTAGATAAGTAGTATATATAAGCTAGATAGAAGGTGTAGTTAAAGCGTTATATATAATATAGGATCTTATACTATAGAATCAGCGAAGGAAGAAGATGCTAGTATATAATATATAGTTTAAGATATTTACTATAATACTAAAGGGCGAACTTAGTTATAATAAAGCGGAGGATATAGTATAATATATATATATAATACTAAAGAAAGAGATATTATTTAATATTATAAATTAGCGTGCCTAGATTACTATATTATCGAAGAAAATATAGATAAATAAAAAGATTCTTTAATTTTTAGTAGTAAAGAGATAGAGTAATATAGGTTAGTCTATATATTAAAGACCTATATTAATACTATAAGCTTATACTACTATACTATAGTAGAAGATAGTATACTTAATATATATACATTACTAGTCTCTACTAATACTATAATACTATAAAAGTTAGCTAGATTATCGGCTATATATAAATATAAGGGTAGTAAAGAGGTATATCTACTAAAATACTACCTTAATTACACTATAGAACTCTTAAGGAAGTATAATAAATAATAATACCTAGATTATTTTAGCCTCTTATATAACTATAATAGCCTACTATAATATAACTATTACTAATTAGATAACTATTAGGTGGTAGTAAATAACTATACTAATTTAATTTCTATTCTAAAAATAAGGTATAATTCTAGTTATACTATTAGCTGTCCCTTATTATTACTTCTTCTAAACTATAAATCTTTCTTAATAGTTTTTACGCGCTAACTATTAATTATAGTAATTATACTCTTATTATATATCACTTATTAACGTAGGCTATAATAAAGAAAAATATATAACCTACTAATAGTAAGAAGTTACGCGTACTAATTATTAAAGTATTCGCTCCATTTAATATAAGTCTTATCATATAGTACGCTTACTACTAAAGAAGATAGTACCTAAGAAGTTAACTAGAGATATAAATAGCTAGATATCTAACTAATAAATAGTATCTCTAATAGTTATTAAGAATAGATATAACTAAAGTAATAACTTTAATAACAATTTACTATACTTAAGTCTATAAGGCGCCCTACGCGTTAGCTTATAGGTTATAGAAAATTAAAATAAGGAAGAAAGTAGCGGATATAATAGTATAGATAGTAATAAAGACACTTAAGCTAATAAATAGGCTATAATTAGTAAGGTAAGTATAAAGTACTTAGTGGTTATATTTCTAAACTAACTAGATATAGATAATTACACTCTTATTATATATATATCTAAGAGGTAATACCTCTTATCTACTTAGCAAAGTTAGAATAACTATATAAATAGAAGTACACTAATAACTATACGCTATAGTAAATTAGAGTCTAATAATACTAAGATTCTAATAAGTATAGTGGTAGAGATAAGATAGAATAGGCTACTAAGACATACTAATCTTTAGTAAGAGCTACTTAAGGCTAACGTGCTAGTAAGAAATATAGCTAAAGAGCTTCTTATTATAAAGTGCTATACTAGCCGGCTAAAATAATAGTATAGCTTTTACCTAGAGGGAATAGTATAGATAATATAGCGTATAATTAATTAATACTAGATATAGGCTATATTAATTATAGAGAAAAGACTAAAATTCTAAGACTCTAATATTAGTAAAAAGCTAGATAGAGTACTTTATCTATAGGTAAGCTAGTTATAGCTCCTCTATCTATAAAACTAACTTAGATACTAATATATATATAGTTTATTTATAGAGTAGCCTTATTCTGCTATTATACTATAGAGCACGTCTATAGAAATATTATAAGCTTTTATAAACTAGATATAAATATTAACCGTATTATATATATAGTAGAGCTAATAAAAAATAATAACTAGCTCTACTATAATCTTAAAACTATATAAAACTATACTAGGCTCGTGCTATACTTACTCTTCGTAGGTACTAAACTATTAATAGGTAAACCCTGTTATCGCAAAGTTAATAGCTAATATCTTTTATATTAGATGCTATTACTTAGGGCTAATTAGAGCTCTTAATTATACTAAATAATACTTTAATTCTTTATAAAGTAAGGCGCTTATATTCGTTGCTATAATAACTAGGTAGGTACTCTATAAGAAATAGAAGAATAGACTAGTAAGACTATCTTACTATAGAATAAATACTAATAGTAAGGTAACCTCCTTATTATTATATAATAATTATATAATAAGCTGTTAACTAATATAAAGAACTATAAAATATTAAGAATATTATAGTACTATAGAAATAAACCTAAACGCTAGTAGATTTTAGCTAAATAGACTTATACTTAAGTCTCTAATTACGTGGATATCTATTCTAGGTACTTAAAGGAAGCTAGTAAGCTAATATTAAATTCTAATAAGAATACTATTGATAATCTTACTAGCCTTCTAGAAATAGATACTATAATAGTATAGTCTAGCGCTTATTAGAGTAGGTATAGTATAGAGTTAGTTTTATCTACTATAATTAACCTAGCAACTAAGAGAAAGAAACCTACTAGTATTAGTACCTTTAAATACTATAAGTAGTAAACGCGCTTAAAGCGAATACCTACAGCTAATAATAATATTAGTATACTCTAGATCTATTTAGAGAAGAGAATTTCCCTATATATAATAATACTAAACTAGATAAAGAGGTAACTACTTAAGAATCTAATATATTCTAAGTAGTAGCTAATATAGGAATAATATAGGATACTAGTCCGTTACCACTAGGTAAGTAGAGTAGAAGTAATAACGCGCTATACCCTATAATCTATAGGAAGTAGCTTAAATATTACGTCTATAAAGATATATATCTTTTAATCTATCTAATATACTTATAAGGCTAACTATAGTAATACCTAGCCTAAGTATATAGTTAAAGATACCAACCTATCTTACTTAGTTTCTATATAACCTATAAGCTAGACTAAGCTATTCTCTACTAGAAGTACTATATCTAGAAGTAGTAGTAATCTATTAAGCTAGTTAAGCTAGTATTATATACTCCTAGTTCTTAATCTTAATAGTAATAGCTTCTTAAGTAAGCTACTAGAAAGATTCTATTTCCTTCTACTAAAGCTATAATTATAAAGATAGCTAAACTATAACTAGTTATTTCTATAATAGGAAAGCCTAGATTATTACTACTAGCCTTTACTAAATAACTAAAAAGGTATAAGTATAAGCTATACTTTATTAGAGAGGATACTAGATTAAGAATTATAAATTTTACTTAGATTTAGAAGACTTTTATAGATAGAGCGTAAGGTAATAGATAGTAGTATATAATTATAAGTTAGAGAGCTACTATTATAATATAAGAGAATAAGTATAGGAGGTTTATAGAGTATATATAGAACTTAACTAATAGTAAGGTGAATATCTAGAAGGAGACGGAAGAGGATTACATAGAGAATTAGTTATAATTATATACTACTTTCTATTACGGAGAGTTCTAGTAGCTCTAAATTAGTAAGTATTTACTATATATAGTATAGCTACTCTATCTATTATACCCCTACTATGTATAATACCACCCTTAACATCTCTATAAGAAACTATAATAAGGTGTTAAGTATTAAATATATATAGGGTATCGACTTAAATTGCTATACTCTAAGTTAGTAATTCCGACTTAATAATATATATAGAAAGTTTACTACTACTATATAATAACCCTATACTACTAACCTTGCACGGTGCTATTATATAATAAGTAATAGTATAAGTAACTAATAGCCTAATCTCTATATCTATAATAATTATATAGTAACTAAATTATACTCTAAACCGAATAATAATATTAAAGGGACTAGCCCTAGCTAAAATACTGATTATTATAAGACCGCTTAGGGCGTTTAAGACGCTTAAATGCTTAGGGGGCGCTTTAAGTGCTTTGCCCGCTCGCGAGCCGCTCTAGAGCGGGCAGAGTCGCTTAAAGGCTCTAAGCACTTAGAGCGGGCTCCGAGCGCTCTGAGCGGCTCCGAGCGCCGAAATTTTTTTCCTGATGAGAGAGAGAATAGTTATAAGAGTAACCTTATAATTAGCTCCTACCTCTAGATATTAACTATTATTCTGCTGACTTAGCGCGCGGTAGGTCTTTAAAAGTAGTTTTAGCACTTAGCTTCTTAGATACTTAGTAATCCAACAATTTATGCTCTGTTGTTACTCGCGCGCCCACAGCGCGTGAGTCCTCCCACCTATCTCCGCGTCATCATCGAGGCGGGACGGGGAGTGCTGGCTTTCCAATCCTTTAGACGCCACCCACCATGGCAGATTTGCACCTTCCGGCTGCTGCATATTGCACAGGCGACTTCTCCTGCATGCAAGCACGCCGTTCTCTATGCTTTGCCGGCCCTTTCATCGCCCGCTCACCCTCCTGAGCACCGTTTCCCTAACCTCCATCGCCGCATCTACCATGTCTACAAGCGCCAAGGGGCCAGCTGACGACGTGAGAATTTACAAGTCTCCTATCCTGTACCATCACATACTCCGCTAACAGTTGCCTCAGTCCTCCACCAGCGCTTCTACCATCAACTTCCCCACCCGCCCCTACACCCCCCACCACAAAATCTGGCCTTACACCCCCTCCGACTTCCTCCGCCAAGACGAAACCCTCGATACACGCTTCTACTCGGCGCCCCGCTTTGTGACCCACATCGACGATCCCGCAATCGCGAGCCTCAAGACATACTACGCTGCCACTCTCCCACGACGGGGACGTATCCTAGACTTCTGCTCCAGCTGGATAAGTCACTATCCCCCTACCCTCGAGGACGCGGTAAGGAAGGGCGAGCTCGAGGTCGTGGGGATGGGTATGAGCGGTGCGGAGCTGGAGGCGAACAAGATACTAGGTAGTGGGGGGCGTGTGGTGCAGGACCTTAATACTTTCCCCCGTATCCCTGAGAGCGTAGGGGAAATAGACGCCGCGACGTGCGTTGTGTCGATCGACTACTTGACTAAGCCTGTCGAGGTGTTAGAGTCGTTGCGGGAGCGGACGAAGGAGGGTGGGAGCGTGCACCTGGTGGTCAGCAACCGGTGTTTTCCGACCAAGGTCGTGGGGCGCTGGTTGAGGATTTCCGAGGAAGAGAGACTGGAGATGGTGGGAGATTATTTGTGGTTTGCGGGGTGGAGGGGGATTGAGATCGTTACGGTTAGTGATGGTAAATTGGAGGGGGATGAGCCAAAGGGGTTGATGGCATGGCTTAGGGGCGGGAGGGATCCGCTTTGGGTTGTTAGGGGGAGCAAGGTGGGGGATTGATATTGGTTTGGATTGGAAGCAGTGTGAATAGATGTGTAGGGCGCTAGAGAAACACAACGTCTGCGTTGATGAGAATGGTATCAAAAAACCCAAACCAGAACACTCCGTTCGCAATCGCGACAACCAGGCCAGCCCAGCTCCTTCGTACAAGGCCAGCCACATGCACCATCGATAACGAATAGACAAGCACTAACTCTCAGTATCCTACCTCTGCACTTTCATTAGGTAAACCTCGCGTTCAGACTTCCACCCGGCAAAGTCTCCCACGCCCAAGCTAGAGCAGAGTCGTGGTCTCCCACAGCAGGCGCGAGAGATACCGTTGCCAGCATAGGCATCGAATCCGCCGTGGTGTATTCGTAGGTGGACAACGCGTGCGTTGCCATACCTGCCCATAGTGGAGCCATGGAGGCGTCGGTAGTGGGCTGCGAAAAAGCAGGGTCATCGGTGTAAATCCTCCGAGCTTGGCTTGGGCTTTGGTAAGCTGCTTGTGTGACAGTAGGTTGCAGATCTTGCAAGGGATAGTTTGGTTGCTGGAGCTCGGGCGAGCCATTCCAGAGGCAGTAGCCGAGATCCATCTCGTTCTGCTGACTGCGTGCGTGGAGCTGATTAAGAAGCCCTGCGGATTCACGCTGGAAACGCTTGAGCCAATTCATGTAGCCAAAGCGGATACCAAAGCGGGAGAGGATGGATATGAAGTCGTTGATGGCATTGATGGCTCTAGTAGTCGGATCGGCGCTGAAGATGGAGTCAGGATCGGCCTGCGGAAGTGGAGGTGGAGCGGCAGGACTGCTCGGTTCCAATGGGTCCACTTCTATGTCGTCTGTCGCAGTTATGCTAGATGATGGGCGAGGCGGCGAAGCACTCAATAAAACCTCCTGGTTGCGTGAAAGGATGTCGACAAATTGCCGGCCAGTCATATACGCTCGCATAGCGTCGTAGTACGTAAAGGATGGTTTCCATTTGCCGCTCGTGTCAGAGATTGTATTGAGCAAGGTCGTGGCATAAGCGGTACAGTGCTCAAACATCAAACGCTGCGCGTACTCGCTGATCCTCGGGCAGCGAGGATTCGGCGAGAGAACGTACACGTAGCTGTACAGCAGGTCAAGTTCAAAGAAGGTCCGCTTTTCTGGGAGGATAACTGGCGACAGCTTGTTGGACCAGTCAGTCATCTCCTGGTAAATTCGCCAAATGCGTGAGTACGGATCTTTCCAAGGCGTTCGTCCAGATTGGAAAAGCTCAGTGTACCACTTGGACTGCAGTTGTCGCAAACGAAAGTAATCGAGAGCAGGCTCATAAGACTGAAGCCACGTGTTGGCTTTCGGAGGGGTTTTAGAGGGTTGCAAGGCGGTGGATGAAAAGGGGAGAGCGACATTGGCTGAATCATCAGAAAACGAAAACGCTCTGGTTTGTACAATCGCTGTAGATCTGTTCTAGTGTAAGCTACATTTACTTCAACAAGGAAGTGAATGGCGAACCTGTCAAGAGCGTAGACACAGTAGTATACTCTGCGCCGGAGTTCAAGCTTGGCTTTGGACATCGTCGAAGCCTTGGATGGATCTTGATGTATACCAAGATCAACCATGGCTCGTGAGGCAACCCCGATAAGGGTCCAGCTGTCGAAATGATGAGGATCGAACATCGCATATTCCACTAAGAGGAGCACAGCCTGGATACTCGGTATAGATCCCGGGTGCAAGACATCCTCGGCATGCTGCAGGGCGACACTCACGTGGCCTATGCCATCCGAGTAAGAGCTGTCGCCACGCTGATTTGACACAGATACAGAGGCGATAGCCAGAATCATACGTACGGTCCAGTGGTCGAACGCGGTGGCCTTGCGGGGATCGGGGTTGTAGACCGCATCAACTGAGGCATACAGGCTTGCCTCATCGCACAAGGGAAGGATGAGGAAGATGTGGTTGAGGTAATGCTGGATTAGTGGTGAAGCCGAGTATCTGGGTGGAAGAGCTCTATTCAAGCCTTCCGGAAGCGAGTCCTTCGTGCAAGCACATAGTATCAAGCGAGCGTACGACATGGCGGACGTAAAGCCATAGAAGTCTCTCGCTGTGGCATTGACTGATCTTGTGATTTATCAGTCCCTGTCAGTATGCTGGTTAACTGATGAGAGGCTTACAGCAATCCGAAGTCAGAGACAAGGCTGTCCATATCCGAGGCTTCTTTCTTCCTGGTCGCTCGCGTGCTCGACTGTCTTGAGCCATTGACCGCGAGTGATGGTCGACGCGGTGGTGTCATGCCATCGTCTAGCATCGGAACTGAGGATCTTCTTCTGGCTTGAGCATCCAGTGTCCTACGCTCAAGCGCCTCGACCCGGGACTCGAGCGTAGCGACATAACTCCTCTCTTTCCCTCTTGCGAATTGGTCGTTCGTGCTCGAGCACTCGGATGCTCGATTCGATCTCTCGCACGCGGTGCACGCAGGAAGCTTGCCATCGCATCTTACTTTGGCCGCTCGACACCGCGAGCATGCAGCGACGGGTCTGCTGACGCGGAGAAGGGGAGTCTCAAATGGCATGAGGTCGTAGTCGGAGGAGCCAATACTCTTCTCTACAAGCATATTGACGGATCAACTTTATGTCTATGGCAGTCTCGGAACAGCGCAGAAGGGAAGAACAGTACATTGACGCTCAGATCGCCAGAAGACTATTAGGTACCTGAGGCAGAGAGTGGCGCCCTACGGTGAGGCTGACAGGAGTGCAACCGTAGCATCGGCGCAGCTGCCAGGGCCCAGACGCCATAGCGGCGGATAGACACGAAAAGACAGGCATAGACCTCGTGGCAGCCATGGAAGAAGGTCAAGGAAAGGCACAGCCTACCTGTATCTAGGAGCGGTTGCTTTTCGGTGGCTCACCGCTGGTCGGGGCTGTCAGGCGGTGGACGTTTCGCGCATACAGGCGGCCTGATGAGAAGGCCGCAGGTGCTCAGGGACTGTCTACCTCCACAAGAAGATGCGGTAGCCGGGGGGTGTTTCGCTACCTAAGGCCCAAGCTGAACGGTGCTCGACCTGCTCGGTAGGGGGGTTTGGCTCTCTTGATGCACGCCTGATGCCGGGAAGGATTCTTGAGGGTCTTAAGGCTGAACCGTGCAGGCGGCAGCTGGGCGTGCTGGGCACCTGCAGAAGGTGAGACGGGATGCAGGTGGGATGACATTATTCAGCCTTGAGGTGCTCAGCGCGCGGATCGTCTCTTCCCATCCGTGCAATCCTCCCGTTCCACCCATGCCCCGCATCAATTTGACGATCCCGATGCCTAAACCGGAGCGCTCCGAGAAGTCTCAAGGGCCAATTGCGGTCCAGTGGTTTTAATATTAGAGTCTGACACTCTGACAGCCCAAAATCCGTTTTCTTTCAGACGTCTCAGCCTAAGGTTAGTACGTCTGCCATTTCTTGTACCGCGCTTCACGGCCCGGCGACCGTACATCCGTGGGGCTTGCATGCGCCATCGGCCTTCCTAACTTTTGTGGATGGTCCTTTTGCACCTGCCCGGCAAGAAAAGTGATTGTTCCTCATGCGGAGGGCCGCGTCTCCACCACCAGAACAACCACAGCCATGCTTCTCTCTACCGGATAATCAACGCCCACAGCAGCATGTACAATCCATCCAACACCTCCGCCAGCTATATACGCCGTCACCGTCGATAAACAAGATTCCTTATCGGCAGCAATGGACCCCGCGACACAGGCTCGGCAAGCAAATAACCTCCAGGACGAAGGCATTCGCGCGTCTGATCACCCGTCCTCGCCGCGGATCGCGCACACTCTAACGGCTTGCTGTAGATGCAGAAAAGTGAGCGAGCTGTCAAGGTCCGCAACTTTATCGGCGAAGCTGACTCGTACAACAGCGGAAGACGAGGTGTGATCCAGGACTGCCGCGATGCGGTCCATGCGAGCGATCGAACTCCCACTGCGAGTACTATGACCCCGCCAAAGACACGAAGATCCCTAGAAACTATGTCGTTCACCTACAGCAGAAAGTACGGAACCTGGAAGAGCAATTGGCGCGGCTTGAGAATGATGAGCTGGATCCAGACCCGGAAGATGTCATGCGGGATGCTGCTGCCGTGAAGGTGCAGGACAGCAATGAGTCGAAATACTTAGGACCATCCAGCGGCATAGCGATCACACGGCTTGTTATGCAGCTCGCTAAGGAGTTCACGGACTCGAAGAGTATATCGGATATTGTGCCGGACGCAAGCGCGCAGTCAATCAAAGCACGCTTTGCTCAGGAAGACACCAAGCCGACATCGAAAGTCTATCCGATGGTGAGCGACGTTGCGGCAGAAGAACTGCCGAATAGAGAGTTGACAGGCCAACTGGTTAAACTATTCTATATGAAAGGTGGGCTCGAAGAACCGCTTGTGATGTTTATGTTCAGAACTAACCTGAATTAGTGCATCCCATGTATCCGATCTTCCACGAGCCCAGCTTTGATCAAGATGTGGAGGATGTCTTCAGCGGTTCGGAAGATCCCGCGAAGAACTTCTGCCTCAGGATGGTCATCGCCATTAGCCTGCAGAAAATGGACACGCAATATGCTGGTCTGGCCGACGCCTACTACTTGGCGGCATTGAAATATTTCGAGCGCGCCGTAAAGCCGATGGACCTAAGGACACTGCAATGCTTTGCTCTTATTGCTGGATATTCTCTCCTGACCCCGACTCGTACCGCAGTATACTACATCGTTGGTCTTGCTGTGCGGCTGACTCAAGCACTCGGTTTTAACGAAGAAAAAACGATAATCCTGGGCAGAAATGGCCAGCGAGCCAACCCTCTTGAGGTAGATATGAGGCGGCGTGTGTTCTGGATCATCCTGGTCATGGAATACGGGCTGTCCCACAGCCTCGGCCGGCCGAGCAACTTCGCAACCGCACTGGACCACTTTGATGTGGGTTTCTTCGAGATCGTTGAAGACCAGTACATCACCCCCGATGGTATACTGCCTGCACCGCAAGCTTCGATGAAGAAATGGATCTCGCAGCACTTCTTCAAGATGAGACTGCTCCAGCTGGAGATTCGGAGAAAGTTGTATCAAAGGAAACGGTCCGAGCCAAGGAACGACCAGGATCCTTGGTTTAAAGATATGGAAGCTAAGCTCATTGCATGGCGCGACACGAGCCCCCCCGAAGACGCTGGCTCTGGTTTAAACCAGGCTTGGTAAGCATCATCTGATTGGACTTCTCACTGATCCAGCCATCTTTTCCTATGCTAGACCTACATCATCCATACCGATCTAAGCCTTGCAACATGTCTTGGGAACTCACACAGGAAAACACCCATTACTCTTTTTGGTAGAACGTTTGGCTAATCCCTAGTTCCCAGGTTCGTCGGCAGATACAACACCATGGTCGTTTTCCTCTTCAGACCATCACCACAAGTACCCAGACCATCGCCTGCAGCGGCCGTGCGATGCTACAATGCTTGCCAGTTCAACATACACATGCAGCGGAAGCAGATCGAAACCCGCAACGTCGACTTGACGTGGATATTCACCCAGTCTCTCTTCATGGCCATCAACACTATGCTGTGGTCGCTCTCTTACGAAGACGTTCGACGTCAGCATTCCCGCGACGACGTCATGTATCATCTCGACGTCGCGCTAGAGGCCGTCGAGCTTGCGTCCGTAAGATGGCCAGGTGTTGCATCAGCGCTTGAGCTATATCGAAACTTGATAGGTGCTTGTATCAAAGTCTACGACAAGCACGGTGATATCCCCATTACAGCAAACTCGCCATCGGACATGGCTTCGGTCACGGGACCAAATCGCTCGCGGACGACTAGCCCAGTCACGGTTTCTTCGATATCCTTAGCAACCCCTCCAGAGAGGCCTCAACCACCTTTCGGCTTCATCTCTCCGGAAATTTATGGCACCGCCGGCCAATGTACCGGGAATGTATATCAAACGTCTCCTTCGTCTGCGGCTACATCTCCATCTTACTCATCCGCTCCCATGGCCTCGGCACAAATCGTACCTTCCTCACGTCCAAACATCGAAGGCTCCAAGCCGATGCAATATCACAACATCCTGAATTATGACCCCAACTCTGCTCTTAACCCATTGCCGGCTACTTTCTCTGAGCTACCGTCTTGGAATCCGAGTTTCACGTTTTCGCAAGGCCAGGACACCTACAACATCCCCGCCCAGATGCAGACACAAAGCCCCGGATACGCCGACCTAAATGGCTATTTCACTCTAAATCCTTACGCGGCACCCTACCAGGACCTTTACGGGCTCCCTTCTTGGACCCAGGAACGCGCCGGCAATGGACTCACTCAGGCCGAACAGATGGAGCTTATGCGCAGTCTTGAGACCGAGGGTACTGGTCAGATTGATACCATGATCCAAGAGAGCTATGCTGTGCTCAGTCCACGGGCAGGCGCCTACTGACGGCTGACACTGAATCACAGAGCAGCTTTACTTGGCCACTTCTGATGGAGAAGAGTCATCGGCGTCTACAGCGCGCCAGTCGGACTTCGAGTGATACCGACAAGACTTCTTATGAAGCCGAGGGCAAGCCACGAAAGGATTCAGATTGCCAAAGTACGTGTATGCTGCAAATCTGCGTCGCCTAGACCGGTAGCACATGGGATCACAAATGCACTTGCTCTCCTCATAGTCCCTCGACATGTTCTACTCTATCACTTTGCACATGGTTCGTTGGCTGAATGAGAGGGCCACTTCCTATCCGGGGTCAAACAGATTGTACATGGCATCACCGAGACCGCAGCGAGCCACCAGCCGTGGGATTGTTTGTTAACGAACGTCAGGACTCGCATGATTGGGACGAGAAGCTCAAAGGCGAACGGAAGTAATGGTGCACGACAGAAAAGCTCTCCAAGAGCAAGGGAAACGACCATGATGCAGAACGGGCTGTTGCTCTGCAGTCAGTTCGCGTTAGCAACATTCACATCAGGCACCAAGGTGGATTCTATTAACAGGCTCGAGTCGACAGGAACTCGGCCGTCAGCATGTTTTGCACATTGGTGCAATGTTAATGGTTTGCGCTGGTCACTTGCACCTAAACTGCGAGTGCCTCGCCGCGTATCATCACCGTGTGCTTGTCTTTCTGGCGGGTCAATTTGGCATCGCATCCGCCGCAGCATTGTTTAGGCTGATCCCCGACTTCAGACTGATTTCAAGTAACACGCGATGGAGACGTAGCAACAAGTTTATCCACCATTTCAGCTCTGTAGCAGTATGAGAGAAGCTCCTTTTGGGTGTCAGAACTCCAAACACGCATCTCATCTCACTGGCCGAGAACGACACGTGCCTCCTATTACAGATGATAGCGACGGCAACCAAGACCAGCATGCGGAAGCAGCAGTCACGTCTGATACTGCGTTTGCAAGCAGAACGCGTGCTGGATAGAGTGGCAGTCACATGCAAACTCATCGCGGTTGGCGTCGCCTGTGGCGCCACACGTGGCTGTGCAAGTGACGTAAGAGGGTATATCAGCCCGCATATCGGACGCCGCTCCGCAGATGTTTTGCACATCGCACAACATCCATCACCAGAACAACCACGAACAAGCGTGTGAGCATATCCATCACTGTTACCTAGCGGTCCGCTAACTCTGCCACCGCAAGATTCGAATATCGCCTTCGGAGAATCTCGTAATCGTCAGACATGCCTCTCCCGATCCCCACCACCGAGAAGCCTTCGACTTCTGAGACCAAAGAGTCGAACGTTGTAGCCAACCAGGGCTCTCAGAGCTCCGCTGAGATTGGGAATCAGTCGTCGCAGATGGGCTCCACGGACCAGCGACCGCAGTCTGATGCGGAGAAGGCGGCGGACAAGCTCTACGAGGAGAGGATTGAGGAGGAGTATGCGAAGAGAGAGGGAGGTGCATGATTGGACTTGAAGGCTACGGCTAGCGCAGAAAACGAGGCATGATTAACGGAGAGGCGAGCAGGCTTGTAGTGTGGCAGGTGTCGAGCGTTGACTGGGGCAATACTACGAGGAGGCCGGGCTGGGACGACCTCGAGCGCTTTGTATCAGTATCTATGCTTCTTGTACCATAATCAACAACCCGTTCAACAACCCGACCCCCTCAACTCCCTTACCCACCCAAAGCCTTCTCAATCAACTCCCTCGGTCTCCCCTCCATCTCCATTCCCAGTGCCAACTCCCTCCCCGCCTCTGACATCTTCCCCCACGTCTTCCTCAAAATTCCCACAATCTTATCCTCGTCGTGCTCCCGCTCAAACGCCGCGAACTGGTCGTCCAAAAACACCAGACACGCCACATCCTCCAGCACCTGTGTTTCCTCATCGGCCTTCAGATCCTCCTTCCGGATCAGCGCGGCCACCCTCTCCGCGTCCGCGGCGCTCATGCCGGCCTCGATGCAGATAGCGGCTGCGAGAGAGGCCTGACGCTTCTTGAGGAAGGTGCGCCAGGCGTGGTAGCCCACACGTGTCATGGGGTAGGAGTCGCGGGGGACTTCCCAGCGGCGGAAATGTTGGGCGCGGATGGCGAGGCGGAGGGGTTCGGAGGCGTTGAAGGCGCGCTTTTCGAGGTAGCTAGTGCATTTTTGCGCGTAGTAGAGTTCGTAGGGGACGGGGGTGCCGTTTATGGTGGTGAGGTTGGGGTCGAGGGAGTGGGCGGCGTCGACTGCGGCGAGGGCTTTCTCGAAGGGGGTGGACATTTTGGGAGGGGGTGAGGAGAGGTGGTGGAGGGAGGTGGAGGCTTCATGGTCACGACTTGGTTCGCACTTGGTGGTATGGGCCGTTTGGTAGAATTTCTGGGTTGGGGTGGTGATAGCGGCGATAAGGTGGGCCAAGCTTTGGACTGTGTGCGTGTGGGGATCTGCAAGCCACTTTCGACTTCGCGTTGCCCAGAGCATTCAACAGCCCCGGAAACCATTCCTTTGATGTGCGGAGGCTATGCGTTGCAGTTCCCGCTGCGCAGTCACCTTGAAGGCCGACAAGAAGAAAAGCCTTCAAGGGAGAGCCACCGTAAACAGCGCTCACAATGGCCGACCTAGCCTCTGTCTCGCCCTTAAACAACATCCCCCAAGACATCCAAATCCACCGCTCTCGCATCTTTGCCCTCGAAACCCCTGTCCAAATGACCCTCGCCGTCTTCGACAAATACTGGCCCTACATGGATAATGTATGGTGCACGCAGCAATACAATAAGCTCTCCGAAGCCAACTCGCAATACCGCGTGGAGAAGCGGTACGGGGTATGCCGACTGTACCGGCAGTGGAAGCTGGGCGAGGCGCCAGAAGGCTCGAGGCGCAGGCGGCGCGAAACGGCGACGTGTAAGGCTAGATTCAGGATCACGACGTATGCGGATGGCATGAAGGTTATTGAGAGGATTGGGCCGCCGCATAGCCATGATCTGGAGCATGTGGATCAGATGAAGAGGAATACGGCGGTGAGGAACATTGTGCTGAGTGACTTCTTTACGGGTTGGGAGGCGAATGCTATATTGGCTTACTTGAAGGATACGACGCAGCTGCCGGGGGGGCGGGATATGATGAGGGAGGCTGGGGGGAGGCATATTAGTAGGCAGGAGGTGTCGAATATTAAGGTTGGTGCGCTGAAGAAGGCGTATCCAGGGCAGGACATCTCGGAGGTTAGGTAAGGGAACCTCAGGAGCGAAAATGTGCAACCGATACCTTCTGACGACCTGTAGAAAGCAGATGGACAAATACAAGAACCTCCACGTATGCAGTTGGAAGGGTTGCGAAGTTCCTCCGTTCGAGACCCTTAGAGAGCTGCTGGATCATCGGAAAGAGATGCATGGGAATCTGACCCACGATCATTCACACAAGCACTACATCTGTCCGGAGAAGACGTGCTGGCGCCACAAGAAGTCTAAGGGCTTCCCCACGTTTGAAGGCCTGAATGATCACCTACGAAAGCACCATGGGTCGGCTGTAACCCCTGAACAAGCTGCCGCGCTCGGCCTGTACAAGTCAGGAGGTGACGGACCGATGCCGGACCTGAACCCTCAGGCTGATCCGACGACGCCTGCCATGAGCACGCCTCGTTCTGACGGCCCGTCTCCGCAGCTTAAGCAGGACCTTCGTACACTAAGCAACAACAATGCCAACGGAACAAGTGCTGCCAATCCAGCAAGCAACGGAATCCAAATCCTGCCGGAATCTCAGAGAGCAAGCATGACGCAGCGTCTGGCAGCGCTCGAGCAGCAGCGTGCACGGCTTGATCAGGAGATTGAGAGTCTGAGACACGCCCTACACTCTCCCGTGGCTGCACAATGTCACAACGGCGCGGGCTACACATCACCTTACGTACCGGCGCCGACGGTAGACTATGAAATCCCGGGACGATATTGAGCGCGCTACGATTGCAGGATCCAACGCGTTAAATACTCAGCGGCGTGGAAGATACTAAGAGTGCCCAGTCGGGACGCGTTGGTTGACGCGTACGGCGCAGAAACCTAGTGAGGTGGGGGGAAAAGTCTAGCCGCTGCTTGCTTTGAAAAGGTACGACACCTCTGTGCACGTTAGAAAGAAATGCTAACTCTGTCTTGCGGATGCCAGCTTGTAGCCATGCAATACGGGGATCGGGGCTTTGCAGAGAGAGCTGAAGTATCAATACTAAAAGCAGGCCTTGTGAGTCGAAGAGAAGGCTTCCCCGCGCTGCTTAGCACCCTCGCGGCCAGGTAAGTCGGCGGCCGCAGATGAGTGTTTGGAGGGCAGCAAGATGGGGCTTTGATCCAAGGCAACGGATTGTGCAATCTGAAGATACAGCACTTCTATGTGCCAGGATGTACTGGTCGGTTGCGTGCAATGTCTGATGTTGGGGCTGAAATCATGCCAACCAGCACGGTGGGGAGGGTATGGCGGTAGGAATTGGAAGTGCACGACAGTGATATGGCTTCGTACATGCCGTGACGAGCATATGTCGAAGCCGACTTGATCCCATGTGTAGGACTACTAGTATTGCAGCACTGTAATCAGGGATGTCTACAAAGCACCTCCTGCATTTTTGCACGCAGCGGAAGCTTGAGAACTCCAAGGAAGCACACGTCCCAAGGAGGCAGTCAGCTCTCTCCTCCGTAGAACGACGCAGGATTTTGGCCGTTTCGACCATGATCCAGTCGCGTTTGCGGCCAGACCAGCATGTTCGCGACTGGTCAGCGTCAAAACCTGCTTCCGTGGTGATGCAACAAGGTGCTCCGTTGGACTGGCGACGATTATCCATGAACATAATCGTGCACGCATCAAAATCTTGCTGCCTGATGCGCTACCTTGGAAACAGCGTTACGAGTACCAGCACCGAAGATTGGGGTCTGAGTTCGGCAAGACCAAGATCCACCACCAACCCTGCGGAGTATCTTGTTGACTTCATGCGGAGCCGATCTCTCGCAATCGCCCCATGGATTCTGGTTTTTCGTCGCCAACATGTTTCAAGCCTGATGCCGAAGCCGACAGAAGATGCGACGTTCCACGGAAGGGCCGATTGCCCCTTTGGACCTCCGTTTTGGGCAGTTTGATCCCACATGAAGATGGGTTAGCCTCTCTGCTTCTTAGCATTGGAGATTCAACCACGGGGAGTTTGCTACACGCTGTCACTATGAGGAGTCAAGGCTAGGAAGAGGGTGGCTCGATTTTATTTTTGTTTTTGTTTTCAGGAGAACTGAGGCTCTAATATTCCTGTTCCTGTGCAGCTTACGAAGTTACAACAGAGGTACACGTTACCGCAGCTGAAGAAGGTGAGCCGGCATCTAGAAGACGAACAAGCCTCGAGCTTTGGTCGATTGCTCTTGAGGAATCATGAAAGCAGAGCACAAGCAGGTAGCCGTCCCTTTCCAGTTTATCGGGTGTTTTCATAGAACAGGTCGTTCCCCTTCCAGCACATCCGCGGGTCTATGGGTATTTTGGAATGCAGTAGGGCTGAGATGTCCCCGGGTCAACCTCGAATGGTTTATCCTTTGGGAGGTGGGGTCCAGAAGTCGGGGATCCCCGGAGTCGATCTTCCCGTCCCTTGCAGTTGGGTGCAGGGCGCACCGAGGTCCGGTTTTTATGGCGTCCACCGTCCCACTCCAACGGGGGGCGAGAACCCGACCAAGCTCACTACCTACGCCGCAATTCTGACAACGTGCTGTGATGCTCGCCGTCAAGAGGACCATCTTCCCCTCCACCGGCCTGGTGCTGCTCCTGTGTCCTGTTCGCAGACATCTCACTCCTCTCTCTATGCCACCTTGAGGCATCTCTGTCCTGTGCTTTCATTTCGTTACTGTATTGTCCCTCGATCCCATTGCTGTCCGGTATACTAAGCGGCTCGTCTCCATCTTAACTACTTCGGTGCTCACCACCAGCAGCGGGTCTGCTCGACACTCACCAACATGTTCCACCGACCGCGGCGGAGGGACTCCCTCCATCCAACCGACGATGTTCCCGTCACCGAACAACTCTCCTTCATATCCCGCCATTTCTACAAACCTACCGCTGTCACTCCCTCAGACGACGCCAAAAGCCCCTTGTCCGGCCGGCGCTTCTCCATCCTGTCTAGCGGCTGCATCACCATCTTCATCACTATGTTCCTCATTCTTACCACCGTCATCTGCGCTGTCGTCGCATCTGCCTGGAAGAAACAGCACGACGCAGACTTCGAGAGCGGCAACAACTACTTTCCAACCGGCCTCTCGCCCTTCCACCAAGCCATCGTAGCCAACTTCCCCGACCCAGCCCTTATCCAGCATAACGGCACCTGGTACGCCTTCGGCACCAACAACGCCGCCGGAATCCTCGACCAACCCTTCAACAAAACCGTGGAAGACTACGGCAAATCCCACATCCAGCTCGCCGCCTCCACGGACTTCGTGACCTGGACTCCCGCCAACTCCTCCCGCGACCCCTTACCCAGTCTAGGCTCCTGGGCAGACGATGAAGTGAATAACGCAACCAGCACTCCCAGAGCTAATGTTTGGGCACCCGACCTCCTCCGCCGCCCCAGCGACGGGAAGTGGCTTCTGTACTACTCCGCCGCGCGCGCCGGGGCCGCGAAGCGGACGCATTGCATTGGCGCCGCCGTCGCGGATGAAGTCACGGGACCGTACACGCCGGTTAACACGACCATCGCGTGCCCCATTGCTGAGGGCGGCGCCATTGATCCAGCGCCTGTAGTCGACGGCGATGGCACGATCTGGCTCGCGTACAAAATCGACGGGAATAACGTTGGTCATGGCGGGGAGTGCAGGAACAGCATTAAGCCTTTGGCCTCGACCCCCATTCTACTTCAGCGCATGGCCTCCGACGGCGTAACCCCTCAGGGCGAACCGATCCGGCTTCTCGACCGCGAGAAAAACGACGGCCCCCTCGTCGAGGCCCCCGCGCTCGTACAGAGCGACGAGGGCGTGTGGTTCCTGTTCTTCAGCTCCGGATGTACGCGGAGCCCCAGCTACGACCTCAAATACGCGTATAGCCGAAACATCACGGGCCCGTATACCCGCGCCCCTCGGCGGCTACTCAAGACGGGGGATTGGGGGTTCTTGGCGCCGGGGAGTGTTTCTGTGGCCAGGGGCGAGGGGAGCGCGGCGGAGCTAGGAGGGTGGAGGGTCGCGGTGCATGCGAGGGTGCCGACGGAGTGGGGTTGGGTTAGGGCGATGTTTACGGCGGGGGTGAGGTTTGAGGGGAATGAGATTATTTTTGAGGAGGTGGTGTGATGAGGGAGTTTCTTGGGGGATTTGCGTGGAGATGCAGCATGGTCCGGCATGAGTGGACGACTTGATGTTTAGCGATGGCGTTTTGGCGCGGGCTATAGGCTAAGATGGGTTGCACATAGGTTGCATATGGTTTGCTTGTACTCGGATATAGGTGCATTGGGTGCATCCGGTTGGATTTCATGAGAGACGAGAGCATCTAGCTATATGCTGCTAGTTATCTACGGACGGAGCTCTTAGCATTTCCTATCGCCTCACGGCTTGGAAGTGTCCAGATCCGATTATCATTAACATTAAAGTGCTTCTTATATAAGCTCCTCTTGAAGGCTCGCACTAGCCGTACAATCGGCCCAAATGGTAGCATTTGGAGCAACAAGCAGTTATACCGTATCAGTGGGTTTGCTTCAATACGCCTGAGTGGGAGTGACTGTTTTGCATGGAGCTGTGATAGCGCTGGAGTTGCAAGCATTCGTAGCATTGAAATCGACATTGAGTTGCTTTGGCCTGGGATGCGGGATAGGTTTGGCATGATTAGATGACTTGGTGGTTAGCGAGGCGTTCTGGTGCGGGTTGTGGGGCACAATGGGTTGCATAGGGACTGCATATGGGTTGCGAATACGTGCATGTCGGTGCATTTGAGAGCATCTGGTTGATATGGTGGCATAGGTGATTATGATGAGAGCGCTCAACTGCTGGGTATCGTAAATTCATCTATCATACACATTCAGTGTAACATTTATGCCTCGACTTCATTGTAAGTCCGGCTCGTTCGCAGCTCTATGAAAAAACACTACAGCCTCAGCTTTGCCCCGACCTTAGCGAACGCCTGAACGAGGGTATCAACACCTTTTCGATTGCGACACCGTCGGCGGATAAAAGGAGCCGGCGGCATAGACGTCAGTCAAACGAGGAAAGCGGCGGGGCGGCATCTCGGCGACAGCGGCCAATTGCGGCTCAAGACACAAGGCGGCGTTATGGATGAAGAGCTTGCGAAGAGCGGAAGGAAAGGACATTGCCAGCATTTCTTTTTGTTCATATCGCATCTAGTCCATTAGAGCCGCTGCTGGAAGCTCGATGGTGTGCAGGCGAAGAAAATTGCGCAAGGTAGGAAGGCATCGGAAGTTCGCGGACATCCAGCCGGAATCGGGGGTATACAATCGACAGGTGCTCCAGGGAGGATTTGTGGCGCGTAAGCCTGCTTCCGATGGCCTCCCAGTCCATTTCTACAACGTAGAGGTGGTAATCAATGCTCAAGAACTCCAGGGCTTCGCACGCCTCGAGGATGCTGCACAGGACCGACGCGTTCAATTTGCAATAGGTAAGCCACAGTGAGCGGATCTTCAACGCTGGGGAAGGCAGAGTGTCCATTAGTTTCTCCAAAAATGGGTGGTTCCGTAGGCTGAGACGGGTCAGGTTAGGCAAGATGATGATCGAATGCGCGAGCTCGAAATTCCAGTTTTGACGGTGATGTTGCATCTCTGGGTTCACTTCTGCAACGTTGTGCATCGGACGAGGATCGCGAGCCCGTCTAAAACTCCTTGATGTGTCCGGGAGGAGGAATTTGTTGGCCGGCCTACTAATTTTGTTGAAGAAATCGATCCTTTGCACGTTCGGAACGCGTGAGAGGAGCATCTCCAGCAAACATACCGGCTTTGCTAGGTAATGGCCGAAGTATCCCGGCCTACCGGGTCACACGGATACCATTCAATGCCGGCTGGGCGAAGGAAAGCCGGAATACGCGTTCTTAGCAGCTCAATCGTTTCTTTCGAATTGTCGAGTACAAACGGACAGAGGATCAGGTGGTTTACTTTGGATGCCAGATCCGGCCTGCTGAGTACCGTCCTAATGAAAGGGATGTATGCTGAGTCGCCAGCCAGACGGCACTCACTGTATAGCAGTGGCTGTAATAGTTCGCAGAAGCGTCTGGAGATTAGGCAGTAAGATCTCACCTCCGAGAGAGTCCACCTCAGCTTCGAGAATACTTTGACAATTAGCTCGTTAGGTAGGTCATTGAACTGAGGCTTAGCCATATTTGAGGATGCATCGGGAATCATTTCGTTGCGCGGGTCGTTACACTGAGGCCTGGCCATCCCTGAGGACGTATCGAGAAGTGGTTCGTTCGGTATATCGTTAGACTGAGTCCTGGCCATCTCTGGGGATTCATCGACAACCAGCTCGTTGGTCAGGTCGTTAAACCGAGCCCCGGTCGTCTTTGAGGATCCATCGAGAATCAGCTCATTGGGCCGATCATGGACCTGAGGCCTTGTGTTCTTCAGGGCTGATCTGCGACGAAACCTGCGATCTTTGAGCTTGAAGACGAAATTTGGTGCAAACTTCATGTTTGTTCGTAGATATGAAACTAGACGCTGTACGTGTGCCGCGAAGGTTCGACGGAGAACTCATGGACTTAGTTTGCTCTTTTAATAATTTAGTAAATACATGTGTGGAGTACCACAATGGCTCCAAGATTAACACAGCCATGGTAGAGTTACCTCAATCTGTCCACCTCAGCATCAGCTGCTCTACAATCGCCATAATTGATTACGAAGTCTTCCCAAATTGCTGATGAGCGCCTTGCCAGAGATAGCAGGAGCAGAACAGGCGCAAAGCTGTGGCCACGGTTGCCACTGCTTGTGGACTTACTGCTCTGTGATTCAGATCTAGATGAGTGGTGTATTCATGGAACTCGGGAAGGCGGACCACACTGAGTACTTTTCTTGTGAGCCATAAACGCTAGAGAAGAACTCCGAAACATATTTGAGATCGTTTCCGGTAGCCGGCTGCCCACGTGTTCATACTAAACATCCGGTACAATGCGGCTCTCAACGGGTTCGGCTTCTTCTCCAACAACTCCACATCGTGGCTCTTTAGTGGGATATTGTGCTTGGAGCTGAAAACGATGTGACTAAGAAATCAAGAAAGGTAGGTAAGGAAGTCCCCACATGAAACGGTGGAAGCTGTTCGATGCATCACGTGACGGCTTTCCCAGGCGCACCCACCTAGCCGTGCGGAAAGCTTAACGGTCTCTACTGTTACTGTCGACCGAGCGAATATACCTTCACATAAGCCTTTGCTTTGTGCTCGAAGTGTCCTGACTGCTCGTTCTGCTTTGTTGAGGAAGCACGGAGCGGCGAAGCGGTTGGAGCAAGTGTGATCTACCTGTGCGGCTGAAACACCACGAAGTTCTCCACCCTCTATCCACGAAGAGCCTCACAGCTTTTTATTGTGCAACACTAAAGCAAGCTTGTAAACATTCTATGACCAAACCCTCATACTCTCTCCATGGGTCTATTGCTTTCAAATGAGCGCGGGTCAGATCCCCACCAGGATGGTGCAGAGATCGGCATTGGGCTGAGGAGAGGCTGCAAATCACGCTTCACGATGGATGCAAGGGTTGCTAAAGCAGTAAAGGGACACGCGAGAAACATGGGGAATCTGGACTCCGCCTCAATTTGTAATACGAGATGTCCTCGCCGTCGTCGTGGGGAGGGTTGTGTTGGTCGGCCTCGCTAACACTCATACCTGTCACGGCGGGTCAGGATCCAATCTTGCTGCAGAAACCTGGAGTAAGCATCGTTTACGCTGATATTAAATTCTGCCATGGGTGCACACTCGGCTGTGGTGCGGGCTGCTCGAGTGCTCCGAGGTATCTACCCCACACTACTGGCGAAGAGGCAGAGTTATCGCGGCTGGATGCAAAATTGCCCGGGCTATTCTTGACCAGCAGTATGACCACTTAGCATGACAGCGCGGCTGAGGCGCATCGCAGATGGCAGATGAGGAGTAACTCAGCCTCGCAGCCTCGCTCGAAGGTTATAAATATGGTCCCGTCAAGCTCCTTGCGACAGGCTGAACATTCCTCACAATGGCTTCCGGACGACAATTTAGGTTTCTTCTGACATCTTTCTGTGTGTCCACTCTAATAGCGCATACGAAGCAACAGTGCACCGTGATCAAACCAGTCTCATTGCCCCTCACCAATTGCACAGTAAGACAACCGGATGGCTCCGACATCGAGTCCTGGGGCGTCCTCGTCGGCTTAGGGTCACCGCGCCAGGAGCTTTGCCTGATACCCTCTACAGTGGTGAGCAACCCTTTGCTGATGGGCAGCGAGCTCTGTGTTGGCGACAATCTTAACGGAAGTACGCCGGAGCAATGCGCCTCCCGGCGGGGAGGACTCATCGACACCAGTAGCGAGGATTTCTCCTTTGTCGGCCTGCCTATAGATAAAGCGAACCTTACATCGGATCGTGTATGGGCAAGAATCATGAAACCCTTCCAGCCGTACAAAGTCGCTGGAACTGTCGACCTAGATCTGAAGCACAACCTGCGACTTGAGAACTTGACGGTGGCCGTAATCACTGAGGGTCAAAAGCATAACGTGGGCCATCTTGGACTGGGACCCAACTCTACTGTGCTTGCGGGATTGATATCGCAGGGAGTAATCCACGACAAGGGGTTTGGTCTCAATGCCGGAAGCCAGTCCTACGACAAACCTCGACCCGGTAGCTTAGTGCTAGGTGGTTACGACAAGGCAAACGTCATTGGCGCGTTTCGAGAGTATCCCATGAACCGATCGTCCGACGACAGAAATTGTCCATTGCAGCTGAATATCGTAAGACTAGCCCTGCGAAGGCCTGGACAAGAGGACGTGGATTTGAGTCCCAGAGGCGTCATAATTCCTTCCTGCATCGAACCGTAAGCAATTCGTGCTGAGATGTAATATCGACTAGCTGAAGCCTCCAAGCTATGATAATCTGTTTCGGATGCTGCCGTATGTGTTGGACGATTTTCGACAAAACACGGGCTGGAGCAATGACACGGTGGTTCCAAACGATCTTTACGTGGTTGAGCCCGGGCTTCTATACCCATCAAACGTTGGATTCGACGGAAGCCTGGTCTTCTCAATAGAGGACGGATGGGACGTCGAGGTGCCCAACGAAGAACTCCAGCATCCATTAAGAGGCCTGGACGCGGAAGGCCAGATGCAGCTGCGAAATAACACGACAGAGGTCAATGTTTTCGCGGAGCGAGCGCTCCTGGACAAAGCTGTACTGGGCAAAGCTTTTTTGTCGCAGGTATATTCAGTCTTCTAAGGACGGTGATGGATGGCTACTTTGCTGACCGTCGGACCAGGTGTACCTCGCAGTAGACTACAAAAGGGGTGTATTCATGCTCGCACCGCTCCTTCCGGACGCGCAGGGCTCAGATCTCGTCCCGTTTTCGTCAGATTCAGCTTCTTGCCCTTCCGGTAAGGCCGGTATCAACAAGGGTCTGCTAATTGGACTGATAGTCGCGGTATGTCTTGTCACAACTCTCCTGCTCTTCTGGGGCGCGATATACCTTACGAACAGGGGAAAGGTGACGGGACGAGTAGCCCAAGTGGTTCGCCAAGCAACAGGTGGCGGACCTGAAATGATATTGGTACGACCGAACGGTTGTAATTGCGGGTGATCGCTAGCGTGCAGATGGCGCTTTAGTGCAACAAACATTTAGTATTTGTCTACGCAGACGATTGAGCAGTTCAAGGGCCACTCAAAATGAAGGTTACCGCTTTGAAAGCTTTCTATAGCCCTAGAGGTGAAGAGCTGAAAGGACAGTCAACAAATTAAAAACACCTTACACGATCGATGCATCAAAAATGCAAAATGATGGACGTCTTTTACTCTCTATCGCATGAGATCGTGAGTTTAGTTTGGTCATGAATTTCGTGTTGAATAAGCCGAAGCAGAGCCGCAACAACGAACATTTCGGATGGCCCTTGAATCCAGCAGCGTGGCATGCCATTCAGAAAGTGTGCGCCAACCATCAATTGAAAGAAGAGGCAACGTTCGGGGATCTTTCTACTATGTCTCCCGCTCCAACTCTCTAACACCGTTTGCTTCCGTTGAGACACCGTCTTGCACTACCTCCAAGACAACATCACCGTATGGGCAACCGCGACCCGAACGCCAACGCTGCCCAGCCCCCAATAAGACATAACCCTCCCAGTGGCGTGACAGGTCCAAGGAACTTGAACCGTTGAGGATCCAGAACCAGCAGATATATGCTTCCACTAAACATTGTCATCCCAATAGTGAACAGCGATGCGGCGACCTTGTTCTTCGGCGCGACGGAGGCAGTGAGGAGGAGGACGCCGGAGTGCACGAGCTGTGATATGTCAGTCAGCGATTAATCCGGGCGAGAGATTGGAACGAGGTACCTGATAATGCGCTGCTGTGGCCCAGTTATTGAGCTTTGCGGGATCTGCTATCCGCTTCTTGAGGCCATGGGCACCGAAGGCGCCGAATACTACGGATGTAGCGCCGTACAGGCAGCCGATTGTCCAGAACATCGTTGGCGTCGACGGGATAGTAGAAGTACCTGAGGGGAGGTTTAGCTAGGTAGTGGTCGAATACTTACCTACCAATGTATGATACGCATAAGATCTGAGGCTCGAGCTCGTGCACGGACGTTTCACGATGTCACTGCTTCTTCCGACCACACTCTCTCTTACCACATTTCAATCACCACAGTTTCTCGTTGACTAGGTGTGAAGTCTGGCTATGCTGACTTCGCGTCCGGTGTGCTGAGGTTGAGGCTGGTCGATCAGTACGCATTGTTACTGCTGGCCGAGTTACCAAACCTGTACCACGTCCATGATGAACGGCTAAGAACTGGTCTGGCGCTCGCTTTCATACAGAGTATCACCGCCAGCTGTGCTGCTGTGCATCCTGCTGATCTTTAAGGGGCAAAACCTGCCGGTGTCGTCATGAACAAAGTTATCTGGCGCTCAAAGAAATTCCCCCCTGTGAGAGTAGTTCAGCTTCAGCACCAACAGGACCGCCGGCCTCTGTGAGAACACAAGTAGCAGCTGTATGTATCAATGCTGCTTTTTCTAACTCCTTTAGCTCCCTCTTGCGGTTCCTAAAGCGTTGGGGGTTCAATAATCGTAAGACGCGATCTGACGCGGAGACCTCTCCTCCAGTCGGCGAAGGCTCGTGCTTCCAGATAGAAGGTCCTACCCACTGGGTGTGGGCCGTGTTATGCTTTGCAAAAACCAACGTTCAATTTCTGAGGGGCCGCAGGAGCCGACTGGGGCAGTCAGGGAAATATATTGAGCCGTATCTAGACATAGTCCACCACCAGGGAGTGTTCTGAGGGATAAATGCTTGATGTAACGTATGTCCACAGCGCGATTTATGGAGAAAACCCACGCAATTCCACATGCCACGCTTACATGAAAGCCTCTGATATGCATCTTCCAGCTCCAAAAGAACTGTTGAACCTGGGCTGATTGCTCGATTAATGCCCAAGATAAGGACGGTTTGAATCAATTACTCCAGGTAAACAATCTAGCTCCCGGCCGCGGAGCAACGCCCTGAGTTGGTTCTTTCAGCCTCCGGCACAACCTCGCCAGGCGGGACGTTCGCCATGGTCGTTGGCCGAGTCGTGATGAAATCTACGCCGCAAGGGAGGGAGGTGGCATGCAACTGTGGGTGTCGAGATCAAGCCCGCATGCCCAAGCTTTGCACAAGAATGCGATAGATCCCTTGGCTGCTCGCGTAGCATTCCCCCCGATGCACGACGCGCACATGGCTGCTCGGACTGTCTGCCGCGTTGATGGTGTTGTGCTCGGGCTCTCAACGCAAGTTCGAGATCCCCCCCAGATCCGGGGCGTGCTGCTCGAGGTGATGCTTTGCAGGCACAGCAAGGTGGCAAGCTGTCGTCGTTGAGACTGAAGGGTCTCGGGCGCTTGGTTCTCTCGCGTCGCCCCGAGTCGGCCTCCACATGTTCAGCTCCGGCCAGGCGCTAAACCGCAACCGGACATCAAGCGGAGACGATCACAGGGCGATTCTTGCCGATTCTTGCCCTTCGCGCTCTGGGCCGACTGGGCTAACCCGGGGAATGTGCGGGTCAGCTGTTGCGGGGAAGGGGCCGATAAGATAGGCGGCGGCGACGAGTCCAGACAGGGGAGCATCAGCACAGCGGTCCGACAGCACGAAGCTCACCACGGCTGGACGAGTTCACAGAGGCAGTGCAAACATGCAGCCAGCCAAACAGAGGCCGCGCTCGCCCTCCACGGCGGGCTGATAGCGCCGCGCAGCAAATCGCCCTCGCGCTGTTGACGTAAGCCCGCAGCTCGTCGAGTCCTTTGTGCTGCGCCCTTGGGCCTCTCTGCAAGCGGGAAGCGTGCTCGGCCAATGGCAGCGCCCGGCCACGCTTGCAGTTCGAGACGTACCTCAAGGTTACCGCTAGCAAGGAGCCGGCGCTGTGTGGTTGGACGGGCTCTAAAGACGTGACGGGAGCCATGGCGCATCATGTGCGTTGCTGCCCCTCCTTCGCCTTGACGTCGATGGGGGGCGCGCTTTAAGAACGACAGCTGTAGCCTCCGCTGTCACTCTCTGTCAGAGACCACAGCGAACCCCCCACCTCACTCCACCCCCATCACACACACAGTGGACTACGACAACACCACCGTAGACGGCAGATAGATACCATCGAGGGCCTTCACGATGAACATGAACCAGAGCAACAAAGCCGCCAGCGGTTCGTCGTCCCGCGCACCTTCTCATCTCTAAGGCTGCCTAATTTCTGTACGTCGACTGATCTTACAAACCAGGCATCGACGGAACACCCACCGGCAACCCCTCTCTACAGAGCCAAGACCCGTTCGCCTCTCAGCGCTCGTCCGACAACGATCCCTTCGCCGGCGATAAGCTGGGCGACCTCGCCGGCCCCGACAGCATGAAGATGGCGTCCGCACAAGGATCACCGCCCCGCGATAGGCGGATGAGCAAGGAGTGGGACGCTTCCAAGGTGCCCCCGTCACGCTTCCAGAAGCGCGAAGGCAGCATCTACTCGACGCCCAGCTCACGTGACGGCCACACGAGATCGCGGGATGAGGCTTACCATGCCAAGCTCAAGGAGAAGGTGAGAGATGTCGACTAGAAAATTGCATGCTGGATTGTCTTGCTGACTGTTTCTAGGGCTGGACCAAATAGGCGTGTAAACACGGCGGAGTCGCAGTGGCATGGTCATAAACAGTTGATACCTCCTTCGCTTTACACATCTTACGTCCAAATGGAACGACGGCTACCTACGGTTTGCTTGGGTCTTATTTACTCGTGATTTCATAATTTGATTCTTGTATCATAGCTTAATACCATCTCCGGGTTATTCAAAATGCAACCCCCGGACAATTTACCCTATGTCTTTTTGGATCCTTTCCCAAGAAAAACAGCCGATTCCACCACGGCAATCGTTGCGGCGTGTGGCAAACCGCAAAAACTAAAAAGCAAAAATCCAATAACATACAGCAGTAGGTATTCGCTAGTGGTCACCCACCCAACTACTGACCCACCAATTCGAGGCTTAATTATAGGAGAGCGAACGGGATCCGATGTTCTCCTCGATATGTGGCCGTATGTGGCAGATAAATCCAGCTTTGCGAATTATCTAGGCAACAACGAACACGCATCACTCGAACAATGATATTCTCACCACGGCTCGCCTCGTACCGATGGACGAGCCTTTTCGCACGCTCCGTATGTTCATTGCAGTAACCACATATCAAAATCTAATTTCAAACCCGTCACAAAGTTCCGCGAGCATTGATGATGTGATGTAGTAAAGCCTTAGATAAGGTCAAGATTCTGAAAGCCACTATCCAACCTCCCCCAACACCCCCTGTCCCTCCCACTCCGCACCCTGCATCCTACGACTTCCCCACCAGCAACTCCTCCATCTCCTTGTCCTTACTCCCTGACCTCTCCGCCGGCCTTAGCGTATCCCCCTTGGGCGGCGGTACCTCCGACGCCGACGCCGCACTCTTCAATCTCGCCGTATCCTCCGCCCTCATATCCCTCTTCGCATCCTCATCGTCACTATCACCAAGACTAAACGGATCGTTGTCGTCGCCCTCCGGGTGCGGCGCCACCGAGGTAAGCGGCTGCCACTTCTTGGCCTTGTTTGCGTTGGGCGAGGGTTGTCGGTTCGACGGGTTCGACGGGTTCGACGGGTTCGAAGAGTAGTAGAGCGCGTCGACTTCATCCACGGGGCCGGATTGCGGGGCGACGGGGGTGGGTTTGAAGAGGTTGGGATTGGCTGATGGACGGTTTGAGTGGTTGTGCGAGGATGCTGGGAAGGGAGATGTGTTAGTGAGGGTGGTAAGGATGGTGTTGTGCAGTGAGCTCACATTCGTCGTCCCTGAGTTCCAGTGCTGTGAAATCGTCGCCCAGGACGCGGTGGTCGGCGTCGTAGCGTTCGCGGTCGCCGCTCCGTCGGGCTGCCTCGGCGCTCTTCCTGATGCCGTAAAGCTGCTGTGATTGTGAGGGTCCGAAGTGTTGACGCCGGTTCGATGCGCTGGGTCGGCTGGAGTAGAGGTCTTCGTCTTCTTCGTCCTCGCCTTCGATTTTCTTGCGGAAGTCGGTGATCCATTTGTTGACTGTTGTTTGTGTCTCGATGAAGCCTTTGCGCAGATTTTCCTTGATCACTGGTAGGTCATCTGCAAGTTGAGAGCTCAGCTACAACCATCCTGCCTACGGTGACAGTAGACTCACCGTCAAAGAAGCTGTGCTCCTTGTCGTATAGCTCATTAGGCTTCAGTCCCGTCTCTCTCTTCTGCCGTGGGAGTGGAGGATTGCCCCTCTCGCGAGAGCCATAACCTGGAGGTCCCTGTGTCTTCTGATAATGTTCCGCAAGCTGCCGCGCATACATCTCGTCCGACTCCAGCTGTCGCTGTGCTGGTGTCGGTCGTGGAGGCTGTGGTGGGGGAGCTTCTTCTTGCTGGAAGTCTGGATCTGACATGCCTGGGAAGTAGCATCAGACTCGTATGCGCCCCACAGAAATGGTAGCGGTCGTACTCAGCAGAGCATTGAACGCCGGCTCAACCTTGCCGTTGCTTGCCAGCAACACCGCCTTGACAACCTTGGGATCAACGGCTGGGAAAGCCTCGATCAAGGTCGCCTCTGCTTGTGCCTGAGGACTCATGGGTCGCGGTGGTTTCGGCGGGGGTGTCTCCTCGTCCTGGAAGCTGACTCTTGGTCTTCGTCTCGGTGAAGGTGAAGCGGCGGTCTCGCGAAGGGCGCTGGTGCCAGTCTCTTGCGGTTCGTCGTCAAAGTCGAGCTCGCGCGCTGTTGTCGGAGACTCTGCGCCGGTTGTGAGGCCGATCTTGGAGGACTTAAGCACAGGCGTTGTCGTTAGAACTTTCTGGAGTATCGAACTTGGTGGGGGTTTCTACGTACAGGTTTGTCCGCAGTTGTTTTCTCAGACATGATGGGGGAGATATTTGGTGTCTTGATAGGAGAAAGGAGAGTTGAGGAGTTTGGTGTGTTAAATATCCAGTGGAGATATGATGGGCGCCTGCTCTGCTACGCATGCGCCGCGACAGCTCCGTCGTTGAATGTGGGTTGGCGATGTTGGCGATGGCGATGACGAAGCTCGGCTTACCTCACTCGGGCAATATTACCGTAAACTTCCCGATAGATCACCTCAGCTCGAACAGATGCTCCTCGAGATATGGAAGCCTTGGAGAGTCTGTGAAGCAGTGGCAGAGGTTCTCGTGCTACAGATGCCTATCCTGTGCAGCCCATCCGTCTTCCGTGCATTCATCGAGCGTTACTGAGATTCCGTTCCATTCTCCTTTCCACTACGTCCACAATGGCGGATTCTGAGCTTGCGTTTGGCTTCATCCAGTCTTCATACAAGCCCAGTTCACTACTTCCAATAGCTCGTCACCGCGAGAGTCTACTATACCTTGTTGAGATATACCCTGTCACTATCGTCGTTGGCCACACCGGCAGTGGAAAGACTACTCAAATCCCTCAGTTCCTGGATCAGGCAGGATGGTGCACACGAGGGAAGCAGATCGCAGTCACGCAGGTGGGTCAGTCACAACCTTCTAACACTCACAATGTTCTGTTGTCAATGGCTGACGCTCTTTAAGCCTCGAAGAGTAGCTGCAACCACCGTTGCCACACGAGTCGCGGATGAGATGAGATGTAACCTTGGGCAAGAGGTACCCTACCTGTTTCCAGATGTTGTAGCGGGAATGACAGCGCTGACTGATACTAGGTCGGTTACTCCATTAGATTCGAAGACGTAACGTCGGCAGCCACACGCATCAAGTTCTTGACGGACGGCTTGCTCCTTCGTGAGGCTCTAGTGGATCCGCTGCTGTCGCGTTACTCGGTGATCATGGTTGACGAAGCCCACGAGCGTTCGCTCAGCTCCGACATCCTGCTAGGCTTACTGAAGAAGATCCGAAAGAGGCGGTCTGATTTGCGGGTAGTGGTCAGTAGCGCTACGTTGCAAGCGGAGGATTTCCTGCGATTCTTCGCGGGTGGCGATGCTGAACTTGGAAATGGTAATGGTGCTGCTGACCTGGGCGGTTCGATCGGCAGAATCATCAGCCTTGAGGGTCGGATGTATCCCGTGGATATTCACTATCTTGAGCAGCCTGCCGAGGACTACCTGGAAAGGGCCGTTCAAACCGTGTTTGACATTCATACCAAGGAGGCCGAAGGTGATATCCTGGTCTTCCTCACTGGAAGAGAGGAAATAGACTCAGCCCTTGAGATGATTGCTGATCGATCAAACTCCTTGCCCTCAAATACCCCCTCTCTGCTCACCCTGCCGCTGTACGCCGGGCTGTCCACCGATCAGCAAATGTACGTCTTCGAGCCTGCGCCTGAAGACACCCGCAAGGTTATTGTTGCAACCAACATCGCTGAGGCATCAGTGACGATCGATGGCATCGTCTACGTGATCGATTGCGGCTATGTCAAGCTCCGAGCTTACAATCCGACCACCGGCATCGAGACTTTGACAGCGACACCAGTGTCAAAGGCCTCTGCTACGCAGCGTGCTGGCCGCGCCGGTCGTACGATGCCAGGGAAATGCTACCGCTTGTACACTGAAGAGGCATTCGAGACCCTAGCAGGAGCGACAGTACCAGAGATCCAGCGCTCGAACCTCGCTCCAGTTATCCTGCAACTCAAAGCACTTGGTATAGACAACATAGCGCGATTCGACTATCTCACCCCTCCACCGGCGCAGCTGGTCATTCGCGCGCTGGAACTACTCTATTCGTTAGGAGCACTGGACGACTACGCGAAGCTTACCAAGCCACTCGGATCACGCATGGCTGAGCTGTCCGTCGAACCCATGATGGCGAAAGTATTGCTAGCTGCACCGACATTCGGCTGCATGAGCGAGATCCTCTCCATCGCCGCAATGACAAGCCTGCAGGGCGCCGTTTGGTTCTCTCACGAAGGCGAGAGAAAGGCTCAAGAATCTGCGCGGCGGAAGTTTGCGGCTGAGGAAGGGGACCATCTGACCCTGCTGAATGTCTACCAGGGCTTCGTCACCAAAGGCAAGAAAGACGCACAGTGGTGCAAGAGCAACTATCTGAACTTCAAATCTATGACGAGGGCGGTCAGCATACGGAATCAACTCAAGAGGTACCTGGAGCGCTTCGGTATAAATGTGGAAGAGAGCCTTTCCGCTGGCGCTCTGCGAGTCGGTGGTCCGGATAAGGCAGAGCAGATTCGACAATGCCTAACAACCGGCTACTTTTCGCACGCTGCTCGAATGCAACCGGATGGCAGCTTCAAAACAGTCGATGGCGGCACGATACTGCATGCCCACCCTACTTCGTTGATGTTTGTGCGTGTGTTTCCAGTACTGAATTGATATTGCGCTCCCTTGCTAACTCCGTATCAGAACCGAAAGGCCGATTGGGTAATCTTCCATGACGTAATGGAGACCAGCAACAAGACCTTCATCCGCGACATCTCCAAGGTCGAGAAGGGCTGGCTACTCAAATACGCCCCGGATTACTATCGCATTAGGTGAATGAAAGCACCAGCCTAAGCGCGACATATAGCCCTCCGTGGCCAGCCGGTCAATTGAGTGACTTACTTCGACCAAGCAGACGGATCACGCAGGCAACGCCGTGAGAACCAAGGTCAACCCGGGATATCCGACTAGGAGGTTCCGGGGTTCACTGCCATAAGTGTTACAAGAACGCAGGTACGAATGCTGTGAAGGGGAAGTTAAACCATCAATGCGACTCGGCTTGCATTGCCCCTGCAGGAGGTGCCCATGATGTCGGTGCAACGGATGAAGGACCAAGTTGAGGAGGAGTAGCGTCAGGAACTGCCGGCCCTGGAGATAGTTGTTGAGACGCAGCTGTTCCGTTCGGTGGCCTCTGCCATACTCCCGCGTCCCTGTAAATCTAAAGCCTTCTCGCCATAGGCTCCGAGAAATCTCCCTAGATATAAAGGCTGTCCCGCTGATCTGGATCGTTCCGTGGGCTGAGACGATGTCGGATCTATGATTGACTACAAACAATGATGATTGTGGAATCACCACTAGGCGGATGGCATGTGTACCTGCAACGCCGCTGCCACTTCGTTTGACATTTCTGGAGAAGCGCGGGACCGCCGTCACCAACGTAATAAAGACTCTTCAGTCTTCACACTGCTTAATCACATCACAGGTGGGGTTTTTGTCAGCTTGTGGTCTCCATTCAAGACAAACAACCTCGCTATGGCTATCAGAAACGTCCTCTGTAATACATTTGGCAGTCACATTTCGCTAGCAAAAGCTGTCATCAAGATGCACAGCTTGTACAAATACCCGCGGACTTCTCCCTACCTGAAACTGTCTATATGGAAACCCTCGCGAAAGCAACTAAATAGTAACCAAAGTCTTCGAGAGAATCACCACCTCTGACTTCCCTTACGGCGACACTCAACACCACCAAAGCTTTAACACCATGTGCAAACATGTCTATACTCGATACGCTTGCGGTCACGAAGGGACAAACAGTAGCGAGCACAACACAAACCTCCGCATGTGTGACGACGCCACATACAGGGCCGCTAAATCCGGGATACCCTCCATTTGCAACTTTGTGATGGAAGTGGTGGAACAGAGCCGTAGGCAGTGTCCCAGGTGCCTCGAGCAACCAGGATGGCAGTTCAAAAAGCCCAAGAAATGATTGGGGGTGCGGTTGCGAACGATGGCATGTAACGGGGCTGGCACTTCGCTCTTCCCGCTAGCAGGCTGTCGGTATCCACGGGGCGTTAAGGACTTTGCTGTTAGCAAATAGAGTAGTCTACTTCAGAACACCACACTCATCACACTCTTATCACTCGTGTCTTATTATCAACTACTTTTCTACGAGTCATGACGGTATAATCCCTCCATTTATAGATACGGGTTTCGTGCTTCCAGACTCTCGATATCTATTGCAATATATTGAGTATACATATTCTCGCGATTTGATGCCAGACATGCCAGCGCCAAACTACTCACCTCGACCATGACCTCCACGGCAAGCTCGGCTTACCTCCAATAAACAAGAACGACACCACAGCCGTGACAAAACAAACCACCGCAATCACCGCATTCATATTCCCATACCCAATCTTATCCTTCAGCCCACCCGCAACCAGCGGTCCAAGCGTAAGTCCCGCACTAAATACCATAGAATTGGCGCCATACAGCTGAGCATACGGGCCCTCCTCACCAAAGAAGCCCGGATTGGCCCTGTGATACCTCTGCACCACAGCACCTGCTTCGACGATTGACGGTGCGCCGACGATCGCCTCGCCTACGCCGCAAAGCGCCAGCGTGGCGCCATAGAAGATGACTTGCTTGATGTCGCCTGGGTGCGGGAGCCGCAGGAGGATCAAAACGGGTACGAGGTAGAAGTAGCCTACTGCTGCAACAACTTTAGTGCCGAAGCGGTCGGTAGCCCAGCCGGCGATTGGGCCAACGATGAGGTCAGCTGCGCCGAGTGGGAGGAAAAGCAGGCCGTCGTGCAGGGAGTCAAAGCCGTAGTAGTCCGAGGCAATGGTCGGGATAGTTGCGTCGAATGAGCCGAGGAGGGTGGCTTGGATGAGGCAGACGAGGAGAGCGGCTAGGATGGAGCGGTCGGTAATGCAGGCGAGGATGGGCACTGCTCTGACGATCCTCGAGCGTGTTTCTGGGAGCTTATATTTCGAGTTCTCGGAGCTGCTGAGTAGAGGCGTTTCTTCGGTATCTGGTCCTTCTTCTTCGTCTTGTTGACGCTCGCCATCCTTGCTCTCGTACCGCTTGGCGATCTTTTTCTCGACGACTAGTAGCCGCATGATGAAGTCGATGGCTAGGAAAGCTACACCGACGCCGAAGACGCCTTCGTAGCCGGTCTTGTCGTATAAGATCCCGCCTAGGACCGGCGCTGCCAACGTGCCCACGGAAATGATGCTGAAGATCGTTCCGATAGTTTTACCTAGGTTCTCCGGGCCGACTGTCTCTATACACATGGCAAGACCAATCGTCCAGACAACTGCGCCGCTGACACCCTGTAGGATGCGGGCGATGGCGAGTACCGCTATACTCTGGCCTATTGCCAGTATGATGGTGGCCAGCAGCAGCGCGACGAGACCAAAGAGGAATGGCAGCTGGCGGGACGTCATCCTGTCCGCAAAGACGCCCGCCACAGGGGAGAAGACGACGGATGCGGCAGCATAAAGTGCCAGTAATACTGAGGTGTGGGTTTGCACCTGGTCCTGAGGAAGGCCCACGCGATCCTTGAGCATGAACGGTAGGACCGGTACGATGAGACCATAGAGAAAGAGATCCGTGAACAAGCCCACGGCTACAGTGCTGATGATGAAAAGAGTGTTTGAGCGCCAGCGGAGGCCAAGTGGTTTAACATCTTGGTAGCCGCATATTGGTAGTTGACTCGTGACGCGCTGGAGCGTATCTAGTCCCTCCATTAGTGCTTTGATCTGTAGGTGATTGAATGGGTTTCCTCATGCTTCCGAGCTCTCAGATATAGAGTATACTATATTGCAGTATGCAGAAAGCGCTTACTCGAGAATGTGTTTCTGGCGGCAGGCATGCCCCGGATGTAAGAACCTTAATCTACGGCTACCGTAATCAGGTAACAATACAGTCAGAACGGATTGTCATAAGCCAGGTCTAGAAGGTACAGTATTAGCAGAGGTCCTCTCGCAATGTGAAAGTCCAATGCTTCACTCTGCTGTTGCCAGGAGATTTGAACCACCGAGTGGATGTCGGGATGTGTTCAACATCCGGCCCGCGAACGGTCAATGCGTCTCTCTTGGCTCAGCCCGCGGCCGCAGACCTCAACTCCAACTTTTTGTGCAGCAATTGGCATTTCAGCGGCTAGTATGCTGAACGTGGGGTCATGTCTCTGGCCTCATTTCAGAGTTGTCCAGGTCTATGGCGCCAATACGGGCGTTGGAAAGACAGTTGTCTCTACCCTCCTCTGCCGAGCGTTGAGAGAACTACTTCCCGCTCACCATAAAGTCCGGTATCTGAAACCTCTGTCCACGGGGCCGGCTCGGGATGCTGATGACGGGTAGGTGGTGACATGTTAGCTCTAGCATTTGTTTCTGTCTGAATCACGTGGTAACCTTCTATAGACATCTCAACTTGTTTACTGGAATCGGTGTTTCTACTAGATGTCTCTACCAGTTTCCCGATCCTGTCAGCCCCCACATCGCCGCTCAGGTGCCAGGCAAGGTGAGGCGTTGGCCGAGTCTCAAAGTTGTGTCAGCCTAACATGATCAGGTGCGACTTCGAGATTCCGAGCTCGCTCAGAGTGTCCACGATGAACTCTCAGCATACAGCAAAGAAGGTGAGGGCATAGCAGTCGTAGAGACCGCCGGTGGAGTTCTCTCTCCAGGCCCATCTGGCGCCTTGCAAGCCGACCTCTACCGCCCTCTCCGACTGCCAGTGGTCTTTGTTGCAGACAGCCGGCTAGGAGGCATAGGATCGTCCATTTCTGCATTCGAGTCATTGAGACTGCGCGGCTACGACATAGACGCTGTCTTGTGCTTTGACGGCTCTAGGGCCACGAACTTAGAATATCTCCGAGAGTATTTCCGTATCCGCAGCGTCCAGACGTTCGGTCTATCAGAGCCGCCTCGTCGCAATGACGACAAGGATGTGGATCGGAGAAACACAAAAGAATACTACACGTCTCCTGATCACGCCAAAACGTTCGAGCGTGTAGTGGACACGATCCGGCGACAACACAGAAGACGCATTAAAGACATAGATTCGCTGCCAGGAAGAGCCAACAAGAGCATCTGGCATCCATTTCAGCAACATCAGCTCCAATCCGAAAAGAACATCATGGCAATAGATTCAGCCTATGGCGATTTCTTCCAGATAGCGAATATCGATACCACAAGATCAGAGAACCAACCTGGCAAGGGCACACGGCTGACGCCGCAAGCTCCTGTATTACGGCCAGCCTTCGATGGATCGGCCTCATGGTGGACTCAAGGACTGGGCCATGGGAATCCGAAACTCTCGCTTGCCGCAGCTTACGCTGCGGGCCGCTACGGACATGTCATGTTTGCAGGCGCTGTTCACGAACCCGCATTATTACTAGCGGAAACGCTGCTGCAAAACCTGCGAAATCCTCGTCTGCAAAAGGTTTTCTACACCGACAACGGAAGCACTGGTATGGAGGTCGCCGTCAAGATGGCTTTGAGAGCATCAGCTCAGCGATACGGCTGGGACAGCACCTCGGATGAAATCCTGATGCTTGGTCTCAAGGGCAGCTACCACGGAGATACCATAGGCGTTATGGACTGCTCAGAGCCATCCACATTCAACAAGAAGGTGGAATGGTACAGAGGCCGAGGCTACTGGTTCGACTTTCCTACTGTCAAGATGCGGCGAGGAAGATGGTTTGTAGAGCCCCCGACAGGCATGGAGGCCGAGTTCGGCAAATCTCGGAGTTTCGAGTCACTTCATGAGATATTCGACGTGAACAAGCGGGACAGCTCTAGGTACGAGGCGTACGTCAAGGCGACTTTGGAAAGGCTCTCTGCGGAGGGCAAGAAATTTGGAGCGCTGGTTATGGAGCCCGTTATTCTCGGGGCGGGTGGCATGCACCTAGCGTCAGTATCATAATTACACCATTCATTGTCTACATTGAGACTGACACATAACAGCGACCCGCTCTTCCAACAAACATTAGTAGATGTCGTGCGTAAGAACCCTAGGCTCTTCGGCAACAAGACCAGTCCAACCACCTTCCCCGCAGCAGCTGATAAACATTCCTGGACGGGCCTTCCTGTCGTCTTCGACGAGGTCTTCACCGGGCTCTATCGTCTCGGCCGCTTCAGCTCGGCTTCTTTTCTCGATGTCCATCCAGATATCTCCGTCCACGCGAAACTCCTCACAGGAGGTCTCGTGCCACTCTGCACAACGCTCGCAAGCCAAAGCATCTTTAATGCCTTCCTGAGCAAGGACAAATCAGATGCCCTTCTTCATGGACACAGCTACACTGCACATGCTGTGGGCTGTAACGTCGCGCTGGAGTCTTTACTGGAGATGACGGGTATGGAGAAGTCAGGCGAGTGGGCTGGTTTCCAGAGGTCATGGACGGGTGGTGATGCGTTCAGACGAATCCAGCCCGACTCTGGAAATCAGCGTCAGCAGCACACATCAGTCTGGAGTATGTGGTCCAGTCACTTCGTATCCGAATTATCACAGAAGGGAACGATAGACAGTGTGTTCGCCATTGGCTCTGTTTTGGCAGTCTCAATACGGGATCAGGCTGGCTCAGGGTATACATCCACCGCTGCGGTTGGACTGCAGAAGCAGCTGCTTGAGAAGGCCGGCCCTCATGGTTGGGTCGTGCATTCGAGGATACTGGGGAATGTTCTGTATCTGATGGCTAGTCAAACCTCGAAGATGGAGATGCTGCGGGCGATCGAGAAGATGCTTCTGGAGGCGTTGTAGTACGCAGGCACTATAGAATACAAAAACCGCCGAGAACCTGCTATTTAACCAACACGTTCGTTCGATGCTTGATGCAACGAGCTTGAGGCAAAGACATTTGTGATTCCTCCCCTAGGGTGATGAATCAGTTGAATCTCAAAGCGCTTATGGACAAATCCCATGCCTAGAGCCGCAGTCTAAGCCTTACCCATACGTGAAGTTTTGTAGTACACGACTTCCTCACTCCACACGCCCTCTACACTCTATCGTCGTACCATCTGGCTGGACTGTTTGCACTGTGTGGTCTAAGGAGGCTTTTCTCAACTTAGGTGAGGAACTTTGCGGTTGATGGCTTGGATTTTCTTTTCGTCCGTCAGATGATCGTCGATTGGATCTCATCAACCGCATCATTTACATCACGTCAGGCATCATGTTGTCCCTCCGCTTCCTCTGCAGTCTTCGGCACCCGTCTTCTGGCGTAACCGAGTGTCAGCAGGAATAAGACTACTGCGGAGCCACCCTCACCCACGGCTCGGCACGTCTGCATCGTTCAATCGCAGCTCCCGGAGTTGCACCATCCCACCAACGGCAGGAGCGGGGCATCGTCCGCCCACGCAACGGCCTCACGCTGGCCGCCCATTACCCTCAACCTGCGCAGGAAGCGCACCTGGAGGGCCAGCATGAGTAAGGAATGGCCCTGAGGCGCCGTTTCCTCCATGTCCGTACCTCTGATCACAGCAATTCCTTCCGCATCTTCCGCCGAAGCACACTTAATCACTGTATCATCTACAGTATACACATACGAAGCACCCTCAGAATACACTTTGCTTTTTAATCAAATAAGAGCTTGGAAGATATTGGAATACCACGATGGGCCATTGGTTTGCCCGGGGCGTCCAATCCGCCATCTTCCACTATGCTTCCTGCGCACCATGTACCGGCGCCATGCGGCGAAGGAAGCGCAACAAGCAGGCCGCCAAAGAACACGCCGCGAAGAAGGCCCTTGAAGCAGAGCAGCCGGAGCACTACTTCCAGCCCTCGCCGTCGACAACGAACCCATACTGGACCGAAGAGATTGCGATGGGCCCAGGTCCTCCACCGCGGAGAAGAGGAAAGAGTTCGAGGACCGAAAGTCGAAGAGTAAACACTGTTGGCACGCAAAGTAGTGCAGGCAGCCGAGATGGTAGTAGCCTCATTATCAGTCCGCATGCAGGAGGTGATCCTATGAGGTCGGACGACACACTCAGCGATGACAACTGGAATAGGCGGAGATACCAGAGGGAAGACGAAGACCTGTGGGGTCTGGGCGATGAAGATCCAAAAGTGCGACCCGGACGACAGCAGAGCACTGCCGGCTCGTCAATTGGCTTGGCCGGCATCCCCCAGCCGGAGTCAACACGCAGTTCGGAGCAGACATACTACACCGCAAGACTACCTCCTGTCAACGACCTCCATCCGCCCATAGTCAGCACGCTCTCAAAAAATCCAGCGGATATGAGATGGATGCTGCAACCACCTCCCAAGGCAGCAATCATGAACGGCAAAGAGAGGGCAAGCAACAGGAGTAGAAGTGGCAGTGGAGCGAGTAGCAAGCTCGACGTCAATTCGCACCGGCAGGTCGGTCACCGGCGCCTTGAGGAGCGACTCCAGAGAACCAGCTCAAGATCGGGAACACCTGACACGTCTTCGCTATCCCGCGCCAGCTCCTCGAACTACCAACGGATGCCTTCAGCACCGAACTCTAGACCTGCCTCCTCTGGTGCCCACCGAGCAGTGAACCGGGGCCCGCCACTCAAGATCCACACCGAGGCCGCTAAGTCATCCGACACCATTGTATATACCCCGACCATGCCCGCTGACAGCGCCATCAGCGGGATATCTCATCGTCACTCCCGAGCTGCCTTGTCAACCATCATATCCAGCGGCTCACTGTCGCCTCCAGCGATGGCCTCTCCGCTCTACCCATCAATTACCTCGCCCTCGTCTGGAGAGAACAGTCCGCCAGCCACCCGCACGGCACAGAAGCGGTACGACGGCCTCTCTGACGCTATCAACCCGGTAGCCATCACCAAGCCCGACCGCACCGTCGTGCGTGACAGCTCTCTCAAGCTCCTCCAAGAAGTCGTGTCTCCAAGCGCGCTGCTCAACTCCCGCTTCATCAGGGCACCAGCAGTGGAAGCGAGATTCAAGCTCCCAGCCGCAGACTCAACTGAAAACTTTGAGCTCGAGAAGGGGAAGCAGCATTGGTGGAGGACGGAGGAGGGGTGGATCACGCCGACCACGCCGAGGGATAAGAGTATGAGGTGGAGTGTTGACTTTTGATGTTTCATTCTTGACGCTTGATGTGGCGTTTAGAACTGGTTGTGCTGGGTTCGTGCTTGGGTTTCAGGATTCACGTCTTTTTGGTTATGGATGATGGCATTTTAGCGATTGGTGTTGGGTTAGCATGGTTGGATGGCATTTGGCATGCTGGCTGGATGGCATTGACGTCAGCATATGAAGCACGTATGATGGTGCTTGGGCTGGGGTGCCGGGCTGGCGTTATAGACTACTAGCATCTGCTTTCCTGTATCTTAGGGCTCTTGCCAGACTGTTTTTGCTGCTTCGGCACACTTGTAGACGTTGCTTCGTAGATGCGCAAGGTCACATCCCCACAAACAAATTGCATATCTCTCAACATGTTTCTCACCGTTGCGAACAGTCCAACGTTGATGCATCACCCTTACAGTGCTTACACCCGAGCGCAGGTGGACCTATTCAAGGTCCCGCTCTACCATCGCTTGCAGTAAACAACACCAAAGTCTGCATCCTGTAATACAAAGGACGCCATGGGCGACAACAAGCTCAGAGCAGGCATATTGATTGTATCCGAAACCGCGTCTCGAGATCCCTCAACCGACAAATGCGGACCTATCCTCCAGGACGTCTTCCGAGATGACGGAGGTGACCAGTGGGAAGTCACGGAAACCAAACTCGTGCCAGATAGCATTTCCGAGATCCAAAGCGTGGTCAAGCAGTGGTCAGATGGCGAAGATGCACTCAGCTTGGTAATTACTAGCGGAGGCACTGGGTTTGCCGTGAAGGATCGTACGCCGGAAGTGAGTAGGCAAACTCCAATGGCGGAGGTAGGGAAGGCAAAAGCTTATAATAGTTTTGAAGGCCGTCACCCCTCTTATAGAGAAGCATGCGCCAGGCTTGGTGTGAGTTGCCATGCATATGATCATTTCAAGTCTAGAGTCTAACTTTGTTGTAGTCATGGCATGCTCGCTGCATCCCTTGCCGTTACTCCTTGTACGTTCCAAGCCTACCCGCTCAGGTCCAAGAGGTCATCATGCTAAACGGCACCGTCAGTTGCGCTCATGTCGAGGCCAGTAGCCGGCGTGCGAAACAAGACCCTCATCCTGACTCTACCGGGATCACCCAAGGGCGCGAAGGAGAACCTGCAAGCTGTGTTGAAGCTTCTGCCTCATGCGTGCGTTCAGGCCGCCGGGGCAGACTCTCGTGCCATCCATGTTGGAGGCGTGAAGAAGCTTGAGGAGGACGCCGGTGTGCCGTCAGGCGCTGCGTCGGTTATAGGGAGCAAGACTGAAGGTGAGCTCTTGAAGGATCGGACTGACCCCTGAGAATCACTCAATGAATTGATCGTTGATCATCATGTGGAGCATAAGAATTGCATCCCCTGATTTCTTGTTCCGCTGCACAAATACCCCCTACGCCCCTTCAGGTTATACATGCTTACAGTCTACCCAGACCCACGTACCAACCACTCGCACTATCACCACCACCATGGCCACGGCCACGGCGCTCATGCCGGTCCCAAAGCCCGCACAAAGCCCTCAGACCGCCCCCAATCCAACGACCCCTCCGCCGGACCCACCCGCCGGCACCGAACCTCGCCCTACCCCATGCTCTCCGTCGAAGAAGCTCTCAAGCTCATCGAGCAGCACATTCCCCCACCCCAGACCTTCCTTGCCCCTGTGAACGAATTCCTCACCGGCCACGTCCTTGCCGCCGACGTCCACGCCACCGAATCCGTCCCCGCCTTCCGTGCTAGCATCGTCGACGGCTACGCCATCAAGCACCCCGCAACCGGGGTTTTCGAAAGAGGGACTTATCCCGTAGCGCTGGTCTCGCATGCGCAACCTGGAGAAGTCCCCCCGCTGCAAGACGGCCAGATCGCGCGGATCACAACCGGCGCCCCGCTCCCACCTGGCGCGACGGCCGTCGTGATGGTTGAGGACACAGTCCTGGTATCCAAAACTGTAAACGAAAGCGAGGAGAAGGACGTTGAAATCCTGACACCCGCCGTTCAGCCTAGTGAGAACGTGCGCGAGGTCGGTAGCGATGTCCGCGCCGGCGATGTGATCCTCAAAAAAGGGGAGGGCATCACTGCGCACGGCGGGGAGCTGGGCCTCCTCGCTTCCGTAGGGACGGTAGAGGTGCTGGTGTATCGGAAACCCGTCGTCGGCGTGCTGAGCACAGGCGACGAAATCGTGCCGCATGATCGACCGGGCGCGCTTAGGCTGGGGGAGGTGAGGGACACGAATAGGCCTACCTTGCTTACCGCGGCCAGGAACTCGGGGTTTGAGGCTGTGGATCTGGGAATTGCGTCGGATAAGTACGTTTCCCCCTCCTATCTGCCCTTTCCATTTCCCCCTATCCCAATCCCCCCTATCCCCTTCCACAGCCGCTGAGACTGACACCCCCACCAGGCCAGGCACCCTCGAAACCACCCTCCGCACTGCCCTCCAAACCGTCGACCTCATAATCACCACCGGCGGCGTCAGCATGGGCGAGCTCGACCTGCTAAAGCCGACCCTCGAGCGCTCCCTCGGTGGAGTGATCCACTTCGGCCGCGTAAGTATGAAGCCCGGGAAACCGACCACCTTCGCCACCGTCCCTTACAAAGATCCTGGCACCGGCCACCGCTCTTCGCGTGTTGTGTTCAGCTTGCCTGGAAACCCGGCGAGCGCTGTTGTGACGTTCCATTTGTTCGTGCTGCCGAGCCTGCATTATGCGTCCGGGGTGCGGCCGGTGGGGTTGCCCAAAGTGAAGGTCACGCTTGAGGAGGAGGTGCGGTTGGATGCTAAGAGGGCGGAGTATCATAGGGTTGTTGTTGTGGCGAGGGCGGATGGGAGACTTTATGCTAGCAGCACGGGGGGGCAGCGGAGTTCGCGGATCGGGAGCTTTAGGGGCGCGAATGGTTTGTTAGTTTTGCCGGCTGGGGAGGGGTGCGTGGGGAGGGGGGAGGTGGGGGAGGTGTTGTTGATGGGGCAGGTGGTTAGTGAGGTTTAAGGTGTGACGGACTGCGCTGGTGTGGATTTTCTGGTTGCAGTGCGGGTATCCTAGGCTCTAGATATGCTATACGCAGCGTCCCAACCCCAGATCCCCCCAACCTACATCACTTGCTAGTTCCTCACCCCAACCTCCCAAATCTCCAGTGTTTCCCCATTCCTCTTCCTCCCCCTCCCCTTCGGCTTCGGCTTCTTCTCCGCGAGTTTCAGCATCGCCTTGCTGTTCAGCGCAAATACAGTGACAAGCTCGCCCATCGTCCCAGTGCTCACAAACGCCTCCGCCAACTCGGAGTTCGCCTCGTCCGCGACCACAGTCGCCAGCTGCATGGACAGTAGCAGGTGCTCGCGGCTCAGCAGCTGGGCCGCGCTGTGGATCACGCTGAGGTAGGCGAGCAGGATCGAGGGGATGTAGGCGTGTCGGATGGCGGCTAACTCATCGACCTCTGCGTCTATAATGGCGAGGAGTTAGCGGTGGATCAGAGGGGTGCGGGGTGTTAGTGTGGGGCTTACCGTCAATGCCATGCGTAAGGAAGTCGGTGAAGAGCGGCTCAATGGCCGCGCGGACATTCTCGAAGAGCTTGCGGAGGGTTGTTTTGCTGTCTGCGGGTCTTCGTGGGTTGTTCTCGCTTGGAAGTTATTAGTTACGCGGTGAGGGGTTGATAGGGGTGGGGTCACTCACTCAACGAGCTCTTTCTCTGCTTTCCGCCATTTGTCCAGCGCAACGAGCATGCTGACCAGCTGTTGGAGCTCGTAGTAGACGCGAGACTGCTCCCGCATCTGTTCGGCCCTCAGGCTCTGCACGCTGGGTGACATGCGGCGTTGGCGTGGAGGTGGCAGCGCTCGTGTGGTCGAGCGAGTCGATCGCCGGGATTGCTGAGAGAGCTCCTCGTAGTTTTCGTCTTCTTGATACTCTTCCATTACATCGATGCCAGAGGCGATGTGGAGGAAGTCTCTGCTCTTTTCTCTGGAGACTGTCCTGAATGGCATTCGCTGGCAAAGAGCTACAGCGGCGCCGACTCGGCCGGAGCCTGATAAAAATTGTTAGCAGTGTATATCACAACAACTGGTGGCTTTATACACTTACGAAGAAAGCGCTTGAGGATAATGGTCAAAGGTATGAACACAGCATTCCAGGCGTTTGGAAGGAGCATGTACCACTCCCCAGCCCGCACAAGCTTGTCTTCGTCGGCGCTGATGTTCTGTGGGTTTGGCAGGAAGCCTAGCTGGATACGCTGGCCGGGCCATAGTGACTGCTCTTTTGTTGTCGGCTCAAGGAACTCGTATCGCTTGATAGTGGGCGTGTTATGCTCTCCGAATGAGCTCTCCGTTAGGACATACTCGTAGTGTTCGATCAGGACATCGCCGACGGATATCTTTGCTTGCCGCATCAGGTCCATAAGCTCCCTTTGCTCGCCGACGTCTCTGATGTCCGGAAGAACTCTTGCAAGCGTGTACTCAGCGCGCATAGGGGACAGCTGTGCGGCATACGTGGGTATCAGGTCAATCTTGCCCGCCAGTCGTAGGAAGTCGATGTATCCCGCTAAGACGTTCTCGATATCCGGTCGGTGCTCGGGTGGAACTTCCAAGTCGAGAGCATCGAGGATGAGATAGGCGTGCACCACGATACGAAGGGCGTTGTAGTCCTCAGTCATTGCCATGTACGCTTCCTCCGCCTCGACCTCGGTTCTTGGGACCAGCGTGGATTTGACACCTTCGGAGTTTGCCCGGTTCGAGATGGCAACTCCGTACTTGTAGAGCAGGTCCTCGAAATATTTGCCGATGAGACTGCCCTGGATCATCTTCATAGGTTTCTTCCCTTCTACCGCTACGGCGCTAAGCTTGTTCACAGATTCAACCAGCTGCCGACTAGCTTGGGCGGCGTTGCCGTGGTATTGTAGGGCATCGAAGAGAGGGTACTGTCCGGTTAAGGAGGCGGGTAAGCGGTCGGGGTGGACCGCTTCGGCATAGACGTCGTATTGGCTCAGCAGGAGAGCATGGAAGCGCACGTAGAGGTAATCGTCCCAAGTGCGGCACACGGGGTCCACGGTTTGCTGGTCGCCGCTCAGCATTCCGTAGACAGCGCGCTCATACTCGTTCATGCCTCCTTGTCGTGCGGCAACGAAACACAGCCGGCGCCAGAGCTGGCCGGCGTACGCGCCTTCAAGGCAGGTTCGAGCGCCTTCAGTCGCGTGTGCCATTCCCATACTGACGGCGCGCCAGCCCTCTTTGCGTTCCCGACACCACTCCCGAACCTCTTCCCATGTTTTGCCTTGCCTCAACATTACCCATATCGCAAGCCAGATCGTCTGCTCGTACTGCTCATCCACTTTCTCAAGGGACAGGTATTGCCTGGTAACAGCGTCCGGGTCCAAATCAGTCACCAACTCCCTCGTCCGGTCTGTAGCGCGGACGGATGCTGCGTGCTGCCTAGGGTTGGCCGACATCTTCTTCGTGATCTTGATGCGCTCCCTCGTATCCAGCCACCCTTGTGACCACGTTCCTTGGCCCCGACCAGTGTCTTGTAGTCGCTCCATGACCGCGTCCGCATCGGCTTCATTGTGTCGTGCAGTTGCTTCGAGCCAGTTGAGAATCAGCTTGCGGCCTCGAGCTTGATCATCCTCGACCAGAAACCGCTCCCAGACCTCGATCTCAGGCGTGTAGCGATGGACTGGCCCACGTCTATTCGCTTCATCTTCCTTCTCCTTCTGACGGTCGACTCTCGGGTCACCGATCTCTTCTTCTACAAGCAATTGCAGTAGTTCCCAGGTATCGGCCTCGCTCTGCCATTGTTTGAGATCCTGCAACGTCGTCCCAGCTTGAGTTCCGAACCCAAGATCATCGCTCTCAACACTCTGGATGGCCGTAGACACCGTATCGCGATCACCGGAGATCTTCAGCCTCCGCTGCGTTGCCCTCCTCCGCTCTTGTTCGAGCTCCGATCCATGCTGCTTGCTCAGCTGCACCACAGTATCGTTCGCTATCGCTTTGAAGCTCTCAACGAGTTCGACAGCGGCGTAGTAGTTCTTAACAGGGTCTTTACTGACCCGCTGGTTCCAGTAGTCCACCTTTTCCGCAAACTGCTCGACCTGTTGTCCGACGCGGTCAGCTATGGCTCGGAGAGGATGAAGAGCTTCTCTGGGGTTGCCGAAGGTAAGACGCAGAGGAGATTCGGGCTCGTCGACGCCGTTCGCGTCCTCGACGTGTTCCCAGCTCTCTTCTCGCGCGTGCGGCCTGCGAGTGTCGGGCCTGGCAGCTCCGAGCTGCGATCGGCGAGCGACGGAAGTCATTGTGGAGATGGGCTTGTCAATGTGACGGCTCCCTCTTTAACTGAGATGGAAGAATGAAAAGCCGAAGAAGGCGAAGGCGAAGGCGGGCGAGGTGATTCACGGCATGGCGGTGACAGCTTCACACAGCATGAGAGTCAACATGAGACGAACACCTGGGCAACTTTCTTCGAGCTCTCTCCGCGACACGCGCAGGGATAATTGCGGCTCTGCGCCTAGCGCGTCTCGCTTGTGGGAACGCATCAAATCCTCACCTCAGCCTCCCCTTCCGCTTCTTTTCTTTTCTTTTCTTCAACAATGTCTTTTGTAGGCAATCATTAGAGTCTCGGTTCAAGCCTTCAATGTTTGTACAGGTCCATCGAGGCCTCTTGCGTGCTCACGATCGCCTTAGAGGGACACACCTTCTGTTCACTTTGCTGCATCCCCCATGGGGACATGACGGCCGAGATTGGAAAATTAGGTGTGACATGTCTACACTATCTACAGTACTCCGCTACTCGCTACTCGCTACTCGCTACTCGCTACCCTCATCTGATGCCTTGGGCTCGCTGCTTCATCTTCAGCCTGGCAGGTACGGTCAGTCGACTGCAATGGGCGCCACTTTGACAGCTACTATACCTCAGAAGATTTGCCTTTGGACAGCTGACCGTACTCGCCTCGTCCCCGTTCTTCTTGTAGAAGGCGTTACAGCATTCGTACAAGGCGTCTATCTGCAGCACAGGGTCAGCGACGCCTCTCAATGGCTCCGTGATAGGCGCATGCCTCTTTGCTGCACTTGGCCTCGTTGTAGTTGTTCTTCTGTATGCAGTCTGGCTGTACGTCAGTACACAGCTGCAGAGTCGAGGACCTCGACGCATAGGACGAACCCTGGATAGCACATGCTCTGGCATGGCAAGGAGGATCCTGCTGCATGTCCTTCTCCACGCCCTGAGACTGTCAGGTCCACGCTTCCGAAGTGACTTTTGCCTGTGACGTCGTGTGCCTACCATCTTGCCCATCTTGCCCATCTTGCCCAAGACCTCCACAGGCGTCAAGTGAGAGTGACAGACGTGCTCGAGCCCCAGCTGTCTCAACAAGGACCAGGTCGTGTCGTGACCTCAACGGGCGTTCAGATGAGGAGCTCACAAAAGCATCGACGCGCAACCTCGCAAGTGACAGGTCTTTTTCGTTCCAGCGCGTTCGCTTCGGCCTCTTTCCAGACGCCCCGCCGATCACCTTGAAGCCCAGCACTTCACTTCACTCCCAGCAACCATACGCCACTATGAACACCCGCCCGTAGCTCTCGAATCCAATCTGTTCAATAACATCCTTCGCCTCTCAAGTCGTGTCCACACGTCAAAAAACCGTCACTAGCGACAACAAACTCAGCTGACCTCAACCTCACTGCCCACCAAGGTCTCAGCTTCAGCTTCAGCGTCCGTTGCCACCCTCCACTGCGTCCAAAGCTCACCCACTCACCTCCCTCTCAGACTCCGTCCCCTCCCAACTTCAAGCAAATATGTCAGACACCGGCTCCCCCGCGAACAAGGCTGCCGACGACGCCCCGGCGCCCACAGAACACCTCAACATCAAAGTCACAGACAACAACAACGAAGTCTTCTTCAAGATCAAGCGCACAACAGCACTCCGCAAGCTCATGGACGCCTTCTGCGAGCGCCAGGGCAAGCTGCCGAGCAGTGTGCGGTTTCTGTTTGATGGGCAGCGCGTCCAGGCGACGGATACGCCGGATACGGTGAGTCACGCACTTCGATGGCATGGGAAAAGTGGCCTGGGCTTTGTTTCAGTCGCGCCGATTTCGAGGCGGCGGGAAGGAAGCATAGCTTGAATCTTGTGACTGAATGAGCCGGAGGAGGGCGCCCGCCAGAGTCTACGGTGCGGGCCATGACACGCATACGTGCTTTCAATACAGAGACGGGAATTTTCCTATCAGGCAGACGCTCGAAAATTTGGCTGGATATGCGCTAACTCCTTTTGCGCAGCTCGAGATGCAAGACGGCGACATCCTCGAGGTTGTCCAGGAGCAGATTGGTGGCGGCTGTTGAGCACTTTCCCTGGCTACTTCGTATGAACGACACGCGACACGAACATCAAGTCTCCTTCTCCGCGTCATCAGCCGCGTGACTTGGCATAGACAACGGTAGCGCAAAGAACCAGAGGGGGGCTTCTATGGCTGAATGAGAGACATGGCAGGATGGCTTTCAAGCTGAGCGATCAGTGGGTTCATGGGCGTCTTCAGGGCGCATGGGCGCGTCATTTGAATTTTTGTTCCTTGGCATGAGTTACAGCGAAACATCTTAGATCATGCGAAGAAAGCGACTTCTGCAACCTTTTTTGACTTTGATCTCGTTGATTCCCATTCAATCTATCTGGCAAACCTAGAGCCGTGAACGAAACGCCCTACTTACAGCCCACCAGCCACCGAACCAAACCCACCTCCCCTTTCTCATCTACACATCACTCTTTCCCCTTTCCGCCATCTCCGCCTCCCTCGCAAGTTCCACGACTTTCTTCGCAGCCTCTTCAAATCCATCATAAGCATATAACGGTAGTCCACTATCCGCAATAATCCTCTGCCCCTCCTCCTCATTCGTGCCCCTCAGCCTAACCACCACCGGGACTTTAATCTCCAACTCCTTGAAAGCTTTCAGCACGCCCTCAGCAATCATATCACACAGCGTCAACCCCCCAAAAATATTCACGAAAACAACTTTCACCCTCTCGTCCCGCAGTACGAGCTCGAAACTGCGCTTCACGGTCTCGGACGTCGCTTTGCCGCCCGTGTCGAGGAAGTTGGAGGCTAAGCCGTTGTGAGTGGCGAGGGCGTCGACGGTGTTCATGGCCAGCCCGGCGCCGTTTACTAGGGTGCCGATGTTGTAGCTCTCGTACTCTACCTCCGCTCCCCCTCCCCCTTTTCCGTCTCCGCCGCTCGCGGCGCCGGAGCCAGGGCTAGCGGTCGGCAGTTTGACATAAACAATCCCATCCCTCTCCGCCTCGACCTCCGTAGGGTCCTCTCTTGATAAATCGCGCAGCGCATGCAACTCCGCCTGCCGGTTGTTAGACCTAAAGGCCGCGTCATCGAAGTGGAAAGAGGGGTTGCTGATGCGTAGACTGTCGGACTCGGTGTCGACGGCGAGATGGACGGTTAGCGTCAGCGCTTCTTTCTCTTTGTAGATGCTCCAGAGAGTTTGCATCAGCTTCATGGCGGTTGCTTTTGCGACGGGCGGGGCGGCGTCGAGTTGGAGGTGGGCGAGGGCGTCCTGGAGAGTTGACTGGGAGGGACCTTGGCGGTAGTCGAAGGGGAAGCGCTTTGCGCGGCGGTGATTTTGGGAGGGGGCGGTAGTTGGGGAGGCGAGGATGCAGGGGCTGCGGGATTGCCGGTCGATGGTGATGGATAGGAGGTGAGAGTCTACAGCTGACTCCGTGGATGGGGATATTTTGATACCATGCTCGCTGAGCATGTCGGCTGCTTGGGTTGCGGAGAGGAAAAGGCCTCGACGTTGAGTTCCTAGACTCGCGATCGATGTGGTTGAACGGTATGGAAAGCCTGCGGATGGCATCCTCCGCTGTGTATGGTAGCCTCTGCGCTGGTTGGCCGCTGATTTCTCCTGTGGCCAGCTCGTTAGTACTACAATCTCTCTTCGCTGCAACTTTGGTGTAGCCCTCTTACAATCTTTTGCACGTTTCTACCACTCTTCGCAAGCAGCTCTTTCATGACACCACCGAACTTCTCGGGATGATCGACCATAGTTACTCCAGCGTCTTCCAATATTCTGTGTTTAGTCTCTGCGGAAGCCTCTCCCGGAGCAGCCCATGCACCAGCATGACCCATCACAGCCCCTGGCCTCGCGCACCTGCCGCCAACCACTGCAGCTATGGGTCTAGTTCATCATGTTAGACGCCCCCACATTTGTACTGGATCTCATAACTTACTTTGGCTGTGCCGTACGTCCCCGATAATCCCTTATCCACTCAGCAGCTTCCTCTTCAGCACGTCCCCCGACCTCGCCAACAAGAATAATGCCCTCAGTATCTTCATCATGCTCAAAGACCTTCAGAGCATCGACAAAATTGGTACCGGCAATCACATCGCCTCCCATGCCGATACACAAGCTCTGTCCGAGACCGGCTCGGGTGAGGGACGCTACGGTCTCGTAGCTCAAGGTGCCTGACTTTGCTACAACCCCAACATGGCCTGGAGAGAAGGTCGGCAGCGGTTGGAAGCCGATCCGACACCTGCCAATTGCTGAGATGATTCCGGGTGCATTCGCGCCTACGAGGCGGGACTTCGACTGGGTGTTGAGCATGGAGTGGATCTAGACAGCGTCAGGCTTCTCGAAGTTCTCTTCCATTCTATTGCCTGGACTCACTCTAAGAATGTCGTGCAAGGGCACATGTTCAGCAACAGCAACAATGAGCGGGATCTCTGCCTCAATGGCTTCTTCAATAGCGCCAGCCGCCTGGTGTGCCGCCACATATATGCCGGTGGCATCAGGCTTCAGCTGCTCCATCGCTACCCTCACAGTCGGTAACACCGGAAGGCCCAGATGCTCCCCGCTCTTGCCGGGCCTTACGCCTCCTACGATCTTTGTGCCCCATTCGATGGATTGCTTGGCATTTTGTGTTGCTTGCTTGCCAGTGAAGCCTTGGAAGATGACTCTGGTATGCTTTCCAATTTTCAGATTCTGGATGGTGTCTTCGTAGCCGTAACGAGAAGCACTACACGAGAAAGCTATGCGAGACGCTCTGGAAACATGGTGCAAGGACTGAAATGAGCGTCTGTAGGCGACTCTGCTAGAACGATGAAGGGAAAGCATTGTACAAATAGAGGGAAACGCAGGTCTATCGCCGAAAATGCTCTACAGTAACAACTATTCCAGCGCCACAAGACTCTCTAGGACTTCGAAGACAGATCTAGATGTACTCCTGAAAATGCATTCGGAAATACCCGATTATATATAGAGGCCTTCGAGAGACAGGTCCTAGATGTAGACTCCCAAATCAGCCGTTCTCGATCTGAAGGCCTCCGAGCTCTCCAATATGTCCCTAGGTACAAGCTCCTTAGGTGTAAGCGTTATGACAATACGTAGGTACATTCTAGGATAAGATGCAGATGCAATTTGAGCAGACATGAAGATCCGAGGTTGTTTGAGCCGCAAATCCGGGGCAAGTCGGACATGGATCGGAGCTGACCCGAAGCTTCCCCACATCTCACGCGTAGGGCTGAACCTTGGGATTTGCACCATCGTCACAGAACCATTGTTCGCTTTAGGGGCTTCTTACATACGTATGTATTGCTCTAGTGTGCTTGACTGACCTTTACTTGCTCAATGATCTCCGGCAGGCGGAATAAATAGTCTCCTCTGCGAATTGATCGCTTCTGTATACACCATCCTTTATCCAAGCCCCGCCCTCAGCTCTACAACTTATAAGATTTATCGCTATGGAACAAGCGTCAGGCACGCTCTTCTCCCGCCCCTTCAGCTCCCGCTCACCACTAACCAACCCCAGAACTCACCACCTCCCTCCACGCCCTCCAGATCTCCCACCCCTCCAAAGCCCCCCCAAAACCCAAAAAAGCCCCCGTAGCCGACTCCTGGGACGACGAAGACCTCGACGACGATGACGACGACGACGCCGACAACACGAACAGCAGCACCCCAACCTCCACCTCCACGGAAACAGAATCAACCCTCTCCCGCACAACCTCCCTGACCCTCTCCAAGCCCCCTTCGGAGGGCCCCCTCGCCCCACCCCCCACACCCGCCTCCCCAACCAGCGGCTTCACCTACGACCTGCCCTACTCCAGCCTGATCCCCACCAGCAGCAGTATCGGCAGAACTAAAGGGACGGCCTCGGAGGGGGGTTCGGGCGCCTCAACCCCGCCATCGTCGCGGCGACCAGACAAGACGACGGCGGTAGCGGGGCGGCTGATTGCGGGGGCGTTGGGGGTCAGAGCTCCGAAGAGGACGGAGGAGGAGCGGGAGTATGATCGGGTGATGCGGGGGAAGGAGAAGGAGAGGAGGGAGAGGGAAAGGGAGGAGAGGGGGCGCAGGGCGGAGGAGGAGGAAGCGGCTAGGAGGAAGGTGTGGGAGGATTAGGGGCGGTGTTCTTTGCTTGATCGTTCTGTTGGATTTTTTGCGTGCCAGCACGCTGGCTGTGAAGATTTCCTGTTTGAATTGATGTTTGGGTATGAGTCCTTGTAGGGCTGGGTTTTGGAAATCACGTTTTGTGACGGCATTGACAGGGAGTTGGTATCATTAAGGCAGGGAAGGAGGCTTCTTCTATCGCAATAGCGTGTCGAAACGACTGCATTTTTTGGCCCATGTTTTGTGCGAGAAGCACTTTTCTGACCACTCAATACGTAGATGGTGTAGGCTATGTGTTTACTCCTAGTACTGCGTCTTACACTGAACCAGTATCTTTACTACATTCCTCAGAAAAGTAACGCCAAATGCCATGCTGAACCTCATCATACAATCGCAGTGTATCTACACCGAGGTGACTCAATCCTACCGGTTGAAGGGGCTGCAAGCCAGTCGGACCTACCCAAATACCCTCCTAGAATCCCACAGCTGTTCAAAGCAGCGTACAGCGATTTCTCTTGCTCCACTTGACCCTCATTTGACCTCATGAGAAGTCCGGCGCCTTGCTTGAGACCAACAGTCCAATGATCAGGCCGAAGAGCCCGAGCACGGAGCTGAAGATTTCTATGACCAGGATTTTGACAAACCTACAGTGATGTTAGTCGCTATCGATGCGTGATAATTCGCAGGATTGAATAATGCTTACAAGCTCGGATCTGCTGCATCCGCTAGAGCAGCACTGCTGCCGTTGATACCCACAGATACACCGCATATCAGATTGCACATGCCCACGGTCAGTCCAGCCCAGAAGAGCGCGTAGCCTGTATAGTAGTTCGCGCCCGAGTACAGCGCGTCGCCGGTGACCACCTGCAGCTTCGACGAGAACACGATGGCCATGATGACGCCGTAGATTGCGACGACTTCGCAGAAGATGATCGAGATGAGGTTCTTCGTCCGGATCCTAGGAGCTTTGACGCCGCCGCCGAGAATGGATGTGCCCGTGATGAAGATACCCCTGAGATCCGTCAGCAGAGAGTCCAGTGTAGAAGGCGAGCTAAGCTGACCATGCTGCTCCCACCACGGATAGCCCTATACAGAGGCCGATGCCTATATCTGCCCACGCATATGGTGATACGCTTTCGAGGAATTGTCCAACCTGGCCACAGTTTGTGAGCATGGGCCCAAGTGGTGCATGTCGGAGCGCCTTACGTTGAATGCCTCGCCTTCGTTGTTGAAGAGCATATCTGGGTTGCCATCAGCGCTGCCTGCATACTAAGGTCCGCGGCGTTACTCACACAGTCCTACGACGGTCAGAGCGGCGGTCGCACCGCCGACACCATACAAGAGACTCATCTCTGCAAGTCTCGCGAGCTTGAGGCCGAAGGTGAGATATATGAAGAAGTCCCTGGCTGATACCGCGGAAGTCAAGGCCGATGATGCTCTGAGGGCGATAGAGTGAAGCGGACCTGCAAGACCCTGCTTATGTCATCACGAGAGCCGCATCGGACATCTTCTCATCCCACCTCCCACCTCACACCTCACACCCCGCCCCACCTTCAAAGACAAGGCGACCGCAGCTTCTGTCGCTACGAATTGTCTACGGCTTCACCCCCCACCCTTCGCCGACAGAACACTCAGCCACGATGAGCGACCCTGCAAGGCAGTACTACGAGCTCTACCGCCGTAGCAGGTACTGAAATGGCGTCTCCCAACTCCCGTGTGCCTGCTCTAACTGGCAGCCCTAGTATCGGCTCTGCGCTCACAGACACTCTCGACGACCTCATCATGACCCGCAAGATCGAGCCGCAGCTCGCCATGAAAATCATCACCAACTTTGACAAAGCCGTTGCGGATACGCTGGCGGAGAAGGTCAAGTCGCGCATGAGCTTCAAGGTACACCACCGCACGTCCATGTCACAAAGCCCACAACAGAGACTGACAATGTCGCTGCAGGGCCACCTCGACACCTACCGTTTCTGCGATGAAGTGTGGACGTTCGTCCTCAAAGACATCACAGTCAAGCTCGACAACTCGAACACGGTCCATGCGGATAAGATCAAGATCGTCAGCTGCAACAGCAAGAAGCCGGGTGAGACCTAGAGAGTGGATACACGATGCTGTATATACTATCTCTACGGTCTCTTCTCGCTTTTTCTTTGCTGAATCGGAATGCATCAGGCGATGAACTGTTGTGGAGAGGTCCGCCTTCGCCGCCGGAACAGCGCCGGAGAGGTCCAAGAGCGTTGAGAGCTGTAAGGAAAGAAGTCAAACCAGAAGTCAGATCGGGGGTCAGCTCGAAGGTCAAACAGCAGATCACGCCGGAAGCCACGCCATCGGTCGAATCGGGGATCGAATCGGAGACCACACCGGAAGTCAAATTGAAGGTCAAGCCGGAGACCAAAAAGGAGTTTGCTCGCGATTCTTTGGATGGGTATTTCGGGGAGGACGAGGGTTACTTGGACCCGAATCGGCCAATGCAGGACGATCGGTTGCGCGAGGCTGATTTTCTGACACTCTTCCGAGGGGCTTGAGCTGTGCACCCTGGAATGACGCCGTCTAGGCATGGTTCGCTGGACTTGACATCTAACAGGTGTTCTTACTGGTATACCCCATGGTCATGGCATTTAGTTTTAGATCGAGGCCTTACGGCAGTTGCCTCAGCCTTCTTGCTATCGACCAGCCCAGCCTCTGATAGTCCGATCCTCTCCCGATCAGTGATTCTTCTTGACATTGGAACTTTGAGCCGTAAACGAGACATGCCCACCACCCTGAAACCCCGTAGCCTTCAACATTGCTTCATAAGCTGTAGCTATAACTCATACTTGACTGCTTGACTAGCACCCAGACCAGGCGAAAGGATAGCTCATCCTGTCTGAGTAATCTCCTGTCATGGTGGGGCAGGTAAGCTCGTCCGGCATCACGACCACCACAAGCAACCCACTTCGCCCCTCACACCGCAACACCCACCAACGCCTCTCAGCAATTGGGCCCTGCAACACGCGATCCGCGCCCTTTTAGTAGGTGTGTGGTCGCACAGCAGCAGCAGCAGTCAGAATGGAATCTATGACTCGGATTTCCAATCTGCTGGACACAGGTATGCTCTTTCTAACAGCCCGTCTCTCATGCGTAGCTGGAATCCTTACTGATGCCCGCCTTCGCTGGCTCCGCAACAGCCCGCAACCTCACTCTCGAAGCCGCCCGCGATGCCAGCCTGGCCGGCAGAAGCTCAGCTCGACCTTTACCGGTACAACAGCTCAAGAAGTTACTCGACAGTCGGAACGACCGCGATGTGCTGGAAGGACTACGGCGGGTGATATCCGTAAGCCATCCCCCTACCTTACCTACCTCCCCCCTACCCCAGCCTCTACACCTATACTGACACCTCCCACCAGCTAACCTACACCCGCCGCGCCCCCACCCTCCCCCTCTTCTCCTCCGTAATAAAAAACATCGCCTCTCCCAGCCTCGAGATCAAAAAACTCGTCTACATCTACCTACTCCACCACGCCGAAGCCGAGCCGGACACCGCGCTGCTCTCCATCAACACGATCCAGAAGTCCCTCTCCGACTCGAACCCCCAGCTGCGTGCCCTCGCCCTGCGCGTCATGTCCGGCATCCGCGTCCCCGTCATCAGCCAGATCGTCTCGCTGGGGATCAAGAAGGGGGTCGGGGATATGAGCCCCTACGTGCGGCGGGCCGCCGCGCTCGCGGTGCCCAAGTGCTATCGGCTGGATCCGGGCACGGGGCCGCAGCTCGTGGAGTATCTGGGCACGCTGCTGGGGGATCGGGAGTATTTCGTCGCGGGCGCGGCGGTGGCGGCGTTTTTGGAGGTGTGTCCCGACAGGATTGACCTCGTGCATATGCATTATAGAGGCTTGGTGCGGAAGCTGGTGGATATGGATGAGTGGGGGCAGTTGGCGACGCTGAGGCTATTGATGGTGTATGCACGGAAGTGCTTCCCGAGGAGGACAAGGAGGGTTAGGAGGGGAGGGGAGAGCACGAAGAGTAAGAGTGTGGGAAGGGGATTCTATGATGACGAGCCTACGGAAGAGAAAGAAGAGGACGACAACGATTCTAACTACGAGGAGGTGGTACTCCTAGACCCAGACCTCGAGCACCTCCTCAACGCCAGCCGGCCCCTGCTCCAATCCCGCAACAGCGCCGCCATCCTCGCCGTCGCCCGCCTCTACTTCTACCTCGGCACGCCGCCCTACCTCCAAAGCGCCATCGGGCCTCTAATCTCCCTCCTGCGCTCCCCGCCCGACATCCAACACCTGGCCCTGCACAACATCGTGCAAGTCTGCCTCGCACACCCCGACCTCTTCGTGCCCTACACCTCCCACTTCCTCCTCAAGCGCACCGACACGCCCTCCATCCAGACGCTCAAACTCGAACTCCTGACCCTCGTCTTCCCACACTCCGCACCAAGCCTCCAAAGCCTCATCCTCGCCGAACTAAGCCACTTCGCCAAAAGCCACTCCACCGCCCTCGTCCGCGCCTCAGTGCGCGCCATAGGCCGCTGCGCGACCCGCAGCACCCCGGCGACCGCTTCACGCTGTCTCCACCTCCTCCTCGCGCACTTGAGCAGCCAGGACACCCACCTCGTCGCCGAGTCGCTAGAGGTGGTGCGGCACCTGATCCAGCGCGACCCACACGCGCACGTCAGCACGGTGATCCGGCTCGCGAAGAACCTGGATGGCGCGCAGAGCGCGCAGGCGCGCGCAAGTATTGTGTGGCTGGTGGGAGAGTTCGCGGCGCTGGTGCCGAGCGAGGAGTTTATTGCTGCGGACGTGCTGAGGATACTGGTCAAGGGGTTTGCGGACGAGCAGGTCGGGGTGCAGGCGCAGATTGTGCTACTGGCTGCGAAGGTGTATTTGGGGTTTTTGAATGGGCGGAAGGTGGAGGAGGGGGAGAGGGAAAGAGGCGCCACTTCTTCGCCGCTAAGGGATCCAGAAGCAGGCGGTTTGGACTTACCTGGTAACGAAGACGGCGGCTTCCGCGACCGCGTATCGGAAGCACAAAGCGTCGGACCTACCGCTGAGGGCGAGGGGCAGAAACACGCGATTGAACTGCTATGGCAGCACGTGCTCCTCCTGGCTCGCTACTCGACCTCCTACGACCTTCGCGACCGCACCCGCCTCTACCGCGCCCTCCTCTCCACGCCCTCGTCTACAGAGCTGGCCTCGCTTCTCCTCCTGGCGCCCAAGCCGGTCCCGACGATCCCGTCGCCTTCCGAGAGCCGCAAGGGTTATGTCCTCGGTTCCGCAAGCCTGGTCGTCGGCGACGAGGGCGGCGTAGGCGGGTTGCGCGGATACGAAGCGCTGCCTGAGTGGGTCAAGGAGGGAGAGGAGCCGGATCCGAGGCTCAGGGATGAGGCGGGGAGTGGAGGGAGGACGGAGTACGAGCGGAATAGGATTGTGCCGGCGTCGGAGATGTTGGATACGGCTGCTGCGGACAGGCCGGTTGCGGTAAAGGCGAACGGGGTCAGGGAGAGGAATTTGGATGATTGGTTGGCGGAAGGTGAGGAGGATGACGATGACGATGAGGAAGATGAGGAAGATGATGGGACCGAAGAGGAGACAGAGACGGAGGAGGATACGAGTGAAGAGGAGGGTGAGGAGAGCAGTAGCGAGGATGAGGGTGAGCGGGATCGGCTGGTTAAATAATCAAACAATTTGCGCAGGGTTTCAACTCACCTGCTGCATTTGCCTTGCAAACCTAGACATCCCGTAACCGTCAGATGTTGTTGTGGCTCTGCACCGATCCGCATGTGCTTTGGTGTAGCCGAAAGAATCCTCTTCAGTTCTGCCGAAGTTCGCCCGCCCGCATACCTCCTTTCCTGCAGCCCCCCGTGCTCGGTGAGGTGATAAGCACACAGTTGTTCAAGAATGAAGGGCGCCATAGGCGTGGACATGAGACTCATACAGTCAATCAGAGAAGAGTGAGATTGAATCATAGGTGAACAGTAAGAAGCTGACGGGAGCGGAGGCGGACATGCGCCGCCGTCATGGAAGGCTAAGAGGGTGCTATCTTAAGGACATGCAGAGATTGTAGACATTCATGATGACTGGGCAAGAATCTCCATGACTGGCTTCAGTTGACTTATGATGACAGTCTCTGGAGGTGGCAAGCGATCGTTATGACGAGGACCGCAGAGAACTAGACTACTAAAACAGATGTACGGAATCGAATTGCAACCATTTTGTCGAGCAGCCATGACAGGCTAGATGTAAAGAGAGAAGGTCCGGAGTCAAAGTGCTAGAACAAAGAATCCACCGGCGCCGAGACTCTTTGCACAGAACGTATATTACAACGCTGAAGAAGTATCTGGTCTTCAAGCAAATCATCCAACCTCGAACACTGACTGACCTGGAAGAGTGTGATGACGATGCTAGCGACGGCTATGGCCTGTTAGCTTGCGCCTTTTCCGAAAGACGCCAGAATCTTACCTGTATGCAGCTGCAACACGCGGTTGTCTCCGCTTGTATTTGGGGGTCACGTCGTCTTCCTGGCGTCTCCGGCCCTCGGTCTCTCTGTCTCTGTCTGATTCATCATAGCTCCTCTTCCGGGCCGTGCTGCTTTCGGAACGTAGCAGAGTTGGCGGTGGCTTCATGTCTGCTGAGTTAGTGCCGCTAGTATCATCAGCGTGGAAGTCTGAGCCAGTGGCAGTTTTATCAGATCGGGCCGGGCTTGGATCTCGCTTGCCATCGAAACGACTGGCACGAGGTGTGTCATCAGTCTTCCAAGGATCGTATGAGGGCGAGCGCTGAGGCTCTGGCGGCGGTGGCGGTGCACCGTAGTGCTTCATGCCATCGTTTGAGAAGGCGAAAGAGTTCGGCCTTGGCAGCCCGGAGTTGCCGATTTTCCAGCTAGGGTTCCGTTAGCGGCATCCCGAGTGTCAATTTCAGCAACCTACCTGTCGGACCGAGACCTGGGCACATAGGCCGGTCCCGGCGTAGGGAACACAGGCTTCGGTGAACCGGTGACACCTAGCCGAGCAAGTATATCTTCTTGGCCATCATCCTTTGGCTCAGCAGCAGGCTTCACGCTAGATCTTCTTCCGTTGACGATCTCGCTTAAATCGAGCGCCTGTTCCAAGCTATCCATGACATTACCGTTAGATGCCTGCTCACCGTTCCCACCGTTAGCCACTGGCTCGTCCTCCTCGATGTCTGGGCGGTCGCGATTTGCGATAACATCTTCCAATGGGATCAGGTCGCATGTGGCGGGAAACTGGATGAAAATTGGGTCATTTTGGACCATCGGCCAATGATCCGTCTGCCGGACGTCCAGGAAGGCTTCGTAGTCGTTCTCCAGCGTGAAGTACTTCGAGACAGACTCTCCGTTTCCAAGAGGCGCGTAGGGCACGTCCTCGTCACGTTTCTCCGCTTCTGCGAACGTCGAGGGCACTGCGCGTGTCGCTTGGGTTGCGGGATGCCAAACTGGAGTAATTCAGCGGGCGCACAAGCAGCTTTAGCTAGCGGAACTTACTGATGATCCCAATGCTCAAGTCGGGATCAACGGCGTCACACCCTTTCGGCCAGAGCGCACCATCAAAGTCAAAGTCCCAATCGTCCAGAGCAAGGCCGGCAGGATCATTCTCACTAGGTTTCGGAACAGTGGTCCTGTCTGACGTCATGCTCATGGCCCTGGATGGGTGCCGTTGACTCTGTATCGGAGTGGATCGTTCTGTGGTTGGTACCGGAGGACCACTCGGAGATGCAGTGTGCTGAGGTGGATTGGCCCACTGCTCGTTCTGCGGCGGATACGGCTGCTGTGGTGGTGGCTGCCACTGAGAATTTGGTCCCTGGTAGTTGGGGGTCGGAGCGGATCCATCAGGTGACCCTTGAAGAGGCGGATACCCTTGCTGAGGGTACCCTTGAGCCGGTGGGTAGCCCTGCTGTGGTGGATAGCCCTGAGGCGGCGCTTGGTAGCCTTGAGGTGGCTGCTGATAACCTTGCTGTGGGGGATAACCTGGTTGTTGATAGCCTTGCTGTTGCGGCGGGTAGCCGCCTTGGGGAGGAGCCTGCCAGCCCTGAGGCTGCTGCCATCCTTGCTGTTGAGGTGGATACCCTCCCTGCGGCGGTGGCTGTTGATATCCTTGTGGTGCCTGTTGGTAATTGGGCGGCTGCTGATAGCCTTGTTGAGGTGGGTATCCTTGCGGTGCTTGCTGAGGATAGGCCTGTGGGGGCGGTTGGAAGCCTTGTGCCGGCTGCTGAAACGGCTGTGGAGGACCGTTTTGGTGTTGAGCTGGGCCGCGATATCCGGGCGGCGGAGGGTACCGCGTGATTATGGGATTGCCTTTCTTCTTGGGAGGAAAGGCATTGGGTCCCCTTCAACGAAATCAGCGACTCAGATACTGCAGTGACGTCATGGAAAGGGTGAAGGCGATGAGCTGTCATCCCGAAAGCGAAGCGATGAGAGGCTACAGTACTTACTGCTGCGGAGTTGGGCCTTGTTGCGAGGGACCGCCCTGCTGGAAGCTCTGAGGGTACTGGGGCTGGCCATACTGCGGCGGCGCGTACGGCTGTTGTCCGTACCCTTGCTGCCCATTTTGTGGCGGAGCAAATTGCTGCTGTCCTTGCGGCGGTCCATATGGCTGCTGACCGTACATCTGCTGGCCGTTTCCAAACGGCTGTGCAGGCTGCTGATAAGGAGTCGCACCTCCGGCAGGCGGACCGTTATAGCTCATGCCGATGGAATGGTGGCAACTTCAGAAAAGGTGATGATGGGACGGTGTTATGTGTCTCAAAGTGAAGGGTTGCCTGAAGCCGCGGCGACCTTCGGCAAGACCGCGTCGCGCTAGACGCAAGTGAAAAGAGAGCAACGCCGGCAAGTGAAGGAATTTCGTCCGGACGATGAGCTCATGAAACGTTCAAGAAGCTTCAGAGGTGAAGTGTTGATGGTGGATGCGGTGCGAAGTTAGAGTTTAGATTGCGAGAATCCGACGTGGAGGTTGGAGAGAGACCCCCGAGGCCGCTGAGAAGGAGCAAAACGAGACTGATCCACGGCGCGATGTACACGCTTATTACCTGCCAACACGGCGACTATAGGATTATTGCACTTTTGCTGGCGATGGATAGCAAGGACAGACATTTAATGCTAGCAAACGAGACAAGCAGTAGATGATAGATCACGATTCACGAACGAGCAAGCGCGGCCGGGAGAGAGAGAACAAAGGGTTTCCGCCGTGTGAGAAGTTCGATGTTCGATGTCTAGCTCTCACGTGACCTGGCTGGACCGCGTAACGACCCATGCGACCAAAAGTCAGCCAACACGGCTCTGGACAGCGGCGAAACACGACAGGTGCTGCGTCGACGATAGCAATGTCACGCTTCTTCCTTACTGTCGCTCCTTCCTCCTCTTGACAAGAATGATTGTACGATACAGGCATTTGTTGGCGACGACTTTGTCTTCTTGTCCATAGCGCATCTGCCGGTACATAGCGCCGCTAGCGCCCAGCTTCCACACAGAGATGCCCGGCCTACCAGGTATGCTCACCGCGTGGCAAGCCTTCTTCCAGATCTGGTGTTGACTTCCGTGTGTTGTAGCTACCGTCGACCTCGACGAATGTATAGCTAGACTCTACAAGAAGGAGCTGCTCGCAGACTCGGTCATCGAGGCAATATGCGCCAAAACCAAAGAACTCCTCATGAAGGAGAGCAATGTCGTCCACATAGCCGCGCCCGTCACTGTCGTCGGCGACATTCACGGCCAATTCTACGACATGCTGGAGATATTCAGGATCGGTGGGTGGTGCCCCGACACAAACTACCTCTTCCTCGGCGACTACGTCGACCGCGGCCTTTTCAGCGTCGAAACCATCTCCCTCCTGACCTGCCTCAAGCTGCGGTACCCCCACCGCGTGCATCTCATCCGCGGCAACCACGAATCGCGCGGCGTGACGCAGTCCTACGGCTTCTATACCGAGTGCTCGCGCAAGTACGGCAATGCAAACGTGTGGCACTATTTCACCGACATGTTCGACTACCTCACTCTCTCCGTCGTGATCAACGACCAGATCTTCTGCGTGCACGGCGGGCTCTCCCCTAGCATCCACAGCATCGACCAGATCAAGATCATTGACAGGTTCAGGGAGATTCCGCACGAGGGCCCCATGGCGGACTTGGTGTGGAGCGACCCGGATGCGGAGAGGGATGAGTTTTCGCTGTCGCCGAGGGGCGCCGGCTATACATTTGGCGCGCAGGTGGTTAAGAAGTTTTTGGAGGTCAATGGCATGAATCATATTTTGAGGGCGCATCAGCTGTGTCAGGAGGGGTATCAGGTGCTGTATGATGACAGGCTGAGCACGGTGTGGAGCGCGCCGAACTATTGCTACAGGTGTGGGAACATGGCGAGTGTGCTTGAGGTGAGCGATAGGGGAGATAGGGTCTTCAACGTGTTTGATGCGGCGCCGGAGAACGATGTGCATAGGGCGGAACAGCAGCAACAGCAGGGGAAAGATGGCGTTCAGACGGAATACTTCTTGTGACGAGATGGAAATGGACGTTGAGGAATCATTGCATGGCGTTTGGCGGCGATTGTATGGGATGCATGAGCTGGCTGAGCATTCCTGGCGTCCTAGAGGTCGTGTCATTCCTCGCTAGCGGGTCGAATTGCAACTGCACTATGCGGAGGAGGTCGCGGATTGAAAGAAAGAACCGTGCGTCTTGATAAGCTCTTGTTGTGCAAATGACTGCTTCAGTAAAAAAGCATGCGCCGAAAATGCGTTGGAGGCCATCGGCTCCCCGGTCATTCATCCTTGGGAGTAAGGAGAGTCGTCAAAATTCCACTTCCGCTCTTCAATGGACACGATCTACCAGTCCTTCTTGATGTCGAATGACCACTCGAACTTGAGATGCGTCTGGCCGTCATCGTCAATGAACTTTGACACAGCGTTGTAGTGGCCGCGAGCCATCATGCCGGAAGGGGCCGTCTCAGGCTCAACTGCAGTCTTGTCAGCTTTGGCTTCCTGACACGCCTGTAGAAAGACTAAGGGGATCGTGGCACCTACATTTCTTTTCGTATACTGGCTTATCGGTTGTGTTTGGAGAATAACTGCCCTATTAATCTGTCAGCTGATGCCGCTCTGCTTCAAATCTGTGAAGTAAACAATCCGCGATGCTTTCCTGCAGATAACTGATAATACAAGAGGGGAGAGGCAGTGGAGGTAACGTACGATCATCTCTTGCATCTTGTTGCTAACGCCCATGCGCTTGACCACCTGGACATACTTCAAGCCAGACAGGATCTGATGCTGAACCTTGAATGTCGCCTTCATGCGGAACTGGGCTCCTTCCTTGATCGTGAAGGGCTTGCTCTTGAGGCTATCGACGGCGCCGGGTGACTTAAGGTCGATGATGATATCAGGTCTACCCTCGACCTGTATTCTGCTTAACTGAGAGTCCGAACATTTTGAGAAAGGGGATTGCTGACCTCCAAGCCAAGAGATAGAATGATGACTTTGCGGGGGTCTTTGGGATCGGAGATTGACGTTCCTGACCCAATGCCCAAAGACTCCTTCCACTTGCGGAGGGATTCGTCATTCTGGTCTAGCTGTTTATACTCGTCGATGGTCTTCTTCTCGCCCAGCTTGAACCCCTCCGTCTGCTCCGGCTGGAGCTCCTCGTCCTTTATTTGCTCCGGCATACTGCTGTTCTCAGAAGTGATATGGAGTCGCGGGCAGAAGATACTGGTGATTGATAGTATACAGCAAATTTTCTTGAGGAGCAAGAGCAAGTAATTGGGATATGGGCAAATCCACGAGCAAGCGGCTGCCTTTCTGGAATGTGGGGGTTTTTTGAAACGCTTCAGCCTCACCGCCCTTGACATGATCGCGTTGGCATATCACGTGAATGTCTTTTTCTTAGCCAGTCATCGCAGGCACCTTGGGCATCTTAGGCATCTTGCTACAGGGGCTTCCTCCATAGTGCGGGTTTGGTGTGATACTCCGTGGGCACCTGAAATTACCACGAGTTATCATCCTCAAGTGAAGTTTAGCGGCTGGATCAAAGCGGGCTGACAGCATTGACAGCTACCAGTGCTCGTTGCGTCTGGGGAATCTTACGAGACTCTTGATGAATGAGTCAAAGCATCCGGAATGTTGGATTCTAGAAGCCTCAGACTTTCCTCTCGCATCATTACAGCTGTACTGCAGAGATAGAAGCACAGCCCTGAGCCATGTGGATAGCTGTGAGCAAGTGCTCTTCAAGCTTGCAATTCTGTGAGAACCCATAGCTGGCTAAAAGACCGTAGATGTTCACTCTAGATATGTCACAGCATTCCTCGTTCTACAGTCGTCGGATATGGGCGAATATCTAGACGCCTCAGGCATAGATTGCTTCGAGGACAAGGGCGCGACGATGAGGTGACGTTCGACCAGCCCCATGCCAGCAGCAGAACATCATCCCGTCGCGAACGTCAAAGCTTCCTCACCTCTATCTTCACATCATCACAATTCAAAACTTCACGCGCCATCTCCAACATTACTGAAAGCCGTGTCGCAACATTCACAGGGCTTAGTCAATCGATCGAAATATCTTAAACTGCGCACCAGGCCTTCAGGCGACCCGTTCCCCACCGCGCGCCAGGTTCGCGACTCGATATCGACAACGCGCAGCATCTATACCGTGCCGCATCCATCACCTCACGCATTCAACAGCCGTCGCAATGGTTCACAAGCGAAAGCTGCCAGAGGAGCACAACCCGCTCCTTGGTCCTGAACATACGCCTCCACGTAAGCTGCCCTTTCCGGATGCAGAGGATGGACAGAGGCTTACCAACACATTGCAGTCGATATACTTATCGAGCGACGACGACTCGGGCAGACGAACCTCGTTGTGAAGCCAGGACAAGTCGGAATCTCCAATGCGACAAAGGCGGAGGCACTGGGGAAGTTCGACTACGCGCATCTGCGAGTACCGCTTCCGAAAGACCTTAGAGGATCCGGAATCTTCTCATTGCAGAAGAACCAGGCATACCCAGAGTCGTACTTTTTGATGGTAGGCGACGCGTCACGTTTCACTTCAGTACGCGTCACACTAATGCGACAAACAGCGACGCAGCAGCGACGGCCACATCAGCGCAACGGGCATGTTCAAAGCAGCATTCCCATGGGCGTCGATTGAAGAAGAAGCCGCAGAGCGCGAACACCACAAGTCCCTACGCAGCGCTGGCCCCGAAGAGGTCGCAGGCAACGTGTGGATCGCGCCCGAACAAGGTACTTCACTAGCGCATTCCTCACCTTCACTCGAGCTCACAGAAGCACAGCCCTCAAACTTGCCGAAGAGTACCACATGCTAGCCTGGATCGTGGCGCTTCTCGATCCTGAGCCTATCGAGAAGGGCACGAAAGACAAAGACCGCGTCGAAATATCGACTCCTCCAAGGTTTGTTGTACCGGACAAAAGTGGTCTTATGTCCGCTTCTTCAGTCAGGCTTCGCAGCCTCCGGTCCGCTTCGCCCAGCAAAACCGCGACACCCAGTCGGAGAATTGCGACGCCGCGCAAGGCGCGTACGACGAGGAACTCGGTGAAAAACCACGACGCGACGGCGGCCGGCTCGGCGCTGCAGAGTAGCTTCACAAACGGTGTGGAGGCGACGAAGGCAGATTCCGTAAGATCTGAATCGGTAGACGGCGACACTGTCAGGGTGGAGGTAGACGAGACAGTCGAAACGACAGGCGACACCGAAACGACGACTACAATTGTAAAGGTCGACATGCCGGCTGGGTCGCCAGAGCTACCCCTTCCTGAAAGCACTGAGGAAATGATCGCAAAGGCAAAGGCGATGGTCGAGGAAGCCAACAGGCTCGAGGAAAACAGGGTGAACGGCGTCAAGGCATTGAAGAGGAAAGCCGCAGACTTGGATGATGATGATGATGAAGAGGTGGGCATGGCGGTGCAGCCGGCCAAAAGGGTGCGGACGATCGAAGAGGAGCTAAAGAAGGAAAAAGTCAAGAACAAGGCGCTGATAGGATTGAGCGCAACCCTGGCTCTCGGGTATATATACACGCACCTACTCGCCTACGCACTGTTGCTAATCGCACCCTAGTGCCCTCCTGCCATACTTCCTGTAGTATCAGGTCACGCCGTTTTAGTCCAAATTCTCCCTCTACATTCGCTCGACGGCTTTTGGCACGAGTAACCGCGTCCTTTCTTCACTCCTCAGATACCAGTTATCCTGATCTTTTCTGTTCATTTTGTCTCTGGGTCCGACGAAAGCGGGCGGCGTCAATATCTGTCTTCTTTCCATTGTTCGTCTAGCTTTGGTTACAGGTCGCTTCTCGAGCGATTCTCAAATTTAGCCGAATGACCTGTCAGCTCTATGTGCGTAGATTCTTGTAATCCATGACCTTCAACAGTTGCACTTGTTCGCTTGCCGGCAAATACCGATGGCTCAAAATCACGCCCGTAACACTGTACACATCTATCCATTCTCCGCTTCTACAGATTCGGTGCGCAACAGCTCCCCTCTCAACACCCAAGATATTTGCTCTCAACCCACCTCTCCTCTACATCGTCAACCAGCCGACACACCACAACCTTTACCTCAGGATATACACTTAGCAGCCGGTTGACGCCCACGCGTCCGGCCATGTAAGTCACGAACACGATCTTCTCTTCTGCAACCCCGTGATCGACCAGCACGCGCACGGCCATCAGCGCGGCACCGCCGGACGACATCTGCGGGTCCAGAAGCAGTACGCGCTCATGAGTGCTGATCGGGCTAGAGCCTTCGGTGGGAAGGGAGAGGTAGTGGAGGGCGGGTTCCCCTGTGCGGTAGTCCTGGCGGAGTATCAGTAAGTTGAATTGGCATTGAATCAGGGAGCAGAAGAGCCCACGGTCTGTATCAAGAGACGACCGGTCCGGCAGTCCGGTATCACGCGTCTGAGGCCCGTTTCGAGAATACAGCCGCCACGGAGGATGACCACGCCACTGACTTCGCCTTCCTGTTTGAGGCCCATGTACGTGTAGTTCTGAGGCGTGAGGATCTGATGGGGTTCGTAGCTCATGCACTCCACCGCCCGCTCAACCAGGAACCTCACCATGCGATCAAAGTAGAAGATGAAGTTCTCCCTGTCCAGATCCGGGTCCAGCAGCTGCGTGTTAATCCCGCGAATCTGGGCCGACTCCTCCAACACGATGCAATTATCGCTCATGGGCGCATCCTCCGCCACCTGCCCTAGGCGCCGGAGTTCAGCCTGGTGCAGGCGGCTCTTGTGCTTGAGGATCTTCTTGACACGGTCCGAGACCATGGAGATGGCGACTTTGTTCTCGATGCCGCGCGGGACGATCAGGTCGGCGACTTCGCGCTGCGGCTGCACGTATTTGTAGAAGTTGGGCTTCACGAAGGAAAACCATTGCTTGATGCAGCCTTCGATGTCGCGGCCGCGGTCGCGGACGTCGCGGACGACTTGCTTGCGATTGCTGTTAGTGGGAGGGGATGGTGGTGCTGGGAGGCTTTACTTACGTCGTCGGGAGAGGCAGAGGTCGCCGTCGGCTTCGGCGAATATCTGCATTGTATCAGTATCATAGGCTTGACAACTTTCTCTGGAGGGGCTGTACCTTCAGGTCTAGCATGTCCAGCACCCTCTGGTCGTGTAGTGCGAAGATGCCCTCCAGGATCAGGACATGCGGCGAGTAAATCGTGTTCGTCTTATCAATCCTCGCATGCTTCTGAAAGGAGTATATCGGAACTTCCGCCTTCTTTCCCGCCTTGAGGTCGCCAAGAATCCTAACCAAGACGTCGAAATCTATAGCGTCTGGCGAGTCAAAATCGAACTCGTTTCGGAAGGCTGCAGCAGATTGTTCAGGGGTCAATGGCTTGTAGAATGAATCCTGTGTGCCACGGTTAGACCCACGGACGAAAGCACACGACATGGATGTAAATAAATTCACCATTGACATGATGACAACCCATGGCAGGTTCAGGGAAGCCACAATCGCCAAAGCTAACGACGTCTTCCCCGAGCCAGAGCTCCCAGCCACTCCTATGATGCTGGTGTTCGCCCATGGTGGGTGATAGCGAGCCCTCTGCATCCTGCTCTTTCGTCTGACGACTATGAGAAGCTAAGATCGAACATGAGAACAAGGAGTGACGGTCTTTAAGGCATCTTGGGCATCTAAAAGGGAAAGACAAACTTGCACGCGACAGCTTCCTCCGAGATCACCAGGCGGTTCGACACCGCTGGCGTAAAACAAGGCGGCATGGCACGTGACCTTTAATCGGCTAAGACACAGCTTCGTCTGAGCTTGTTCCCACTTCCTCCGTCAAACTGCAGACTCTTCCACTGCTCGAAATTCGACCTCTACGCCTAGCAGTCCGCTGTGCACCCCAACCCAGGGATCTGGACGAAACCCGCTTGATGGACTTACTGTAGTGTGCCGTCACGACCCCAAAATGGTAGCGCACCATCGACCTAGGATGGAGGTACTTTCGTGGGCAGGGCTCACTGTTGCCAGAGCTCTTCGACCGTCTCCGTCTCGGCGGCTACGCCGACAAGACACCCCTTCGAGCGGCGGATAGACGAGATACGACCGTCCAAAACGTACGTTCATAGTCCTTTCATCGTTTGTGCGCCGCGCCTGCTTCTTCATGATGTGCTTAAAATCAAGTTGGGAATCTCTCCGAAATACAATGTGGAGATCATGTTTACTTGTCTTCTGATCCTCCTCTCTCCGCGCGAGTCCTTGCTCTACTCAAGATGGACTGCGAGGGAACGACTGGCTAACATCGCTTGTCGGCATTACTAGAGATATCAACTACGTCGTCATGGACTACCTCATCACCGAAGGGTACCCGTCCGCCGCGCGGAAGTTTGCTATGGAAGCCAACATCCAGCCACCTGCGGAAGAGGATTCGATACGACTGAGGGTAGAAATCCGGAACGCCATACATGCTGGGGATATACAGAAGGCTATCGAGAAGATTAATGATCTGAACCCACAAGTCAGTAGCTCCCACTTTTATCGTACCGATGCATCCCTTGTTTGCTATGATTATATCAGTTTCATGCACCACTCATATTCACCTCCGGGTGTTGATGAAAACAACTCACACTTCAGTCCTCAGTATGAGCAAACACTATATACAACAGTCCTGCCCGCTTCTACTTGCGAAGCAATGCTGACTCGCGGTCACGCGCAGATACTAGACATCGACCCGTCACTACATTTTGCTCTTCTTCGCCTACAACTCATCGAGCTCATTCGGACATGCATGTCCAACCCCGACGCCGACATAACCCCCGCTCTCACCTTCGCATCATCTCAACTCGCACCTCGAGCTCCCACAAATCCCGAGTTCCTAGAAGACCTCGAGCGCACCATGGCCCTTCTCATCTTCCCACCGGAGAACCTGGCTCCGCCGCTCAAGGCACTCTTGGATCCGTCATTGCGGCAGACCGTCGCTGACAGAGTGAATCAAGCCATACTGTCCAGCCAAGGTGCACGCCGTGAGGCTATGATCAAGAACCTTGTCAGACTGCGTGCGTGGGCGGAGCAGAAGGCTCGGGAGGCGAAGAAGGATATCCCGTCTAGACTGAGTCTAGGACTTGATTCTGAGGGAGATGAACATGAGGATGAGGTCATGAACGGGAATGGTGAAGCTGACATCATGGTTTCATGAAGCAATGAGGAACGTGCTATTGTGGATTTAGCGAGGCGTCTGCGAGCTTGGTTATCGGACATTGGGTGGCGTTGCTGGCATGCTGGCTGTAGATCAGAGGTCTTGGGTTCTTTGTGAACGAACCCATTATGAGCGCGCCTGATGGACTGCGTATCACAACAGTCTCTCCTTCCATAGACTGGTTAGGAGACTCTCTACAGTTTCCACTACGGTACCCAACAAACGTAGCCAAAGACACTTGATCACCACTGTATTAAAAGTCGAGTCCTTGCGGTACTCTATGTGGATCTATAACTTGTGTGAATAAAGAATCGAGGGATCAAACCACTGTGGAACCACATTTATCCATTCATCGTACCTGTTACGGTACAAGCTGTATTTCCGACATCTACCTTCTATCCCCATCCGCACTTACCCTCCCCAGCTCCAAACTAGCCTTCGCCCCCTCTTCCTCCTCCCCATCCCCTATCGCCGGCTCATCCCTAAACCTATCCCCCGCCTCTCCCTCCGTCCCCTCCATCCCCGTACTCCCAACCTTCTTCCCCTCCCCCTCCTCCCGTCCCCCAATAACGACGCTCCCAACCACAAGCATCCCAGCCCCGACCCACCAAAGCCCCGGCAGCGTCTCAGAAAAGATGAGCGCGCCCAATACAGCTGTCAACATGAAGTTCGCCGAGGTATTGATGATGCTGACCCTCACGGTTGAGGAGGCGAGCGTCAGGGCGCGTGTGAAGAGGGCCCACATTATGGCGTTGAAGAGGAGGTTCAGGGCGAAGAAGAACTGCGCGGGAGAGGGGGTTCGTGTTAGCTGGTGTGAGGGGTATGGGAAGGGGGGTGAGGGGAAGGGACGTACGCCGCGGAAGAGGTACTCGATGGGTTTGTTGGTGGGGCTGAGGGAGAGGAAGGTGGAGAGGGCGGAGGCCCAGGTGGTTGTAAGCTCGGTGGTCGTGCTGTGATTTTGACTACGTGAGCGGCATTCGAGTCATTATATGGGAACTGGGTTCTTACAGCTTCGCGAAAACGCCATTGAAGGATGCGCAGGCGCCGCTCGCTATGGCGAGGGCTAGCCATGCTGTTCGGCCTCTAAAGACGTTCATAGTGAGCGTGGGTGTGGTTGGAGAGTTTCCACGCTGCGGACAGAGGACTATCGTGGTTCGTCATGCGGCGGGAGGCTCTTCGGGCCGGGCCGTGTGGCCAGAAGAATGGTCATGGAGCTGCAAACATGCGGCCTTCCATGGAGATACGAAGTCAGGCAGAGTGGGTAAAACGTCTTGTGGAAAGGAGATCAATCTAGCTTTAAAGTTCGTGACTAGGTATGACACCCTCAATGTTCCAGTTGGTCAAATAAAGAATATTAGACTATCAGTTACCCTTTGCTCTATTATTGCTCTATTTACCGTGCCTCTTGACCATGCTGAGGACCGGCTATGCTTGACTCATTGGGTAAGACAACAGGCTGCAACAGCCCTCAGTGGTGGGCCTCCAGTAGGATGCTAGCCATCCCCTACTGTTTTCAGAGTCGTGCTGGCTATTGCCGCTTCATACTCTTGAGAGACTAGCCCAGCCTACTTTCCAACTGGCCATGTTCAGCGACCATTCCCTTGCTGCCTTGTTCATGGCTGTATCCGGGCATCCCGTCCCTCTTTGAGCGGCAGGAAAACCTCCGTCCACAGCTCGCTCGCTTCACCGAGCTGATACGTGAGACTAACGTCCGCCATGCCCGCCTCTTCCCCCTTCTCCCCTTCCGCCATCATCTCAAGCTGTCCGATGATATTCTCCAACCCCAATGCCTTCCCCGTTGCCTGCGTCGCCCCCGTCTCAAGCGCCACATGCACAACATGCACATGAAAGTGGTAGTACGTAGGCTGATAATGCACATACAGCTTCAACTGGTCCCTCTCGAGCTGCGGATACAGCTTAACCGTGGCGTCCAGCAGCTTGCCTCTCACATGCTTCAGCCACGTGACATCCTTCTTCCTCAGGTCTCGCACACTCCACAAATCCCGTCGCTCGACTAGCCCAAGCAAATGCAGCGAGCTCAGCGTCTTGCGGTCCCAGTTCAAATCCGGCAGGATCAGGAAACCCTCGGGCCCGTGCTCCCGGTAGAAGACGTCTTCCTGCTCGGTGCGGCCTTCGAGGATGTTGAAGACCCAGTTGAGGCGGCCTTCATCGCGCTTTGCTTGCATGTAGGGCCGCACATGGGAGGCGTAAATCTGGGGTGTCTCGGTTACGAGTCGTATGCCTTGCTGGGAGTACTTTTTCACGTGCTGGTCGGTGCAGGGGTATATGAGGTTCAGCTTCAGGTCTGGCGGCTGGGCCGCGAGGTCTGAACTAGGAGAGGTGGAAGTGCACGCTAGGTACCAGTGGTATATGTCATTTGCGCCGAGGTTCTTGATGTGCGAGAGGGAGGTGGAGAAACGTGAGAGGTGGTCATGGTCGGAAGGGAATGCGGCGCGCTCTGCAAGCAGGATCGCGGGCTTGGAGGCAATGCTGCCAGAGAGGACAATGCGGCGGCCGGCTTGATCTGCGAGGAGCTAATTAATGAGCTGTGTGCGGGTTGCGAAGGGGAGGTGAGACGATCACCTTGGTTGAGGACTCTGTCGAGTGTGAATTGCGGGATCAATGCCTCGACTTCAGAGGCCGATTGTGAGTCTGCCATCTCTACAGCTGATGGAGTTTGAACCATCATCAGTCCTACGCAAGATTGAAGCTGGTGAAGCGCGTAAAGTGGTTTTCCTCGGCGCGAATCACTCCGGCAACAGCCACTAGCGAGATACGTAGAACGTCACTCAAGACTCTTGGACCTCAGTCTCACCACCAGAGCAAGCACTTCGACAACACACCGAGTTCTTCACACTGTGAACCCCTCATATCCCCGCGCAACAAGAAATCCAACCTTTTTTAAAGACCCACAGCAATTCCGCGCAGAACCGATCAATAACCAGCCACCAACCCTCACAACAACCACCCCACAACCACCACCACCATCATGCCCCCCAAACGCGGCCGCCCTCCCGGCCCCACAGCCGCCCGCCGCACCTCCTCCCAAGCGAACTCCCAATCGACGCTCTCATTCCACGGCAAGCCCTCCAAAGTCACCAAGCCCACGTCCGCAGCAGCGGCAGCGGCTAAAGGCATCAAGGGCACCACCAACAAGACGAAGCAAGATCCCGCCCTGCTCGAATCCATCGTCTCTTCCAACCTCCCCGCCGTCGCCTCGCCCGACCCGTCAGAGCCCACAACCGCGGAGTTATCAATCCAGCAACAGGCAGCGACGCCGAAGGGCAACCTCACCAAGCCCGCCGCAACACGCACGCCAGAGGAGGACGCCGCAGCGAAAGTCTCCGACGCGGCGATATCGCGCTACTGGCGCGCCAAAGAGTCCACCCGCAAAGCTCCCCGCGTGCATCAGGAGAAGCTGAGCCTCTCCGAGAAGATCCTGCGCGAGTTCGACACTTCGGGCGCGTACGGCCCCTGCATCGGCATCTCGCGGACGCTGCGGTGGAAGCGCGCGCACGAGCTGGGACTAAAGCCGCCGGTCGAGGTGCTGGCTGTGCTTATGAGGGAGCAGGAGAAGGGAGCGCCGAGGGAACGGGCGGAGATGGATGGGTTGATGAGTTCGAGGTTCGTTGAGACCTGACGGAGGTGTGGGGATTTCTTTCCTCTTTCGAGGGCAGGGGGCTAGGTGGTGTGTGTGGTTTTCGTTCAGAGAGGGGCATCACTCAGTTGACTGACACAGGATGGGGATGGAGTTTTGGGAGTTCAGCAACGGGGCACGGGCGGCTTTCTGATTGGGTTGCGACGGATGAGGCGTCGGGTTTCCGTAAAGCGGATAACGTCCTTGGTCTCAGGCATGGTTAGCAGCAAAAGCGTCTGACACACATTTGCGCAAATCACACATAAAACCTACGTGCAGACAGAATCTCTTGAAATTAAGAAGACATATCATGCTAAAGATGTTGCCAAGAGAATGCAAAGCTAAAACATTCGCATCCCAGCTCGTCCGTCCGCGCCCTTCCCTAGAGAAACCCCGTCGAAACAGTGATGTCCTTGCGCAGCGCACAAGCGAGAGAAAGCCAAGCAGAAATTTTCGAGCGCAAATGTCCAGAGGGCCTCCCATGTCGTCCTGCAAAGGATGCAGGACAGGGGGGGCTTGCAGAGAATGTAGCTGTTACATCGCCGTCTCCAACATTTCTGTCCGGTCCTTTGAAATCCAGACGCCGAGATGTCCCTGAATGTGTTCCTGATCGTAGTCCTGATCGTAGCAATGTTCGTGTCCGTACCCATATCCCGTTCGTATCCACGCTGGAGGCTGAAGTGCCGCGAAGCGATCGTACAAGTGTCCCGTATCCATAAGTCGTTAATCGTACCACCCCACCGTCAACTGAGACCGCAATCTCAGGAGGTATGACCTCTCACTGTCGTGAGTAAGGTTTGTTCATGAGTGCGATCTCGCGGGCTACAGTTGCCCATTCGAGTTCGCGTCGTAGCGGTTGGCCGCGCTTCAAGCGCAGAGATTCATCCCATTTCATGAGTTCGTAAGTGAAGCGAAGGTGCGGTTGTATGATGACGTTGAGACGCCTTGCTCTGACGAAGCAGCTGACAGATATTAGGAAGGCACACGACTGTAGAAGGAGGCTGTGTGACGTACTATGCTCGAGGAAATGACAAGCCCAGCTCGTTCATGACCTCCGCGATACAGATTGTCGCCGAGCGTGACACGCCGACGCGACAGTGGACCAAAGTGGCGGTGTTGGCGAGCTTGCCTTGTTCTAGACTCACATATCAGCATATTTGCTTATGATCGCGGCGCTCTGGGGGTTCATACCGATGAATTCGAGGCACCTATCAAACTCATCCGTCAAGGGGTCGACACCATTATCCTGCACCCGGTCGATGAAGAGCATGTTCTCACTTGGCCATTGCTCGCGAACGCTCTGCGGCCATGAGATCGGCTCGCCAACACTCAATATCCTCGTAATCCCCAGCTCTTTCAAAAGATCTGGGTTGTTCGCGTGGTTGAGGTTGCCAAGGTACATGTATGGCAAAATCCTGCTGGGAAGACTGCCGTCGATGCGGGAGAGCCACTTCGGCTCCTGAAGATGTAGCACATCGCCTCGCCAGCGAGGAGATTCCTGCAGGATCCGCGGCTGAATGCTCGTCAAGAGCGCGACATCGGATGGGTAGGCGAAGAAGTTCCGGCCTTTCTGCTTGTGTAGCCGTACCCACGCCTCGTGAACCGTTAAACCTTCGGCATACATGAAGTATGTGAGGCCTAGGAGCGAGCTCTCAGTGTATCCGTCCGTGCAGTGTATAAGTATCCGTTTCGGCTTGGACAAAGAAGTAAGCATAATGCTGTCACCATCGCTATCTTTCTCCACCGGTGCATCACTGGGCACCTCGGGGTTTGCGATCTCATAGATCCACCGGCATGTCTCCATGAGCCCGTCAACCTCAGCCTGCGACCAGGTGGGTGGCATGATGCTGCCCGACGACGGGAACTCGAGGTGTACCGGCGCGTTCTCCGAGCCCACAAGGACCTGGCGCATAGCTTTCAGCGACCGTGAATCCGGAACCTGTGCTAGGTCGCTTGTTTCAATCGTCACGTCAAACCCTGGCTCATTGACTAGCGTTGGATCGAGTGTGGAATCTGGTGTGGGACCAAGGAAGACATTTTGGCTGATCTCCGAGGCCTTGGACATGCTGCACATTTCTAGGCGCTCCCAGTAAACTGTGTCCGAGTCAGCATCGGTGTGGAAGATCTCCGTTAAGAGGTTCACTCACAAAAGTCCATTACGTTGCCAGTCATGACACCCTTCGCATCCACTGCCACAAGGTCCTTGTGTTCCCGCTCGAACACGTCGAATGAATCTGATTTAGTCAGCAGGCGCTACAAACGCTGCGTTCATCGAGAATCAATCACTGGCTGGGCGCATGCGCTTACCCGATACAACGAACGTATTGAACAAGCCAATATCATAGCCGGATACTGCGTGCTTCTCCCTGCAAGCCTTCTGTGCCCGTGCTATTCGCTTTGCTAGCCGTGACACGTCGTCTTTCGAGGTCTGCTGATCACCGTAGACGATGATGTCCGATACGGTAGCCATCTTGCAAGCCTGTATCTGAAAGTTCCGAACCGAGAACCCATCCTTCGGGTCGCACTCCAAGAACTCGCCAGAGTCGTTGCAGCCGGTCTCGGCAAGAAGCACCTCCGCAGGCGATATTGCCCCTTTCAGTTTCGATGAGCTCAGGTCTCCCCCAGCTTTGACAACTGTGATCCCTCGGATACACTTCGGTACCCTCCGCAATGCCTTCCGCCTGGCGACAAAGAAAGCCAGTTGTATTTGGTTCTCGGCATGTAGGCCATGAAGCCAGGGAAATACCAGCTTCGGGTCTGGAAGCGGTTGTGTGGCTACCTGATCCAAAGCCCTGGCCACTGTGTTTGCATCAATGGAGTATACGGGCGGATCTTCAACAAGGCGAGCGAAGGTGTCTGGCGGATAAGTAATGGTAGAAGTCTCGAGCGGGTTTTTCGTTGGTGGAGAGGCTGGCGGTGTTTCAAGGCCGCGGATAGGTCTTGGACCTGGAGAGCATATTGGTATATGCTTATTAGGAACCGCAGCTGGTGTGCCCCTCGACGAGGTGTTCAGTGTCAGGTGTGGAGGTGGAGTCGACGCTCGTTCATGAATCGCGGGCGCTCTTGCTATTACGGCTGCCATGGCATGGATCTGTGAGAAGTTCTAGAACAGCAGGTTCGAGTGGGAGCAATAGAGAAGAAGCCGTGTGTAGAGCGATTGAGCAATGTGAGGTATGATCCGCCGATGGTGGGATTATCAGATTTACACTCGAGAACGCCTGGCAGATAGACTCCGAGAGTGTGGTATCAGGCCGGCGGCTGGCTGCAGCTTAGATCACGCAGCAAGACATCGACGTTGCTGTGGCTTGCGAGGGATACGCGACGGTGTGTTGAATGGTGTCTGGTAGAGCTCGCCGTGGCTGAATATACTCAAATCAGTGACTATACCAGTGAATCTGAGGCTCCACAACGTCGTAGCTGTGTAATGGATTGCTCACGTTACGAGATGGCGGCAAACGGCTGTCGCAATCACAAGCAACTGCTACCTTACTGGCGATGAGGGCGCTCTGGCGGACGACGAAGAAGAGAATGGTACACAGGACTGGCAATGGTGATACAGGATGTTGTTCAAGAGGGTAGAGAATAAGTTTGGAGGACTTCAGGAGAACATGGAGGCATGTTTTGCAGATTTGCAGTAAGACAATCCCCCGCAAGGTAGCGTTGCATTTGAGGCTGGTCGTGGCATGTTCAGCCTATCTCGAGCAGTGCTGGAAGCGGGGCGCTTCAGGGCCCAGCCAACGCCCCAAGCTCCCAAGTTTCCCGCTCTTCCGCGCTAGAGACCGCTGATATCGCACTTCACCACGGCTTTTGCTTTGGTGGCTCTCTACTGAGCCCTACGATGCAGCTGCTGAGCGCAAACACTGCCAGATTCTGATTTCGCGCCTGTCTCTTCTTTAGCTGTTGTCTGATAAGCAATTCATACGTTACGAGTGGGAGGGGAGCCCTCGGGAGCTACCGGTGGCTTGGTAGCTAGTCCTGCGTTACAAGTGTCAGGTCCCTGATCGCTGCTGTTGTCTCTCCTAAACGTGGCGGTTCTACTGTTGGCACGGAGAGAGGACCGCTACTATCATGCCGATCCCCTTTCTCTACACAAACATAGCGGTATGGAGCTTCCATGAGCACACGCTCAGCAAAGAGCACCCAAGAGACAGCGTGAGACGTCCTTCGAAGCTCAAGCCGGTCGTCGCCGGACTAGCCGCTAGCCGGAAGAGTGCGGGGAAAGCGCAGACGAACTTCCCCAGAACGCAGAACCCAGAACCACAGATCTGTTTGGACGCTTTGACCGTGATCATCGCTGATCAAAACGTCTCTTATGCACGACTCAGTTGAAGGCACGCCACGTGATATGGTTCGCCAGCGCTGCCACAAGTAGTAGTAGTAGTAGTAGTAGTAGTAGTAGTAGTAGTAGTAGTAGTAGTAGTAGTAGTAGTAGTAGTAGTAGTAGTAGTAGTAGTAATATCAATGGACGCGGTTCCACCCTTTTTGACAGGGCATGCCGCTGGATGTGTTTACTTAGGGAGTACAGCGCTCCCACAAGGGCCATCCTAAGAGCCCGTTACCGCATTTCAAGCTACTTGTAGCCCTGGATGAACAGCCCCCAAGCACATGTTACAGATCGAAGACAACTCAGCCTATCCATGCATTGATGAGCTAAATTGCTGACCGTTTTTTGTTTTCTATTGTATGAGGTTGGTCTATCTGCTCAGGATTGACGAGACCATGCGTCCAGTTCGATCGCGAGTCTAGCATTGAACAAGCTAGAGCACAAGTGCGGCAACGACCTTTTCGGATGGCCCCTGCTAGCTACAGGACGACATCGCGGAGCAATGGAGGGCTAATGATGCCTAAACTGTCTTCACTGAGATGGCGGTCTATGAGGCGGTTCTAGATCGCTTGATCCCTCTCTGGACCCTCAATCTTCCATTCTAAAGCCCTGCCTTCTCCTTCAACTCCGCAACAAGTCTCTCCAAGTAGAACCTACCCATATCCTTCGGCACCCCCTCAAAAGCCTTCACGATCTTCTCAACATCCCTCCTACCGTTTTCGTAGGCTTGCAAATCCCTGTTACCGTACACATCTCTCCCAGCGGCATATCCCTCTTCCAGATTGCGAAAGAAGACGTTCACGGCCACGCTCACGCCATCCGTCGGAGTCGCGGTATGTGCCCACAAAGGTGGGATGAAGAGCACGTCTCCAGGTCGTAGCGCCGCTTCGTGCGGGTGCGTGAACCTCAATGGAGCATGGTTGGACGTGAAGACATTGATATTCGAGCTTGACGCTCCTGGTGGGAAGGCCAGATGCAGGACGTCTGCAGGTGGGTAGAGCCTCAGAGTCTTCGTGCCGCGCACTTGGCATAGGACGTTCGCCATTACGTCGTAGTGTAGCCACAGCGTGACGGGGCCTGAGATTCTCAAGGGAGAACTGTGCATAGTCTCCGTTACTTTGGCTAGTTGCGGTGGCAGCTTGAAGTCCGCCGCAATGGCGGGGAAGTCCTTCTCTAGGTTTGTCGGATGTTTCGCCGGCTGTTTAGAAGCTACTGATCGGAGGTAAAGCTTCTCACCAGACTTTGTAGCCTTCAGGAATTCTCCGAAGGCTTGCTTGGTATATGAGAAGTTCTTCGTTTGGAACGTCATGCGCTCTGTAGGGCAAGAGTGTACGATGACCGGGCGGTCAGCACCGATGCAGTCTTCTAGGTAATCGAGTGTCCAGAGTCGAGTACATGAGCCGATGTCGAGCCCTTCGATAATGGCAGGCTGTCGACTGGTTAACAACCCGTCAAAGTCCTGTTCTGTATTTACATGTATCCGCGATACTGCAGTTACTTGTGGTAGGTTCGCAGATAACCACGGCTGCTCAGCAACAAGATCAGCAACCGGACCATCAGGTGATTTAGTTGGGAGATTATCATGTGTGCCATTGCGAAATGAACCGCTTGTCGCTAGTAATGAAGCAGCATCCCCGGAATTGTTGAGTTCAATCCTTCGAGTGGCATGTCCTGATATTTCGCTGCATGGCAGAGGTAGAGGCTCTTGAACTTCCTTGGCTGATGTGATGTGATCGTCCCCTTTAGTGAGTCGGAGATATCCAGTATTCCAGAAGCTGCCGAAAGAGAAGCAGACTGCTCCGCCTTCAGCAACGATCACATCGCCGTTTGCGAGGGTTGCAGCGCTTGAGCCGATCAACAGGGGACGTGGCAATCCGGCGGGGATGATATCTAGGCTCCTAACCTCCACTCTTGGCTCTTCCATGTTCACCTCTACAACAGCTACCTCGTCCTCCCTCTTGAGGCAGCCGGATTGTGACACACCTCCAACAAGCAGTAGTCCCCATCTGGAGTGGACGAGGCTGGCGCCAAACCTACGCAAAGTTTTTGGTATGGTGCCGCTGACTTCGGCGCAGCTGATCACTGGAAACTCCTCGACATGCAGCCGCCAAATCCAGCAGTCCGTGACGTATTCGCCGCCTGCTGATAAACCACCGAATAGGGTCCCTTCGGTCAGTTCGGCATTTGTTGTGGCAAGCGCGGCTCCAAACCGCGCGGGCATGTCATCGGGATAGATTGGAACTTGCTTCCAACCGGATGTGGGAGTCCAAAGATTCCAATCGCACAGAACCTCGCCAGTACTGGATTTGCCGCCATAAACAAGAACACCGGCGATGGGGCCTTCTGGAGTATTGACGTGCACCTTCACCGCACAATGCCGGTACCGTCCAGGCAGTAGAGGCTGTACTTCTTTCCACTGGCCCTGTCCCCTAAACCAGCATTGAGAGCTCGCGTGACTTGGAGACGTTCGTCCGCCGACCATGACACATTCGTCATGACTCAGATTGGTGATGGTATGACACATCAGTGATTCTGGAAGGGGCGGTCCATCCACGTTCTCTGGTAACGACACGTTCCTTGGATAAATCTGGCAGGTGTTCACTCGAGCCTGTGCGCCGAGACCGCCATGGAGAGCTACTGCCGTGTTATTTAGAATAAAGGCGGCGGCGTAGCGGCGGCGATCGTCACTGTCGGCTGAACGGACAGTATAATTCGGCCTGCTTCGTCCATCGGAGGGCCCGCTTGCTCTCATTGCTGTAGACCGGGTCCGCACGCATGGCTCACGGGACGCTATGAAGTATTCTAAGGGCGGGCGGACATGATCCGCCTTCCCAGCAATCAACAAGAAGTAGTGACTACCGAACAGTGCGAATTCTTCCCATTCGTCGAAAGGTTCATAAGCGTCGAGAGAACGTCTCTGCTCAGGGGGAATGCAGTGGTCGTTGCTCCAGAAATTCCATAGACTGGTTAGGTCTACTTGCGGCCACCCAGAGTTCATAAAGCGGTAACGCTGATCTGCAAGAGTCGGGTAATCACGTATGATGCGAAGCGGAGTCCGGAGCTTGTCGAAGTGCTTGATCATTGTCTGAGCGAATGGGTGGTCAGGTCCATCTGGTAGACATTGCTCAAGCAAGCAGAACTGGCTGTCTTCGAAAGAGCTCGCCCAGCGGATGACTGCATCTGCGCCTTCTACGCTCATGTACGCAATGGACACTTCAGCGACGAAGAGTATTGACTGCTCGGAGAAGCTGAGTTCTTCTTCCAATACTTGCTCTAGTTTAACGAGCTGGTGAAGATCGCAGCCAACGGCCAGGTAGTGTGGATGCTTCAGGAGGACGTCTCCTTCCGAGGGGACAAGATCTCCCGGTGGAAAGGATGCTCCAAGCACATCACTCTCAAGTATCATTTGTTTCTTCTCCTGCAATAGCTGGGGATAATCAACATCTACAAAGATCGTGTCTTTACGCAGTGCTGGATGATTGTGCCAGAACCTGAAGGGCAGCGGATCACTGCGTATATATCAGCCAGGGCTCTTCATAATATGATGGGCGTGATAACTCTTACTCACTAGCCACAGCCAAGGTTCACGATCACCTTCTTCCTGGAACCGGGACTCGGCTGTCGTAGAAAGTAAAGTACACCATAGTCAATAGCCTGAATCCGTAGCCAGTATCCCCTATTTATAAGCGGGTGTCTCCGCTGAAACTTCTTCACAAACGATTCGTAGAGATCCGGCTCGTTGTGGAGGTAGAACCTCGCCACGCTTCTCTTCGAAACAATGCTGCTATCATTCGTGTCCATGATGTACTCGTCCTGTTTCATTTTTCTACTTTTTGCCCCTGCGCCATGTCGAGATGTTGGCCTGACTGCTCCTGAGCTCTCCATCGTCCGTGGATTGAGTGATACCAAAGCCAGAGCCGTATACGGCATTCAAGAGGATGACTGCCAATCGTTTGCTGACTTTTGCTCAGATACTCAATTCCGATTCTGAGGTTGTTGGATTCAGCAAGGCCGATATCAGATGTCAAAAGACTCCCCAGACACGGCCCTCTACTGTGGCTGATGTGGGGTTTCAGCCACAGCTCCGACCGCCGCAACTTCATAGCTTGATGTTGCCTTTTCAGCAGTCCAACAGGTAGTTCACCAGGCAGCTGAATTGATGCACACAATGTCTCCTTGCAGGATCTTACGGCGGTGACAATCTTCCATCCAGCTTTTGTCCCAAGCCAAACAGCATTCGAGCACCCACCTTTCATTTGCCTGCTGGGCCTACATCTCACGCACGCTGAAGCTATCATGGCCCTTAATTTCGTGACCTTCAATCAAGATCACAGCGTCTTAGGTGTTGGTATGCTAATGCTACAGCTTCCAAACTGCTTTGCTAACATCACCAACCAGGCACTACCCAAGGCTTCCGGCTCTACTCCACAGACCCCTTCCACAAGACTTTCGAGAGCAATGAGGGAGATGTCAGCCTTATGGAGATGCTCTTCTCCACCTCTCTAGTTGCGCTGATACTGTCGCCACGGCTGCTTCGGATACAGAATACGAAAGTACGTTTGCGGCCCCTAATCTAGCGGTCTGACATGCAGAGGACTTGCAATCTGATCCTTGTCAGAGGCTTTCAACAATATGCGAACTTACCTTCCCGACCAGGGTTCTCGCTGTGCGGCTCAACCGGAAACGACTTGTTGTAGTCCTGGAAGATGAAATCTACCTCTACGACATCAGCAACATGAAGCTGCTCTACACGATTGAGACATCTCCGAATCCCAACGGTACGCCTTGGAGACGCGATTGCCTTAGCCCTTGGCTGACTGCTAGCAGCTATATGCGCGTTGTCACCTTCATCCGAGCGGAACTATATAGTGTACCCCCTACCGCAGAAGACCGCGCCCAACTCCTTCGCTCCGCCTTCACACGCTCCACCAGCAGGCAGCCATGTCGCCCCGACCACTGGCGAAGTTCTCATATTCGACGCTACAAAGACGGAAGCGGTCAATGTCGTTGAAGCGCATCAAGCGCCGTTATCCTGCATAGCACTGAATAACGAAGGCACACTCCTGGCGACAGCTTCGGAGAAGGGCACGATCGTACGAGTCTTCTCTGTTCCAGACGCGCAGAAGCTCTTCCAGTTCCGAAGAGGCTCGATACCGGCCCGGATATTCAGCATGTCCTTCAACGCTACCTCGACTCTTCTCTGCGTCTCCTCGGGATCAGAGACTGTGCACATCTTCCGGCTGAACAGCACTCTCCCTCCGCAGGACGGCTGGCAAACCAACGACCAAGCGACGGATAGGAAATCCACAAGTTCACGAGACAGGAGCGCAAGTCCGGGCAGCGAAGCAGCCTCGCCTTCGGAGTTTGGAGACGTCTCTGGCACTACCGACCGCAAGCCGCTTAAGCCAACATGGCAGAGCATGATTCGCCGGACTTCACAAAATGTCGGGAAGGACTTCGCCGCATCGATAGGAGGATACCTGCCTAGCGCAGTTCAGAAAATTTGGGAGCCGTCCAGGGACTTCGCGTGGGTGAAGGTGCCGAAGTCGACTACTGGACCAACGTCAGGACCACTTAAGACTGTGGTGGCGATGAGCAGTAATGGCCCTCAGGTCATGGTTGTGACACATGAGGGGAACTTCTTCGTGTTCAACGTGGATCTAGAGAAGGGTGGTGAAGGGACGCTGGTGAGGCAGTACTCGTGAGTGTCAAATCTTCGGCGTCTTGGCGAGTCAACGCTGACCATCCATAGAGTACTGAAAGCGAAAGAGCAGTTCGGAACACCGTTGTCAGAAGACTGAGGGGCGGACGCCTCAAACATGATGCGGCAGTCACGCGGCAACGGGGCGGAGTTTGGCAGTCGTTTCAATATACCAAGACCTGTTCCTTTAGGGCTTCATGAACCATCACCGGTTTGTCCTCTCCTCAGATCAGAAGTTTCCCGGATTACCGGAGGCATTCTTCGGCGTTACTAGGGTCTTACACACGATTAAAACACTGCCATGGTAATAATTGTATGTCGCGCCTCATTGGAGCACAACCCATGCATCTGCGGTTGCCCCTTAAGAATACAAAAACGCGCACAAAGCAAAGGCAGTTGCCGTGTGCAGTACAGAGGACGTGGTTCTGATGATTGTTCTCTTCTGGATGGTGACTATGCCGCTACCTGCTTTCGATCCTCTGCTCCAGTCCCTTACATTTCCACACCCATAGGGCAAGCTCATCTATCATCGCCTCACGGTCGCCCACCTCCTTGTGGAGACTCTCGTATGCAATGGCTGCGAAAGGCACAAGATGGTCCCTGATCACAGTCCAGGCTTCTATGTACGCATCCTCTAGCACCTGCAGATGCCGTTCCAACTCTTCTAGCGTTTGTCGATTTGTGACAGGGTACTGCGGATCTCGAGCTGACAGTACAGCGGTGGTGGATCGGTTTCCTTCCCTATGTCGCAGGATCCCATGATATCCCTTTTGGTACCAGACCGCTAGAGCTATCAGACGAGAGTCGTGAAGCCGGAGATGCCTTCTTGTTTCGTCGTTGGGAGAAGGCCCAAGCTCGCTGCCGCAATGAGCAATGAGCGTGCTCCAATTCTCCAGACTGAGTACAGCGGTGTTTCCGCCACACATAGTGCAGTGAGCCATGTGGGAAAGCGTCTGAAGAGAAGACACCAGACAGTCCTATTCAAAGCTATTTGTACGTTTCTACATGCCCTACTTCCCTGGCAAACTCCGCACGTCACAAGGACAGCTGTTTCCACAACGTGCATTTGCGTGGACTATTCAAGCGGCCTCTCCCCTACCAGCTGCGTTTGTCGAAGACAATCCTGTACCAACCGCTCAAGATCCTCCACCATCAGCTCATCACGGCCTAACTTCTCAAGGCGCTCCGCGTACGCAGCTTTCGCAAAAGGCGCAAGATTGACATCAATCGCATCCCACATCTCATGATGCATCTTCACAACATTGCCGGCATGGTTTTCCTCTTCCCATAGTAGGTCTAAGTCCCGAAAAGCGAGGTGCGGATTCTCAGTTATCCTTCTTGAAAGCTCGGCTTGTTGCGTCTTGTTCCGCTCCGTGAGAGCCAAGCATTCGTTCTTGAGTCTAATCGCAAGAGTTATGAGCCGGATGTCGTAGCGCCGGAGGCGTTCCTTGATCTGCTCGTGGTCCAAACCACGCACGCATCCGTCGGATTGAAGAAATCTGAGTAGCTCGCTCCATGCCGGCCTGTTCACCTCAAGGGTGAATTTGTTGCAGAAGGAACAGTGTGCCATTTCGAAGAACGCCCACACGGAGGGTGGGACTAGGCAACTGAATCCGTGATAGGATTAGGTGTCCCTAGGCGGCACTATATGTATGTTTCTGCCCATTCAATGTGCCCCGCTGAAACTACCAACACGCGGACAGCATTCCAACAGCGCCAACGGGCGACATGGCGGTTGGACTGTACTGGCATGCCTCCCTCCGCTGTCAGCGACCTGCTCTTAGGGTTACCACGTCTTCAGCGGCAAATCGCGCTGCTCTGGCCCTGCCCGTTCCACGAAGGAGGGGCCCTGTAAGCGCAGCTCATAGCAAACACGGCTCCTTGAGACTCCAGAACCCCAAAAGTCCTCACCATACTCGCTCACTCAGTCATCCGTGCCATCCTCATCCATCTCATCATCCTCATCATCCTCAATACCATCCATACTCGCATCCTCATCATCCCCATCATCCGCGGTAATCACCTCTTTCAACAGCCCCTGCGCCCCACCTCCTATGATTAACCTCGCCCTCAGCACACTCTCCCTCGCTCTGCGGATAGCCTCCTCTTCGGCCTTCCTGATCGTGCCAGACACTCTCATAACATGAATCACACACGGCGTGTCTAGCGGCTTTGGCAACTTCGTCACAAACGACAACGCCGCCCATACGAGGCGGTAATGCGATCGCGTAACGCGGATGATTGCTGTGCTGGTCGGTGGAGAGAGGTATTTCACTGCGGTGGCATTACTTTTAGACCGCGCGCAAACAGACGGTGAGCCAACAACACAGCTTTGACCGCGACGAGAGAGAGGCTGAATATGTACCTTGCAAGCTCCCCCCAATCATCCCAGCGCCGTAATCGCCAAATAACTCCGCGACTCCATCCCTGATGAGCCGGAGCAGGAGCTGCGGTGTAAGCTTGTCGGAGGTGGGCTGGTAGAACTTGAGCGCGTCGGGAACGGTGCCTGAGACGCTGGTTGCCGGCGCGGAGGTGGGATAAAGGATGTTGATCAAGAGATAGCGGTTCTTGAGGCGGACCATCGTGAGCGGACGCGTCGCGGTGTCACGGGCATGCTTCTGATGGTTCGTTGCGATGGCTAGATGTCAGAAAGATTCAATTGATTCAAACGTCGACAGGGATGGGGATCTAGCCCTCATAGGGCTGGAGCTGCCCCGCCCCGCGCCATGGGGAAGGTGCTGGACATCAACTCTGCATGGCTGAAACCCCATCCGTTCTGCATGGGAATTGCATCCGACCCGACTTCATTGGACATGCCAGCAATCCAACTCTGGGAAAGTCGATGTGCTGAAGCCCGTCTCACGCATACCTGCATTGGCTGACGGTCTGGCCCGCTGGAAAGGCCCTCAAGCTGACCAGGATGGGAGGGCTTCACCCAACTTCCAACAGCGGCAGGGCGGACGCAAGTGCCGTAGACGTTCTACGATGGAAGCTGAAATTCCCCAAACTGGTGCGTGCTGCTCGAAGTGCTGTGTTCGCGAATCGCGGCTAGCTGGGGATGCTGATTTGACATGTGCTTGTTGCTTCGACCCAATCCCCCTTCCCCTTGAGGGCCATGTAACCTAGTGTGTAGCCCCGCAAGAGAAGAGCAGCAATTGCTCTCCCCGTAAACAATCCTGGTCCAAAAGCTGAGCAACGACAATTGATATTCCCAACTACGGACTCAACCTATCAATCCTCCACCCCCCATCCTCCCCCTTAGTATACCTGAATCGATCATGCAACCGACTCTCCCTCCCCTGCCAAAACTCCACCATCTCCGGCACGACCCTCAAGCCTCCCCAAAACTCCGGCACCGGGATCTCATCCTTGCCCTCAAACCTGCTCTCCACGTCCCTGACCCTCTCCTCCAGCTCCTCCCTGCTCTTCAACACACTGCTCTGCTGGCTCGCCCACGCCCCAATCCTGCTCCCCCGTATCCGCGTGTCGTAATATACTTGCGACTCTTCCTGCTTGAGCCGCTCACACGGCCCCTCAACCCGGACCTGCCGCTCAATCTCGTGCCACCAGAACGTGAGCGCGGCGTGGGGATTCGACTTCACGTCCGCGGCCTTGCGGCTGGTGCCCCAATTGCTATATATCACAAACCCCCGATCGTCCAGCTCTTTCAGGTATACCATGCGCGCCGAGACTTTGCCGCTGGTTAAGGAGGCTGTGGACAGCGTGACGGTTTCGGGCTGGTAGACGCCGCTGTCGCGCGCGTGCGAGAACCACGTGTGGAATTGGGTGAGCGGGTTGGCGTCGAGTTGGGTGATGTCGAGGGAGCCTTTGGTGTATTGTTGGGCTTGGAGGCTGTTGTTCGTGCCGCCGGGGGCGAAGATGCGCTTGGCAGTGCTGCTGGAGGGGCCATTTGAGGGTTCGGCGGGGGCGGAGGTGGACATTTGGGATTTGCGGACTGTGGAGAGAAGGATGCGTGGGAGGTTGGTGGGGGGAGTGCGCATGTGTTGGAGGGGAGCTTAGGGTTGGCGTAGGGAGGGTTGTTGGGGAAGGAAAGCTGGGGTGAGATTTGAGATCTGTATTAGAATAAGACTAGAAGAGCGTGACTCAATCGTCTTCAATAGCGGTCAGGTACGGAACTTGAACAATGAGAGCGCGTCAACATCTTTCTCTGCCATCGCGGGGCATGACGCCGCAGCCGACCTTCGCGTTTCCCGCAGAAGCTCCATCAAAACCTCAACACCACAGACAAGCTCCAACCCAAACAATGTAACAACCGTTCCAGCACCTCTCCAAGATGGCAGACACCCCCACACAACCCACCCACCTCGCCCACGCCCTCCTCCTCCGCTCCCACTCCCCCACCACCGCGTCGCGCCTCTTCCGCGAAAAGATCCAGCAAAAGCCCCTCCTGCTACGTCCCTCCTCGCCACCCCCCTCAAACGCGCGTGCCTCTCGTCAGCGCGCCCGTGCCGCAAAGCTCGCCCGGCGCAAGACCCAAAAGCCCAAGCCGCTGAGCGCCAAAGCCAAGCGCATATTGGGGGTGCATGAGGTGCCCAAGGCGCAGCGGAAATATGTCATCTTTGAAGGACTAAATAGGATGTGGGGGGGTTATATGCGGGATGTTTTGGGGGCCGGGGAAGGGAGGCAGGTCACGGCGCAGGGAGCGGGGCAGGTGTTGGTGAGCGCGGATTTTCATGGCGCGGAGGTGGAAGTTGTCAGGAGCAGGTGTGTTAGTCGGGTCGGATTGAGAGGGATCGTGGTTAGGGATACGAAGTTTACGTTTGAGATTATTACGAAGGCGAACGAGCTGAAGAGTGAGTGGAGTTGTTCGCTTGAGTGGATGCGCGGAGGGCTGATGTTGGATAGCTGTGCCGAAGGAACATACGGTCTTCAGGTTCGAAGTCCCACTGGCCGAGAAGACGGAGGATGGAGAAGAAACTGCTCAGCAACCCAAGCCTCTGGTTTTTGAGCTGCATGGATCGCAGTTCGAGAACCGAGCACCAGACAGGGCGAACAAGAAGTTCAAGCTGCATATTCCGCCCGACCTCTGAGTTGCGCCTTGCAACCGCGAGCTCGTCAATATTAGCCAAGGTACCGCAAGCTAGCCACCTGCTCTTGGGCATCCAGCAAATCAAAGCTTCCCCGGAGGAATACTGTACTGTGGAAACGCTTAATTTAGTTAGAGGAAGAAAGGCCCCTTACGCCTTGAAACCGTAACGTTTACGCGTTAGGGACGTTTAGCAGGATTGGCCAAGGAACGAAAGGCGGAACACACCATAGAGCTCATTTGCTCACGCCAGAAGCATCTTTGCGCAATGCTAGCCGGACATCAGAAGGTCTTCCGCCAGCCATGCTTAAGCACTCGCACTACACAGCAACGGTATATTCTCAGAGCATCTCACGGTAACCATGGCTGACTTGACTCAGGACTTTAGATATCTTGATCAGCATATCTCCGTAGCCGATGTGTTTCTAGTGCTGACAATCTCCCCCCGGGGACGCGGTTCTCGCTGCGTGTTCTCGCTGCGTGTTCCCGCTGTCTACGCTTCTCTCATCTGCTCATCCCGTACCCTGTGTCGTTGAGTGTCCTTCCCTCCCATGCTCTGGAAGACACACCACCTTTCCGCGACCCTGCGGATCTTCACGGTCCTACCCACCCATCCTCTTTCACCTGCGCCGAACGTCCTCGTAGTGACGTTAAGAATCCCGACTTCCTGGTCCCACGGGTTTTTCTCGCTCCTTTCCTCTGGGCCGATCCCTGCACCCTCGGCCTCCACAGCCATCCTCACATCCACATCCTCCATACCCTCGTCTCTCTCACCTTCACCAACATCCTCCGGCGTCACGTGGCCATCAAGGCACTCAGTGACGATCAACTTCTGCCTGTTCCGATCCGCGGCCTCAACGGCGGAGGCAAAGGTGCGGCTAAGGCCCTGCGCGGAGAATGACGAGGTCTCCCTATGGAGTGCCAACGGGTTGAGCAGCGCGAGTATCGGGACCTTGCCAGTGCGTACGGATTCGCCAGTTGTTCTAGCTCCAGTAGCTTTGCTCCACGATCCGGCTCGCGCTGCGTAAGCGGAGAGGTAGGCCTGCAGGGCGTGCAATGATGGGCAGCAAGCTAGGTCTACGGTTCGGGAAGTGGAGAGGAGGTGCAGTGTTGGGACAAGTAAGCTTTCGGTATGCCGTTCCGGGTTTGCTTCTGGATCGGATGGATTGTCGGTGGACTGAACTGAAGGTCGGCTGGTGCTCTCTGAGCAGAGGAGCTGCTGGAGAAAGGTATCCCGCGAGGTGCAAATGACAATTGTCGTTGGAAGGCTGTGGTGCTCCAAGATGAAATTGATGAATCCGATGAGTGTGAGATCTTGTAGCACGGTCGGCTTCATGTCATTCATCGTTGTCCCGCGCTCCATGGCTGCTCTTAGGGTCTCATCTTGTGGATATCATGCTTAATCCGACTATTCTACCACTGCCATCTCGCTACCAAGCTTGATAAGGAGCTGTCTGTGTTGCGAGGTGAGCCTTTCCTCAAGCCTAAAAGCAACGTCAGCCTCCCAGCTGGGTAGAGGAACACAGCCTCCCACAGTCCTAGATGTGATATCTACTGTGCCTGGATTGAAAAAACGGCTTCGAAGTGCGTCGGAGGTTTGCAGCTGTCAAAAACGTCAAGGATGCCCGAGCTCCATCCCCGCGATCAGTCCGCGATCCCCAAGCTGGAGCTTCCTCAGCCCCGCGTCATTCGTCACCATTTGATGCCTGCATTTTACATACCCTCCTAGGTACTCCGACTACCATAACTCTAATCACTGCACAAGCTCGCAACCCACCACCCGCAAACTCTCTCCAAACCTCAGGACATCCACCACGAAACGCAGGCTACAAGATCCAAGATGGTCCCCCCAAATACGTCGGGCAACCCGCTCAGTGCGGGCTCGCTGGCGCTGTTCATGGCTAAGAGCTTGCCTGAATCGTCGCCGCAGCTCAAGTCGACATATGATGCTGTTGCACTGGCTGTACATGCGGGCATGATTGCCGTCGGCTTCCGGTTAATAGGGTTGGGCGAGGATCACAGGATAGGTGAGTTCAGACTGTGTCGGGATCAGAGCTCTGAAGTGTAAAAGCTCAAAGCTCTGTTCTACGGCATAATTGAGGGCGCATCCAGCTTCACATTTCCAGAGCATCGCTAACCATCTCTCAGAAGCCAGCAGCGAAGCGCACGACCTCCAGCCCCTACCCACCGAATGGAATGCCTCGTCCTCCAGCTACGCCTTCCGCTACGCCCACGCGCAATCCTCGATGGAATATCTCGTCAAAGTGAACCGTCTCGGCAGCAAAGCCGTCGTTTTCGCTCTCGCCATCGGCGACGACAAGACCAGCTCCTTCGAAATAACCGTTAACGACTTCATCTCGCCCTCCTCCATCCCCTCCGGCTCGATAACCGCCCACCGCACCACTGAAGAAACCATGAAAACGCTCCAAGAAATCTTCATCTCCGTCGGCCGCCTCAGCGACCTCGGCTCCCTGCTCCAAACAAAGATAATCCAGAAACTCGCCCCCGGCATCCAGAAGGAAGGCTACGAAGAAACTCCCACCACGACATCCACTACCACCGAGTCCCACGACACCCAGCGCGATCAACACGATCCCCGCCGTCCCCAGCCCGAATACGACCCCTCCCGCTACCCCGGCGACCCCGCCCCTGCACGCCCCTACCCCTTCGACGACCCGCTCGCCGCGCCGCCCCGCCGGCCCATACCCGGCGACTTCCCACCCCCGGGCTTCGAAGACGAGTACGAGATCAACCGCCCGCCGCGCGGTCCCCTGCCTCCGGGCGGCCGCGCGCCCTTCAACATCGGCGAAGACGACCTCTACCCGCCAGGCCTAGGACCGCACGACCCGATCCGGCCGCATTTTGGCGGGGGACTGCTGCCTAGACCTGGCTTCGGTGGACAAGGCGGCGGCGGAGGGATGCACCCGACGTTTGACGATCCGCTGTTTCAGGGGCAGGGGCAGGGCGGGTACGATCCGCAGGTGCCGCCGGGGGCGAGGTATGATCCCTTAGGCCCCGGAGGGCATCCTGGGGAGGGGAGGGGCAGGGGACCGAGGTTTCCGGGTGGGGGTGGAGGCATGGGCGGGAGACCGCCAAATCCGTTTGGAGGGTTCGGTGGTGGAGATTTCATTTGAGGGGAGTGGGGCAGTGTGTGGCGGGGAAGTGGAGTAGAATGATAATGTTTGATGATAAAATGTTGTTGGTGTGATGATAGTTACATCTGCTTGGCGTAGGATGGTTGGGAATATCAAGTTGCTGGGGTGGCTGGCTGCAAGGAATCGGCGGGCTGGAGAGGCGGTATTGTAGGATATAGAGGCATATCACGCCTCCTCGCGCTTCGAATCATCAAAGCTCTTTTGCAAACCCTCCGGTTCGTCATGTAGCACGATTTAAATCTCCCCAGAGCATCCCTGGGCAACATGCACAAACAAGTCATGTGAGTAACGTCGCTTCCGATGTACAACTATCGCAAGCATCAGAGGCCGTGACTATCCTCATAACCTTAAAAGATAAGATAAACATTAATAGCCCAGTCCGCCCACCGACCGGCGTCCGCCATAGGCGAAACGCTCAGTGTCCATCAAACTCCTTTGAACGCCATGTAAGAACCCAGTACGTTCCGTTTATACATCTTCCCTCACTCGTCACGTCTTCAGCTTCGTATAGACGAACGAGATTCTTCTCATCCCTTGAAGCCGCCCTTTCTCACGATAACCCACATCTTCTCATCAATCTCATCGAGCAGCTCCTTGAGGTCTTCAGCTGGCTTGCCGCGGCTCCATACAACGCGTCCTACATCATCATACGTCAGCAATTCATACCCTTTCAAATTTTCAACAGTTCGAGAAAAACAGCACTCACCCTTCTCCAGATCACCATTCTCGTTAAACTGCACAACCCCAAACTCAAACGCATCGCCGCCCTTCTCAGACTGCAGGCTCTTGAACGCGCCACTATCCCTCCTGCTGACATCGCTGACATCGCCGTCCTTCGTCTCGCCCTCCACAAACACCGGCTCTGTCGACACATCCATGATCTCTTCCTCGTCCTTCTGCCCGCTATAGCTACCGGCCCCCTTGGCGCCGTTCGGAATATGGAAGCGCTGGTCGATGCGCATGAGCGCGTAGAAATACACGACACAGATCTCAACGGCGAAGTTGAAGACATAGAAACATGCCTTGTGGAAGTAATCCGGTAGGGGCCTGCTACGTGGGACAGGCGGCAACCACGCCGTGCCCGCGCGGTACGAGGCTCCGAGACACAGTAGCGTCGCGCCGGTCATGAGGACGTAGACCTTCGTCCTGAAGCGGCCCTTGGAGAACTTCTCGGCTTTGGAGGACTTGGGCCGCGCGATGAGAGCGAGTGCCACGAGCGGAATCGGCAGGAAGGAGATCACGGCGAAGAAGGTCGCGCCGTAGAGCTGGATGCTGCGGTCGATAGCGCGGGTGTTTGTGTTCAGGGTGAAGAAGGACTGGATCGTTACGACGATCATCATGATGATGGTGAGGGCGGTGAGGACGAAGAGCGCGGTGAAGATGATCGAGACGGGCTTTGACCAGCCGAGCTTGGGCTGCGTGGCGCGCACGAGGCGTTTGGTGAAGATCAGGTTCACGAGGAAGAGGATTACCACGCCGGCGGCGACGAAGACGTTGGCGGCGATGGCGAGCTTGAGGTTGCGTGGGTGGACGGTTGAGGCGATGCGCATTGAGGTCGTTACTATTCGGGACATGCAGAATACTGGGAGTGACGGGTGCTGTTAGCTCGCTTGTCTATGGCTTGGCCGCCTCTTCATTGAAGATGTCGGCATGGTGCCGGTCCCTGGTGGTTCCTTACTGAAACAGAACAGCGACGAGAAGAAGAAGTGCCCTATCTTCATGTTCCCAATGAAGATCTTAAAGTGCCACGCGGCACCGAGGAGGAACAGGACGAGGAAGACGGAGGTAACGGGCACGTCGACGCCGACGCTCGTAGCGCCTCCGAGCTGCCATGTCTGCGGTGCGTACGGTGGTCCTTGGGGGGTTATGGGCTATAGCAGACAGTCAGCGAGCTGGTCGACAAAACGGTCCGGTTAAGAGGGCGACACATACCGCACCCAGAGCACCTCCTTGCGACGAGGACATTCTGTCGGCAGTGGTGATACTACTAGAAGTTGTGGTTGTAGTATACGGAACCCAGGCTTAACTTGCAGACCACCACGTCAAATGTGCGAACTCGTTCCAGAAAACCTAAGAGCGGCCCGGCTGGTTTTGATAGTAATACAACAGTCCGGGCTGAGTGATGCAAAGAGGCGTTGGGCCCTATTTTTGCTGCATCCGGTACGAGGTGTCATCGGCGTTGGTGTGGACTTGGACGTCGGCTCCCCAACTGCTGCACCGCCAGGCCGTGCATGACCTGGTCGCAGGCTTCCAATAAAAGAGATGGGGTCCTGACGTAAGCCGCTGAGGGCAGTGGATGCTCCTGCTGTGTTTCTGGACCATCCTGACTGAGATTGACGACCGCAGCTGCCATATTCTGTCGTGCTGTCATGTGTTGTTTCGAAGCTGTAGGTGAGAGCTCCGTGGTCAGAGATGCGAAACGCCGACGTAAAAGTCAGTCGGACAGCCGGGGGATCCTCGCTGACCACGGATGGTTCCTGCGTCTAGCCCGAGCTGGCTAGCCTTCGGACTTTCCAAAAAGCTTGTCCAGTTGTCACTCCTGCCAGCAGGACGTGGGGGAACCTCGATCGGCGGCCTTGGGCCATGCAGCTGTCGGGTTGCTCCAGCAATCACCTGGAGGGCTTCACAATCATCACTACTCTCCGAAAGACGGCAGGACTGGTGCAACTAGATTCTGCATGTCTAGGTAAATACGCTGTGTGTGCAGATAGCCAAGACTCTGCAAGTCTCCTTAAGATGAACCCCTGATATGGCAATTCCAGCAAATGAACACCGCGACGCGGACAACCAGGAAGCCAGTCCGGATCAACAGGGCGATCAGCGAGGCTTATCTTGGTAGACGCACGTGCCTGCATTCCACGCTCTACTCCGCCTTTGACTCTGCTCTGACGTTCGGAGCACGTTCGTTCCGGCCAATGATAATTGCTGCTTAACCATTGGATTTCTGCTGATGCGCCTTGAATGGCGGTTAAATCGCAGAGATGCAGTCCTCCGTCTCCCTGCTGGAGTTGTCCCAAGCTCACGGCGCGCGGCCTCGGTCAGTGTCTTCAAAGGCTTGGGCAGGCCCGTGTGCTTGGTTGTGCTGACCAGGTCCGGCCTTGGGTGCACCCGAATTAGGCTGAATCCTCTCTGCATCGGTGGCTCGGTGTCAGATGGGACGCCTGGCTCGAGGAGCTCGTCATCTGTCTCTTCCACGCATCTGGTGCCATGGGAGCTCGGATGGTATGCGCTTGGACTGGTGGCCGGAACGCGCAACTGTCGTTCTGCCGTACTGAAGTAATGGGAGGACTCAGGCACTTCTACGCGGATACTTGCATCACCTTTGTGATACAGTCAGCGCGTGGGTAGATGTTTCGACGCATATGCATCGCATACCTTGACGGTCAACAAGGCAGGTACCGGCACCGGACTCATCTGCAGGCAGCCGGGCATTCTTGGAACCTGGACGGGTTAGTGACGCGAGGCCAAAGGAGGCTCTCAAACGAACCAGTCTTCATGATTGACTTGAGAGTGCTCCCTTGAGATACGGGTGCGACTTGTGTCGCGTGGATGACCAACGTAGTATCATCAAGTATCTCTTCAGAAACCTCTATCCATGCACCGTCAGACTCCATCCTGGCCGCTTGGCCTGGGAGGTATACCTCTTCACCACTTTCTACATCTTGCCTGCAACTGTACTGGGCTCGATAACCTGAACCGTTGCGATTGCGATTTCTGTGCGTGGCGTCCGCTACGATTAGTACATTTTCCTCGTCCAGCATCTCAATATCCTCCACAGGCTCCGTACAAATGCTTCTAGAGTATCTTCGATGATGCCTTGAGGGCGCAGGGCTGTGCTCGTTTTCAGATTCATCCTCCTCGCATGCTTCCGCTTCCGTTTCTTCGCCCTCAGCAGGAGTGTCGTCTGGAGCAGACTCTGATCGAGACCTTGCGGGTGCTGTGATTTGCGCTAGCTCACGGAAGACCTCCTCCTGGGTCATCTCGCGACCGCGCTTCCGGCCGGCGGTGGACCTGTTAGCTTCAGATACTGGTAGCAAACCGGTGTAAGCTTCTGCAGACCGCTTTTGGGGCTCCATCAATGACAATTCACCGAATTCTGAAGCCAGCATACCCGACTTGGAGGACGAGTTACTCAGGGGTGCAGACGAAACTGTTATGGGATCCCCTTGTACGAGAAGGTGTCCATCCGGGAGAGGGCCAGCGGAGAATGTGACAGGCGGACTTCCTACAGCGAGACTCAGTTCACCATAGGTGCCGTGGAAGGCAATAGTATCCGCCTTTGAACGCCTCCTGTTAACAGGTCTAGGAGGCACAAATAGCTCAGATCCAATGAACCCATCATGGCTCGAGGCGCTCGACTGAGAACTGACGATCACTGTTTTGATAACCTTGAAGGGGGAGAGGTCAAGCTGCGTGGGATCTGTGGCCCTGGGCTTCTTGATAGCTTTCTGGAGCACACTGAGCGGCTTTCGTCGTGCCGACGACGGAGTCCGCCTCTTCGGTCCTGTCTCGTGCACCAGCGGATCGGCTTGCCTGTCATCGATGGGGTCTTCCTCCCCTGGTTGGCTGTCGGAGCTTTGAGGATTGGCCTGCAACTTTCGATGCCTTAGTCTCGCGGTAGCACGGGTTCTATTGGATTATACATACATCACCTTGAGCTGCATGGTTGATGTTTGGGACAAGCGCAAGCTCGCTTACTGGCAGCCGTCTCTTTTTCTTCTTCTTCCTTGCAGGAGGTTGGTTCGTTCCAGGTTCGTCGACGACCTCTATGCGGACTTTCTGTTCCGGTACGTCCCGAGCCGCTGTAGAAGCGTGAGAGAGATTTGCAGTTAGTGAAGCTTCTCTGTCATCACGGCGTGCCGTAAGGTGAGCGTCAGCCGATGGCTCAAGATGCCGCCTTGGCCGCTTAACGGTGGGCTGATGAGCAGCAGTACTTCGAACGTGAGGACAAACAACGTCAGAACCAGATGCGTCGAAGTCATAGATATGCGCTGGTTGAACCTCACTCGTTGCAGCAGCCCCGTGGCGGTCGTGCCCGACGGCATCCTCTGACACTGTTTCTCTGGCAGTGAGAGATTTGCCTGGAGGCAAAGCCGTACGTTTGGCCTCCGGGTGCTTCCTATGTCTCATTCCTAGCTTTGGCTGCTTGTTCAGTGGCTGGAGGGTGCCTGCATGTTTGATGAGAGCTCCTTTGGCGTTGTGATGGGCCGGTATCGAGGTACGGCCGGTTCTGGACTCATTGGGATGTAGTGTCCTCGCCGGAATCTCAGACTTTGACAGCGAATTTTGCGCGGTGATAGCTTCTGAAAGAAAAGCAGTCGGAGTGATGTTGTCGCCACGCTTCGACCTTCTCGGTCGGTGAGCTGGTGTACCTGCGATCGCCTTCTGGTACACTCCTAGGGTGATTGGGCGGCTCGCGCGCACCTCACTCATTGCACACGGGAAAGAGCTCAAAGTTTCTGCATCAATCAATAGCATGCTAAGATGTGAACAGTTCAGAGTTGAAAGGAAAGGTGGGTGCAACTCAGTGCGCTGGGACGCTCAGAACTGAGGGAAAGTTGTTCGTGCGATGAGGTCAGACTTAATCCATGTAGGTTCATTCCCAACACAGAAGTTGGAGTCACGATACATGATACGAATTGGTGAGGCGAGTTCTACTCTGACTCCCTTGGTATCTCACTGCTGCCGATGTTTAAAATAGCGCGCGCCATTCTACGCAGGAGCTGAGGGTTCTTGATGCCGATGACCTTTAACTTGTAGAGCTTTTGTGCACAGTCCTGAGGTCTTTCGTCTTAGGCGTCTTTTACGTCCCTGCTTCGATATTGCAGTCTGTATAGCAGTACACCTGCATTGATGGCCAGCCTCTGAGGACTGCACCTCTAGCCGCGGCCAAACCACTCGACGCCAGCGTCATAGATATCCACTACAATCTGTGGGTCTTACAGAAGTTTGAGGTTCCTCATGCTGATGTCTATTGACCTCGGAACGCGTCTGAGGTTCGTGAAAGAGGTTGCTGCTCCTTCATGTCGAAACTTGGAAGCGAAGTCACGTGACTGTCTAACGCCAAACCTGATTGGAGCTACCCCAACTGCCTTGAAATCTGCATCATGGCAAGCTCTAGGAAGCGTTGTCAAGCCCGTAACGGCCTACTTTAAGCAAACAAGAGCTCCATCACAGCATCTTTAGCACTATCAGAAGCTACCGGGATGCCATCACGACCAACGACACCAGTGGACCCCAATTGGTCTGACAATACACCGCCAGTCCCTGATGTTGACGAACATCAATCTTTTGCGAATATAGTTCGAGGTCTCTCTTTGTACGTCAACGATTCAGGCAACTTGAATGTTTTGGCGTCGTTTCTACTGCCCTTTTAAGTGCAACGCGCTCCTCGCTTCTTGAAGGACTATTTTTTGACGGATGTGCATTTCATATTGATTTAGCCGTGCGGCAAGGAGAAGCGGCGGATGGGATCCTTATTTGATCGGTGTCTGGTGCAATGAATATTCTTGTATACATTATTTGCGGACTATCCCATGCTGACCAGACCCTTAGCTACTTCGTTGAGGCTATACAGACTCCACACACTTTCGAGGAGCTTCGGACAATCCAGTATGGGCGTTGTCTAAGTCCCCTGATCAAACATCTGTCAGACAATGTCAAACATCAAGCCATAGTCTCCGCTCTTCTGTGCGTGCAGGCCCCGGTGGTGAAGAAGCCGTAGCTGATGGAACCTTCAGAGCCCTCAAAGGTCATTTCGCCGCCCTCGAGTCTGATGACGACCGCGGCGTGAATGAGACGCGTGGTCTCGCCTGCGAGATCGTTGCATGGCGCTTCGTCACTCATATTACTGAACGGGAAGCCATCGATTATCTGCTTTACGAGCTTTCCCCTACCGCCGCTCATCACGACGAACCAGAGGATCCAGAGGCTGGCATCACACGGTCTTCAAGTTCACCCATAGACAGAAACCTATCTGGCGAACGTACACCGCTTCTGAACGGACTTGAACCGCCTCGATTGTCCGGACTGTCATCTTATTTTGGTACTGACCGTGTCACCGACGGTATGGATGGTGCTCGCGAGGAGGACAGTTTTGCTGCCTCGTTCGAGAGTCTCAATGCACTGGAGATTGCCGCTATCTGCGGTGCAAAGAAATTCCTCAGCCAAAGAGTGATCCAGAAGATGATCAACGGTATCTGGAGGGGTAAGTCTCTCCATGCTCTGGTGTCGAGGGGTGGCGTTGAAGTTTATCGGGCATTACTGACGGGCTACGCAGGGGATATTGTCTTCTGGGAAACGTTAAGCACAACCTCTGTCAAAAAAGCAAGGATATACAACAAAAAGTAAGTACCTCCCTTAGCCTGCTAATACGCCAGTTATTCCAATATGGCATGTCTCTTCTCTGGAGGCCTGTCGGAGCTATCTGACGTTACGACGCCATCTACTGTACCACTGTTGATAACGGCGATCGCTAGCGAAGATACGTTTCGTTTTCAAGAGCTGACGTGGGATGTCTGAACAGGAGAGCGGATCCATACAGTAGACTTCGCGTCCCACGGTACCTGAAGGCCTTTGAGGTTCTGTTCTTCCTTGGATTTCTTCTTCTGTACTACATTGTCCTCGTCCAGCAGAGGTTCTACTCCATCACGCCAGCGGAGGTGTTCCTCTACATATTCATAGCTGGATTCGCATATGATGAGTGCAAGTTGCTTGCTACTTCCTTAAGCCGCCACCGTCACTGACTCTTGATACCACAGTTGGGGAGTACCAAGATGCCGGTCATGCGTTCTACGCTACTGACTTTTGGAGCCTCTGGGATATTGGAATCGTTGCGGTCGGCGTTGCGTTCCTGATTACCAGTAAGTCTTGCTGCTGGTTGGCAGGTGGTCGCGAAGCTCTCCTGGTTCAGTGTTCTCTCTTCCCAGAGCGAAGGAGTTAACCTCTTGCAGGGGTTATCGGGCTTGTCCGACATTCGCATGGCATAGTGGACACATCGTTTGATATACTAGCACTCGAGGCTCTCTTCCTTGTTCCAAGGTCTGTCCGGCCTTGCCGTGGTCGCCTGGTACATCCGCTAAAGTACTGCGTCTCTAGAATCTGCTCACTGCTTAGTTTGAACCAATACTTCGGCACACTCGTAAGCAAACATTTCAGACTTGATCGGCGGTGAGAGATTTTCTGACACCTGCTGATTCCTGCAGATTCCGTGCCTCAAAGAAATGGTCAGCCTGCTCGGCGGTCAACCTGCTCAGCCTCGCTAACGAACCACCAGACAAAAGACTTCATCAAGTTCTTAAGCCTCGTCGTCATCCTCTATCTAGGTAAATGCTAAGGCTCCTAACTTGTGTGCCGTAGTGTGCACTCCTCGACTGATGAAAGCTAGGCTTCCTCACCACATTCACTCTATTGGCCCGTGGCCACTTTTCGCCAGGAGAAATGTCATGGATATTGATCAAGGTATTCTTCGGGTATGACGGTGACTGCGTCCCTCCCCATGATGGAATGCACTAACACTTCCGGTCAGGTCGAGCTATCTTGGTTTCGTGAGTTATGCATCTGCTGCAGCTGTGGCTAACCGGCCCTGAACTGTGGCTAATCCGGTGTGCACAGGATGTTGCCCAAGAAATGTGAGTACTATCTACGCAGGTGGTCCTTCTCCATTGCTAAGTCGTCGTCAATCAAGCTCGCCTTATCTAGGACCACCAGTGATGGTATTGTTATGGAGCCCGCATGGCTTGAGAACCTGCTGATCGGGCTGTGCAGCTTGTCTTTGTGTGCTTGACGAACATCCTTTTGATCACGTCTTTGATTTCTTTGCTCAGCAATAGCTTGACCAAGGTGGGTGTTGGGGTGGTGGAGCTACGCTTGCGGCTTGCGGCTTGCGGTTTCGCTTGCCGAAAATCCCTGTTTCGTAGAATCGATTGGCTGAGATTGCACCGCTTTTACCTTGCAGATTATCGAGCACGCGCGCGATGAATACCTTTTTGTGTAAGTTCAAGGCTCATTTCACGAACCGCAGCAATACTGAATTGGCTGCAGATATTCGGTGTACGTCCTGGAAGCGTCGACGTCAAACCGCTTAACGTATTTTCTGCCGCCTTTGTGAGTACCAAGTTCTATTCTGAGAACTACTTCGAACATCGCGGCAAGTGCCCAGTACTCTGAGCGCTTGCGCTATGGATACTGCATCTACCGGCATGGACAAGCATCAAGGGTCAAGGTCACCTTCTAAGTTGTGCCCGAATCCTCATGCTGCAGGTGGTTACTACGCTCACTAGAACTTGGTTTCTACCTCTATCACCGATTATACGCCGGCTGTGCGGAATCATCTCCTATGCAACACCGCTGGCGAAGCAAACCTCGCATGCTCATTCGGTTCTTGCCGTAGTCTCTAATGCCGCGCCTAACATTCTGACAACCACGATCAGTGTTAACCAGCCACAATAGGAACCTCATACCGCTTCTCCTTCGCCCACTAAGGCTAATCCTTCCATCGGAGAAGATCAGAAGCGCACGTATCATGCTTCTCAAAGCCACACACCTGCCTCACGTAGGCGCAATTTGGATCTATGAGAACGGGCGCCAATACCTCGCAGAGCGTCATATTGCCCGTGGTTCTGTAGTATCCTCGATGGGCGGACCCCAGTCTGCAACGACCAAGGGAGCCATGAAGCGGGCAACGCTAAGAGCGTCGCTGAAGTCTCCACGGCTGTTGGTGCCAGCTACCCTCGTCCAAGCCTCGCTGGATGGCGGCTCGCCCACGGGCAGATCTCCCTCGCATCGCCGCCGCATCACAGGGGATTCATACGAGTCAAATGAAGACCTGAGGTCACTGGTCATCAGACTCAGTTCGCAAGTCAACCAGCTCGCTGCGACGATCGCTCAGCAACAAACTCAAGAGGCACAGGTCGATCAGGAATGAGCTAGGCTCGTAAAGCGGCACCGGGCTGGCTCCAGAGCTCTCTCTTCCAGCTTGGTCAAACAGAATATATGTCATTAGCAGATCTCCGCGTCTGCTTCAACACTCTCTCGTAAAGCATATTGCGTTTCCATGCACATGCGTGGCAGGCGTTGGCGACTGCACTCCAATTTTACCAGTTAAGCGCGCAACCTGTGCTATGACCATGATGAACATGCAGGGAGATACCCTAGTCGAACGCCTTGACTGCGGCTAAGAAAGAGGCGCACGAGCGAAGCCGTTCTGATTCCGAACCGCTTTGCGGAGCCGTACTCTCGGGTCACGCTAGCAAGAGGATCAATCAGGCCTATGCTCTAGCACGAACTAGGTCGCAGAGCTGTGCAAGATTCTTCGAACGCATCAGGCAGCGCAGCCTCTTCCGTCTTCTTTGCACGCATTTAACGCTTGCCGCCGCGGCTCACTGATGACTAGCTTCTTTCCCGAGCGGAATGGCTCAGATTCATCTCCGAGTCTGCCTTGACATGCTCCATACCGACAACTCTTGTCTCCACCACACCGCCGCAGTTCAAAAATACATGATACTTGTTTGTTAACACCATCACACTAGTAGAGTCTCGATGAGCTTCACATATAATCCGTGTCGTCGGTTGATAACTGGCAAGCCTCAAGACGCCATTACTTGTACCAAGAAGAGCTGTTGCTCCTCCAATATCTCTGTCGATCGCCTGAAAACATCTGCATACATACCTGGTACATCGGACAACCTCAGATATCTCCATGGACTCATCGGCTACATCGCCGCTTTCAGCGGCTTCGCCTTTCCAGCGCCCGCAGACACGCTCTGCGCTCGGACGAACCATTGCTTATCCTTCGCCAGCGCGAAGCGAATCTGATCGTCCAAGTAGCGCCCCAGATGGCCTCGGGTTGTATAACGTTGTGCTGCCTTTCTCGAGTGTCGAAGCGTACAGTGACATTACGCTTTGTCCTCCTTCATCAAAACCACTGGAACCGTGGACGTATCCGCTCGCTAGCAGCACCGTACCCTCGTTTCCCGATTCACAGGTTGATCCGTGGTATGGAGCCTTCAACACAGGTGCTCCAATGTCGCAGTCACCATTGACCTGGAATTCTGCTTCGTACTGGGCAACAGCCGACTCCTTTGACAGCAGACTTTCGCCCGCCCCCTCCGACTGTCTCCTTGTGAGCGAATCTCAAATCCCCTCGACGCACGAACCCTCGATCTACTCACAAAATGGATCGGATCCAAAAATTCCAAAGACTGAACAGCAGCCCTGTCAGGAGTGGTTGAGCAATGACTCCAGTTCGCATGGTGTCGTTGGATTTCAAAACACCACCATATGTCCGGAACGCCTCTCAAGCACCCTGGTTGCACCAAGTTTCCGTAGCCATCACATGCCTGTATCCCCCACGCCAAACCATGGCATCGACAAAACACCTGAATACGGACTGGACCATACCATTTCTACCCCACGGACAACGAAGCGGAATTCAAGAGAGACGGAAGCTGTTACCACCAAGGACATCAAACGCGTCAGAAGTATACGGCGCCCGACGACTCAGGAGAACGCCAATTACGAGTGCCACATCTGCCACAAGCTCTTTCAAAGGAGTTACAACCACCGGTCGCACATGGAGGTCCACAACCCCACGCGGGAGTATCCGAACCCTTGCGAATACAAGGGCTGCACGAAGAAGTTCGTGAGGAAAACTTGTCTCTTGAGGCACGAGCAGAGTGTAAGAGACATCGTCCCAAAGCCACTAGGCAGCTGTTCTGACAGAAGGTACAGGTGCACGTCAAATCACGAAACTGGCAATGCCCCCTCTGTGACGCCTGCTTTGCGCGCAAAGATACACTAAGAAGGCATACGTACGTCAAACGTTCTGTGCTACTATGATAGTGCATCACTGACATGCTTTTGTAGCGAGGACGGCTGTCCGAAGCGCTTCGAGCTCAGACACAGCGCGCCGGCGAGCAACAGACCGTCGCCTCTTAGCAATCCAGCACCCATATTTCAACGATTAATGTAGGGCTCGGCGCCATGTAACATCTTCATAAGGATTGTTCCGGAAAATCAGGAGGGCTATTGCGGACCTCTTATACAGGGGAACCTCTGGCGTCGGCTTTCTGCATTTCACTAGGGGGTGGCAAATCTGTTTTCTTTGCGTATACCAAAGCATCGCGAGGCGTAATGGGGACACTGCATTGGAGGTTACTTTTAGCGTTCCGAAGGGAGCATTATTTCTGCCAGGCATTTGGAGGCATCTCGTTTTCCATTTAGCAATCCGCGAGTGTGCCATTCATCTCAGAAAGTTCCTCCTTCCAACACATCGCCAGTTAACTCGTACGGCCATTCGATGTGATCTTAACCAGGCAGCAGCATTTCTACCAGTACCTAGAACTCTCGAAGAACAGCGAAGGATCCTCAACCCGGTCACCAACAACCTTGGCAATCGGTCTCTCTGCGAAAAAGACAGGGTACCCCCCTCCTTTCTTACAACCGCAGCCTCCCGCAGCCTCCACTGCCTTCACTGCCTTCACTGCCTCCATACCTTCCCTGCCGTTAGCCGCTCAGATTACACAACCCGAAATGACAGTGACCGCGTCTGATACGTGGCACAGCACAGGCGCCGGCACGCCAGCCACGATAGGCGCCCGAGATGAAGGGAATGTGGGTTCATTTGCATGCCGCTAGCGTTTGCAGCGTCCTAGCTCGTGTCTGGGAGGTTGAGCACCCGCAGTAGTGCATATCGTCACCCGCTTCGAGGCCTGTGATTCGGGCAAACTTGCCCGATGGGGGATCTAAGCGCCGGGTTTTGCGCTAAACTGCTGTCTCCTCCATGCAGAGGGCATGCTGGTGCGGGTCTGCGCGTCTCTTCCTTTGAGACGGCAGGAAGGAGGAGAATGGTGACGGGAGAAAGACGGAAATGCGGCAGCCTGACGGGGATTTCTGCAATCCTGCCCGACCTGAGCGTTTGGGTATGCACGTCATTATCTTCTGCCGCATGCTCGAGATGTCCAAGGACATGAGTCTTACGCATCACGGATATGTAGCCGTTGCTCTCATTTGTCTACTCCTTCCTTTGTGTCTCTTCCTCTCTTGCAATAGGAAAGAACACCGTAAAAGCCTCATCCCTCGGTCTTCAGCTGCTGAGGCTATGCTCTGCCATTCATGCCCATGCCATCAGCCACAATCCTTCCAGGTTTGACGTCTGCATCCAACCACGCTAGGCATCCACATGAGCAACCACTGGTGCGGGCGAACTGTCCGGGTTCTGCGGCCCGTTGACCGGTCGTCGCCAGGTTCCGCACCGCTGGATTCAGCTAAAGACATTAATGGGCCAATAATATTGTCACTTGGACGCCACCAACATTTCAAGAAGAGGGAGATGTGTGGTTGGATGATCGGTCCTTCAGCGATGACAGTCGCGTCGATTCATCATCCCCCGAACCAACATGGCTTTGTCTGAGTCACTGGCTTCTCCGCTGAGAGGACGGGCAGACTTGCGGAATGTCCTTCCTTCTCGCTCTGGACGTCAATCTATCATGTGAGCGGTCATGTGATCAGGCTCCTGGAGAGAGGTACTAGATAACCCATAGGGCCATGATATTTGTTGTGTCTGATGCTGATTAATGTCTGTCTAACCGCCGTCCAAATCCCTTAAAGCCCCAGTGAGAGCGACTTGTACCGTAGATACGCACTTCTAACGCTTCCTCACAATCTTGATGCCACTCCCACCCCCACTAGCCTTCTCCTTGGCTTTCGCAGCCTCAAACTCCCTCTGCATCGCCTCCATATCGTCGTCTTCCTCCACCGTCTCCCTCATTCCTTCTGCTCCTTCTTCCCCATCACCTCCCCTCCCATCCCTCCCATCCTCCACACCACCATCCCCTCCACTCTCAGCATCAATCCCCCTCTCCCTCCTCCCCTGCTCCTCCCACTCCCTCCTCTCCATCTCATCAAAGTCCTCCCGCCGATCAATCCACCGTTCCTGCACGTCTCTAATATCCATAGTGACCGCGTCATTACGCATCGAGATGCCCCAGACGGTCTCGTTAGCGCCTTCCTTGCCGAACACGTAGCCTGAGGCCCGGTCGATGGCGCGGAGAAGCATGGTCATTGATTTCTTGTCCTCGACTGCGAGGGTCTCGAAGCCGACGAGGGCGAACTCTTCGATTAGCTCGACGATTGCTTTGTTTAGGGAGGCGAATTTGGAGTCTTGAGGCGGGGCGGCGGGGCTTGTGGACGTCGGACCGAAGCGGGATGTTTGTTCGGCGGAGAGGTAGGGTAGGAGATAGTCGAGCTCTTGCACCTCGGTGTAGAAGTCTAGGTTGAAGGGAAGCGCGGGGTAGGTGTGTAAATTGTCGATCTTGGTCAGGACGTTCAGGTGAGGCAGGTCCATCTGCAGCATGCTGCGCAGGGCGAGGAGCAGCGCGGATATGTAGAGGGAGGGTTGGGTCAAGACATAAGAGTCTGTCAGAGATACGACTACGAGCTATATGAGAGGAAGCTGTCAGCGAGAGGGCTCTTATAGTGGTCTAAATGATAAGGGTAGGGGGAGAAGGGCTGCAGAAGGGAGGGCGGACTCTGTACCCGAGCTTTTGAAGACGGAAGAAGATGTTGCGGAGTGAGGAGTGGTGCGTGAACAACTCGACTTGGCCTGGGCAGTCGAAGAGTACGTAGTCATCTACAGAATAAATCCATCAGCAACCTAGCATAGGCCGAGTTGTGGGAGAGCTGGTACCTCCTAGCTCCTTCAAGCCCTCCTCTAGCCACTCAAAGTTGTGTTCCAGCTCCTCCAACGCGTACAGCACTCCTCCATTCGGCCCCAGCTCTTCAGCCTCCATGATCTCCTCCAGCGTGACTAGATTCCGCACGTCGAGCGCAACGGGGTAGGAGACGTGGTCGTTGGCGGGGTCGAGGTTGACCACGGAGCATTTGCGCTCGATAGCGGACATGAACTGTTGCATGCCATCGCAGTAGGTAGACTTGCCCGCGCCAGGCGCCCCGATAACTAATTGCGCGAAAGGCATCTTGGTGATATTTGCAAGGGAGACGGTTGCGGGCTGCTGTTGTGGGTTTCGGTGAAGCCAAGGCCGCGGGGGAGCTTCGCGACTCGAAGAACATTTTGGAGCGCGACGGAAGAGCAACAAACACGACGGTCCATAGACGACATCGCAATGAGTTCGAGTAAGTCGCATACAATATACACACCTAGGTCGCTGCTGACGAGGTTGATAGACCAGCAAGAGCTATCAGAACCGCCCAGCGATGCTATATCCGCTCTCAAGTTTGCGCCCGATTCCTCCTCGCGGTTGCTTGTGTCTTCGTGGGACAGGCACGTATATCTCTACGATGAGCACGAAGGTCAACCCAATCAGCTCGTGCGCAAGTTCGAACATCGTGCGCCCGTGCTAGACGTATGCTTCGGCAAGGACGATGATGAAGCTTTTAGCGTAGGCCTGGACTGGGACGTGAGGAGGTACGTCGATTTTCCCGAAGCTCTCGCATTGCGAGACTGTAAGGTGCTGACAATCTCACAGGATAGATCTCACAACTGGCGAGCAGTCCATTCTCTCCACCCACGAAGCCGGCGTCAAGTCCGTCGTGTACAGTTCCGAACATGACCTTCTCATCTCCGCCTCCTGGGACAAGACACTGCACATCCACTTCCCCTCCGACATGATCTCTCACGCCCCCAACACCGTCCCGCTACCCGCAAAGCCCTTCTCCCTCTCGCGCACGCCCACCAAACTCGTCGTCGCCATGGCGAACCGCCTCGTCCACATCTACGACCTGCGCACACTTGCCCTCCTTTGCTCACAGTCCTCTCAACCACCCCCCAACACCACCGAGCTCGAGCCGTGGCAACATCGCGAATCCTCGCTGAAATTCATGACCCGCGCCGTCGCCTGCATGCCCAACGATGCCGGGTATGCCTCCTCCAGCATCGAAGGCCGGGTAGCAGTCGAATGGTTCGACCCGTCCGAATCCTCCCAGGCGCGGAAATACGCTTTTAAGTGCCACCGGCAGGCCTCTGATAACGGCGTGGATATCGTCTACCCAGTCAACGCGCTCGCGTTCCACCCCGTGCTTGGCACGTTCGCGACGGGCGGCGGCGACGGCGTTGTCGCGCTGTGGGATGCGAATGCGAAGAGGAGGATACGGCAGTATCAGCGGTATCCGGCTAGTGTGGCTGCGTTGGCATTTAGTGGGGATGGGAAGTTCCTCGCTGTGGGTGTGAGCCCCGGGTTCGAGGACGGGGAGGAGGTGCTGGGGGAGGGGGAGGTGAAGGTGTTTATCAGGGAGTTGGGCGAAAACGAGGCAAAAGGGAAGGGAACGAAGTAGATGGCGATTGACTGTAACATCCGTGAATGCCGGGGCGGTCTGTCGTGTGAATTCGTCTTGGGAAAAGCGTGGCGTTCTGGCGTCGTGTGAGCAGGAATCTTGGTAACATTAAGGAGTTCTTAGAAGGTTCTCTTGGTAGAGGAATTGCCTCGAACGACTGTTCATCTGCTAATATGCTGGTACTAAAATCTTATAACCGCACAACAATACTACGAGGACGTGAAATTCGCTCAGGAGCCGCTTGCGATAGGTCAACTCGCTCGAGATAGGATGCACAACAACACCGGTGAGACATCTGAGGCTCCGGATTTCAACCTGACGACTCGCTCCGAGAAGCTATGCAGAGTCTGACTCTAGAAGTATACATAGACTGCGTCGCGCTTCTGCGTCCAGCAAAATGCCTTGATTTGAAGACTGCCATTGAAGACGGGACGTCGCTTCCATCACGATACAAGTAGTTCTTAGGTAGTTACGTGCATGGGTAGCTGCTTTGGAGATCACAAGTCTTTTTGAAGACCGCAAGGTCATTGCTAATGGAATGAGCTTGACAGACAGGAGCTCAGTTGAGAGGGGAAACGCCGCGGAAAGCACAGCTGGGATCCTTGTACCACACGCTCGTGGGACGAATCCATGTTCAGCACTCAGCACAAGGCGCAGCACTCAGCCTCAATAGTACACACGTATATATGAGGGGGCGCTCCTTGAGGGTTGCAATGGAGTTCTCTGGGCTCAGTCGCCTCCTTTAGTTTCCTCTAGCTTACTTAACAGTCGTCTTCTCACCTCCATCGAGCTATGGCATCCCGTTTGCTTCCAACCTCTCATTCATGTCAGCACTGTCAAAAGCTGGTGTTAGATCTCAGCAAAGATAGATATCGATGGTTGAAAAGGTTTTCAAGCCGCACAAAGAAAGGTATAGAAGCAGTCGGCGGAACACCGAGCCAAAGAGTCAAAGAATACCTTGGTAGCCTGTGGCAAGCGATGCCTGACTTCTACGACCCATTAGACGTTCTCTTCGGGATTGTCCTATTCGATTTCTCGTTGGCGGATGTAAGAAAAGCCGCCGGCGAAGGATGCTACCTTTGTGAATGCATTCTTGGAGACCCCCAATCTAATATCGAGGAAAGCTCGTTGCTCGCTGCGGAGGTGGTTGGCGACGTTTTGAAGTTTGGCGTTCTAGAAGCACGTACGGATCTTGCTAGTACTAATCCTGATGCTAGCAAGGGTAAGATTGAACTTAGGGCTTTCGAGTTGCGTTCAGTCTTTAGTTTCCAAATCATTGCCGCAGCAGGTAAGTTGACCAACTCTCCAAGGCAGAGTAAAGCACCTACACGATTAAGACTTATCCGGTATAGCTAACCTCGTACAGACGATAATGCGGCAAACGATGTCTGTACAAGGCCGGTTAATATCTCGCCAGCGTCGGAAGACAGTTTCAGCTTAGCTCGACACTGGCTGGAGACATGCCAGGCAACACATCAGAAATGCCCAAAGCCCAAAGGGGATTTTCTACCGACGAGACTGATCGTGATCCTGCAAAAGTTCGGCCGCCGGCGCCTTCAACTCCACCAAACTAGCTCTGAGGATACAGTGAAACCTTATGCCGCTTTGAGTTATTGCTGGGGCGGGGAACAGCATGTGACCACGACGAAGACCCTCCACCGACATATGTCCGTGATCAATGAGCAAGATCTGCCAGCAACTGTGCGAGATGCTGTCTTAGTCACAGAAACACTGGGCATGAATCAAATTTGGATTGATGCTTTGTGCATCATCCAGGACGACGCCTATGACAAGGCCCTAGAGATTGCTTCTATGCCATCCGTGTACAGCGAAGCCACTGTGACCATCGCAGCATCTCGAGCCAATGGCGTGCACGAAGGGTTTCTGCAAAACAGGCCGGCTATGGCCAACAAAACACCCGAGTTAGTCTTCCAGCTACCGTACCGGTGCCGTAACGGTGAAGATGGATCCGTTGTTCTGCTTCCGCCGCTTCCGCCGATCAAGAATTGCACTGAGCCGCTAGACCGCAGGGCGTGGGCCTTGCAAGAACGATTCCTATCGCCGCGAGTTCTCGAATATGGTTCTCTTCAGACGCGCTGGATCTGCCAACAAAATGTAGCAGTTAAGAATACTGTAGATGGCTGGAAGGACGAATTTGTGCGCAACACCAAGAGGTCGGACAGACTGTTTACAACTGCTTTACACGCTGTCCTAAGCAAGACGGATGCTCTTGCTCCGGATGATCCAAGCTACGAGCGCCCTGTCGCCCTGTGGCATTCACTTGTGAGAACTTACACTCATCGCAACCTTACTCTGCCTACTGACCGCCTTCCGGCCATATCTGGAATTGCGACGCAATTCGGGAGGATACTTCGTGATGATTATCTTGCTGGGCTCTGGAAATCACGGTTGGCCACAGAACTGCTTTGGAGCGTCGATTCTCTTGAAGAGCTCACACCGAGACCGCTTGTCTATCAAGGGCCTACATGGTCCTGGGCTGCCGTCAACAGCCCTGTATATTTGCCTACCCGCGCGGGGGGAGATATTTGTATCGAGATCCTTGGCTGTCAGACTCGTAAATCCGCGAAATACACAGTCAGTGATGGTAGATACGGAGCTGTCGAGTCCGGAATCGTGGTGCTTAGGGGGCGGCTACAGCCAGCTGAATGGGCGCTCAGCAACAAATTCTCGAGAGAAAGGATCCGAAGGCGGGATGTTGGAGACGTGAACGGCACACTTCCCGCGTTCACGACCTTCGATGCCCTCGAGGAAGATTTTGTAATGATGGATATCGATGTTATTCCGATCTTTCTTCTGAAAGTTTCTAGCCGGCCTGAAGGTCTAATCTTACGACCGAAGAGTAATACCGAGTACTCACGAGTAGGTCACTTTGAATTTGACGAGGCCCACCTGGACTTACGGCTTGAAGAGACCAAGGAGAGCCGAAGTCAGCGATATAAGATGCATTCGGACTGGCTCGACAGTGGTGCGGAACAGATTATCACCCTTGTTTAGCTCTATGTCGGGGTGTACTAGCAAGCTATCGTTGACTGTTCGGTGAGCCAAAGTTGTATCCCTGGTGCCTTTCAGCTTCACCTCGTCAGGCTGTCTCAGCATCAACTCTCACTATGCGTTACCATCGCACAGTGAGAGTCATGTGACACTTTCGCCATACAGACTCTTGCCGATCGTGCACGATACAAAGGCACCGAACTCTGGTTGCCACATCATGGCCATGAAAACGCCGGCTCCAAAGCCCCTGACCTCCCCGCAACCCCGTTCACCACCCCTAACACCAACACCACAACGCAGTTTAGGAAGAGAACACAGTACGAGTAGCTCTTGTCGACCACTCTAAGATGTATTCTGGCGCTTTAAACTAAGATCAATTGGCTGATGCTGATGCGAGTGTAAATGTTGCGGTTCTGGCGTCGGCGTTTTTATGCCCACAGCGTGCTGACTTGTGCGGCCGATTAAACCACGAGCGCGTACTAAACGCCCTATTCTCTTCTAAACAGTAATTCAATTAGCACGGTTACATAACAAGCTGCCTTTAACCAACTAGGTGTCTAGGTGTCACCGGCAACAAAAAGTTTGGGGCTACCAAGCGGGCCAGTCCCAAAGACCTCCAGTCTCGAAAGAAGAGCCGGCGCTGCCTCTTTCGGAAGCACGCCTCGCTGAAGAGATCTGAGTGCTAACGAACGGGTTCAGAATTGTTTGTAAACAGAATACGAGTAGAGTCCGTCAAGTCGTTACACTCTCCCATCCCGTCAACCTCCTCAGGTAGCCCACGAGCTTCCCCTCCGATCCCACCAGTTCTTCGACTCCGCCATGCTAAGCCCCGGCGTCACCACATCCTCCGTACTTGCCTCGCCCACAGCAGCAGCCGATGCCTGGCGCTGCTTAGTCCGCTCCCTCCGGTCCGCCTGCTCAGCCGCCAACCTCTCTTTCGCCATCTCGCTCGCCAGCACCGCCCGCTCGCTCCTGCTGTCCCGATTCAAGCTCCCATGACCCGACGCGAGACGGCTGAAGGGGTTTTTGAAGATGTGAGAGGGCGAGGGCGTATCATCTCCTGTGATAATTTTCTCGTCATCACCATCAGAATCCCTGTGGGTTTTCGCCGGGCGGAAGCTCCCAAGAAAGCTCTTATCCGTGCCGGGAATCTTGCGCCACGGCCGTTCGCGCAGGCTGAAGACAAAGGAGTCCGCCGCGCCCATGATGGTGAGGCAGAAGATGACGACGGTCGACAGCGAGGCCGGCGGATGCTGGGCCAAGTAGTCATTGTACTGCATGCAATGGAAGACAAAGGGTGGGATCCAGAGGATGACGTATATGACCGGGTAGATGAAGAGGAGACCGAGCTGGCGCTGGATGTTGGCACGCGTGCGGGCCATGCGCTGTTCGGCTGTCTCGGGATCCCGGCGACGGCCCCGGCCCCTTTTGCCACGGCGGGATGGATCTTCTGGGAGGCTGCACTCGACTATCGAGCCTCGTGTGTGATCGGTTGCGGTGGCGCATTCGGAGAAGGAGAAGGAGGTGCTCCTGCTGAGAGCCGTCGAGAAGCTCGTGGTGGACTTGCGGTGCTGGGACTTGTTGCTGTCGACAAGCCCACCTAATTTAGATTGCGCGTCATTCTTGCCAACCTCCGGATTTAGTTTGGGGACGGTGGGGATCGAGTCGTCCGTTCGGAATGTGACCACGGAGGGCCTGCGGCCTGACGCTGCCCGAACGAAGTCCGGTCTCCAGGCATCGAAATCTGTCGTCTCCTGGGCGAAGTCGTCTTTCTCCTGAGCGAAGTCATCCGTCTGCTGGGGGGGATCCTCTTTCTCCAGAGCTGGCACACCAGGACTATTCGAAGTGTCCGGTCCCTCGTGGTGCGACCCGACTGTAACCTGGGATGGTTCCTCTGGCGATAAGGAGGGAAGCGATGATCTTCTCTCGGCCTCATCGTAAGACCTGAAATGAAATGCGACATAGGTATACACTGCTATAGCGAGACCGAGGACGATGAAAATGATGACGTATCTAGGGATCCAAGCAAGCGCGAGTCGGTACCAGAAGGGTCTGATGGGCAGAGAACAGAAAGGGCCATTGTTCACGAAAGCATCATGTGGGTTGACGAAAGCGAGCCCCGACATCAGAGTCGAGATACCAAGGATGCAGAGGTAAACCCAGTGCCTCCATCGAAAGAGACCGTCAGAGTTGGAAGCTCTGAAAAGGGGCAACAGGATCTGCATGGCTCCATGGATAGACAGGAACAGGATAGACAAGTCTAAATGTAGTCGTTAATCTCAAGGTTCTATGCGGAATAGAAAAGAAACATACCCGTCGCCTCGGTACCCCACTGAACCATGAAGCCGCTTGTTTGGCAGAACGGCGACGAAGTGGAGATCGCTCCATGTCCGACAGACACGATCGCATGGACGAAGTACCACATGGCTCTGACAAGATCTCCAAGGACCAGTAGCATGATCAGTCTACACAGCATCAGAGTCAGCCAACATGCCATTCCCGCGACTTGTAGAGGCAATACAAACATACTTGTGCCGAAAGCGCTTCCTCATGCGGCAGAACCAGTAAAATGCGAGGGAGCAGCTGATGATACTGAGGACAGATGAGGTGAGGGCGGTATACTGGATAGCTAATCTAGCTGTGTTGCTGTATCGCATCTGCCTGGGTACATCGGAAGATCCGGCGGCGCGGGTAAAGACAGAGGAGACATGATGGGTTGCGGGTGCGATAGATTCTAGGGGTCGCAACGGGAAACTGTACATTTGTTCAATAGTGGCTACATAGGTTGTTCAAGGAATGAATGATCTCACCTAGAAGTGGCATGTCGCATAGAATAGTGCTCGGGCACGCTTTCTACTACGACAGGCATATCGAAGACCAAAAGAGGCAGGACCGTCCACCGCTTGACCGAGCCCAACCTCAGAATCGTACCACTACACAGCCTAAACTCGTCCGAGGTACTTCACCATCCGGTATGCGTAGTCAAAATCGAAATATTTGGCGTTCGACCTGAATCACCAAAACCTTGGTTCTGCTGGTGGCTAAGCAATGCGCACACATTGCCGACTGAGAGAGAGGGACGACAGATCCAACTAAATTCGTGCTTGCGCGGTAATCGCTGTCTGCGATCTTTGTGGTGTTCAAACACGTTACACACGTGCAGGCCATTGTGTTGGCAGCAGTGTCGGTTGCGGTAGGAGCTCGTGAAAGACAAAGCAACGCTGCCGCATCCATTGCGCGAACCACGACTGACGAGAAGAACAACATAGGTGTTTGGGGTATCGTACGATCGTGGCTGCCAATCGCGCCTGTCAAGATTTGCGCGTGATGCGCGCAAAATAACACTCAGAAAAACGTAGCCAGCTTTTGTAATCAAAGAACGCTCGCGAACAAAGACAAACGCCTATCTTGGCCGAATCCTCGACTTTCATCAATGTAACGTAAGCGATCATGTTACAAATTCAGTTCTCGTGCTGTGAGTCAATATGTGCTTCGTTGGTCTTTGCATGGATAGAGATCTGATTGACAAAGCTCTACCATTGGAATGGAGCTAACCTTAAAACAAACCCCCGCTTCTGACAAGCCAGATCAAGAACAGCGACGATAAAACGCTGACCGCACTGAGAGGCGGGAAAGGATGACTTCGAATTGCGAACGATGATGCCTCATGCGCTGCATGGATCGAATAGCACGCGGGCTATGTGACTGATGTCCATGCCGCTTCTCCGAGACGGTGTTTGCCGTCCACACCCCTTGGAGGAACATGCATCTTACATGAATGGCCTTTTAAAGCGGCTTCTTTGCTGATTCTAAGCGCCCCACGTAGATGTGACCTAGAATCACGTATCGGATGCTGAAGCGTCCACGGGCCTAGAACCATTCTAACATTGGATCAACCCGGAATGCAGTCTTGACCGAATCAGTCCAAGGCGGGTCCCAGAACAATGAGACTGAACCTTAAATCACCACCGCCCGCTTCCGCTTCCCGCTTCAGAAAGCTGCGGACACCAAGATCAAGCGCTTTGTCGCTCAACACATCTTCATCCGCGTCGAGCGAACCTCGATTGATTGGGCCTTTGCGTCTCCCGTCCATCTCCCACAGGTGGCCGTTTTCGCTCTTGACGAAGCAGACGTAGTGCAGGTCGATTGGGTCCTCGGCGGCCGGTGCAGCCGTCTGCCCACCGCTGGCGGCGGATTGATGTGCGCTCTCAAGAGCCTGCGATTCGTATAGCAGCTCGGCGCGGGCCGCTGGTTTAAGGGGTATTGCGTCTGCTAAGAGTTTGGAGAGGTTGGTGTTTGGTTCTGCCAGACTGTCAGCGTTTCCGCACTGCAAATAGTTCGGCTTGTGCACATAGACAAACCAATGTGTGATCGCGCTTCGCCATTAGAGACACCATGCAAAAGCCCGATCAGGCCGCAAGCATTCCCAATCGTCTGCTTGTACCATACTACCTCCTCTTCCGGTCCAGAACCATCGTACTGGGGCTTGTCTGAATCCTCTTCAATCCGGAACTTCTCGTACGTATCGCTGACGGGGAAGATAAGCAGTAGCGCGTGTGCCGGGCGAGGTACGAAAGCGAGGAGATCTGGGTCGTCTATGCTGAAGACGTCGTGGAAGGCGAGCTTCTCTGAAAGGCCAAGTTTGTGGACGAGCGAGGACATAACCTCGGGATTGTTCTCTATCAACGGACATCAGAGTTCTGCCATGAGTTTACGCTGAGGATACCCACCTAGTGGTATGAACTTCTTTTTGCCTCTCGTTGACGCATCGCCGCCCTGACCGTGAGGGTCTGCTCTCACTTGCTCTGTATCTGCCATGATGACTAGCAGTTATTCAAGACTATGACTTTTGCCCGGTAATATATGTTGTGGAGGTGAAGGTACAATCGACCGCACATGAGTGCAGACCACCATCGGATGACGTTTGACCGAACACGAGCCGCGAACACGCAACGCGTCAGATCGTCCGCGCCTAGATTACCGTACCAGTGGTTACCACCTGCAGCGGTCTGTGAATTGTGTGATAAGGTAGCGACATGTCTTCCTGCTCAAGGAACAATACTGATCCGTAGGAGAAAGTCTGAAGACATCCATGTGATGGAAAGTCAAAATTGGTCTATTCGTGTCCAGCAACCTAAGCTATGCATGCGTAACGACTGCCCCTCGTTCATGAATCCGATGCCACCAAGTCGTCTCTCCATAAAGCACTCTAAATAGGATTTCCCCCAAGATTACTTCCTTTGAGCCTTCAAGTTATCCAAGAACTCCTGAGGCGGCTGCTGTCGGTAACCTTCAGGGTTATTCTCGGTCCACCTCCAAAGATCTTTGCAAGCATTTTCCAGCGTGAACTCTGTCTTCCAGCCGAGCTCCTTGTTCGCAAGCGAGGGGTTGGCAGTCAGATTCAGAACATCACCCTGCCTTCGAGGCGCAACCTGGTAGGGGAGATCTCGACCCACGGCAACGCCGAAGGCCTTGATCATGTCGTAGACTGTCGAGCCCCTGCCAGTGCCAAGGTTCCAGGCTTTCAGTCCTGGGTGATGATCTCGGAGATAGTTCAGCGCGAAAAGGTGGCCTCTTGCTAAGTCCACGACGTGGATGTAGTCGCGGATGGCTGTGCCGTCTTTCGAGTTGTAGTCTTGACGCCAGAGTCAGCGTGAAGTCCCAGCGCTGGAGTGCAATAAGTATCTTACCGTCACCGAAGACCAACAGCTTCTCGCGCTTGCCGACAGCGACTTGCGCAAGGAGTGGTAGCAGATTATAAGGTACTCCGGCAGGATCCTCGCCCATGATACCACTCGGATGTGCCCCTGCTGGATTGAAGTATCGCAGCAGCGCGCCGTTCCACTTCTCTGCTTCAGCGTCGTTCCCCGCCTTCTTAGCCAAGTTGCGCTTGGCCGTAATGAAGTCAGTGATCATCTGCTCCACTGTTGCCTTTGTGTGCCCATAGGTGTTGGTCGGGCCAATTGGGCAATGCTCAGGAATGGGGATCATGTCGGGGAAGCGTGTGGCATCTCCGTACACGGTCGCTGATGATGAGAAGACGATGTTGGTCACATTATGCTCATCCATTGAGCGGAGGAGATTGATGGTGCCGCCAACGTTGACGCGGTAATATTCAAGTGGAATCTCTCCCGACTCTCCAACAGCCTGTCGTTGACGGTTAGAACCAGCGAGATCTAGACTGACTAGCAAACGAACAGGGAAGCTGTTGACACGGTCATGCTCAATGAGATTAGAATCCATACCTTCAGGGCTGCAAAATGAATGACGTTGTCAATATCCGGGTGCTCATCGAAGACCTTGTCGAGTGCCTCCTTGTTGGTGATGTCGACATTGTAAAAGTCAGGCCTCTTCCCGCAGATCAACTCAATTCGGTTGATAACTTCGTCTGAGGAGTTATACAGGCTGTCAACGATGACGACCTTGTAATCGGCCTCTAGCAGAGCAAGGGCGGTGAAAGAGCCAATGTAGCCGGTTCCACTGACTATGTTAGAGCCTGCAATCTAACAGCCCGTCCAAAGCCGAGAGACATCGGGGATTCAATGCCAATGTGCTGCAGCTCGGCGCCGTGCGTTACCCTGGCCTCAGCTCACAACGCCCTGCCGCCGCCCGCAACGAGGCTGAAGGCCGAAGAACTGTCACTCACCCGGTAACAAGAACAGAGCCAACCGTCATGTTTGCAATTGCAATTGCTAGTCAAAGTGCACAGTTCACAGGCACCGACCACGGTAGAATATATGGAAGCTGCGGGCAAATTCTCGGGATGTCGTGGTATTCGTACTCGTACCTTTACGAATGTCCGCTTTGCAAGGCTCTTACTCACGAATCCCACCATGCAAGGTTGCTCATCCGTCCCGTCCACGGGTGTCATGGAGATCCCAGCAAGCGGCATGTTCCGGCGGCTGAGCCAAAAATGGCACACCAGGAGACTCACGTCCCAAACGAGCCGCAGCGACCCGTGCGCACGCGAAAGTAGTCTTCGGGGAAGCTTCGGCAAAGTGAGCGCATTCTTCGAGTGAAAACAACACGCCTCTATCTAACGTGACTTGACGAGTACGCGGTCGGTGGGAAGCAAAGTCTGCCAGTGAAGTAGGAATTGCTGGTCGCTTAGCTCAGAACATGCATCTGGACACTTCTGTGCAAGAGAACTGAGGATTCTGGATCCAGCTGATGCTGCCATCTCCCCAGTGAAGCGCTGCTCACACTTTTGGACTGTCACGGAATTCAGGACACCAGGCAGGATCCGATCCATTCATCCATTGAGGCCCAGGATCCCTTCGCAGCAATAGCAAGTAGGAGACCGGAGACAATCGGGAGGATAAGGATTGTTGGAGAAGGTTGGAGCTGAGTGGGTGACAAGAAAGCTGGAAGCTATTCTCATTGCCAGGTGAGCCTTTTTCAAACCTACTTCACTTCCCATTTAACTGAAGTCAAACACCGCACAATAGCAACAATGGCTCTATTCATGGCCAGTGCCCTTCAGAACTTTCTATATGAGCAGCTCTTACTCTTGCACACCTTGTTCGATCCTTCAACTCTCTCTTCTCACTGCAGATTTTGCACTCTTTTCGATTCATCTTCATCTCTACATAATCGCACATGTCTTTCAATCCCCTGTCCGAAATTTCACGTTCCTGGCGTCAAGGAGGCACAGGTGTACCCACTGTTAGTGCATTCTTCATGGACAGATAGTCACGAACTGCATGCTGACACGCACCGCAGTCAGAGATGTCGGCAACTCCGCGTCGTTCCACTCGCATCGCCACCTCGCGTGGCACTACGCCGGTAGCTTCTACCTATGCAGCGTCGAACGTTGGCACGGCCTCTCGCAGGACTAGAAGACCCGAATCTGGTGCGCTACCAGCTCTCCCCACCACGCAGTCCAGCGCATATGGCGCGCAAGGCAAAGTGACTCTAGCTAAGACCCTTCAAGTTCGCGGATCCACCACCGGCTTCCTTTCCACCTTTCACGAAGAACGCGTCAGCGTCTCACCGGAAGCCAGCGAGCTTGGCAGCCCCCCTCCCCCCAGCGCAGGTACGGATTTCCTGGACGGTGGAGACCTTACCACTTCACAGGATATTTCCAAATCCTTCGGTCTAACTCATGAAGCAGGCGCCGGAGTTGGAGATCGACTTGACTCAAGCATCCATACTGGCCGCAGGTCCGCTTATGACTCCCATGGCTCCAGCTTCCAGCATTACCGCCTCACCGATCCTCCGCGGCGGCCAATCTCACAAACCAGGCCTGCTCCCACTCGCATGCCCAACCCATGGCACATTGCACGCAATGCCTTCCTCAGGCGTTACTTCGCCGGCGGCCAGCCCCGCTTGTGGCGTCGATCCGACCCGGAGATACTTGGGCTCTTCGCCCTGATTCTTTTCTTGATCTGTTTCTTCACCGGCATCAGACTTCCCAACGCGGTCACTCGCGACTTGGGCACCAACGTCAAGTATATGGGTTCCACTGTCAAGGAAAACATCCCGAATCCGTTCAACGCCTTCACTAAAGGCGCAACTCATACCGTCTTCGACGCCAGTACCAGACTGCCGCTCCACACTCAATCGATTCATGAGGCTGTATCCAAACACGACCGGGCAATTCAGTGGCTGCAGATCGAACAGCGCAATCTTAAAGAATCGCATGAACGGGTCAAGGATGATGTTTACCGGCAATCCAACTGGTTCCACGACGCAAGACGCCAGTCCGAGCACATTGTCAACCCTATGAAGCGTGTCAACTTCTTCTCCGCTGCACTCGGCGCTGTCGTTGATCCTCATCTCACCTCTCCGACGCAAGTTAAGTCCCTCAGTTGGGGTCAATACTTCTGGACCTCGCTTCCCATCGTCTGGGTACCAAAGCCGCGCCCCGCTATCGCTGCCCTGGAACCATGGACTGAGGCAGGAGATTGCTGGTGCGCCGCCAGATCCCGCCAGGGCCAAGCGCAGTTGGCAGTTCTTATCCCGAAGCCAATTTTCCCGTCATCCGTCACCATCGAGCATGTCCCGAAGGCTGGTGCCCTTGACATCACTTCCGCGCCGAAGGACTTTGAGGTGTGGGTTGAGGTACCCGACAAGGAGTTGCGAGAGAAGTTACTTTTCAAGATGATCCCAGAGGGATGTAGCAGCGACGCGCCGGCACCTGGGTATGCCTGCATCGGTGGTGGGACGTATTCTACCAGCAATTCCTACCATGTCCAAGACTTCCCCACGATCGACATGGAGGAGTTTGGCGTGCCAATTCGGAAGGCCGTCATCCGCATCAAGAGCAACTGGGGTCAGGGTTGGACCTGTATTTACCGCATTAGCATGCACGGGTCAGCGGCATTACAGCGTTGGGGGTGAAGTGGTGAGGCCGCTGGGCGGTTGGATCTTGCGTGTTGATACCCTTCCGTAGTTGGTGCTTCGTTTCTATAAGCACAGTAATGCATCATGTCTACAGACTGCTACATACCGCTGCCCGCGACTCTCTTCCGTAACTCAGTCATGTCTTACTTTATCCTATCTACTAGTCAAGCCAGGTCTCGATAACTCCCAGTTTCATACAATGTCGAACCTTGCCGCAGGAGCCTATAAGTTCTGCCGAGGTGTGACAATGACTTCTTCTCACATCATCCCCCTGACTCTAGATCCCCGTCAATCAATGACACTGCTCTCCACCTTCGAAGCCTTGGAGAACCACCAGAATGTCCCTATCCAGCTATGCATGCCACCATCCATCCCATCGATACATCTCCGCAACCGTGACCCGGTTCTTTCCGTTCTCAGTCCCAGCCTGGGATCATGACTTCGTCAACCGCTTGATCTCCGATATAGTGACTTTTATCTCGGTCAGAAGAAGGGGCATGGATGCTATCAAGCCTTCTACCTCGTGGACGCCTCTACGTCGTTGTGTCGATGCCATCACACCACATGGCTATACAAGGAGCTTCTGACATGTACTAGCTCCAGCACCAATACCAGGCAGTCGCCCAGCGCTGGATTTGTATATGGGCATCAGCTTTTATCAATCTCAGAATTTGTGACTGGAATGGAATTCTGCTCCTTATCGATAAGCTGTGACATTGGCTGAGGATTTTTGGGGGTTTGAGTCAAACGACAAACCAATGACCATTCTAAGATCCATACCGCGCCTGTCCTTCATCACCAAAGCAAAATCTCCCAGCCCTTTCAGATTTTGCTCCAAAAGTGTTTCGACTGCTGGAGAGGCCTTTACTGTGCGTCAGCAGGGACCATACAAACACCACAAACCACCTACACATATATTTAAGCGCACCATGGCGACGCCATCAATCGACGAATCGCTAGCCTCTCTTCTCCAGAAAACCTCTCTCTCGTCCGAAGTCTCCTCCGACAGCGACCCCGTCAAGGCCTCGAGTGCCCTCTTCCCCGACGCCCACTACAGCGACGCCGAAAAGAGCGAAATCAGCCAATGGCTCATTACCGCCTCGCACATCGGCTCCCCCAGCGAGGACCAAGCGAAGACCGCTGAAAGGCTCTCGTCACTGAACACACACCTCTCGAGCCGCACCACTGTGCTCGGCAGCAAGCCCTCAATCGCAGACCTAGCACTCTATCAACATCTCGCGCCTGTGGTATCAAAATGGTCAACCGAAGAGCGCACAGGCGAGCAAGGCTACCACCACATCGTGCGCTTCGTCGACTTCGTCCAGGACGCACCCGTATTCGGCCTCAAGCTCCCAGATAGCGAGAAAGTAGCTATCGACCCCAACGACGTCAAGTTCACCATCAAGCCCATCGACGCCAAAGCAGAGAAAGAGCGCAAGAAGAAAGAGAAAGAAGCCGCAGCCGCCAGCGCCGTCTCCTCCGGCGCAACCCCCACCACCCTCACCGGCTCGCGGACACCGCCCACCGACTCCAGCCGCAAAAGTAAGAAAGACAAAACTCCCGACACTCCCAAAGACCTCGGCGACAAAGTCGGCGCCGCCGTCGCCGCCTCCCCCTCCGTCCCGATCGGCCAGCCCAGCGCCGGCGAGTCTTCACAGAAGAAAGAAAAGAAGCCCAAGCAGCCTAAACCCCAAAAGGCCGCCGCGCCCGAGAAGCCGCTCTCCCCAAGCCTAATCGACCTGCGCGTCGGCCACATCCTGAAAGCAATCAACCACCCCAATGCCGACAGCCTATACGTCAGCACCATCGCATGCGGCGACGCGCCCGGCACCGAGAATACGAGCGAGTACGAGGGCCAAGTCGTGCGGACCGTCTGCTCCGGCCTCAACGGCCTGATACCCCTCGAGGAGATGCAGAGCCGGAAAGTCGTGACGGTGTGCAACCTCAAGCCCGTCACGATGCGGGGCATCAAGTCATGCGCGATGGTACTCGCTGCCTCTCCACGCGTTGCTGAAGGGGAGGACAGCCATGGCGGGCCGGTTGAGCTGGTAAATCCGCCGGAGGGCGCGGAGGCGGGGGAGAGGGTCTTCTTTGAGGGGTGGGAGGGCGAACCGGAGCCGGTGCTGAATCCGAAGAAGAAGATTTGGGAGACGTGCCAGCCGGGATTTACGACGACGGAGGGACTGGAGGTGGGGTTTGAGGTCGATGCCGTGCCGCAGTTGGCGGGTGAGGGGGCGGAGAAGAAGACGGGGGTGGCGAAGCTGAGGACGAGTAAGGGCGTGTGTACCGTCAAGAGTCTGAAGGGGGCTACGGTTCGGTGAGATGAGACCGCCTACGTACTGAACGAGCATCAACCTGCAAGCTGGTACGCGTCACAGTCCTCGAGCAGCTCGAGAGAGGTGGGTATGAAGCAGATCCTGAACCTTTGTAAGGGACAGAGGCTGTATGGAGGAAGAGGGATATGGAGGCTCAAGATAAACGTATCAACAAGCTGAGGCACTTCTGATCTGATGTTGGAAGTCCACTCAGGCTAGAGACCATAGAAAGACTACAAAAGAATCACCTTGCTACTATATACGCTCTTTTTTTGTGAAGCCACGCTGAGATTTTTGACACAACTATCTCGTTGGCAGCTTCCAGTCCTTGTACGACCATTTCTCTGTGACAGTGGTCTTCCGTTTCTTAGCCTGGGTGATACGTCGCCTTGTCTCGACCCTGCCTCTCAGTAGCATGCTTCGGTACCGGTCCTTGAGTAGATTTCCTTCTGGCTTTAACAGCCGCAGAGAATCCTGGAGCTCGTCCTCAAGGACGACCTCAAGGGGTGCCTGTGGAACACTGCGAGTGATGTTAGCCAGGGTCAACGTAACGGAGACACAAAGTGTAAACGTACGGGACCTTCCCAAACTGCCTCCGTCTTAGAACCTCTTCTTCATCCGAAGAGACCTCATCTCCAGCAACAACAAGTGCTTGCGTCTGCTTCCTAGCCCTCTCCTTCGCCTCCACTTCCTTCGCCAACTCCCGTATCCGCCTCTGCTGCTGCTCCTTCGCCTTCATCCCCGCCTCATGCACCGCCAGCCTCTCCGCCTCTTTCCTCCTCTTAATCTTGTTCCTCTCCGCCTGCGTCTTCCTCTCCGGCCTCTTCATCTTCAGCTTCTCCGCCTCCTCCGCCTCACTCTGAAACCCCTCCCACTCGCTCTCCCACTCGCTCTCCCACGCACTCTCATGCTCCCTCTCCTCCGCTGCAACAGCCCGCTCCAACCTCTCGGCCTCCTCCCGCGCCTCCGCCAGTCGCTTCTTCTCCGCCTCGACTTCCTTCTCGCCCTCGCGAGAGATCAGCGCGGCGTAGTCCTCAAACAACGGGTTGTAACTCCGCCCCGCCTCTGGCTTCCGCACGGCTGGAACAGGCTTGCCGCTCGCGGCCAGCGATACCGGCGCGTGCTTCAACGTCGGGGGCTCCCGAATCGCTTTCTTCGCTTCCAAGAATGAGAATCGCGCATCCGGTACCCGTTCCTCCACCGCCCACGGATCATGACTCGCGCTCTCCGACGCCTGCACAACGTCGCTGGAGGCAGCGGCGCCACCGTAAGCGACCCGCTTGAGGCGCTCGAGCTCCTGGTGCGACACCCCTCCGCTCTTCAGCTTCTTACTCGACGGGACGATGCCATCCGTGGTGCGGGACGCGGGACGCTTGCGCGAGTCGACGGCCGGGATGGCGGAGCGGGCAGCGAGGATCTCGTCGGCTTTGAGGGGCTTGTGGGTCTTGAGAACGGATTTTTGAATCGTGGCAGAGCCGGCGGTGTCGTGGATGAAGAGGGAGGTGGAGGGTTTTTCGGCGATGACGCCGCTGAATGCGGTGTTAGATCTCTGCGTGAGGGGAAGACAGTAGGAGTCGAGGCTGCTTTACCCTTTAATCACTTCGTCTTGGACGGTCTCAAGGCCTTGCTGGATTTCGGTAATGTCGACGTTTTTGCGCCACGCCTTCTTGCCTTTGCGGGAGGGCTGCTTAGGCTGGCGCGGTGCTTCGATTGCGGTCGACATCCTGGCCTGGCTTTTTGAGCTGTCAACGGCGCTGGTGAGGTGTGAATAATGTCACTTGCTCTACCTATTAGAGCTTTCCCACAAATCCTGAGGTCTGAAGTGGAATTTTTACAATCGATAGCAGCGCTCGGGCCGACGCACCCCATGCCAAGGAGCAGGGGCGGCCTGCATGCGGATGCGGATGCGTAGCGGCGAGCGGCGGTGCTCGAAACTCCTGATGAGCAATTTGAGTGAGCATGCATTGTAAAGACGACATCAACGCCTACTCTGCTCTTCTTCTCTCCTGACTGCTACCGATCGTATCGCCGCCGCTGTCATAACCTCTCTACCACATCCGCAGCAATGGCGCAATCAGGGTACTCGAACCCGCTGAAGAAGTTCAAGTATTTACTCCCCTTCAGGCACCAACCACGCACACTGACAATTGCTCCCAGGCTCGTCTTTCTCGGCGAACAGAGCGGTACACTTCCCTCGCACCCTCAATCCCAACCCCGGAGTACCCTACTGACGCTCCCCCTCCCCTAAGTCGGCAAAACCTCCCTGATCACGCGCTTCATGTACGACTCTTTCGACAACACCTACCAAGCGACAATCGGTATAGACTTCCTGTCCAAGGTGCGCCCTTCCCAACCCACGTCCTGACACCCCATGGCTAAGTCTGCGCCTGGCCGGAAAAGACCATGTACCTCGAGGACCGCACCGTGCGGTTACAGCTGTGGGACACGGCGGGCCAGGAGCGGTTCCGGAGCCTGATACCGAGCTACATCCGCGACTCGAGCGTCGCGGTCGTCGTGTATGATATCACAAGTCTGTCCTTTCCCGCCGCTGCCACCAACCCCAACCCCAGCTAACACCTCCCCCCCCTCACACAGACCGCAAGACGTTCGAAAACACGCGCAAATGGGTCGACGACGTGCGCGGCGAGCGCGGCGTCGACGTCATCATCGTGCTAGTCGGCAACAAGACCGACCTGAACGACAAGCGCGAAGTCACGACCGCGCAGGGCGAGGAGGAGGCCAAGAAGCACAACCTCATGTTCATCGAGACGAGCGCAAAAGTGGGACATAACGTCAAGACGCTGTTCAAGCGGATAGCGCAGGCGTTGCCGGGGATGGAGGGGGAGGGAAGTAGGGGGGAGAGTCAGAGTAAGTTGGGTTGGGGATTTCAAGGCGATGTGTGTGTGTGTGCAGAGGATGTGGCTGACGGTGGGGCAGTGATCGATGTGAATATTAATCCGACGCCGCAGGCGGAGAACCAGGGGTGTGCTTGCTGAGTGGGACGGTGGAGTGTGCTTGATTTGAATAATTCTTGTATAGGCTTCTTGGGCAGTGGCTTCGGTTAGTTCGCATGCGCGCGGCTTTGCGTTGGCGGCTTTGGCAAGCATGGCGTCCTGGTAGGGTTAAGCTAGGCTGGGTTATACCGGAGGCGTGCATGGTAGCGGACAGTAGCGCATATTCAAGACTAGAGATTGTAAACATTGTGAAGCTCATGGTTGCTGAAGTTTCGATTGAAGTAGACAATACAGCCAAGAAGTTCGACATAGTCCGCGGATGCTGCCCCGACCGCTTTCCTACCATAGTCCAAAACCAGCCTCTCGAAGGTGATCGACCAGTGATGCTCCATCTATGCGAACACATCCGTAAGAGCACGTAAAATCCGAACTCCGGCGGACTGATATATATTTACAGCGGTGTACAAGAGATGTGATTGTGATACGGTCACGTGGAGTGACGAAGATGGCATCGTCGTAGAGCCTACTCATCGACAGCGAGGCCGGAGCCGCTGTCAGAGCCTCTGTCGGAACCGGCCCTGACGGAACTTGCTCGGACGGGGATGCTTGTGTCGACGGCAATCATCTCGGCGAGGATATCGAGGATGGGCTGGGAGAGGTCAGCAAGGGCGAGTCGAGTAACGCGAAAGCCAGACATACCTTGGGCACCGTCTTGTCGTAGATGTTGATGAGCTCCTTAGGCTGGGGGTACACCTTCAGGGCTCGGTAAAAGCACAGAGCGGCCTCAATAGGATCGGATCCTGGAGCGGTCCTCCGTCAGCATTTGGCCGCAGCTTGTTCCAGGCGGAGCATAAATACCATCCTGGCACAATGTCTCTCCCCGCGCAACCTCCTGCATGAAGTATCCCTCCACCTCATCGGGATCCCTAGGGAAGCCCTCCTCATTCGCCTTGTCCACAGCCGCTCTGATAGCCTTCTTCTGCTGCGCGCCCTGTGCCTCCGCCTCCTCCTTCGCGGCACGCTGCGACTTCTTGGACTCGCGCTTCAGGGCTTTCCGGAACTCGATATCAGTGCGCCGGCGGTGGTCAAAGTAGATGGCGTATGCGAGGAAGCCGGTCACGGCGACGGCCACGGAGGCGGCGATGATGGTCGTTGGCCGTGTTTGGGAGGATTGCGAGGACATTGTGGCGGGCTGGAATGGGAAGCTGGGGCAGGAATACAACGGGCGAAGAAGAAGAGCTCCAAGAAGAGACGATCAACGACGGGCTGATGCTGTTTGCTGCCGCGATTGATGCTGGCGTAAATTTCTGGGACCTTGGGTGGAAGCTCATCGGAAGAACATCACGTGTTCGAAAGAAACGGTCGTGCTCAAGCTTCCAAGCCTTCGGTGTCTCGGCGATACCTCACGACTATCTTGCACAACACACGCCTCAAGCCATTGTAAATACGCCGCCAAACATGGAAGAGAAGGAGCAAAGCAAGGGCATTTCCCTCCGCAAGAAGAAATCCGTCCGCCCAAAAATCAGCGCACCACAGCTGATTAGCGCCCCGTTACCCACTGGCATCTCCGCGCCATCCATACCAGAAGAGCGCTCACGACCCAGTGAAAGCAGCTCAAGACTTGACGTACCGCGCGAACGGACACCGAAGGGGGGCAAAACTTCCGATCTGGTCCAGAGACGATACTCGACCCGGTTCACGCAGCAAATAGACTTCACAGCGGGCGCGCCTCCAATCCCCTCCATACCTTCTGTACCAGGCCAGTTCCAGACACCGCCCACGTCGCGCGATGGCCGGCCAGCAGCATCAGGCGGGCAGCGCATCAAAGTCGACGCGCAAGCACTCAGAGACCCGAATCTACAGCCTGAGCAGTATGTCGCGTCGCTGCTTGCCGATGCGGACGAGCAGGACATCCGCAACTACCAGGATGAGCTGCGCAAATTGAAAAACAGGACATCGACGGACCTCCAGGCGAACGTCTACCAGAACCGCACGCAGTTCATCAAGATTAGCAAGGAGGCGGAGAAGTTGCGGGGCGAGATGCGCACGCTGAGGACGTGGATGTCGGAGCTCACGGGCACGCTGGGGCAGACGACGTCTGCAGTGGCAGACACGCCGACCGATACGGTAGATGCGAGGAAGCGCGCGAACAGGAGCTCCGTCGCGAATCTGGAAGCCATGTGGAGCACACATCTGCAGCAACTCTGGAGAAGGGTCGAGGGAAGTCAGAAGTACCTACCTGCAATACCTGGACGACACGTTGTGTATGAGTCCTCTCGCTGGGTGGAGCTGAATGCCGCGACGTGGAAACCGAGGCAAAGGGTGCATCTCATTCTGCTCAACGATCACCTGCTGGTTGCCTCGGTGAAGAAGCGTGCGGATGTCTCTTCGCCCAACATGAGAGACAATGAGCAGAAGCAAGATGTACAGCTGACCGCAGAACGCTGCTGGCCGCTGCAGGACGTAAAGTTGGCAGATCTCTCCACCGCAAGAGGAGCATCAGAGGGGCGCGATCGTAACGGCGAAAGACAGCGTGCCGGTGATGCTGTCAACATCAGAGTTGGCTCGGAGTCTTTCACGTTTGCAGCGGTTGGCTCCGCAGCAAGTAGTGACAGGGCTGCTCTAGTGACGACGTTTCGGAAGACGGTGGAAGACTTGCGCAGAAGCCAGGAGGCCGAGACAGACGAGAGGCGACGTACCCAGGAGCTTGGAGGGCAGTTTGCAACAAGAAAACTGGGTGTGCTGAATGGTCTCAACTCGCTCGAGGATCAATCGGACAGCACGTCGCAACGTCCAGCGAGCGTGTTTGTCGAGGTTGATGGAAAGCAGCAAAGCCTCCAATGGGTTGAGAGCCAGTTTGATGATCTGGACATCGATATCGCGCTGCATCATTTCGAAGACGCCGTCGCCAGGACGGAAAAGCTCAAGCGTATGGCGAAAGGTAACAGAGGCAACGCAGCTGTATATAACACATTGACGTCCAAGGTCAACGAAAAGGCCACGAGATTAGCTGGACTGATATCCAAGGAACTGGCGGACAGTCATGCTTGGAAAACGTCCACCCAAAGGAACGTCAGCTGGTTGTCACGGCTTGGATTCGAGGACCGCGCCAGGGAGGTTTACCTAGATGCCCGAAGCAGTGCCATCGAGCAGCGATGCAGGTAAGTCAACAGAAGCCGCCCCTTCTTGCGTCCCAGACACGCTGGCCTTTAACACGTGATTGCAGGCAATGCATTTTTGAAGGCAATCTTCACGACTACATCTACGAAATCTCCTTTATCTACTTCACCATCATCCAAAACACGGTAAAGGTCTATGGAGCCTGCTTTCCTGCGCCTATGATGTCTGCTTGCGTCAAGTGGGCGAAGGAGCACGTGGACGACTTTAACGTGATCTTGGAGCGGCAACTAAGTAGCTTACCTGAAGGGAGTCCGAAGAGAGCTGAGTGTCTCGAACGAGCCAGAGAGCATGGGAGGATGCTTGCGGAAGTGGGGTTGGATTTCAAAGACCTCATTGGCAGAGCAGTGGAGGAGCGAAGCGATGGAGGCGTGAATGACACAGTTGGGTTGGGGGTAGCTTGATGCATTGGTTTCTAAGCAGACATAACGTCCATACTTCTGGTGATACCCCGTTACACAAGCCTCTGTCGTTTCTCTTCTAGAACATCTCAGTGTTGCGTCTTGCGTCAAAGTGATCAGTCACATCACCAAATTTCATGCACGCCAAGACTTCCAGTTGCCTACAGCAACAGGCCACAGCTACTTCACCCAGTGTCACCAGCGAACTTCGCACCATCGGCCCTATTCATTCCAGCTTTCGCTTCCACTTCAACCTTATCCACCCTCAGTCAACTCAACTTGATTCATTTCAGTACACTTCGTAAGCTTTGTTGCACATTCGTTCGCTGTCTACGCCCTTCAGATCCGCCAACCTTATTACTCGACAGCTGCCGGACGCAATCAAAAGCACATCACGTCAAACCTCAACATGTCTACCACCGCTCCTGCAGACAACCAGGCCGCAGAGTTCCTCTGGCTGTGCCTCAAGGAGTCTGGCTACAAGAAGGTACGATAGCTTACAATCGGTATCAATGAACCTCCGATACTTCCCAAGAGTCTATGCGCTAGCCAAGATCTGTTCGGTCTGAGCGTGTTTCATCCAAGTTCACTTGGCCTGGTGTGGTCCGATCTTGAGGCTAACCGCGCACTCCGCTCAGATCGATCATCAGGCAGTCGGAGAGGCTTTGGGCATCACTGGGAATGCTTCGAGCCTCCGGTTCATGCGTTTGCGCAAAGCAGTGGGTGATGGCAAGCCCGTCAAGAACGAGCATTATGGTTTCCTCAAACTGTGCATCGCCAATTCGGACGTCGGCAAGGTATGTAGGCTCCATCTCTGGCAGTCCCTGCTGCGGCCAGCGATCACGTGCCTTGATACTTCACTAACGCCGTCCAAGATCGATTTCGCCAAGGTCGGCGCTGCTCTTGGCATCACCCAGAATGCAGCCAGCCTTCGCTACATGAGACTTCGCAAGAAGGCCGGGGATGATCAAGGAAACCCCAGTCCAGCTAGATCTGCGCCGTCGACACCGGTCAAGAAGACCCCTACAAAGACCACCAAGACCCCAGTGAAAGTCATGAGGACTCCAGTAAAGAATGCGAAGACCACCAAGACCCCAAACTCGAAGCGCAAGCGCATCCAGGAGTCGGACGCTGAAGACGATGTCACCATCAAGAACGACAGTGGAGGAGAGGACACCAAGGACACCCTCATGGCATCCAGTCCCCCGTCTGCGACCCGTGTCTTGCGCGACAGGAGCAGCTCCGCCAAGCCCAAGTACGACTACGCCTCAGATTCCGGCGCCGACAGCGATGCGTCTGAGTGGAAGGGCGACAGCGACATGATGGCGACTCCGTCCAAGAAGAAGCAGAAGACCATGATGACGGACGCGACTGTGGGCGACACGGCAGCGACTCGAGAGCCGGTGATCCAAGAGACTGTGGTCAAGCGTGAAACGACCGAGTACGAATCTCCAGCAACTGAGCACGAACCTCCAGCGACTGGATATGGACCTCCAGCGACCCAGTATGAACTTCCCGCGACCTCTTACGGAGATATGGTGGGGCTGGGCGACTCGACTGCGTTCTTCCCGCCGGCTCGTCGCCAGCCCATGTCGTTCATCAACTACGTGGATGGAGAGGAGGTCTTCTACGATGCCGAGACGGGTGACTACGATGCGACGGGCGAGTATGATACCTCCTACTACTCTGGTGGCTTTCAGGAGGAGTATGTCTAGGCCCAAGCTGGAATTTCCTCATGAGCATTCTGCGATTGGCATAGTGGGTGTCTCTTGGGGCGGTGCTTGGCTCGATTACGTGCGTTCGCGCGTTACCGCCATCCGCGGTTCTCTCGGCACGTCTGGATACTTCAATTCTCCGTGTGGATCGGTCACGCGGATATAGGGATGGGCTACTGGGCGTTGTCGGATTCTCAAATTCCTGGATCTTGCATTCTCGGATTCTCGGATTTAGGTACACAAAAAATGATCGGGCTTTTCTCATACCCGCAACGCCACCGCTATGCATTGTGAAGAAAAACCCGGAAATTACCCCATCAACTCATCCAGACATCACCACGTCAGCGGTCGCGGACCCTGCTCCTTTCTTGCTGCCAACTGCCGCCCCATTCTCCGCAGGCTGTATGAATTTGGCCTGCGCAGCCTCCCTCACCGCTTCAACGAGCACCGTCCTACTCGAAACGGCTGCCTCGACAGCCTTCTCGATCAATATCTCCGCATCCGCTCCAACATCGCCCTTGACCCACAGTTCCGTGATCTCGTCCCTTCCAGCCAGATACCCCACCACGGCCGCTGCCCTGACCTCCTCATGCTCCGCCGGGCACGGATCCAGCACCACCGTTCCCAGCCCTGCTTCCCCACTCTTCCCCTTGCCCTTCGTAGTCCTTCCCGCCTCCACCACAACCCCAGCAACACCCCCCGCCACCAAATCCACGCAATCAATCCCCGCATCCGCCATCGCCGCACTCGCGCACGTAATCGCACCCGCCAGTACACTCATGAGGCCCCACCCACCCCCAATCCCCTTTCCCCCACCTCCTGCTCCTTCCCCACCCCCAACATCATCACCCCACCACCCATCCTCCTCCCCCTCCAGCACCGTCACCACAACATCGACCCCGCTCTTCGGCCAGCGCTCCCCAATCACCACGCCCCTAAGCGCGGTCTCAAGGTGCGCGGCAAGGTCGCGCTCCGCCGCGTCCCTGATATACCCCCGGCGCTGGCGGGTCGCGAAAGGTGCGAACTTGAGCGTCGTGCTGAGGTGCAGGTGTGGCGTGTAGGGCGCGGAGCGCGGGAGGGGGTGTGGGCCGTGGATGGTGCAGGTGAGTTTGAGGGCCGAGGGGTTGTAGGCGGCCGACGATGGAGGTGCAGAGGGCGGAGAGGAGGGCGAGAGCTCCAGATACGCGGACCCAGAGGCGGAGGGCACGAGCGAGGTTTGGAGGAAGATTTTGCGGAGCTCGGAGGGTTGGCGCGTGCGTGTGGGACGCTGAGGGCGGAGGGCGGAGGGGGTGGAGAGGGTGGAGGCGAATATGGGGGGGTGGGTGCCGCCTGGTGGGGGGTTGATGCGTCGTCGGTCTGTCATTGTCGTTCATGGGCTGGAGGCATGGTCGTTTGCGGCCGTGTGTGTCGGCGTTTGAACTTTTGGAGTTGACGTCTGGGGTCGGTGCGCGGACTGGAGGCTTGGCGCGCCAGAGCTCGGCTTTGATTTTTCTTGCCGCACAGCTTTCTTCGTTCTCCAACATCAACCGCGTCTCCTCCGCTCACCACGCCCTTCCTGGTGGAAGCAATGTGGCCGTCTCTTGAAGCAGACATGCCATGAGGGTATCGAAGGCGGCTGGCCGGCCGTGGACTCGTGATGGGTTGCGTCTGATCAAAGACATGAGCCCTGCGGTCTTACCAACCCGGGAGCGCAGCAATCGAGGACGACATTGACCTTTGCGTGGGGTCGAGGGCGCAGAAGACAAGCAAGAGGCGGACGATGCTGTGTAAGCTTGACGACTCTGAGCTGCTAGTTTCGCTGAAGGCCCTTAACTGAGGCTCAGGCTGGCGATCCACAATTCAGGATGCAACAGTTTACTCCAACAAGCTAATCGTGTCGATTGTCTCGAGCTGTCCTTTGGGTATGGGGTAATCTTTTGGTCTGCAGCTTCGACACGGCTTTGAAGAAGAGCTATGGTACGTTTCATTTCTCTCATCCCATTCCCAATACGTTTCATCTTAGGAAGAAAACCTATCACAACAGTTCAGGAGATTCCTCCGTGAGCCTCGAACAACATGCACTACCATCTGACTCTCTCCGTCCTCTATCATCTCTCTCACATGTATGGAAGACGTGCCTTTGCTCACATGTCCTCGTTCAGCATAAAGCGCATGTCATACAGCAAAGACATCTTAGAGGCCGCAAGTTCAACGCCTGCAGAGCAATCTCCGACGAAAAGCACTGCGACATAACGATCCGTCGCTTCTACATCCGTTGTACGAGATGTGATGCTGAGAATCCCCAAGTCAGGTCAGTAACTCTTTCCACAGCATATTCAACCTGGCTTTCATGATGAGCGTATTTTTTTCAGTTCTGCTACTGAACAATAGTGAAGAAACTTCATACCATCTTACCAATCTCTGATACCCAGCCGTTCTCTTGTTTTGATCAATCCTTTCGACCCGTGGCGAGGTAGCTTGATTGCTAACTGTCGCCCTATAGACCGAGCAATCGTGCACCCACATCCTCTTCGAGCGTTGGTTGATCATCAAGGTAAGACCTAATCCTTTATCTGCGTGCCACTTGTGTAAAGATGACAACAGTCTATCCATTCAACGAAGCCTCACCCGCCGAGTCACCCTCCCGCACCGGACCAGTCTCGGCTGGGATGATAGGTTGTGGAGTTGTAGCTTGAAGCCGTCTGCGCTCGCGCAGATGGTGGATAGCTCGTAATGCTGATTTCCGAGCCGTAGAGTCGTCCTGTCCGTCTTGGACCGGGCGTCTCTGCGGCCGGCGGAAGGCATGAGTAAACCGGCTTTTCTGAGCACGTCATCCTTCTTGACTCTCATGTCTCTCAGCTCTTCGCAAATGCTGATGAAAGAACAGGGGTTGCAAGTGCGCATCTTCTATTGATCTTCCGCAGCGGCTGGGGTATGCATTGCATGCCTGGTTTCCTGCACACCGGAAGCTGAAACTGGCGTGAATCACGATCTCTCAACGCAACACGTGGACCTCTGATGGTGATTTGATTCCGCTACGTAGATGTGATGAACTGTTAACATTGCTGGCATCCCATCTGTCGTCTATTTGAATGGTGGACAAGCGCTCGTTCAAATCGGCAGCTGTTGTATCAGGTAGCTAGGTAGTTACACAAGCCATCTCGCTAGAGAACCAAGGGCAATAGCGGCCCTGGACTTATACTGTGCACAAGTAAGGGTTGCCGTCGTACCACACGCGGAGCTCAACCCGTTGTGGCTTGCAGAATATTGTGACTGCCCGTCACGTTATCGTTTCGCGCAGGTTCTGAGCGTGAGGGGAGGGGAGCTGAGCTGCATCGGCAAAGTCTAAAATTGGCCCATTCGTATCTTGACAGCCTCTTCCGTGGTGGCCTTGCGATGTACTCAGCTTCGTCTTGATGCCTCCGAGTACTCGACCGACAGTGACTTTGTAAGCTTTCTGAAGATCTGCGACACTCCGAACACACTCGCAGAATCCTGCCGCTGTGGCTTTGATCGACATCAATCTGCAACAGCGGTACCGGTAAGCGCCTAGGCCGTTTTCGGACTTGGACACGACGAAAGACGACGCCTCTCCCAGAGCATCACCAAAAACTCCGAAACCAACCATCAACCCGACAAAGCACCCAGCGGCCATTGACGGCCCCCTCTCTTCGCTGGACGACCGCTGGACGACCGCTGCCCACCTGAACACCCGCAGCGAATTCACCTACCTCCCTTCCTCGACCTGGCGAAGTAGACGGAGAGCGGGGGCTTTGGGGGTTCGTCTCAGGAGTCTCCGCTGCGCAGCGTTTCTCTCCGACAGTCCCTTGAATGCTGCCCATACATGCATCGTCGCCCAAGGGGAAGATGCACAGGCATGGCTTTTCGAATGGACATGCGGCCTATCCTTTGGGTGGCAGCGGGACGTTCTCAATTCAACCGCACAAGTACGCCTTTCGCTAGCTATACTGTTCGGTCAATCGCTCGCTAGAAACAGTTACTGACTTAAATCTCGGCTCGAACAGATTCCAGCCTCGATCACAGCCCGCACTAAGAAGAAGACGACAGCTGCTCATACGACTGGGACTGCTGGGAGCGGTTATCTTCTTCGCTGTACTATTCTTCTTCCCTTCAATACGATCCGGCATAATACCTGCCCTTTCCCTGGGCTTACTCTCCTCCGCCGAAGACTTCCAACTCGAAACGGTCCGATACTACGACCTCAACAATGTACAGGGGACAGCGCGTGGCTGGGAAAGAGAAGAGCGAATTCTCCTTTGTGCGCCATTGCGAGATGCCGCGCCGCATCTGCCGATGTTCTTCTCCCACCTCCGCAACCTTACATACCCGCATAATCTCATAGACCTCGCTTTCCTTGTGGGCGATTCAAAAGACAATACGCTGCAGCTGCTATCAGACCTCCTGCAGGAGCTGCAGGACAACGTCGAGCCCAAGCAACATTTCGGAGAGATCTCGATCATGGAGAAGGACTTCGGTCAGAAGGTCAATCAGGACGTGGAGAGCAGACACGGCTTTGCGGCCCAGGCAAGCCGGAGAAAGTCGATGGCTCAGGCGCGAAATTGGCTGCTCAGCGCAGCGCTTCGGCCAACGCACAGTTGGGTGTACTGGAGAGATGTGGACGTCGAAACAGCACCTTTTACGATCCTTGAAGACTTGATGCGACACAATAAAGACGTTATAGTGCCGAGTAAGCTAACTTCTTTCATTTGTTGGGTTCTAAGCTAAATTGCTTCAGACGTGTGGCGGCCCTTACCAGACTGGCTCGGTGGAGAGCAACCGTACGATCTCAATTCATGGCAAGAGTCGGAAACCGCTCTAGCCCTTGCGGATACCCTGGATGAAGACGCCGTCATTGTGGAGGGCTATGCGGAGTATGCTACATGGCGCCCGCATCTTGCCTACCTTAGAGACCCGTACGGGGACCCGGACATGGAGATGGAGATTGACGGCGTTGGTGGTGTCAGCATCTTAGCCAAAGCGAAGGTCTTCCGATCTGGCGTCCATTTCCCGGCTTTTAGCTTCGAGAAGCACGCGGAAACCGAAGGCTTCGGAAAGGTAAGCTAGTTACATTTCCGTGCTTGAACAACAGCTGACACCAGTGCAGATGGCGAAACGCATGAAGTTCTCAGTGGTCGGCCTGCCACACTATACAATCTGGCATCTGTACGAACCTAGTGTGGACGACATCAGACACATGGAAGAAATGGAACGAGAGCGGCTGAAGAAGGAGGCTGAAGAGAAAGCGAAGAATGAACAGCTCCGGAAAATTACGGATCAGTTCGAAAACCCCAGCGACCAGTGGGACAAGGACAAGTCTAACATCAGGGACATGGCCAAGAAGGAGTACGTGGCGAAGGACCAGCAGGCGAAGGACCAGCAGGCAGAACGGCAAAACGGAGAGAAGCCGGCCGAGAAGCCTGGTAATAAGCCTGCCGACAAACCTGCGGAGAAGAAGCCAGACCCGAAGGAGCGCTTAATGGAGGTGTAAGCTGCATATCTCTGCTTTCAACTTCCGGCTGTCAGTGCGGCTCTCGAGCGGGCTTTCAGGACCACCTCCACAGCAAGATTCTGACTTCACCAGAAAGATGGAGAAGAGCAAGGACGGCGTCAGGATCGTCGAACCACTCGACGAGACCAAAGTCCTCGGCCAAAAGCCGCCAGCCAACCACCCGTGACTCAATCTGTCTTCTGAGGTGCGCTCTGTCCATCTGGCGTAAGGACATGTTTTGAACGCGTTTGGTCGGATTTGGAAGTGTTCGGTCATAAACGGAGTTTATTGGATACATGGAATACGGATGAGGGATCACGTAAGCACACGCTTGGGCAAGTCTGTTTCGTATGCATATTGCCTCACTTTAGATATGCGACTCGAAAAGTCGGCGGAGTCAGGGGTTGTGAGGATATGTACATATAGATCTACGGCTCTCTCGAGCGCCGCGGGAAATGGCGCGCTTGGTGGTGCTGTACTATCATACAAACATACTCGAACCATGATGGGTCTTTCGCCAGCTTTATACTGTGATTTGTGACTATCAGTGGTTTTGGCACTACTCAAGAAAGGAGAGGTGTTTCATTCGCCCGCCTCGGCTTTGACATCTCGACGACCGCCAAGACTGATTGGAGACGGTAAGGCCACCTTCATTAGCAGCTTCAGGGTCGGTCTCGCGCTGCGTGCAATTGCTGCCTGTTCAAGCTCCCTGAAGACTCTCTCCGAATCCTCCAAAACATGAAACACCTGGACCGCGCGAATTGAATTCATAAAAAGCTTACGGGACCTTACATCTGATCGCGGAGCGCTCTGGCGACAACGGCGGAGTTAGACAGCTCCCACCATGAGCTATGATACAGCAGAGACGATACCAGTAGCCCAGCATGAGGCACGAAGCCTGTCGGGGCCCTATCCTCGCCGCACCGCCGTCTCCGCCGCCGTCGACCCCGTAGCACTCGTCGTTACAGAATGCATCACGGTCACCTCTGCCATGCGCAAGCATGCGCGATGGGCGCACTCCTCGGTAGCAGCTATACTCGGTGGGGGTACGACTAGGTCCCCGCCTACACAAAGACGCGAGAAGGGCAACAGAGAATCTACAGGAAGCCCATCCCCGGGCCAGGAGCAGGATGCGCTGGCTAGCAGATGGGGCCTTAGAGGCAAGAAGGGCAAGAGCATGCAGGACAACCCTCTCATGGCTGCGTTTGCGCGTTTGCGGAATGATCTCAAGGGCTGCGAAGGTAACTCCTGCCAGCAGAGGGTGTCTAGGCGCAGAAGAAGGTATCCGAAAGTGCTAAGCTCCAACTAGATATTCGAAAGTTTGACACGCCCGCGCTACTCCATCCGTTCCTCCAAGTCATACGCTCATCCTCGACTTCGGCACCTATTACCTCCCTTGCGCTCATTGCCATCACAAAGTTTCTGTCCTACAACATCGTTGGCCCTGACTCCCCTCGATTGTCTGTAGCCATGCAGCTCCTGTCTTCAGCAATCACGCACTGCCGCTTCGAAGCCAGCGACTCGGCCACCGACGAGATAGTCCTTCTAAGAATACTGAAGCTCATGGAGAGCATGATATCCGGACCGGGAGGGGATATATTGGGAGACGAGGCAATATGCGAGATGATGGAAACAGGCCTGAGCATGTGCTGCCAAGTCAGGCTCTCCGAGCTGCTAAGGCGATCCGCCGAGGTAGCTATGGTCAACATGTGCCAGGTCATTTTCGAGCGGTTAAAGCATCTAGAAATAGAAGCAGGCGAGGAGCCCGGGGCTCTAGAAGAGAGCACCAAGAATGACATGGACGCCGTGAAGATGGAGCCTTCAGTCAATGGAAACACGCTTAGTCCTCCAGCGAACAGGCCTGACGAAGGGCGGGGTTCGAGCAGTTTCGAGAAGAGTCACGATGGGAGCGAGGGCAATATCACCATGAACCCCAACAACAGTCATGTCGACCTCCCTACCACTGCAGACTCTACAGAACTAGCGCCAATCAAACCTTACTCGCTACCGTCCATTAAGGAGCTCTTTAGAGTTTTGGTAGATCTCCTAGATCCGCATGATCGGCAACACAACGATACGATGAGGATCATGGCTCTTCGAATCGTGGATGTAGCGCTCGAGGTAGCCGGGCCATCGATAGCGAACCACCCTACTCTGGCAGACCTTGCGAAGGACACGTTGTGTAGGCACCTGTTCCAGCTGACCCGCTCAGACAATATGGCTGTCTTGAACGAGTCGTTACGTGTGGCTTACACCCTTTTGGCCACCTGCCGAGGGGTACTGAAGCTGCAGCAAGAGCTTTTCCTATCGTACATCATCACTTGTCTGTTTCCACGTGTAGAGATACCACAAGAACCTGGGATCGAACCGGCGTTATACGAGGGCGTTCCTCAGTCACCAAGTCTAGTCAAGCCAGCGCCCTCGCAGGCGAGCAGCGGCAGATCAACACCTGTGCCAGTGAAGGACCGGCAGCGGCTGGGACTAGAGGGTGGCATGAGGAGACCAGATGCCCGAGAGGCAATGGTTGAAAGCGTTGGCGCTCTTGTCCGGATAACCTCGTATATGGTTGAGCTGTTCGTCAACTACGACTGTGAGATTGACCGAGCCGATCTTTGCTCCGATATGGTAGGACTTCTCTCACGCAACGCCTTCCCTGATTCCGCTACGTGGAGTACAACGAACGTACCTCCGCTCTGTTTAGACGCTCTCCTAGGCTACGTGCAGTTCGTTGCCGACCGGCTAGATGACGCGCCGGTAACGGAAGGTTATCCCGATGTGGAGGGGCTGAGGCAGCAGCGAGCTCGCAAAGAGACTATTATCCGAGGGACGGCAAAGTTCAATGAGAAGCCGAAGGGTGGAATAGCGTTTTTGGTCTCACAAGGTATCATCAGCGACCCAGATGATCCGAAAGCCATCGCGGAGTTCGTCAAGGGCACTACGAGGATTGACAAGAAGGTTCTCGGAGAATTCTTGTCTAAGAAGGAGAACGACGCCATTCTGAGCGCCTTCATGAACCTCTTCAATTTCACCGGACAGCGTGTAGATGAGGCCTTGCGGCAACTCTTGAACTCCTTCAGATTGCCTGGCGAGTCACAGTTAATCGAGCGGATCGTGACCGAGTTCGCCGCAAAGTACTGCGCCAGCTCTACATCCGAGGAAGTCGTGGACAAGGACGCCGTATTCGTCTTAACTTATGCAATCATAATGCTCAACACCGATCAACACAACCCGAATCTCAAGGCGCAGAAGCGTATGACAATCGAAGACTTCTCCCGAAACCTGCGGGGCGTCAATGGCGGCAAGGACTTCGACCCCGAGTACCTACAGAACATCTTCAACTCTATCAAGACGCATGAGATCATCTTACCCGAAGAGCATGATACCAGGCACGCCTACGACATTGCGTGGAAGGAGCTCCTCGTCAAAGTACAGTCGGACTCCGACCTCGTCATCTGCAACACAAATGTCTTCGATGCGGATATGTTTGCAGCGACGTGGAAGCCAATTGTCGCGACACTATCGTACGTGTTCATGTCAGCGTCTGACGATGCAGTGTTTACCCGGGTCCTAGCCGGCTTTCAACAGTGTGCGCAAATTGCTTCCAGATACGGTATCACCGAGGCCATGGATCGCATCGTCTACTGCCTCAGTAATATATCTACACTCGCGCCTGAGGTGCCGCCTAGCACTTCGCTCAATACGGAAGTCCAGGTAGAGAAGAAGAGTGTGATGGTCAGCGAGACCGCTGTCAGATTTGGCCGGGATGACAGGGCGCAGCTGGCTACACTGGTGCTGTTCCGCGTGCTCAATGGGAACGAAGCTGCAGTCCGTGGTGGATGGGCCTACGTGAGTGACTTCTTTGGTCCTGACATTAACACAAGCTGACCTAACTCAGATTGTTCGGATACTGTTGAACCTCTTCATAAACTCGCTAATACCACCATCCTTCCCTTCCATCTCGAAATCAATAGATCTCCCTCCTGTCCCACTCCAGAGCCCCGCACAGATCATAGACCGAGGCGAAAACCCAAGCGAAGCAGGCCTCTTCTCCGCCTTCACTTCCTACGTCTCCAGCTTCGCGAACGACGAACCGCCTGAACCGTCAGATCAAGAGATCGAGTACACCTTATGCACTGTAGATTCTATCAACAGTTGCGCGATTGAGGAAGTATTCTCCAATATCAGGTATGTCCTCACATGCACTGTCGAAGAAGTCTGCTGATACACGTAGCCGAATGCCAATCGATTCTCTGAAGTCCTTGCTCTCCTCTCTCCTTTCCCAAATACCTGAGGTCTCCTCGCCGAGAGTCATCGTCGTGAAGCCCGATCTACCAGCACCAAGCCCCCGAAGACCGAACGGCACCAAAGCGAGGCCGAATGGACCAGTGTATGAACCGAGCGTTGCGTTCGTTTTGGAGCTGGCTACTGTGCTAGCGTTGAGAGATGCAGAGACGGTTGAAGCCCTCGGGAAAGAGGTTGCAGATGCGTTGCAGACCGTGATAAGGGATTCTGCGCACGTGCACAGCGTGATTATTAGTCGAGCTGCCTATTACCTGCTTCGGCTCCTGCTCGCTAGCAACGTAAGTGAAGCATATCAACATGAGGGATACATGGCTTACCTGGGGCAGGATTATGACTTCGTGCGCGCGCCAGTCGTCTTGCACACGTTCTCAAAGTTCGACCAGGATCTGATCAAGCAGTGTGCACCCCTGCTACTCAAGGGCTTATCCGACTGCATCAACGGCCCGTCTGGCCTGCGGAATGAGATGGCCAACTCTCCCGACTTCTGGTCGCTCTTACACGCTTTACTCCCGGTCACAGAGGCTTCTGCGGATGTATTCCGAATTGTAGAAGAGCTTATCACCTCACCGCGCCCGGGCATTACGGCGGACAACTATGAGGCGGCGATAGCCTTGCTCAACGAGTTCGCCACTGCTGGGAGTGTGGGGGCTACGGAAGAGCAGCGACAGGACCCGGCGGCTCGAAGGGGCAGACAAGCTAAGCCGAAGGCACCTCAGTAAGCTTCACATCTTCCGCTGTGTTGTATATCCGGGCTCACAGTGCACAGAACCAACGAAAAGGTGCTCCGAGGCTCCAAAGCAATGATACTAGTCCACCACATGACCACCCGCGTCCCCAACTTCATCGAGCAGTCCCAGCTCGAGACACACAAAGGTATCAAATCCAGCGCCTCCCCCTCATCCCACCACAGCCCGCAAACCAGCCATACTAACAACCCCCGCAGCATGGACAGCCTACTGGTCCCCCATCTTCCGCGCCCTAACGACCCAATGCCTAAACCCGTGCCGCGAAATCCGGCACCAAGCCTTCACCTCTCTGCAGCGCGCCCTGCTGTCCGAGCACCTCGCCTCGTCCGAGCACAAAGAGTGGACGGCGATTTTCAGCGAGGTGCTCTTCCCGCTGATCAACGAGCTGCTGAAGCCGGAGATCTATGCCACCGACCCGGCCGGGATGGGCGAGACGAGGGTCAGGGCCGCGACGCTGCTGTGTAGGATCTTTTTGCACTATCTGGTGCTGCTCGTGGAGTGGGAGGGGATGCTGGGGCTGTGGGGGAGGATTTTGGAGGTGCTGGAGAGGTTTATGTGGAGTGGGCAGGGGGATACGCTGGTGAGTTCCTTCCTCTCCCTTCTTTGCTCCTAACTTCCTGTGTGTGGGGGGGTTAGCTTGCTGACGTCCGACTGCAGGAGGAAGCCGTCCCCGAGAGCCTCAAGAACATCCTGCTCGTCATGTCGAGCGGTGGATATCTGGTCCCGCCCGACCAGGATCCGGAGCAGGCGGAGTTGTGGAACGAGACGTGGAAGCGGCTTAATAGATTCTTGCCGAACTTGTTTGAGGAGCTGTTCCCGGAGGAAGCGAAAAAGCCGCCGCCCGGTGCGGTGAAGATGGCGGAGAGACCTGCTGAGGCGAGATCGCCCGCGCCGGAGGCAAGCGAGGTCAGGAGTCAGGCTTGAGCGCCAAGAACGCGTGTGGTTATTCGTCGCAGCTTTGGGAGGTGTGCATGGAAAGGACATTGCTGTCGTGTTACAGTTTTACCCCATGGTGTCTGAGGATTGGGATGGCGTATGCGACTCCGTTGGCTCGGGCACCCCGATGGAGTATTATCATACCATTACAGTGGTCTAATCAAGTCTTCTCCCCCTCTCAACCGAGCTCAGTAAAACATCAAGGTGATTAGTACGGCCTATCCCAGGCGATTAGAAGACAGCAAATTGAAGTCGAAGAGTTGGGGGGGTTTACTGCACTTCTACACACCCGCGCTCAGAACAGTTTCTGACTTCTCTACTGCACGCGTCTTATGTAGACTCAAGACAGCTCACACGGCAAAGCACCACGGCATTTGAAGGACCCTTATGCGACATAGTCTACTGTCCTGCAACAGTAACCATACTCTTCTATTCAGACATCTAATTACTCTAACCCGGCACGGAAAACCCGCCATGCCGCTAATCATGCTCACCGCCGTAAGAGCTGCTCACAACAGAACACGAAACTCACACAGGGTAGGAAATGTGGCCCCAAAAACCCCCAAGGCACCCACAGACCATACCCCAAACCACCCCTTCATACCACGACCGCCGCCGCAAGCCCCAGCGCAACCCCCAAGAACCCAGCCCTCACGCCGTTCTCCACCGCCGCAGCCGAGCTAGTCGCACTGGGCGCGGCCTCCGTCGCGGTCCCAGACGCATCCCCGCCCGTGTTCTCCCCGCTCGGCGTGTTCGACTCGCCCTGCGGCACCGGCACGATCTCGAGGCCGTCGATGCTCGCGCCATTGACGTCGAGGACGGCCATCGGGACCCGTCGGGCCGTCACGTCGACGATGCTGCCCTGCACCGCGTCGCGGACGCCGTTGCTGATGACGTCGTCAAGCCCCTCGGGTGCGTCGGGGATGTCGAAGCTCTTGCTGAACTGGGGGAAGGTGATGAGGCTCTCGTCGCAGACGGGCGGGGTCAGGGCAGTCGCGGTGCTGTTCGCCGCCTGCGCGAGCGTAATGTTGATCCTGTTGAGCTGGTCCTGCAGGTTTCCAAAGTCCTGGCGCAGGCGGATCGTGCCGTCTGCGTTGACGACCACGAGTCCGTAGTCGGACTCCTCCTGGCTGTACTCGTACACGAGCCCGCCGCTCATGACGCTCATCTCGGGGCCGTACAGCGCTTGCACTTCCTCGAAGACGCGCGGTTGGACTTCGTTGCAGCCGTATTCGGAGAAGAAGACGGGGACGGTCGTGTTGCCGAAGAGCTCGACCAGCACGTTGTAGCCCGCGGTCTGGAAGGTCGCGTCGCCGCCGCACCAGGAGTAGGAGTTCAAGCCGAAGAAGTCGGAGCGCGAGTCGGCGCGTTCGCCTGAGATGGCGCATTGGAAGTAGTTCCATTGATCGGCGAGGATCTCGCGCACATCGGCCGCGGAGTAGCCGACGGGGATGGTGCGGTCGGCGTGCGCGGCGATGTAGCGCTTGAGGTCGCGCTGGATGGCCTGTTGTCAAAGTCTCAGCTGGATGTCTCTGTACAATGCATGATCGGCCTGGGAAACCTACCCTGATGTATGGCGGGTTGTCTGACGAAGTTCCAACGTCGTTCATGACCTCATTCGCAGAGAAGAAGCCGAGAGTGTTCGGGTAGTTCTTGAAGTTCTCCACCACGCGGAACGTCCTCTCAAGGTAGCCCAGCGTGTAGGATCCGCTCGGGTTGGAGCGATCGAGGCTCTCGCCGCCGAACGGAGAGTTGACGTCGATAATCATGTATATGCCGACTGCATTGAAGATGCTTGCGCATTCGTCGTGGCTGAGTGTGGGGTCAACGTTATACACCCGGATGGTATTGACACCAAGCCGCTGCATGAGTGCAGCGTCGCGCAGGCAGACTGTTCCGTTGGTGAGTGCATCTTGTCCTTCCTGGGGCTTGTAGCCGCCCTGTCCACCGGGTTGATAGCTGTATTGGAATCAGCACGGTGTGCTTGGAGGATAGCAACCGCGAATCTTACTCGACACCAATGATCATGAGCCGTTCATTGGTTCTCGCATCGACGAAATTCTGAGAGCGGACTTCGATTGGGTTCACGGCGGAGACGACTGCTGCACAAGATGCGAGCAACGCGGTAGCGGTTCGTAGCTGTAAGACATTAGCTTAGGTTCCCCATAAGCCGGCGCGGGTAAAGGTGCGGAAGAGAGCTGAGCCTCGACAGGTGCAGTAAGTTGGAGCAGATTCCGGGGCCAAAATTGACTCTTGTATGATGTCGGCGGCAGCTCACAAGAAAGGACATAGGGTTGTCCTCTCGTAGACTTCGTACAACTGTGGTTGACAGCTCTGACAGCTGTCAAGCATGTGATCAAGGCCCCGCCAGCACCAGTAGAAGAAGGAAAGTTCTTGTAACTGACCAGAACCATTCTGCCTATATCCAATTTCACTCCGCGTGGTTGGGCTCGATGCTGTTCCGTAAAGTGCGCCGAGAGTCGAGATGATGCGTTTGTAAGTTTTTTGTATCCGCGGAATGTCCCAAAGAATGTTGCAGCGAGCGAGCGCGAAGCGACCAGAGGTCCTAGGGAAGGTGCCAGCAACAACCTCAACAAACAACATGCACAAGAAGCGAAGGCGCGAACGAAGGACAGAAACCGGGTCGGCCAGCCAAGAGGGCGCGGCGGCGATGGCTCGTCTTAAGAAAGTGAGGGTGTGCTCGTCACGATGCGCCGGGAGCTTGTTAGTGGGAGATTGCAGCGCTTGGCATGTCCTTCATCTGCATGAAACTGCGTGAAACGGCATGAAACGAGAGCTCGGCGGCGCTCGGCGGCCGCGGCCTTTTGTGCTGACATGGTGCGGGTCTTCCAGTTGATGGAGTGAGTTAGGTAGGTAGGGCCTTCTGTAGCCAGCAACGAGGCCTGCCAAAACTTCTGCTGGTTACAACTCCGCGCATGCATTGCGCAATCAATAACTCCGTACTCGTAGACGCGCACACATGCCACGGCCGGGGAGTGCACGCTAAGCCGATCAGCGCCGATCAGCATGCGCATCCGGCCTCGTGAAGCCGCAGAGCCGCATTCCATTCCATAGCGCTGGGAGAACCAGAGGATCACCTAGCAGATAAGCTGCAACGCAGTTTAAGCCGCACTGTAGAGCATCAGAACCCGGAAGCCGGTGGAACTAATCAGTAGACGCTGTCCTGTTCTAGCGGACAACCCGGATGCTGGACTTGTGAATCAAGATCAACCAATTGCATTTGTTAGAGCCGGATCTTGAAATGGCCCAAGAGTACATGTGTGATCTGGAGTATATCCATAAATCCTACCAACGACTCGTTTACGTGGTCTACGCGCTCAGCCACGAGCGGTCTCGTTCTCGTCTATCTATGTCTGTCCTTTAAAGCTTGTAGCGCGCAAGTCCTAGGAGAAGCGGTAATGAGATGCATGCCAGCGTCTAGGTCCCATATTTGGCTCTCTGGCCATTGTGGAGCGAAGCGAGACCATCTTTACCATGCTGTAATCTGGTTCCAAAGTATTCGCGCCCTGCATGGAACAATTGTCCTCACGGGGACGCAATGGACTGCCGTTTGGGTATCGTTGCTTGAAGTGGCGTCGAGCGGCGTAACATAAGCCGTTGGACAGAACGGCAAGGTGGTCCGGGCCGAAACATGGCTGTAGAGTCACACTTAGACTATTATGGTCAGCAAAGGGGTGCCCGCAATTTGCCCATGCGTTGAATTGAGACTAACCGAATTGTGGTAAGACCGTTCGGCTGCACCGAGTTCGGCGGAAATCCGCAGTCCGCTCGGGGCGGAGTAGCCACTGAAGTCAAGCATCAGAACAGTTGCTCGGCGTAAGTATAGGGGCTGCTGCCCCATTGTTTCTGTCCCCTGGAAAGCTGTGCGAACGCGTAGCAGCGTGTGAGCGGGCTGCGCAGGCATACCAGGGGCGAGGAGTTTTCATTGCTGAACCGAGATTGCCTAACATCACGGCGGCAGATTGCTGATGAGGTTCCTCATCCTGACCAGCAGGTCAGGGACGCGGAAAGGTTTCGAGACGACGTCATCCTGGAGTGATGGTCAGCATTCTTACTCCTTCAAGCACAGCGGCTCGTGGGCGGCCAGGTACAACTCACCATTCCCGCATCCATAGCAGCAGAGATTTGTTGTTCACGAACATTCGCTGTAACTGCTATGACAGGGACGTGACCACTGACGGTTCCATCCTGCTGCAGTCCACGAATGATCCTCACGCACGTTAGGCCATCCATGATAGGCATTTCCCAATCCATAAGAATGAGAGAAAGAACCTCGTTGCCTCCCCCTGAGGCGGTCCAATGTGTCGTCTTGCGGAGGAAGTCCAGGGCCTCGCCACCGTGATTCGCTACATTGACCACACAGCCGAGGTTTCGAAGTTGTTTTGCCAGGACACGCTGATTGACAAGGTTGTCTTCTACGACAAGAACGTGCAACGTGGAAGGTACTTCGCGGAGAGGACGAGCTTCCTTAGCTGCGGGAAGGCCGGAGTTTGCCAAGAGCCCTGGATGCTCTGAAGCCATACGCTTCAGCAGAGGTGCTACAGGCGCCTGGCCGCCCGCGCTGGGCTGGAAGTCAGACTGGACGATGGAGCCGCGGCGAGCTTCGACAGGCGATGCTATTTTGCGCCTGGCCCTCACATAGAAGGCAAACGTGCTGCCAGCCCTTTCCTGGGAAAGAAATCCGATGGCTCCGCCTTGCATCTCAGTCAAGCGGCGTGATATAAACAGGCCTAGGCCGCTTCCACCGTACTGAACGTGAGTCCGTGGCGATGCTTGTGAGAAGCGTGCGAAGAGTAACTCCTTCTCACTGGCGCTGAGGCCACGCCCTGTGTCCTGGACCGAGTACTGCAGGTACACGTTCTCCCCGGCTGCCCAGTCAGCCATGAGCGTGCGATCTACTGCAGCAGTCGCTGTTCGGATGTAAGGAACACCTTGTGCGCTAAAGTCAGGTTCCGTTAAGGAAGCGCCGATGCTGACGACGATGGAGCGCTTCGCCTCGAGTCGCGTAAACTTGATTGCGTTTGTGATGAGGTTGATGAGGATCTGCAACAGTCTGGTAGGATCCAACGAGACGCAGTCGATGCCGAGCTGATAGTAAGAGTCCTCGATTTCGAACCGCATCTTAACATCTGCTGCCCTCGCCTCCGCCTCGAACATCTTGACGGCATGTCGACCTACGGCTTCCGGCCGTGCGTCGATTGGAGTGAATACCAACAGGCCGGAGTCCAGCTTTGACATCGTCAACACGTCATCCACGATGCGCTTCAGGTTTGTTAGCAAACAATCTTGTCTTCAGTCCGCTAGAATAAAAAACCTCACCTTCATGTGCTGGGAACATTGGAGGATAGTCTGGGCCGCGTCTATGGACGTCTCCAGGAGATTGCGGTATGCTTGTTCGATATCCGTATCTGTAGCGATCATGGATCCATGTGAGGTGATGATACCATCGGCACACTGAATGACTGCGCTTAGCGGATTCCTCATCTCATGTGAAGTTGTGTCTATAAAGTTCTCCAGCTGGCGCTTGCTCTCAAGCGCGTCTTCCGTCCGCTGCTTCTGCATTCCCTCGCCCCACTTTTGACGACTTATATCAGTCACGCAGCCTAGGATCTCTATCACTTCACCGTCTTCTGACAGCTCTGGATAGGCCGAACATAAGATCCATACATGGTGCTCTTGCTTCGATGTGGTGGCTTCCGGAATGATTGGTGGTTGCCAAAGCATCTTCATTCTCAGTTCGAAAGACACTGCAGTCTTCCCCATTACTAAGCTGCCGAATACCCTGTCGCAGAAGGCCATATCCTCTGGGGAGACCAGTTCGGTCCAGGCCTTTCTCACATCCGGCTCGTCTTTTGCGATCTTGAAGATGTCGAACCACTTGTGATTTCGATATTTGAAGGTGCCGTCTGTTGCGGCAATGAAGATCGCCACGTCGGCACGCTCGGCGAAGCGTTGGAAGCGTTGCTCCTGAAATCTTGATTCTTTCTGGCTAATCGTCAATTGCTCATTTAGCTGCTCCTGGATGAGAGCAGCTCGGTTCAACATTTTCTCTCTTTTCTCCATCTCCTCTTGCAGCAAAACGACCGAAGCTATGGTGGTCGCACAAAGTCTGCTGCCTACCTGGATGAATTGTTGGTAGTCGTCATCGAACGGCCGCCGCGGATTGAGCCCTAGAATCAGGAAACCCAAGATGTTCTCACTCGTGGTCGGCATGATGGCTACTCATTTGTTAGAGGCTTGTCAGGACTGCCGAGCTGAGGCGACTCACGTGAGATTACAAGAGACGAACACTTGTCGCCGAAACCACGCCACGAGATGTCTTTGGTTAGGTAATCAGGAATCGTTCCATCATCAATGCGGAACACGGTCGGCTTTTTCGACTTCATCGCTACCCTGAAGTATGGCAAAAAGCCATTGTAACCCTCTTGAAGGTCAAGGCGTGCCGGTGCAGCAGGATGGTCGTCCGGGACTCCTATAGCTCCCTTGAGAATGCATTGCCTCGGTGAGATTGAGCTTTGTGTTGAGACCGAGGAAGCGTCGTTCGAATCATCAATATCCTCAACAGAGTACAGCAGGGCAAACGGGATATCCTTGTCGTTTGATTCTAGAGTCCGTAGCAGTAGCATCCAGAAAGCATCCATATCGCGCGCCTTGGCCGTTTGCTCGCTCAGGCTGAGAAGCGTTGAGAGCCTCCGCTCCGAGACTTTCTGCCTGCAGGCTAAGTCAGCACAGTACAATCGCCCATCATCCTGTGTAGGAGATGCATACCTTGTGGTCTCAGTGATCGGTTCGTAATGGCCGACAACAGTACCACTGTCGTCTAGTACCGGCACGAACCTGAATGAGAAGTACGTCTCTTCCAGAAAACCGTGTCGGTTAAGAAAGAGCGGAAGATCAAACTCTTCGTATGCTTCGCCGCGTTTGTTCGCTTCTATAATAGGTATAAAATGGGTCCAGATTTCGCCGAGAGCGACGTCAGCAGGTGTGCCCAAACAGCCCGGGTGCATATCTCCAAGGACGGGCACGTATGCTTCGTTGTAGATCATAATGCATTGGTCGGTCCAGAACATGACGGCAGGGTTGGGGTCTCTCATGATAATGTTACACATGACCCGCAACTGCGAAGACCAGTTTCGCATATCGCCCACGGGTGTTGCAGCCCAATCGAATTCCCGGATGAGGTGATAAAACGGCGGCAAATCTGGCGGTGGATTCTCCGCAGTCATGTCGAACCCGCCCATCGGAAAGGGATAGGAGACGCTAGTCATCCCAGAAGCAGCGGCCAACAGCCGGCTGGCCGACGTTGGGGCTGCGTGTGTCACTGCGGCTGGCTCATACCGAGTGGTCTGATCTTTGACCCCTGCCCCGGATGTTCTGTGCTTGTCTATATGGAGCTGCTCCGGGACAGGGGATTCGCAGCCGTCCGCAGTCTCAAGTATTTGTCCATTCCTTATGCCGCTAATTATTTTCCATCGCTCCCTGAAGAGTGTCTCGACCCAAAGCATCCCACTGTACGAAAAACTCTCAGTCGCGCCCTCTATGGAATCCAGTTGCTTCTCTAGGATCCACTTTCGGAACCGCGAATAGGACCTTAGCGAGTATGCGCCGGGAACCGTGATATCTTTCTTCCCCGTAACCGTCTCTAAGAGATCCCCAGAGGCCAGCAAGGCGGGGTTACAGTAGGCAGGCTGCAAGACGCCAGCACTGTTAGACGCTGTCAAGTCGAATATCAGGGTCGGTTTCGAGTCTAGCTCGAGCACTTCTATAAGACCGAAGTTGTCCAGGGGGTTGAGCGAGGACGGTCGCCGGCGAAGGGCATCTATAGGATCGTTCCTGCTGAAGAAGGTGCTCGCGCTTCGCTCGCTCATGGCCGGAGATGCTGTACGTCTGCCATCGATCGACGGGTAAGAAGCAGAGGACCCATCAGGCGCAGCATCTTCCTCGGAATCACCCACGCTAGCGATCGAGGTCTCGTAAACATCGTTGCGCATTTCTCCGGCCTTTAGCCTCTTATGAGCAATCTCTCGCTCCTTGCTCTCGAGGTTCTTCTTGAGGACGCGGTCCAGGGTCTAGAAGTGTCGCAGCATAGTCCGACGGTGAAGGGATTGCGGTCGATATGCGAGGGAGCGATAGAATGTTGCTGGACTCAAGCTGGCGAAGCCGGGAAAGACAGACAGAGGCCGTGAGAATTGGCTGTCGACGTAGCGCGAAGTTGGAGTGTTCGACGCCGCGAATCTGTTGGCTGCCATTCCAGATGGCGTTCCCGGAGCTGGCCCGATCGCAAGCCAAGAACAAGCGCCTCAGCCGCACCCGATCAGGGGCGATCACGATGCCGTCACCGCGCATGGAGCAAACAGCGTCACGTGCGGGACTACGCGAAACTCATTGTCCGGTAACCTCAGGTACTTAGGTACATAAGTAAGAAAAGGTGATGTTCATTCTTCCCGGCGAGGACTCTGTGCAGCTTCAAGAAACCGCTGGAGAAGGTCGGGTCCCGCCGCTGCCTGTGAGTACGGCCTGCATTGCTATTGTACATAGTAAATACTCCGAGTACTTGACGGCCTCTCCCATCTCATTAAAGTCTTCCAGCCCCTCCAAGTCCGCTCTCTGAAGTTTGCCGTCGCTCGTTCCTCAGGAAAATCGGCTCAGAGAATAACGCTCCAGGCGGGATGATAACGCTATTCTCCTTCTCTAATACCATATCGGCGAGTGAACGATTATCAGCATTGTACGATCGAGAGATCGTTAGTAAGATGCTGTAGGGAATATGATTGGCTAATCATGAGAGTAGCACGGTTCGTACACGACTATATCAAAGCAACTTACCTACATGCCCCAGTCTTCAAACATCGTTCTTCATAATCGCATGGACCTCTGATCTTGTGGAGCGAGCGAGGACAACTAGGCTTATATCGCTTTACTTGTGTTGCACGCACGAACATCTTGAGTCATCTCGTATACGAGGCCATAAGCACGGTCTTACCGCTTTATGAGGCCAAGCCACGAACTGTTTGATTGAGTCTCTGTACGGCTGGCGGCTCCCTTTGAAAACATGAATGTCGTCCTGCTACTAAGCCTGCTCTTGCTGCTTCCGTTCTTGCTTTTCCTTGGTATGAGGCCCCCACCCCTACCCAACCGATCTGTAACTTATATCTCTGGGCCAGCATACCTTGCCCTCTCATCCTGCATGGGCGACGGCTTCCGTGCAAGCATATCTGGGGTCTCGATTAACCCCCGCCACGCCTCGTTTGGTCGGGCCTATGGACGAACCATGGGATCCGGCGCCGGCCAGGCAGGATGGGAGCAAATAGAGATGCAGGACATGCTAGACGATAGCTTTGCATTCGAAGAGGAAGAAGGGGATCTATGAGTTTCATTTGCTCTCTACCCCCCAACGTCTCACTCCGCCGATCGACTTCAAAACTCAATATCCTTCTTCGCCAAGCCTCCCCCTTCAGCATGCCCTTGCTGCGCCTCCGTATCCCCCTCCACAGGCGGCAAACTAAACGGCTTAATCACAAACTTCCGCCTACTGACCGTAAACGCCAAATCGTCGCCCAGTCCGCCCAGCCCGCCTCCCCCGCCGCCTTTCTCATGGAATACCGGCAGCCGATGCACCTTCAGCATGCCCTGCGGCTGCTCCTCGTTCGCTGTCGCTGCGCCTGAAGACGCGATATCCATGAGGTGCGGGAAAGGCGTCAGCTCTAAGACGCCGTCGCTTAGCAGCTCGATCCAGCGGACCAGACCGGAGGTGCGGGAGTAGAGCTCTAGGGGGAGGGTGATGAGGGCGGTGAGGCGGGTGGAGAATTGACGGAGCAGCGCACGGAGGCCGTGCATGAACTGGAGGAGGTGGGAGGGTTGCGAGGCGTGCGGTGGGTAGAGGGCTGGTGATAACAGGGTCGGGATGATAAGGCGGTGGATTGTGGTTGGACCGCTTGAGGAGAGCTGGGATGAGAGGTTTGGTAGGATGGGCGCGAAGGGCGAAGATTGCAGGTCGGTCGTGAGAGGAATGAAGTTGATGGTGGTGCCGGCGGGGAACGTGAGGCGCTTTGCTAAGTCGAAGGTGTGGCAGAAGGCTGGGATATCTGTCGCCGTTACTGCGTCTGCTGCCGCACCGTTTCGGTCTGCTTGGCCAGGTTGCGCTTCTCAAGTATCAGCACGTATCCGAGGGTGCTGAGCACAGCAGAGCGGAACGATTGCATTAAAGCTATATACGTATAGAACAAATCCCACCCACCTCTTCTCTCCGCAATGCCCCCAAACTCCCCCAGCCGCTCATACCTCCAAGCGATCTTCATCTTCTCTTTGTCCCGTTCCCTCTTCTCCTTCTCTTCCCTCTCTTCGCCCGCCGTACCAACCAACCCAGGCAAATCTCGTCCCCACTGCTCGCCTACATCCACAACATGAACCTTGTGGCCTTGCACAATCCCTTCCGCGGCATAGTACCGTAGTAGTGCACCTGCATACTCCGTGGTACCGCTCTCCTCAATGAGCAGCGAGCTGCCTAACGCTAGACCCGCGTGGCCTGCGAGTATGCCGTCGAGGCTTGGGGTTCCGGTTGAAGATGTCGGGCGACCATCAATCGGCGAGGGGCGGACACCCGGGACTGGCGCTGGGACTGTATGCGGCTGTATGAGGTCTTCTGCGCCAGGAGACGTCGGTGTTCGGGATACACCTATGTTGCGCTTGCGGAATGCCATGGTGGTGATTGATTCCTGAAGATGGACGAGCACGCGGGACAAAAATAAAGTGGCAGACCAGAGGCTTGGCATCACCAACACGGTTATTTCAACCACCAATTCAATCATCAATTTGAAGCTTTAGATATATACGTATAGCCCATTTGAAAGCTGGTCATCTTGCCTCCCATATCTAAGACCTGATGCAGTCGATCTGGTATAACTGGTGGTGTTGGACGTAGTGGTGGTATGGTGTTGATGTTTTGGTCTGCCACTTTATTTTTGTCTCGCGTGACGAGATGAAATCGCATGTGCCATATAAGGCTGAAGGCGGTCACGGTCGGCAGAATAGCGCTGGATGCGGCCCTTGTATAAAGATTATTCGCGCTGCGCATTCGAGAGCTTCAACTTCACGAACAACAGAAAACTCACGCGACATCCTACTCCCTACTACACAACGACCTCGCAAAGCTACACACCCCAAGCTCCGATCACACCCTCGAACTCTCAACCCTCTCGTCAACGCACCCGACATCCACTCACTTGCTCCCACCACCCACCATGTCCATGGGCGACTCCCAGCTCTACAGCGACTCGTTCACCGTCGGCACGATCAACAACCAGAAATACGACCGCGTATCCCGCATCAGTGCGACCTCGATCGACGGCCAAACCATCATGACGCTCGACATCAACCACGAGCTCTACAGCCTACAGCCCAACGATGCGTTCGACCTGACATTGGCCAGCACGCTGAATCTCGACGGCACGAAGGACGAGGGGCGGGGCTGGAGGGAAAAGGGCACGAATCAGCAGGATCTCAGTGATATGTATGATTATGTGTGCTATGGGAAGGTGTATCGGTTTGAGGAGGGGGATGGGGAGAATATGTGAGTGGGCCTTTATTTGCTGGAAAGAGTGGTTGTTGGACCTACGGGGCCTATTAAGCAACAATTGCTGACGCTTTTGTGCGTAATAGAAAGGTGTACGTTTCTTTCGGTGGGCTGTTGCTGTATCTTGAGGGGCCATACAAGCGACTCACGCCGTTGCGGATCGACTATGTCTATCTATTGATGAAGAAATGAAGAGGGGGCTCCTTTGATATCGGATCCAAAGGTACGGGAGAGGAAGTGGCAACCTCTGAAGTTTACTCAGGATATAGAGCGGCCACCAAGGACGGCCCTGCTCCGAGACCTTGCATCGACGGCATTTGGTGGGTCTAAGGTCATAACATTTCAACCTGTTTGAGCGTAGGAGTTAGGAGCGTTCAAAAAGGCCATGGATTTGATGCCCTGTCCGTACTATCTAGAGCGCCGGAAGGGCATCATAAGCGGCTGGCGTGGTATCGATATTACCGCAGCCCGCGAATCAGTCTTCAGTTTCCGCTGTTCGCACTCTGCCGACGTCCATCCTTGTCTTGACTTCAAGCATGGTCTGTCTCTACCGATGTTCTGGTCTTTCAAGGCGTCGGAAACTCCAGTCTCCGATGCAGCCGCGACACGATCTCGATGTAGTCCTTCTCGTTCGCCGGCGTCAGGACCCCATGCCTGACGAAAAAGTCCAGCATGACAAGCGCCGTGTTCGGTTTCCACTCTCCTTTAGCCAGGCTCTCCCTTACCTCCTCCGCACTCCACAGCCCAAACTCCTCCACCTCATTATCCCCGGGCTTCGGCACCACATCCTCCTCAACCTCCAAATCATACACATACTGACACTCCGGTTGCAGCAGCCCTGTTTCCCCTCCCGCCCTCTCATCTCTGACATAGATATACGTCACCGTCCCGCACGCCCTCGCCCCGCTCCTCACCACCTCCTCAGCCAAACTCGCCTCTTCCGCCGCCTCCCTGACCAAACACTCAAACGGCTCTTCCTCCGTTGCTATCCCACCTGCGACGCTATTATCCAGCATTCCCCCATATGTCTGCTTTGTCCTCGCGCGCCTCGGCACCCAGATCTTGAGCTCCCCGCTCTCCTGACTGCGCGTGTAGACAGTCATGTGCACCCCATAGGTATTTACACCGAACAGGGGCGACGCAGCTCGCTCGATGTCGAAGAGGTGCTCCCGGCCGAGGCCGTACACGGGATACAGCTCATCGCGCCAGCCTTTCAGCAGCACGAAGGCGCCCGTCTGGCGGAGAGCTTCGCAGGTCTTCGCGACAACGGCAGAGCGCTCGGCGACGTTCGTGCCGGACACTATTGTCAGGGTGGGCGTAGTCGTGGCATCGTCCTCCGCGTCGTCGAGAGACCAGTCAGGCAGGTTGCGGAAGACTTCTGCGACGGCGGGAAGAACGTAGCCGAGCGGTGTGTTGTTGCCGACGACCTTCAAGCTGTAGAGACGGGAGCGGAGCTGGGGGTTGAACGATCGGTAGGGAGGGGGATATGGGAAGCTGAATGCGTGTCAGTATGCGCGAAGAGTAGCGTCACTAAGGCATACGAGGGGCTGGGTCGTACGAGTCGCAGGCGTTGACGAGGTCGAGGTTGCTGAGCTTGGGGGCGGCCATGGTTTTTTTACTGCTCTCGGTTTACGCAAGACGACCAAAGGCCCCGATTGAAATATCTCAATCGCGTCTCAATCGACCTGCATTCTGAGGTTGGCATAAAGGATATCTCTCCGCCGAAAGGCCCCCGCTGCAATCGATAAGCCCCGCAGACGTCATCGGCAAAAGCCTCCCAGCTTCATCCTCGAATCTCGAATAGCTATTCACCTCAAATCACAGTAGTTGTATATCCATATGTAAAAAAAGCCCGTTCGGTATAGGGCTCGGTCAGAGCAAGCCGGCAGCACCCAAGGTTGCCAATTGTTTACAGCAGGGAATCTGGAGTTCCAACATTCATCTCATACCTATTTCTCCTTTTCAGCTTCTCTCTCCTCATATATACAATGTTCGGCGTCATCGTATCCGGTCGTCCCGTCTATACCGAGTCTCAACCCGTCACTCCCACCTCCGTAGCCTTCGCTCTCCCCGCCGCTCCCGCTTTCAGCCATATAGTCGTCTTCCTCCTCCCCGGAGCCGCCTTACCACCAGAAACCGGTGCAGCAGTCTATATCCAACTGCCTGGCAGCACAGACTTCAGGCTGCTCGGCGCCATCGCGAACGAGAAACAGAGCGCCATCTTCAAGATAAACAACACGGGGGCAAGCCTCAATGCCGGCCCCGACGACGCGATGACAGATGAGGGCGCCCCTTCCACTGGGGCAGGCGGGAGTATAACGCTAGGCATCTCGGTCGAGCCCGCCGCCCAGATCGCCACGGCGTTGGCGAGTCTCAAGGCGCCTGCCCAACCGACTACGGGGCAGGAGCTGGCGCGACCTCAAGCGCAATTTGGCGCGGCTGTATCGCCGGTCACGACGAAGATCCTGGCGCAGAGGATCATCCGGAATGCGTTTAATTTCCTCGCCAGCTTTGGAAGCGAGACGGTGCCGTTGAAGGCGTTTCAGGAATGGTGGAAGAAGTTTGAGGCGAAAGTGGAGCGGGACCCGGGGTTTCTCGAGAGGGATGAGTAGGGCTGAGTGCTGAGGCCCCGGAAAGTTTGCAGCAGGAATGGTTTCGCCCATTTGCGGGCAGAAAAGATAGCCATCCGGCGCATGGCCTGGCGTCAGGCCTCCTGCGGGAAGAGCATTGCGCAAGGTCGTAATGATGCGGTTGCTCTGGCTTGGATCGGTCGCCATCCGCCCGTCTAAGGGAACGACCTTGCGCGGAGCTGCAAGTTGCAGATCCTGCTTGAAATCGCAGAAACGCTAACTAATTTCTTGCAAAGAGAGAGTTGCGTCTCTTTGCTCACCGCTTTCATGGAAGCCGTGACAACCGTTCGCGCACCACAGCTGCGAGATCAGAGCGGCAAATCCATATCTTGACTGTATTCCACGCAACCTCTCAGGCATTTCTTCTGTGTCCAGCGCTGCAAAACTCTAGACACTGTGATGTTTCTTTTCTTGTCCGCTGCTCGCTTGTAGCCTGCGAGTAATATATCTAGAGTTCCGGACCTCAACACATCTTTGATAGCAACTTCAATTTACCTCAATGTGATACGGATGATACGGGATTACAAATTCAACCGTCCTCTCAAGCCCTGTCATGTGCGTTCTAGCAGCTTCCCTCGCCTGCACTGGATTCTCGTCAGGATATGCTTCACTTTCTTCGACCGCTGGGTGACCGCGGTGTGAGCCAGCACCAGAGCTCATCCCGGAGCGTGAGATGAACTTTGAAGGCATCGCACGGCGTGAAATCTCAGTGGGCAGCATTGGCACGATATCGCAAAATAGGAGTCCTGAGTCTATCAATCGGGAGCAATCGCTGCAAAGCAACATGGTCATCATAAGCGGGCCAGAGCCTGCGTACTGGACATGCTTCATGCATTCGTCTCTTCTATCGACTGTGTTACTGTGCACCTCGTTCTTTTGATGCTCAATGGAATCGCAGGTTTTACAAGTTCACTACTGCAAGCTGCGGCTCAAAACTCGCTACTTCAATGTGTTTCGTCTTCCCCTACCCTTACTCAAGTCAAGCCGCAAGCCGATGCTGGCAGGAAACAACCCACTTTGGACATAAACCCGAATAGAATCCCATGGACGTCCTCAGGGGCCAGTTGAGAGCAGAGGCTTACTTCTAGACGGTCTCGTCACTTCCAGAAAGACTCGAGAATTCAATGATTTGCTAGAATGGTCGTGGAACGGAGCTTACAGCACTTTCAGCGGGGTACAAGAAGAGAGGTTGTTCGCACCGTGGGCCGACATTATTGAAATAAACTCAATAAACTTCCCCCCACATGGCGTTGATCGATGGACTCATTCTGGAGGGTTGCGCTCAGCTGCACATTTGTGTGGGGGTTGTACACCTTCTCAGTCCCTGAACTACGTCGAAGGACAAAGAAAGGCACTGGAGGGTTGAAGGGGAGTGGGCGCATGACCGCCCAATCGATTCAGCTGTGGATCTGGGGCGTGTAGGCCGGAGAGGATGTGCCCCGCCCCAGGAGATAGGCTACTTCCATGGCTCTTGAAAGGCAGGATTCCGACGGTTGGGCTCAATTTGCAACCCTTAGAGACTAGCAACGGCTTTTCGCGGGACATGTGGAGAACCCTCCTAACTGTGCGTGATTCTTTGGTCGTTTGAAGTGGGGTTTGGGGAGCGGTTGGTGGAAAGGAAATCCCTTGGCGCTGGCGGCACGCTAGGATCCACACCTCCGTCCTCCACGCGTTCTTTATTCTCACCTCATGTCCTGGGGTCCAGATGGCATCTGACCATCGTGACCGAGAAATGTCTGATACAAACCACAGTTTCAAGCAATGTCTGACGCTCCCGTATCTGGCTGCAAGTTGATGATACCCCTTACGTTGTAGTCGAAGAGAAATTCAGAGGATGTGATTGATGGGTTCTCCAGATGCTCCTCATATTGCTTACTCAAGCCAGAAAGTAAAGAGCAATTATGACTCTGATGCAAAAGTCAAAACCTTGTTTACTGTAGTCACAATTCTTGGTTTGTCAGCCTTATCAGTCTCCCACGAGCAATGTTCGTTCATCTCTTCAGAAAAATATCTGCAGAGGCTTAGGGCCTCTCCAGGTTCCTCGTTCCGTTTCAACCCTATATGGTCCTAGGCTTGGGCTTTAAACAAGTGTTGTCTTGTGTATACAATTTATTGAAAGATTACCTCCCGTTTCTCGGCGGGCGTTGAGAGACGTTAAGCAATCCCCTGACCCGGAGCCGGTCCAAGGAACGGAGTTCTTGAGCAGCTTTCCCACTTTTGAAATCTATTTCCAGGGCATGCAACGGTCTCGTGTACATCGATAGGCTACCCGATTTTCAATTCGCTTGCTCAGCTATACCGGTTCTTGCGGGGATACTCCTGTTGTAACCATGTATCCGATACCCCGTTTATGAAGATGCTACGAAATCCGCAGAGTCTTCACCCCACGTTTCTATTTTCCCCGCTATGTGAAACCTTCCTGCTTAAACACTCATTGCTGATTGGCTGGAGCTGGCTTCCTGGACAGCCAAATTACTGAAGACCACCACAATTCTAGCTAGCTTACTCGATATCTGATGGATGAATGTAATCAATTCGTAATAGCCAGGGAAGCAGTGCAACGGTGGGGCCTTCCTAGCTTCGAAGAACACGCGTGCCCAGTGCCCGGATGCTCTATAAAAACCCAGCAGTCCGCCCTTCAAGGTTCACCATCATCCTTGAGCTTTTGTCTTGTACTCTTTATGGTCTTCGCATCACAGCTCGTCCTCATCACCAACCATCTTTGTTAGCCTTCCTCGCTAGATAATTGCATCGTGGGCTACCTCTAGCCCACCGCAAAGGCATGATGCTTCTGCCTACTCTGCGCTGGCGTCAAACGTTGTTGTCCTTGTTACACTTCCTTCTAATTATCACCCCGTTTATTGTCCAATCTGTTCCCGTTGACCTCCCTACTGCTCTAGATCTGTTCTCGGTCTCTTATGTAGATCTTGATAACGGTAATCCGGTTACGTTTGACCTTTGGGTCGGACTTACACGAAGCGAAAGGATAGCCACTCTGGAAGCTGGGATCGCCACCCTGAAGAAGTGGATTCAACTCGCTCCTCGCGATGATACTCCCGATACGGATAATAACTCGGCTTCTCAAGAAGAGAGAATTGCAAAGTTGGAAGCCGAACTCGCCGCTCTGAAGAAAGGCGAATCACTCGACGCCGACAACGAGGCCTTGTGGGTAGCTGGCAACGACTATCAATGCGGCTTAGAAGCCCCAAGCCAGGAGACATGGGAGAAGTACGACGTGACGGCATGGCTGGGAGAGCAGTTCAAAAACAACAAGGGCCATTTTTACAATAACCTTGTGAAGAAATACGCCCCTGATGTTGCTCCAAGTCTTGCGAACTGTGATGGAGAACAATTGTGCAGCGTAAGTACCATCATCGTATTGATCTGACTCAGCTGCTGATGATTGCGCTGTAGGTCGTTAGCTGTCAAGTCCTATCGCGCCGTTTCTCCCGCGAAGAAATCCAAAAAGCGTACATCGCTCTCGAAGCAATGGCCAACTTCAACCAGTTCAATGCGATACTGCGAGATGCCGTGGACACCGCCCAGATGAGGGTAAATGCCTGGGCGCCTTCATTTGCCGTGGACTTTACGGAAGTCGGTTTATTGAAGTATGAACAGAAGCGTCGCGAGAAGCAAAAAGCACTTATATTCCACGGGATCCTCCTTGGTACCCTGGTCGTTACCTCCGCCTTTGGCACATTTGCCGCAGGCCCAACAATGGGTCTCGGAGCAAGCCATATGATTCCTATAGGGTCTGGTAAGCTGCTTGCCGCAAATCCCGTCGTCTTGGGGTCCGGTGTCGCTGGAGGGGCTTATGCAGGTGGCTCTGCCATTGCTCAGGACTTCCAAAAGTCTATGTAAGTCGCGAGATTCCTACCAATAACCCGTGCCGTTTCTTAAGCGTGGCTGACCAGATGTCTCAGGGACTTTGGTGGAGACCAGGAAGCCAACTTCGCGCGGTTCTTTGGTCGTTTCACCGCAACTATTTACGACGGTATCGTCGCTCGGGGCCAGGCGCTGTTTCGCGGCGAAGAGCTTTCGGACGGCAGCAACATTGTAACGATTTTGAAATCGGGGTATGTCACCTGGGATTTCACTAATTACCACTATCGACTCTAACGCTCGTGCAGATCGTTCGCACAGCCCAGCACGAGACGAGCCGTACACCTTGGCAATCAGCTTGATAAATACATGATGGCAACTGGACTCAATTACAACTGGCTCACGCATCACGCAGTATGCTCACAGACCATCATCAAGGCGATAGTTACCGTTCGCTAATCTATGTTCAGTACATCGTCCAGTCCGATGCTCCAGAGGGTTGCAAAAACGATCGTAGGGGTCCCCATCAAGTCAAGACCTGTCTTTCAGAGATGCCAGATAAAGTCTTCTACACGTACCACATCTCCCGAGCGAAAGACCATTCGAGGGGGAAAGGCCAGCCAAGGGGACCTCCGGGATACCTAAGATTGACAGGGGACCCGTCCGAGTACGCCGGCCTCACGCTCGAGGACGTTGTGCGCTCATCCGTAGCGCACTACCGGGACTATGGCTTTGGTATGGATAAGACAGCTGCTATGACGGACCCACTTGGCTACTTTCGCAATGGAACCGAGGCCGAGAGGATAGGCGGTAGTATGGCAGGCATGTTTACCCTCCCGATCGCGGTCAACCCCGGCGGAGAGGCTATCTCAGCCATCGGCTACGACTCTAAGGTGGTGGAGGGCCGTAACTACCCGTGTATGGTGGGCGATCTCCGCTGGGACGGGAAAGATTATGACCAGAGCCGGGACCAGACATTCGACTTCATTAAAGCCACGAATCTCTGGGAAGACGAAGATTTTATGGAATACTGCGATCGTGGTGAGTACATGAATTGCGATACGCACAAAGTATGGAATGGCAAGAGGATCAACGACTTCCCGATCCCACCGGAAATTGGAAGCAAGTGGCGCTTCAAGAAGCGGCCATTCACGGAGTGTAAAAGCCCGCAGCCGCACGACTTTAAGGGGGCAGAAGACGCCTTCCATTCGAACCAGAAGGACAAGGGCACGTATCGCGGCGGTGGGTGAAGGTTCACAGGTTCTCCGGCACCTGTTCTCGGCGGAAGTGCGATTCTTCTCGCTACGCCTGATTGATGCGCTGAATCTGCTTAGTTTCTACCATGTCTTTCCTCTTTATCCTGCGGGCCTGCTCGCATGCGTCTAAGTAGAAGTGTTATTGCAGAATGCAAAAGGAGCATCAAGGCTTGTAAGGAGGTCAAACTGTCACTGCATGCGTTGCGGCTTACGCCTGTACCTGCTCTGGCGGCTCCTCTTGTCGAACATATCACGCGCCATCTCAGCGCAACCTAAACTTCATTCAAACCTCTGCTAGCGTGTGCTTTGCGTTGGAGCGCCGTCTTGTGAAAAAGTAAACCGACCTGCAAAATCACCCGCCTATGCATGGCCTTGCTTGGTTTGAAGACAGCCGAACGTCATTACAATTTTGTAGGTTAGATGAAGATGGAGTTTAAGCACAAAGAAGTTGACATGATCGAGGAGGGAATGAGAAGAATGCTGGCCCAAAGACTGGACGAACTGTTGCCAGCATGGCTAAGCTGGGTGGGACAACATTCAATGGAAATGTAAATCAAGCTGCTGCCGCAGGGACTGCGCCTCCCGAGAGTACATCGACCAGCAACTCGCTAAGAACAAACACATGAAGCAGCAAAGCGTGGGCGATAAGTGCTTCTTGCTTCGCCAGCTTATACTTCTCCGCTCTTACTAAGCCAGCCTCCGTAAAATCCGCTACCAATGATCGCTGACGGGTAATGCCTAGCTGGGTGTCGTCAGAAGCCCCTTGGAGTGTTGTAACGAACTCGTCGAAGTTGGCCATGGCCTCAAGCACTGCAATCAAAACCACCGCTTTTGCATCATCCGGAAAACCATAGGACAGATTGAGGGAGCTGCCAATCTGTAGTGCTGCAGTCAGCAGACGAATCGAACGAAGTGAACTGAAACCATTGTGTATAGACATTGATGGTAATAATACTAACGCTGCACGTCTGAGGTCCATCGCCATTTACTCCGCTCAATGCAGCACCGGGCGTGTATCTCCGGATCAAATCCTCGAAGAAGTGGCCGTTGGCTCGAAGTTTCTCTTCTAACCAAGCGCGGACGTTGTATTCGTGCCAGGCCTCGTTACTTGCTGTCACGGCATGAATCAGTAACTTGCTTAGATTGTGAAGTGTCACTACTAACGAGGTAATAAGCCGTATTGATATTCTCCCGCATCTCCGGAAGACGCGTTCAGATTATCTGCATTGCTGGCTGCAAGCTCTGCTTGGAGGCTGTCTACTAGGGCTTGTAGCTCAGAAAGTTCCGGGTGCTCTGCGTCCTCGAGCGGAAGTGCGTGAGCAACAAGAGACAGAAAGAAGAGGATCACGCAGACGAGCGAGATGAGACGTTGCTGGTTGAACGAGGACGATCTCATCTTGACGATGGATTCACCCGGTAATTTGCAATCGAATGAGAATCAAGGCTTAAAGATATTGATAGTAGAGCTTCGACATGCAGAATGATAGCATGGAAAAGAGGGCGTTGGGCCTCTTATGTAGCACTGAGATTCAAATATTGGCGGGTTTTTCCTCAATTCACTCATGTGCCCTTTACTCCGCACCCGAAATACCACCCATAGAAGCCCGCGCCAATTTCCTGGCGCTGAATTGCTGCTTAGTACTGGAATCATTATACAGGTCCCCTAAAGTTCAGGCGGCTGAGCACAGCCTACGGCGTTCTTGAGAGATTCTTCAAGCCAATTCGTGCCAGCACCACTTTTGCGCCAAATTGAGTCAGGTCACGGGCCGCAATGAAAAACGACCCTTTCATGTCGGACCTTGGGAGTCGTGGTAGAATCCTCATGAGCAGGGTTCAAGAGATGTTGCCGGAAAGGAATGCGGGCAGCTTGAGGAGCAAACGATAACTTGTGAGTGTTTCAGCCCAGGGATATTAGTATAGTGCGGCAAGAACTGTCCAAGAAAGGTGGTTTATTATTCAGCATACATTCATTTCTGAAACAGGTTGACCGAAGCTCAGGAGATGGACGGGAGGCATCCCTGCGTCTTGGCGTCTCTATCAAGCCGCCGCATTACCCTTTCCCACTCGACGCACTGCTCATTGCACACAACTATTGAAAGGGTATAATAGATACCACGGGCCAGCATGGACTCTAATGACTGTTTCTCCCACGGATCACGTTCCACGTCGAACCGTGGCAAAATGCTTCGCTGACTGGGGCAGTGCAGAGTACTCCCCACCAACGGAGGGGAAGAAGGAGCCGGAACACTATATATTTAATCATCAGGTAACTGAGTTGACGTAGGAAGTATTTTCTTATACTCTAGGATGCTATGTTCACACGTCAAATACCATCAGATAGTAACACGCCAATGCGTGCGACTCCGGATCGCTTCTGCACTTTCCATCACAACATTGACACATATATACGTTGAGAAAGAAGATCTTTGATGCCTTGGCAAACGCAGAGGGGCACCCTGAGTCCCTCTCGCCAGATCGCCTGCCTTTGACTTGTGAGGGAGCACCTAGGCACCTTCCACTGCTGCTTCCGCTATTGTTAACTGTCGTTCGGTCGGCTCGGCAGGCAGGTTCTCCTTAAAAGCGCTTCTCCTTCTCAGTTTCTCCTCACCATCAAACCATCTCTTTCACTCAATCCAATACTCTGCAAATCACCACTTTGCCATGGACCACCACACGCTTCCACCACTTCGCTTCTACCCTTCTCATCGGGTAATCCTCCATCCTGGTCGACTCCAATACTACTTCATCCAGTCCACTCTTTTCTCGTAGCCACATACCCCTTGTCTGCACTTTGGCTTGACTCCTTACGCCTCAAAGTCCATACTTCAAACCAGCAAATACTTCTTTCGATGGCAGTTCAGCGAGCGTTTGAATGGAACCAGCCAGTCCTGTGTGCGTTCCGCCTCGGAATATGCTTTTCCTCACAGTTTTCCGCCGGGCACTAACGGTCACATCATCGATCCCGGTACAAGGGCACTCACTGATCCACTTCTTCGTTCTCATTTGACTCGATTCGGCTGCTCAGCCATGCCTTCCACAGATCGGAAGTTGTCAGAACTTGGCCAAGAACCTCCCGAAACTCGCAAGGCAAAAAGCGTACATTGCGCCCGAAGCAATCACGGGCCTGAACCAATACGTCGAGATGCTTCAAAAGGACGCCGATGCTGCCCTGATGAATGTTAACAGCTGGAGCACGTCACTCGTCAATGATTTCACGGAGCTTGGCCTGTTGAAGCTCGAACTCAAGGACTTTCAGCAGTCACGGGCGATAATCTACCACGCCGTTTCGCTGGTGCCAGGCTGTGACAACTTGGCCAGCCGCACCCAAAGGAACAAAAGCAGAGATCGTGCGTTACTCTTGAAGGACTTGCGACCTTCGACCAATACATCAAGACGCTCCTGGGAGCTTACATACTCTTCCTTGATCAACGCATAACTCGACGATATTCGACGCCTCTCGACCGACGACCGGGATCGTCTATATTTCCAGGCGTAGTCCTTCTGCGGCGAATGTATGGTCCACACTTCAAACGTTCTGCCTTCAGGGATTCTTAATCTATACCTCCGTTCAACCAATCTCCCGCCGTACTCGGAATGCAAGCCACCGTTCTTGAAGCCAGCACTGGAGTGCAGGCAAGCTACCATTCAGAACACATGCCTCGGGGAGAGATACAGAAGCCCGATCCGACGATCCAGCGAGCATACGCGTATGTCATCGGAGTACATGTAGTAGTGACCCACGACCCCATCGAGGCGGAGATGAAACCAGCCTGCAGTCAGAGAAATCATTCTGGGATAGAGAGGCATATCCTTGCTGTGAACGGTCATCTGTAGTGGTAGCTACCGCTTGTCTTCTCAACAGTATGAAGATCGATACCACCGCTTGTGGTCCACAACGTCTCCATTGCTCGTGACTGTTTTGCTTTTACAGACTTGAGCGCGCTCGATATCCTCACCAGTTATCGTCAGGCAGCAAGAGTCCAGCTCACACAGCAAGATGTGAGGATCGGTAGTCACGTTTTACTGAGACAACATAATCAAGTCGCCATAGCTGACGTATGTACCCGGGAGGGAAATTGTTGATGTCCTGCCGAACAGGGAGATCGCATACTGATTTCCCTTCACTATGGCTCCTGCCGTCAGTGCGAGAGAATATCTAGGCACCTTCCGCAACCGCTCCTGCCACTTACGGCATCGAAGACACCCCAAGGTCATGATAATTGCCCCTTGCGCCCAAGGAGTCTTGAGGCACCCCACTGCGCATGTGCAAATCTCGCTCGCAGCGCCAGCCGTTAGCAAAGCAGAGCCACGAATTTCCTAGCCCGCATCCCTCGGCGTCCTCATTCCCTCACCACCGAACATCTCACGCTCCTGCCTAGGATATCACGTCCCCACTTCGTCTCACCGCTCATCTCCTCCCTCCCAACCCCGCTACTGTAACCTCCACAACCCCCTCCCTGCACGACCCGACCTTAGCCGCCGCGTTCAAGATGGCCATCTCAAACGCCTTCAACGTGCCCACCAGCTCCCTAACCCTAGCTTCCTTGCCGCCCTCCGCGTCCCTCGCGCCTCTTGCCATCAGCTCCTCCGCCCGGGCCATCGTCCCCGCCTCGACAGTCCGTAGATGCTGCTCGATCTCCGAGATGTGTTTGTTGTAGCTCTCCAACGCCTGACTCATCTCTGCCGCCTTGTTAGAGAAATATCCCACGATGTCCTGCGCCGACCCGTTGGCTTCCGAGGCGTCGCCCATAGTTGAGGGTGGCGGAGGCGCCCGATCGACGCCATGATGTCCCAGACCCATGAAGCTCCCATACATCTGCTGCTGGTGCTGCTGCCCTAGATGGTACGCCCCCGGCAGCCTCAGCGCATCGATAGCATTGAAGCTAAGCCTCCCATCCTCCACATCCCTCGCCACGACCTCCTTGACCCTCCTCACAGCCTCGGCGTCATTGTCCAGCGCCGTCTCAACCGCCTCGACGCGTCCGCTCACAAACTCGACGTCGTTGGGTATGTACGCTAGGTTCGCGGCGTGCGGCTTCATCATCTGCGCGCACTGAGACGCGTGGTTCTGCTGCACGGAGATGAACTCGTCGATTGCGAGGACTTGCTTTTGGAGGTCTTCGTGCAGGTCGCTGAAGCGGGTCGTGCCGCGGATGGAGCTGAGGTCGATGCGTACGCCGGGAACGGTGGAGGCGGTGGTGGATTGGCCCGAGAGGCTACCGCCTAGGGGGTTGGGGGCTTGCATGTTGGGGTTCTGGCCGAGTGTGAGGCTGAAGGGGTTGGGTTTGTTGGAGCTGGCGTTGAAGAGGGAGGGTTGCTGTTGCGTGGTGAGGTTTGCGGCGGAGGGAGCGAAGAGGGAGGGCTGGGCTTGGGAGGTGGGTGCTGTTGAGCTGTTGGTACAAAGGGGGCGGTCAGCACGCGTGAGGTAAGGAATGTTCGACAGACGCGTGGGCGGCTGCACGCTTACAAAAGTGACGGCGCGGCGGGTTTGCTCTGCGGGTTGCCGAATAGAGAGCCTCCGAAAGGGTTACTGCTCTGCTGCGGCTGCGGCTGCTGCGTTTGCACATTGCCGGCTCCAAACAAGCTGCTTGCCGGCTGCGCGCCGGCCGCCTGCCCAAATAGACCTCCGCTCTGCTGCGGTTGTGACGTGCTCCCCAGGCCGCTGAACAGTCCTCCAGTCTGCTGCTGCGGTTGCGCTGCTGGTGCCGAGCCAAACAGCCCACCAGTCTGCTGGGGTTGACTCGCGGCGGCGGATCCGAATAGCCCACCACTTTGCTGCGGTTGCGGTGGAGCTAGTGATGATCCGAATAGACCTCCGCCTTGCTGCTGCTGCTGGGTGTTGGTAGCCGTCCCAAACAACCCTCCGGTTTGCTGAGGTTGCGATGCTGCCGTAGACCCGAAAAGCCCGCCTGCTTGTTGCGTATTGGGATTCGAGGCATTGCCGCTATGAGAAGGCGCCAGTTAGTCATGGCTGTAAACGATAGTTGCAAAGCGCCAGTCGAAGGAGCTATGGGAGGACTGCGGAGTAGAGAAGGGACATTGGACAACTCACAAGAGGGTATTTGAAGCCCCAGTGTTTACACTCAATGAATTTGATCTCCCAAAGCCAGCCATTTTCGGTCGATATGTCCGCAGACCAGGCGCGCAGAACTGAGGAGCGCTTCCAGACTGCGCAGGTTGTGCAGGAGAACGCAAGGGAGAGTCCGAAGGAATGGTCGCAGGGGCCTTGGAAGATGCGGAAAAGAGGATCGCGCGGCAACCGAACCAGACAACGAGCTCAGAAAAAATGGCGTTTGGTGAATTCTGAAGCGTTCGCAGGTGTTGATGACCACGCGGGAGCTTCAGCCAATGATCGGCGACGCGACTTTTGGGTGACCAGCGACATCACGCTTCTGAGCTCTCCCACCAACGCGCCAAACCCTCCACCCACGACCTCGAACTCTACAACCAGCTCTGCCGACTTCTATATCTCCACTCTTCTCCTGACCTCAAGCGACTTGATACTACTCCGGCAAGAGCCCTTTGCGCCAAACCGCGAAAACATGGAGGAAGAAGACGACGATTTCTACGGGCCGAACGAGGGCTCCGAAGCTCCAAACGGCGACCTCAAAGCTCCCGCAGAGACCAATGGGCAGTCCGGCGCGAAGGACGTGAAGGCGGAGGAAGCCCTCGAGTCTGGCGAAGAGGGAGAAGAGGAGGAGACCAGCGATTCAGTATAGTCTTCCTTCCGCACCGCATAACATACCCACTCCGCTGACACTCCCCCAGGACATCGACATTATCACCGAGCGCAAGGATGGGCCTGGCGCAGAACACACACCGTATATACCTCGTCGTCGTTCCCACCTTGGTGCCGCTACTAATCCTACCAGCCAACCACCGCGCCCTGTCGCCATAAAATCCGAACTCAGACACGCCCCCTCCGCCGAACCGACCCCCCGATCCGCGCAGCCCTCCCAGCCCTCCCAAACCCATCCCCTCCGAACCAGTTTCTCCTCCTCCACCGGCCGTCCCCCTGTGCCAACCCGCCTAAAAGACGGCTCCACCTACCCTGAAATCCGCACCTCGACCATCGACGTCAATGCGGACCCCGTCTATCCACCCGCCCGCAAACCCATAACCGCGGTCGAAATCGACGTGGACCTAGCCGAACACACCAAGCCCTGGCGGCTTCCCGGCGCGGACCAGAGCGACTTCTTCAACTACGGCTTCGACGAGTTCACATGGGAGATGTATCGGCTGAAGCAGCAGAGCATGGCGAAGGTGCAGGAAGAGCAGAAGGCGGAGACGAAGCACCTCGAGATGTTCCTCACGGGTGGTGGCGGGATGCCTGGCATCCCGCCTGCGCCGCCGGGGCCGTCGAGTACCCAGCAAATTGGCCCTGTGTCGGGTATGGAGAGGGGTGGGCCTTCTGGCACACTACTATTAGGAGCAGGAAGCTTGAGAGGCGAGCCGGGGAGTCTAGGGCAGGGAAACATGGGAATGGAAGATCCGGTCATGCAACTGGTAATGCAGCACATCATGGCCAATGGTATGGACTTCAGCCAGATTGGGCCCCAGGACTTCGAGCAGCTTTACCGGCAGATCGCTGCGCAACAAGGCGCTGGAGGTGCTGGGCCGCCGCAGGGACCGGCTCAGGGGGCGCAGGCAGCCTATGGAGGACAGCAGGGCTACGGAGGGCAGGCCCAGTGGGGGCAGCAGCAGCAACAGGGTGGATACGGGAGAGGGGGGAGAGGTGGAAGGAGGTACTGAGGTTAGCTTGTTGGGGGAGATGGGGGGGAGTGTTTGCATAGGGCGGCGTCGGGGAGTTCATGGACATCGCATGTCGCGCGAGAGTACCAACGGCGTTGTGTCTATGAGTTATCAAGAAAGTGGTAGCCAACCCTGCGCTCAAGATGAGTGCATCACAGATATAGCATTTCTGATTCGCCAAAGCCCCTTTGGATATCCCTATCAGCGAAAGATTGTAACTGCCAGAACATCCTCACTACTTGTGAATAAACCACTCTTCCTCTACCACAGTGCTCCCCTAGCGTATGAGCAAACCGCAAGCCGTGATAGATCCCAAGGTGAAATCGTTGCGTGGGACAGTACAATCGCTGGTGATGTTGTGCCCCAGGAAGTTGGGAATGTCCGCCTGGCAGCCTTGGAATGCTTAGTCATCTTACTTGCTCTTCTTTCGGATCCGTGGCCGACGACGACTTGGGTTCTCTTCCCAGATGCTTGAGCAGCTTATGCCAGTCCTGTTGCCCACTGCCAGCGTGTCTTCTTTCTATTTGTGCGTTCTGGAAGGCAAGGTACTGCTGTCGTATCCCAATGCCCAACTTCGCGTTTCTTCTGATTCTCTACATGTACCGCAAATGCAATTTTGCTAAGCGTTCATCTTTGTCTCAAATCTCCCGAGCTCTTTCTTGGTGCAAAAGACATCTCAAGAACAACCATGACTCCGGGGAAAACGCCAGAGAACTCTAAGCTTCACATAGCAACATGGTGTAATAATATATGCGCGGGAAGGGACCGGCATGTTGTGGTAGAACTGCCTGACTTGAGGTCCTTTTGCTAGAGATGTGAGGCATTTGGACTTGCAGCTGTGGAGCGGTCTCTTGCATTCGTGCTTGATTGTTCGGGACATCATGGATCTGGAAGCTCTATACGAGTGACTTACGCGTTATCCATAGTCACAAGTCTCACGAAACCACGTTTGTGAACTCTCATCTTAATCTTTTCTAGCCGCAGCCCATTCGTAATTACAAGTCCGATTCGCAATGCGCATTCTGACATTCCCCATTCCATCATCTCTTCAGTCCTGGTACCGTTCCAGCCTGGTGTATCCTGATGAACATTGCATCATAGACATCACACTCGCTGACCTGCGAGACAACGTGGAGCTGTCTGCAGGTCATATCAGCCGGGAGATACTTCTCCACGTCTTTCTCGGTAGCCTTGAGCTCACCTTGTAAACTCTGCTCTCGGCTACTCACTCTGCAGATCAGCCCGTTCGTCTGACTACGGGAACCTTTGGCTGGCGCAAACCACTGAGCTGCCTTCGCACCTCATTCCTCCGAAGGGTTCGTTTGACTTCGCACTTCATCCTCACACCTCATCTCTCACAGAGTCGCTCACTTCTCCCGCAAGTAAACGGACCGGTTCGTTCGGTCGTCGCCCACTTCACAGTTCCACGCTGCATGTACCTGCAACGCAAGACTTTCTTCAAGCAGCTGACCCTGACGGCCAAGGAGTCTTTATTTCATATAGCCCCTCAATCTCACAAGAAACTCAACTTCTAGCGAGTTTCTTCCGCCTGCAAGGCTCCTTCCAGTTCACCAATCGCACTTTGCATCGTCACAAGAGTCAGATGCGAACAATTCCTCAGGGCCGGCTGAGATTCAAGGGGCCTTCACCTGCACTTCCTGCTCCCTGTAAGTCTTCCTGTTCCCACGACTATTTGAGATGTACCCACTACCTTTTCTCTACCCCTCTTACATCACGCTTCCCCCTCCTTGTTTCTACTCTCCCTGCCGAAGACTATTTAAGGTAGTCTTTCCCCCATATCCTCTATCATTCCTACACCTCACTTTACCTTTGGGCATGCTCCGACATCACTTTCAAGACACCTTCGTTACTCTTTCTTCACTTCACTTCGGTACATCTATCCACACCTTCAGCTCCCGCGCGCCTTGAATCAAATCAAACACGGCTCTCTTATCATCCTTCAGGTCTTATATTCGACCTTCGGCAGTTTATGGACTAATTCGCAACTCCGTAGCTCACGTGTGGCTGCTTGAGGTTGAGATCACATCCGAAACACTCATCGCGCGCAGGCCTGCATGGTCGCTCCAACGCGTCGCCTCACGTTGCACGTCTGATCTCACGGAAAGCCCACCTCGTCATCCTCGATAGCTTCACTTAAAAGTCGTCATCCAAGCATCGTTTACGTCTCTGATACTTTCCAATTTTCACCTTCCTTTGAAGTCACAGTTGCGACGCTTCACTTCCTTTTGCTTGACGCGTCCGTCATCTATCACATTTAACTGCATCGGTCTGCCTGATTTCACTGCGCAGACATATCATCGAAAGCAAGATACGATGTCGGCTTCACCTCCTCGCTCCCACGAGGGGAATTCGGATCACGTTCAAAGCGCTGAGCAGCCTGAAGAACAGTCTCTCACGGTTTCCAACGATTGCTTGGACGATCCCACAATTGCGCAACACCCGGAAGTTTCGTTTGAATCTGATGACGTTGTCATGCAAGAAACCACGGACTCTCACAAAATGATATGTGACAGTAGCCTCCAACTCCCTGCTGGAGGTCAAGATCCGCCAAGCACCATGCGCGCTGGAAGCCTTCTGGCGCCAGGCGTCAACAGCGACCTCGAAGTTGTAGACAGCCACGGAGCTTTCAGCACGCCTTTGCCAGGTCTCTCAGCTGACGATGTCGCAAGCCCGCTGTTCGAAACACAGCTAATGGACCTCGACACTGCGGAAGACCTGCGAGCCGTTTCAAGCTTGATCAACCCCCAGAGCGCCGATGGCTGCATCGAAAAACCTACAGTTGTCAAGGAAGACATCGCTAGCGCCAATGGCAATTCTGTTGACGCCACAATGGATTGTAGCCATGGAGAACTGCAGCTGACTGAAGAAGAGGCCTCCAGTGCTGCCGAAGTTTCTGAGGAATTGCCAGGAGATGGTCGGATCCCAAGTCCAGCTCCACAAGCTGAACTTGATCAGCCGCAGGTCAATTTGGGCACGTCAATGCTCGGTCTGAAGAATCCTGCAAGCAAAATTAATCCTCTCTTGCGAAAAGTGCGGGAGTTCATACTGCAGAAATCACAGGGTCAAGAGTCTGTCACAACCGTGGCACCAGCTCCTGACGGTATGCCCAAGTCCTCAATGGGCCTCCCAAAGCCTCGAGAGGTCACTATGGCTCCGCCCCGGTCCAAGCCACAAACGGACCCCGCAGCTGCTGCTTTTGCAGCTAAGAAGAGGCAGTATAAGAAAGACCAGAAGGCGGGCAAGATAGACATGGAAGCTGAAATCATCTTTATGAGGCTTCAGAGTGAAGAAGATACTCGCCTGAAGATGCTGGCTCAGGAACAGGAGTATGAGGAAGGCGGCAGCAAAGATCGCGATGACCCCTTCGTGTCTGCCCTCGAAGATACCTCGCAGTCAGAAAGCGGAGGACCTGTCAGTCGTAAGCGCCCTCGCAGTCCCGATGAAGCTGAAGAAGTCGATGAAGACGCCGAGCCCAACTCCGAGGAGGATCACAATGGCCCGTCTAAATCGAAGCAGCACAAGAAGCCAAAGTTCGGCGTAAGAGCTAAGCGCTACCAGCCGCCAAAGCGCGACATTGAAGAAAGCATGGCCGTTGCACTGGACGATGAAGTTCAGCCAAAAAAGGGGCGTGGCAAGAGTATCAAGGGTAATGATCCAAATACTGGCAGCAAGTTTAGCAAGAAGCCGGCACACCCATCCAACGCCAAAAACACCAATCCGAAACCAAAGGCTCCCAGGCGGCCTCGCGCTAAGAAAGCAGCAAAGGATGGTGATGATGGTGACAAGACCACCTCCAACAGGCGCCTGCGTGCTGATGGTCCAGACATGGCGGACGTACCGAGTCTCTTGACGAGTGACGTTTTCAAGGATGCAGCAGGCAACGAAGGGCGTGCGGATCAACCTACATTCACCAACACTCGTAAGGACCAAGCCTTGAAAGAACTCATAGCGTCCGTCCCAGAAGATGTTCGGAAGACCGCGCAAATCACCAAAAACTACCTATTGGCCGCTACGAAGGACTTTATGGGTCGCGGTGCCGTCAAGGCCGACGGAAAGGGCGGCTGGTTGGTGAACGGAATGGAGAGCTCTTTGAAGCATTACCAGTTGTTGGGCGCGTCCTTTATGCGTAGGAGGGAAATTGCCGTCGACCCGCAAGGCGGGCTCTGCGCGGACCAGATGGGGCTGGGCAGTAAGTTGGTACTTCGACATCTGCTTGCTTGATCGCTCACACAGATGGCAGAAACGGTCATGATGATTGCGAACATTGTCAATGGTCGTCCTCCCATAAACAGCCGCAAGCCGAAAACTACTTTGATCGTGGCACCCTCCGGGCTAATGGGACAATGTTAGTCTTCTCTTCAAAGGCGTCAATAAGCTTTATTAATAGACTGCAGGGTTTCAGGAGATTGGGAGGCATTGCAAGAAAGACCGCTACGGCCGACCAATCCTCAGCGTGGTCAAACACTTCGGAAATAAAAAAGTTGACTCCACAAGCACGGCGGAAGACTTACAGGAGTACGACGTGGTCCTTACTACCTACACCGAGGTTCTGAGATCCTATCCGAAATGCGATGTGCCGCTTGAATGCCAGACAAAGGAAGAGAAGGCCGCATACTGGAAGAACTTCTACGAGAAGAACAGGGGCGTCCTTCACCGGATCAAGTTTCTACGAATTGTTCTGGACGAGGCTCAAGCGATCAAGAACTACAAATCCAGAACCTCCATCGCCTGCCGTGGCTTGATGGCAGAGAAGCGCTGGGCCATGTCTGGCACACCGATCCAGAACTCGATCTCGGAGCTTTATCCATACTTCAAGTTCCTGCGAGTACCTCATACCGGGACGTATCGTATCTTCCAGCAGAACTTTGCAGCACTCGAGAGCAATGATCAGGATAAGGTCGACCGTCTGCTTGTTACTCTGTCAGTGTTCCCTACTAGTGAAAGAAGACGCACCTACTGACACTCTTTCGCAGTTCGAAGTTCATGATTAGGCGCACTCATATGGACACTCTGTTCAACGCTCCTCTTGTGAAGCTTCCTGCTGCTGCGCAGAACGTCCAATGGGTTCGGTTCAACGACCTAGAGCGTGGTGTCTATGAGATTGTCCACAAGCGCATCGTGGAACGCATCAACGGCTTTTCGAGGTAAACACTCCTATATCTATCCTTGACACTACTATATCTAACGAGCTACGCAGAGACAGCACTCTCCAGAAGCACTACTCCCATATATTTGTTCTGCTCCTTAGACTTCGGCAAGTGTGCTGTAGTATACTTCTAGCCGAACATGTTATGCGCGACCTTCTCACATTCGAGGATCACGAGAAACTGCGTACTCTCGCCGACTCGGAAGCAGAAGAGAAACATTCTGCCGACCGCGAGGCTCAAATAGTGACATTCCGTAAGTTACTAGCAGAAGCTAAGGCCCAGACTCCTGGCGCAGAAACCCCTCAAGGTGCAGCTCCTACGCCCATTGCAGAGGCCGCGGACACTACGGGTTCTTCCACAGCCGCAGGGCCTTCAACTGAAGGATCGTCTCCGCCATCGCCAGCAGCTGAGATGGGTCGTGGTCGCGCTTTCGGCCTCACCTATGACTTCAGAAAATACCTCAGACAGCTGAGAAGCGGAAAGCAGTGGGATGAACTTCAAGATCGGACCTTGTGCTACAAATGCCGCCAAAATCCAACTCAACCATGGATAACCAGCTGCTACCATGTCTACTGTAGAGAATGTCTAGAAGAGATGCAGTGGGAAGCATCTCAGAAGGATGAAGACCGTGCGAAGTGTATGGAGTGCGCTAGCGTCTATACAGAGGTTAAGCCTTGTGGGGAGATCGACTTCGAAGAGCTTCTTGACAACGAAGACTCCCCTTCGGAAACCGACCACTCTCAACAGTCGGCCAAGCCCAGCGGTAAGCGTGGCAAGAACAAGAATGCCCCGGAAGTTCAGCCAAGGGATTGGATTGCCTTAGCAGGCGACATGCTGCCTTCAGTGAAGACCATTGCGATCAAAGCCCAGCTACTCAATTGGCTGGAAGGCGACAGCGGCGTAAAGGTCATCGTGTACTCACAGTTCCTTGACATGATCAGAATTATGTCAAGGATTTGCGATACCGAGCGCTGGGGTTATGAAACGTACCATGGCAACATGACATTCGACGCCCGCGAGAAAGCTCTCCAGGAGTTTGCGGACAACCCGGACACCCGGGTTCTCCTCGCTTCGTTGAAATGCGGCGGCAGTACGTGCTTTGTCCCCCTCGGCTTGTACGGTGCTAAAAAATTCGCAGCTGGCCTCAATCTCACGATGGCGTCGCGAGTCATCGTAGTGGATCCATGGTGGAATAGTTCCGTAGGTCGGTTCTCAGACGTTCTATGCCTCCCTGAACTATACTAACAACTTTTAGAACAGCAAGGTACCGTCAAACAGCACGCCCCGTCAAAAAATACTGACATCTCTAGCTTTCTGCCGCGTTTTCCGCATCGGTCAGGAGCGGGAGACGTCTCTGACTCGCCTCGTTGTCGAGAACACAGTCGAAGAGAACATGCATAATATGCAGAAGCGGAAGGACCTCGAGATCAACCGCGTCATGGAGGACGGCGGAGGAACGAGGCACAAGTGAGTCTACCGGAATGAGATAGCCTTGGATTACATCAGTGCTCATTGACCTGTTTAGATTGTCAATCAAAGAGCTGATGCGTCTTTTCGGACCCGTCCGGGAGGACGAGGAAGGCAAGCCTTTCATTCTCGTGGACGACAAGGAGACCTTCCCAATGGTTGGCGCGGACAGTGAAGATGAGGATATGGCGGATTCGCCGTAGGTTCTACAGGCTGGCTAGGGAACGCTCTGGCTCTTCAGGTCTTCCCAAGTTTCTTCAAAAGTTGGCTATGGCTGGATCCTACCTCATGAGCACGCAGCACCGACTGCGTCTGGAACTTTCAGGAGTTTACCTTGGTTTCTTGGCGGATGCTTCGTTTTCTGGGCATACTTAGAGCTTTTCGTGGACAATCTGAAGGGGCTGCCAATAAGACCTTCAAGGACCTGGGCTAAGAGCCTGTTCTGCTTTCTTGGGGGACGGCAGACTTCCATGGCACGCTCAGGACTTCACGACAATGAAAGGGTTGGGTTGCATGCGAGCTTTTTAGGAGTTTGATCTGGGTTTTTGGCGGAGGGTAGCATCTCGTGGCACGCGTCAAGCTGTCCACTAGTCCTAGCAGCTCTCAAAAAGTGCATTTTCTGACTGAACTCAACGGCTTCACCTTGATCAATTGCATTACTAACTACGTTACTACCGAGAACCTGGAACCTTGGAAGGGCACATGAGGCTGCTCCCCAAATCAGATCACGTGGGGCATCGCACTGCGGGGGGGTGGAAAAGGGCGCCAGGTGGGCTGAGACTGATTGGCAAGGTCTTATCAGCGATTCGTTGCCTTGCCGCAAGCGATTTCACCACCGGCCGCTCTATCTCAACACCTGCGACTGTACGAGAGCGGCCAGAGTTCGCTTTTCAATATGGCTGCTGCTGCAAGGCTCTCGCGCTCGACAAATCCAGAAGCTGGCAAGACCAAACACTCAATAATCGGCCCGACCGTGCAACTATCGAGTAATAGCCAGCGCCTGCGAATCCGGCTTTCGCCTCCAACCCCTCCGCAGTCCTCTGCGGCCGGTCATCACGCCAAGAGAGTGTTACAGATGACACAACTTCTCACATCTGTTCTGCATCTCTCGCAATGGATCTCGCCTTGATGAGCAGTCCGGGCCAGATCAAGCCGTCCAGTGTAGACAGCGACGACCTGTCACCACAGAAGCCGGCCAAAGCGCGCGCAAGGAACAGGAAGAAGGAGGGCAGTGATGATGGCAACAAGAGGAGATGCGTGAGCACTGCGTGCATAGCCTGCCGAAGGTACGCGAAGCCTGGGACGCTGCGAATACTCCCACCAACGCTGGCTGACCCAATGCTGGATTTAGGCGCAAGAGCAAGGTCAGAACACCACAGCTGTTACGTTATGTACAAACTTTCAAATCTGGCGACTAAACCAGCGTATCCTACAGTGTGACGGCAACCTCCCTGAATGCGCCGCCTGCGCTTCAGTCTACAACACAGCGTGCGTGTACGACCCCAATTCGGACCACCGCCGCAAAGGCGTCTACAAGAAGGATATCGACAACCTCAAGACGCGCAACTCAACGCTACAAACATTGATACAAGCTATACTGAACTACCCGGAAGATGAGGTACCAGCACTTATCAAGCAGATACGGACATGTGAGAGCCTAGACACCGTGGCTGAAGCCATCCTGGCTAAGGAGGCTGGGATTAGCGGAGATGACGATGACGATATGCCATTGCTCAGCATCGAGACTCCGTCGGGCCAGCCAACTTTCGAGACTCAACTCTCTGGGAAGATGGGACGACTACGGCTAGAGGATGGATCCGTAAGATACATCGGGGGCACATCGAACCTGATCCACCTGGGAGCTGGCTCGGACCACGAAGACATGGCTTCGGAAGCGGAGCAGTATCAGCAGCAGGACAATCCGATTACGACCTGGACGAACGTGACATCAGATTCGACTCTGATCATGCATTTGATAAACATGTACTTCACCTGGCACTACACGTATTTCACCACCGTCTCCAAAAGCCTCTTCTACCGAGACTTCTTGCTCGGGAGGCCACCGCCGAACACCCGCAGGAAAACAGAGTATTGCACGCCTTTGCTGGTCAACGCTATGCTCGCTTTGGGTTGCCACTTTACTTCATGGCCTGCGGCACGTGCTGATCCAGAGGTCTCCGCCACGGCCGGGGATCATTTCTTCCGGGAGGCCAAGAGGTTGCTCATGGAAAACGACGAACACGAGAAGCCGAGATTAACTACCGTCCAAGCGTTAGCCTTGATGTCTGTCCGAGAAGCGGGCTGTGGCCGCGAGGCCAAAGGCTGGGTCTACAGCGGGATGAGCTTTCGGATGGCTTGTGATCTGGGTCTTAATCTGGATTCTGGCGTTCTGTCCTCCAGTAGAGATACCAATCTTGACGAGGCTGGCGAGGATGCGCGGAGGATCACATTCTGGGGCTGTTTTTTGTTCGATAAGTGAGTCTGCTCTAATTACTGATTTCCTTCCGTGCTGTGTTGGGACGACCCGAGTTCCTCTCTACACAACAAACACTAACATGCTATCCGAAGATGCTGGTCGAACTACCTTGGGCGCCTTCCGCAACTGCCGACATCTATAATCACCGTCCCGAAGTTTGACGTCTTCCCGGTCGAAGAGTCGGACACCTGGTCTGCCTACACGGATTCTGGAATTAGCCAGGCCAACTCTCAGGCATCACGAACGCGTGCCATTGCACTTCAGATTTCCGCGCTTTGCGAGATTAGCAATGATCTCATGACGTCATTTTATAATCCAATTGACATGGACAAGCCGAAAGGGAAGAGCGCGGAGCTGAAGAAGCTCTCCGAACTCCACCAGCGCTTAGAAGGCTGGCGCAGGGATTTACCAAAAGAGTTCGAGCCGAAAGAGGGCGGCTTACCAAACATGCTGGTGATGCAGTAAGTTCTCATCTCCGGCACGTTTCTAGTTTCTCTGACCAGGGCACAGTATGTTCTTCCAATTGCTCTTCATCCACCTTTTCCGCCCATTTCTTAAATACAACCAAACGACCTCCCCTCTGCCCGCCAATGTTTCGCCCCGCAAGCTCTGTACTCAAGCCGCAGCCATGATCTCGAAATTACTACGACTGTACAAGCGATCCCACGGCCTGCGGCAGGTCTGTAATATTGCAGTCTACATAGCACACTCAGCATGCACTATCCACCTGCTCAACCTGCCCGACAAGAACGCCCGACGAGACATCATCCACGGCGTCAAACACCTCGAAGAGATTGCCGAAGGTTGGCTCTGCGCTCGGCGGACCCTTAGTATCCTCAGCGTCCTGGCGCGAAAATGGAACATTGAACTTCCAGAAGAGGCAGCTGCGGTGCTAGCACGGACCGAAGCAAAGTTCGGCTCCTACCAAAGCGATGCTTCCACGCCAAAGTCAGCGATCGTCCAGGCTCAAGCTCCCGAGCAGCCGCAGCAACAGCAGGTCCCAATGTCTGTGACATCGTACCCGCAGCAGATGCACGCAACTACGGTGGGCTACCCTGTCGTCGGCGGCGCTGCCCCCGCTACTGCCGGCCCGCGTCGCGTCGGTGACAACAGACCGCTCCCTCCACCGCCGCAGACATCCTCCGAATTTCAGTTCCCTCGTGCGCAAAGACACCCGCCAACGAATGCCAGCACGCCCTCTAGTCGGGGCCAACCACGCATGTCACTCGATTCCACAGCCACGACTACAGCGGCGAGCATGTCGCCATCTGAGCTCTTTGGTGGAATCGATCAGCTCCTCCGAGAAGGCCAGGATTGGTGGCTCAGGGATCAGTCGCAGCTGGCCATGGGCTTTGACAATTGGAACATGGCTGAAGCAGGGGATATGTCGTGGATCAATGGTAATGGAACGGCGGGGAGTGCGGCCAACTTTGTGCTCAACGGGGTCTATGGGTATGGTGCTGTCAACGGCTATAACGAGGAGGAATGGTACCAATAACGGATCTGGTTGCTAGGCACTGGTCTGGCGTCCGGTGTTCTGGGATCGGGGCGGTTGTCTTTGGCGCCAGATTATTCTGGGCAGCCGCTGGACCAGGCAGGATAAGCAGATCTTGGATTGCAACTCATAACCCTTTCCAAACACATGGTGAATTTGGTAAAAATACCGCTGCCGAAGCCGGCCACGGAACTGTGCCAGTAGTTTCGCAGATACTATCACTAGCGGTGCAGGCTTTTCACCACTCTGACCAAAATGTACCCTTGCGGGATATGTGAAACAACGACAGTGGTGTTGATCTTCTAGGAGGACGCCACGTCGCGGCCAACATCCCGTGGACTCGGAAGATCACTAACATCATAGATTCATCAACAGCCAGGGCATAGCATTGAACTCCAGGTTTTATATAGCCTTTGGAGGCCAGTTGTCTTCGCTGTCTATTGCCGAACAAAATGTAAACGGGAGCCGCATTGCGAGGAGGATGTCGTGATTCAGGCAACCAAAAATGGGTAGTCTAAATTGCCACGAAAAAGGGTTGATAAGTGGGAACGATCGCTGCCAGATCGCTTGCGTTAATATATACATATATATAGACAGGGTAAGATGACTGGCCTCTAACGGCTATCAAAGGCCTTAAATTCAATGCTATACCATGGTGGTCGATGAATCCGTGATGTTAGTGATCTTCCGAGTTCACGGAATACGTATTGGCCACGTGCTGAACTGCTGCGTCTCTCCAGTTCGTGGCGGACGGCGGCGGAGCCAAGGAACTCCGCTTGTGGCATTCGAAGCCGCCTGCATCATCGTTGCCCAGCTCGGCCTGTAGCCTCCAACATTCAAACAACCACCTACATCGTCCTCCTCTTCAACCAAACCGAATCACAGCGACACCTAATCGCCAAAACAACCGTCGCGACCTCACAAACCTAAGTGCAACCTTGCAATCGCACCCGCCGCCATGGCGTCCTCATCCTCATCCTCGACACCTCTCCTGTAGTCAGTAACCCCCAATGCGCCTCCGCACCCAGTATCCCCTACAGGCGCAGTAACAGCACCACTAACATCACCCCGCAGCTCCTGCATCGCCTACAACACCACCATCCTAACCGAGCACACCGCCTCCGCCAGCTCCCAAGCCAGCAGCCTGGCCTCGCTCGTGCTCCCCAAAATCCCGCACAGCACCCCGACAAAGCAAACCTACACGCACGGCGCGCACAACATCCACTACATCGCCAGCGCGCCCAGCGAGCACCCGGCCTCGGCCGCCTCCGCGGGCGGCCTCTCCTACCTCGTCATCTGCAAAGCCGAGCTCGGGCGCCGGATTCCGTTCGGGTACCTCATCAGCATCAAAGACGCGTTTCTGAAGCAATACGACCCGCAGACGACGGACTTTGCGAGTCTGCCGCCGTATGGCGCTGCGGCGTTCAACACGACGCTGAAAAGGCTGATGCACGAGCAGGGCGCGACCGAGGCGGGCCAGAATGATGCGATCAAGACGGCGCAGCGGGAGATTGCGAGCGTGAGGGAGGTGATGGAGGAGAATATTGAGAGGGTGCTTGAGAGGGGGGAGAGGATTGATTTGTTGGTTGATAAGACGGATCGGTTGGGGGGCAGCGCGCGGGATTTTAGGGTTAGGAGTCGCGGGCTGAGGAGGAGGATGTGGTGGAAGAATGTCAGGTTGATGGCCCTGCTGTGCGCGGTGGTGGTGTTCTTGATCTATCTGTTTGTCGGGTTTGGGTGTGGGCTGCCTGGTGAGTTGTGTGCTTCCTTGCGCTGCTGCTGGGGGGAGATGGACATGGGCTAACGTGCAAGACAGGATGGCAGAGATGTGTCGGCTGAGGGTTATGGGCGCCCCTGTGAGCTGGCTTCCCTATTCTTGGCGTTCGGAGGGCGTTTTGTGAAGCCACTCGATCCTCGCGCTTCTATTCCATCTGGACGGGTTTTCCACAAACCCAAGCTGTCTCACAATGGCTCTCAGTGCGACAGCCTCAGGTCCAGGCCAGAGCGTCGAGCTACGAATGATGTAGCATTCGGTTCTGGTCTTGATGCTTCCCTTGTATATCTATAAATCTAATGGCACCTCTTGGCCAGCCCTATCTTCTACACTCGACTGTCAGCCCCAGAAACGCCATATGCTATGCAACCAGTTGTTCCCACACCAACGCCAAGCTATGCTGCAGTTCCCCCGAACGCCACTGCTAAAGATGCTAAACACTGCTCCTCTCGGCCTCAGCCCCCACTCCCGCATCTCCAACCTCAACACCCTCCCCATCCCTCTCCCTATACCAAGGCGTCGCGCTCCTCTCCCTCCTCTCCTCCACCACCTTCTCCTTCCCCCTCCTTTTCCTCTCCCTCGGCCTCCTCTGCGTTACCGCCCCCAAAATCGCCCCCTCCCCAGTCGCACTGTGCGCCTTACTAGCCGCCCCACTCACGAGCCCCCTGACCTCACTCAAGACCTCCCTGAACCCCTCCTCGAGCGTGTTCATCCGCGCCAGCATGATGCGGTTCACCATGCCCGCCTCCTCCCTCTCTTCGCGGCTGCGGCGCTGCTCCTCCTTTTCCTCATCGCTATCCCTTCGTCGCCTCTGTAAGCCTTCCACTGCCCGTTCCCGCTGGTGCCGCTGCAAGTGCCGCATCCCCAACTGCGTCGCCAGGCTCGCCGGCACAGTCCCTAGGTGCGCGTCAGGCGCATAGCGGTTGTCGCCGAGGTCGGATGCGAGGTCCAGCGCGCGTGCATTGAAAGAAGGGTCGCGGCCTCTGCGGCCGTCCTGTCCGTGCCGCATCTCGTCCAAAGCCAGCATGCCCAGGAAGTTCGGCGCGCTCTGGTTCAGATGCCGGGGCGGGAGGATGGGCCGGGCGCGCGTCACAGCGGCGGAAGAGTTCGGGATGGCGCTTCTGGGAGTGCGGCGGGAGGGGGTGGCGGTGCCGCTTGGGGTGTTGGTGTTGGTGCCACTGCGGATGAGGGCGGTGGCCGGGCGCTTGGAAGGCGACTGCGCGCGGGATCCGGCGGGATGGCGCGGGGAGCTGGGGGATTTGCGCGGGGAGCCGGTGGGATGGCGGGGCGAGCTGCTGATATGGAGCTGGGGGATGGGACTGTAGAGGACGGTGTTGGTGGAGGTGTTGCGGTTGTGGGTGTAATCGGCGGCGGCGAGAGGTCTGGTGGGAAAGGAGGGTGCGTTGGAGGCGCCTAGCAGGCGGGGACGCGTGGCTGAGGGGAGGGAGCTGGGGAAGGCGGGGGTCCTGGTGGCCGTTGATGGGCGGAAGTAATTTTCGTCTTCAGAATGGGAGCTGTCGTCTGCCTGCCTGTTCTCCTTGTCGGAGTCGTTGTGGGTGGATTCATGATTGGTACGGTCGGTGGTATCGTGGTCCTCTTCATCACCTGTGACGAGCTCGTCATCACCATCATCATCTTCTGTGTGGCGGATGGCTTCGTCAATGGTCATTCCGAATGAGTCATCCTCCTCAGCAATCGGATGCGGCCTCGATGCTGCTTGAGACGTCAATTCCGCTGGATCAGATGCTACAGACCTTCCGGCAGCGCTGGACGTCCGTTTACGTGGTAGAAGTAGGTTAGCTGTGTTTGCCCGCCGAAGGTGTGTGCGGCGAGCTTCCAGCCTTTCGAGGACCGACTCTGCCTGCTCCATAGGAGGAGACGCACCGCCTTCGTGGTTCATTGACTGCATCCAGTTCTGGACCACGTTCGTTGACTTGTGCTGTTCCATCAAAGATCCTTCCCGACGTTCGCGCATTGGAGTGCCCTTGAAAGGTCGGCGGAAGACCTCCTCCAAAGCACGGTCCTTGTGGAAGGTCACAATGGAATGCTCGCGCACACGGACACCCGGACTGAAGAGATCTGCCGGGCCCCGCATACTGAATGCTGGCATTTTGTGTGGCATCCTACCGCGCTGCTCGACCAGGTCTGTGGGCTCGTAGCTCATGCGGGAAAGGATGATGCGCTCGTACGCGAAAATCGCGAAGAGCACCGGAACGTGTGTAACCTTGATGACAGTGCGGTTCAGCTTGACGAACTGACGTAGGGGTAGCAAGAACCTAGTCGGAGCCAGCAGCCAGCCGATGATGTTGGTAGGGGCAAGATACGAGAAGAGCGCGTCCGACTTGACCATTGATAGGGTGTTGACGGCGAAGAGGAACTGATGCTCTTCGTTGCTGTTCTGGACGATTGCCATAAATGAGTTTGTCAGAACCGTGATAAGAATCGTGACGATCATAAAGTGGCATATAATCAAGAACATGGTCATGATGGCCTTGCCGAGTATGTTGTAGCCGGGCCATACTTCCCACGCGGCAGGCGTAAAACCCTGTAGACCGCAAGATTAGCCTCTCTAGATTTGATCGAGCATGGTCTTTACGGTTAGCGCTTCTCTTACCATCAATATTTGGAAAAGTGCATAAGCTGCACTCGATGCATCGAAATTCTCATCACCGAAGGACAAGGTAAAGGCGACGAAGAAGCCGCTGCACGCGATTACTATTAGTATCAGTATGGCTACCAAGTCTAAAGCCATCATTCGGAAGGCGATAAGCAACTGCGAAAAGTAGCGGTAGTGGTCCAGGATAGAAAAGGCTCGTGGGAACAATAGCACGGCCGTTGATGCCAACACGTCGTAGGCCATTCCAGCAGTATGATGCTTTCGAGCATCCGGCATGAGGATTCCGTACAGCCGAAGAACATAGTATATCATGAGAAGTAGTAGGGTCCCGAGATCGAAAGCGTTCCAGACACTTATGATGAAAATCTCAAAGCCTTCGGAGACGTTAGTCCAATGTGAGATATCGAAGCAAAATGATATGGAACCATACCTTGTTCAGTAAATTCTACCACCGAGTCAAGCATGAAGCCGGCGCTCCAGAACCAGAAGAAGATCTCTAATGCCGTGATTTCCACTGATCTTTGCATCAACACGGCAATGAGCAAGCCTATCATGATCGCAAGAGAACCTGTCTCGAGTATCTGCCGGTAGCGTGGCACGCGAAGTCGTGATAACTTGAACAGCGAGGCATCATGCGGATCATACAACGTCGCGGAACGTCGCAAGAGACTCTCTTTCTCCTGATCGGGGCTCACCTGGCGAGCTGTCGTCCCGTAATTCCGTCTGTTGGCGGATTGCTGTTTCGATGGCCGACGGTGAAGGCTGTCGGCTGCTGAGTGGAAGACTATTGTTCCGGCCCAGATGGCTTCGAGCTGAGCAACGACCAGCGGATGTGCAAGAAACTTCTTCGCCTGAGCCCGGATGGCTATCTCTATTGTCGAGATACGAGCCGGTCGTGCTGCATGACGAGGCCTGTTTTGAACAAGAGTGCTGCTACCTGTCCCCAGAGGCGTAAGGCCTTGTAGCGGATCGAAGTCATAGGACAGAGCATCGATCAGCTCCCGTGTAGAAAACTCTTTGAGCAGCCGCATGGCCAACAACTCGCATATCAGGGCTCGCGTCCTGCTGACACCGATATTGCCTGGATTTGCCTCGCCCTCCTTCTTGAACTGCAAGCAATTTGCGACGAGAGCATACACCGTGGCGCGGGAGAAGTGCGATGAGCGGATCTGTTGTTGTATGGGCTTTACGAGGAACTGCGAGACCTGTGGTGACCGCAACTGATCCCACGAGAGCGTGGTTTCGCATCGCTGGACGACGAGGAGTCTTATGGCGTGGGTGATGTTGTAGACGGGGAGGCGATCTTCACAGGACAGGTCAGCTTGATGTGTTCGTAATGGAACAAGGACCGAGGAGGTATACCAAGATGGACGGAAGAAAAAATCGGAAGTAACGGCGTCTCATCCCCATCCTCGGACTCTTCATCCTGTTCATGCTGGTATAGGTCGTCCTCTCCTTCACCACCGGCACCATCCTCGTAAGGCGTCACTTGCTCAGAATGCCCTCGTCGGCCCTCTTCGTCCTGTGGCCGAAGAGCTGGTGATCTATCGTAGGGAGGAGCGTGTAGTGACCGACTCGACTTCCGGCGGCCAGTATTTGGCCGAAGCAGTGAGGCGAGCATCAGCGCAGGAAAGCCCCTCAGACAGTACTCAAGCTTCCTCTGAGACGGCGCTGAGGGACGTTGTAGATTCAAAGAGTGGACATCACATGTGCAAGGGTTAGTGTAAACAGTAAAAACACCGGAAAACGGGCCATAGCGTTCGATTAAATGAACGGCGAGCGAGGGAGACAGCGAGGGAGGTCTGACACCTCTGACACCCTCTCTCCCTTCGCTGCAAGCCCCCGGACGAGAAAAGGCATGATGATCATGGGGCTTTGGGTCTTATCTAGCACGACAGGTACCCCACGAAAGGTGAGAGGGACTTGATGATGCTCTGCATCGAAAAGGCCAATCACCACAGTGGAAGGGGTGCCCGTGCATGATGCGGGCATCTTGCATGCAGGTGTGCAGCATTCTTTATTCCATCGCCCTCACCGCCTGCTGCACCGCTCGCGACCCTGTCCTCTGTACTCCGTATCACCATCCCGCCGTTGTGTGCTCCGAGGGAGGTGAGTCCGACAAACTCGCGCAAACGTAGGGATCTGTCAAGGCTGTAGGCCTTTGCTGGCTTCACAACTTGTTTGCTGCCAACATGTTCGTATATTTACCTATATATCTTCTCCAGAGGGGTGGTATATACCTCCTTTTTGTTCCCCAGTCGCTGTTCGATTTCAGAGTCGAGTTTCCTATATTCCTGCCGCACAGAACCCCCGATAGGAACCCCGCGCTAAGATCTGCCGGCCCCGGCCAAGCCACTAAGATCAAGCTTCCCGTAAACCTTCAGCTCGAAATAATTTTTTGGTAAATCCTGAAAGGCACACAGTGCTCTCTCGGCACACCTCCTCGTAATCGTACTTCACCGCACCTTGTCCTCATATCTACAGTCGGCACTGGATTTTGGGTACTCTAATGGCCGTCCTTTTCTAACCTACACATCTGATCTATCCTTCTTACCATCGAGTCCTGCCGCACACCGCCCACTACGAATATCCGCTGCACATACCCGTCACTCGGAATTTGGTTATCGACGCGACTATACTGCGCGCCTAGACTCTCTAGACTTACAGTAAATCCTAGGCCAATATGGCTGGCCAAGATGAGGGACCCCTCATGGCTCTGGAGCTCAAGGACGGCTTCGTCTGCCAGGGTCACAGCTTCGGCGCGCCCAAGAGCGTAGCTGGCGAACTCGTCTTTCAGACGGGCATGGTCGGATACCCAGAGTCTATTACGGATCCCTCGTACCGCGGCCAGATCCTCGTCGTAACCTATCCGTTGGTGGGGAACTATGGCGTACCTTCCCGTAGCGAACAGGACAAGCTCCTGGAAGGCCTTCCAGCACACTTCGAGTCGGCGCAGATACACATAGCTGGTCTGGTGGTGGCATTCTATGCCGGCGAAGAATACTCACATCATCTAGCCGAGTCGTCCCTCGGCACCTGGCTCAAGGAGCAAGGAATTCCAGCGCTCTACGGAGTGGACACCAGAGCCTTGACCAAGAGGATCCGGGACGAGGGCAGCATGCTTGGCCGGCTCCTCCTTGAGAAGCAGGAGACGCCAGATGGCGACTCTCTTACCAACGGTCATGTTGAAGCCAAACAGCAACCGAACGGCGCGCACGCGAGCGACTGGCGGGATCACTTCGAGCAGATCCCCTGGGCGGATCCGAATACGAAGAACCTGGTTGTGGAAGGTAACACGGTCTGAACCGTTTCACCTGGCGCATTTCTCTGACAGTATGACCAGTTTCGACCCACACACCCAAAATCTACCCGCCACACCCGTCGACCGCTCTGAAACACCCTTCTGGGCGCCCGGTACGGGTGATGTGCGTAGATGTCGGTTTGAAATACAATCAACTAAGGTGTCTTGTCAGGCGAGGTGTCGAGGTGGAGGTTGTGCCATGGAACTACAACTTCCCGGAGCTTGCTGGAAAGGAGTACGATGGGCTGTTCATCTCAAACGGACCCGGTGATCCTGCTATGATGGAGGATACCGTCAAGCACATCCGGGCTGCGATGGAGGAAGCGAGAACGCCTATCTTTGGCATCTGCTTGGGACATCAACTGCTCGCCCGAGCAGCGGGTGCTGGCACGAAGAAGATGAAGTTCGGCAACCGAGGCGCCAATATCCCTTGCACAAATCTACTTTCTGGACGATGCTACATCACCTCGCAAAACCACGGTTACGAAGTTGACGCCAAGACTTTACCCACAGGCTGGGAGGAGCTCTTCGTCAATGCGAACGACGGCAGCAATGAAGGCATCAGGCATATCAGTCGTCCGTACTTCAGCGTGCAGTTCCACCCAGAACATGCGCCTGGCCCGCAAGATACGGAGTTTCTCTTTGATGTGTTTATTGACACCATCGAGAAGTCCATGACATCCCCTGAGATCATGTCGAGGCCCGTCCAGTTTCCAGGCGGTGACATCACGGAAAATAAGAGGCTGCACCCGAAAGTAGATGTGAAGAAGGTTCTCGTTCTTGGTAGTGGTGGCCTGAGCATCGGACAAGCTGGCGAATTCGACTACTCTGGCAGCCAAGCCATCAAGGCGCTGAAGGAAGAGGGCATCTACACAATCCTCATCAACCCGAACATTGCCACCATCCAAACCTCGAAGGGCCTGGCGGACAAGGTCTACTTTCTGCCAGTAACCGCAGAATTTGTGCGCAAGGTCATCAAGAACGAGCGCCCAGATGCAATCTATGTAACTTTCGGTGGGCAAACTGCGCTTCAGGTCGGTATCCAGCTGAAAGACGAGTTCGAGGAGTTGGGCGTCAAAGTGCTCGGCACGCCAATTGAGACGATCATCACCACCGAAGACCGCGAGCTCTTTGCACGAAGCATGGATTCGATTGGTGAGAAATGCGCCAAGTCGGCATCGGCCAGCTCTGTCGAAGAAGCTCAGCGGGTCGTAAAGGACATTGGCTATCCGGTCATTGTCCGCGCCGCCTACGCTCTCGGTGGTCTTGGAAGTGGCTTCGCCGACAACGAGAGCCAGCTGCTAGATCTCTGCAACAAAGCGTTCGCCGCAAGTCCTCAAGTTCTGATTGAGCGGAGCATGAAGGGCTGGAAGGAGATCGAGTATGAAGTTGTTCGAGATTGCCGGGACAACTGCATAACCGTGTGCAACATGGAGAACTTCGATCCCTTGGGCATCCACACTGGCGACTCTATCGTCGTGGCCCCCTCGCAGACACTCTCTGATGAGGACTACAACATGCTAAGGACGACCGCCGTGAACGTTATCAGGCACTTAGGCGTGGTGGGAGAATGCAACATCCAGTATGCGCTCAATCCTGACTCTAAGGAGTACTGCATTATCGAAGTCAACGCTCGTCTCTCACGTTCATCGGCTCTTGCTTCGAAGGCCACCGGCTATCCTCTAGCGTACACGGCGGCCAAGCTTGGTCTGAACATTCCCTTGAATGAGATTTCGAACTCGGTGACGAAGGTCACCTGCGCGTGCTTTGAACCATCGCTGGACTACGTGGTCGTCAAGATCCCGCGGTGGGATCTTAAGAAGTTCACCCGCGTATCAACTCTGCTCGGCTCCTCCATGAAGAGCGTGGGCGAAGTGATGGCCATTGGTAGAACATTCGAAGAGGCGATCCAGAAGGCAATCCGCGCAATTGATCCCACCAACGACGGATACAATGAGACAGAAGCCCTCATGTCAATTGATACGGAGCTGCAGACACCATCTGACCAGCGGCTATTCGCTCTGGCGAACGCTATGCACCAGGGTTACACAGTACAGAAGATCTGGGACATGACGAAGATTGACCCCTGGTTTTTGAACAGGCTCAAGGGCCTATGCGACTTCGGCAAGCTGATGACCAAATACAACAAGAACAACGTTTCCCGAGATCTTCTCATTAAAGCGAAGCAGCTTGGTTTCTCTGATCGACAGCTGGCCAAGTTCTGGGCGTCGAACGAACTGGCAGTCAGACAGAAAAGAGTTGATGCGGGCATCATGCCGGTAGTCAAGCAGATTGACACCGTTGCCGCCGAGTCTCCTGCGTTCACAAACTACCTCTACCTCACATACAACGGCAGCGAGCACGATGTCACATTCAACGACCGCGGAATCATGGTTCTCGGCTCTGGAGTGTACCGTATCGGTTCGTCTGTCGAGTTCGATTGGTGCTCGGTAAGAGCGGTGCGGACGCTACGCGAGAACGGCTACAAGACAGTCATGGTCAACTACAACCCTGAGACCGTCAGTACCGACTACGACGAAGCGGACCGACTGTACTTTGAGAACATCAATATGGAAACGGTGCTCGACATCTACGGCATGGAGAACTCTAGTGGAGTCATCCTTTCCATGGGTGGTCAGACGCCGAACAACATTGCCCTGCCTTTGCTGCGCCGCGACGTCAAGATCCTTGGTACATCACCAGAGATGATCGATACCGCTGAGAACCGTTTCAAGTTTTCTCGCATGCTGGACCGGATTTCAGTCGATCAGCCCGCGTGGAAGGAGCTCACAAGCTTCGAGGAAGCTCAGGAGTTCTGCGCGCGGGTCTCGTATCCTGTCCTTGTTAGACCCTCCTACGTGCTTTCTGGCGCTGCGATGAACACGGTCTACTCCCAGCATGACTTGGAGAACTACTTGAAGCAGGCCGCCGATGTCTCCAAGGAGCATCCAGTCGTGATCACGAAGTACATCGAAAACGCCAAGGAGATCGAGATGGACGCTGTGGCGCTGAACGGTAAGATGATAGGCCACTTCATCTCTGAGCACGTTGAGAATGCTGGTGTCCACTCTGGCGATGCGACCTTGATCCTGCCGCCGCAAGACCTGGATCCCGAGACGGTTCGCCGGATAGAAGATGCCACGCGCAAGATCGGCAACGCGCTCAATGTTACCGGGCCATACAACATTCAATTTATTGCCAAAGACAACGATATTAAGGTCATCGAATGCAATGTCCGAGCTTCGCGATCGTTCCCCTTCGTCTCGAAGGTCATGGGAGTGGACCTCATCGAGATGGCTACCAAGGCCATGGCGGGATTGCCAGTGCAGGAGTATCCGCCAGTCAACATCCCTAAGGACTACGTAGGGGTGAAGGTACCACAGTTCTCATTCTCCCGGCTGTCTGGTGCGGATCCGGTTCTCGGTGTTGAGATGGCTTCTACCGGTGAAGTCGCCTGCTTTGGCCGAACAAAATATGAGGCGTACATCAAGGCCCTCATCTCGACTGGATTCAAGCTGCCGAACAAGAACATCTTGCTCTCGATCGGCGCGTACAAGGACAAGAAAGAGATGCTTCCGTCTATCAAGCGCCTGCATGAGCTCGGCTACAACCTCTTTGCGACGGCAGGCACTGCAGACTTCATTGAAGGAGAAGGTCTGCCATGCAAGTTCCTCGAGGTGCTTGGTAGCGGCGGTTTCGACGGCGACCAGAAGCCCGAGTACTCGCTGACGCAGCATCTCTCGAACAATCTTATCGACCTGTACATTAACCTACCCTCAAACAACCGATTCCGCCGCCCAGCCAACTACATGAGTCGCGGCTATCAGACCCGACGAATGGCGGTCGACTACCAAACGCCTCTCGTCACCAACGTGAAGAACGCCAAGCTCCTCATCGAAGCCTTAGCGCGCCAGTACGACCTCGAGATCAGCAGCGTAGACTACCAAACCTTTGCGCCAATGGCTAACGGCGACCGACGGCCCTCCCAGCTGAACCTCACCCAAGGCGCCCTCTCCCTGCCCCAACTCCTCGCCCACTCCCCCTTCAAAGGCAAGTCCGTCATCTCCGTCAAGCACATCTCCCGCAACGACCTGCACCTCCTCTTCACCGTCGCTTCCGAGATGCGTCTCGGCGTCCAGCGGCAAGGCTGCCTCGACATCCTCAAGGGCCGCGTTCTGTGCACCGCCTTCTTCGAGCCCTCGACCCGCACCTCGGCCTCCTTCGACGCAGCGATGAAGCGGCTCGGCGGCCAGACCGTCGTCGTCAACGAGAGCCACTCCAGCAGTCAGAAAGGCGAGTCCCTCGCCGACACGATCCGCACCCTCAGCTGCTACGGCGACGCCATCGTGCTGCGCCACCCTGACCCGACGTCTGCGGACACGGCGGTACGGTGCTCAAACGTGCCGGTTATCAATGCTGGGAATGGCAGTAAGGAGCATCCGACGCAGGCGTTCTTGGACCTGTTTACCATCCGCGAGGAGCTGGGGACTGTGAACGGCTTGACGATTACGTTCGTCGGGGACCTAAGGTTTGGAAGGACGGTGCACTCGGTGTGCGAGCTGCTCAAGCACTACGACGTCAGCATCCAGCTCGTCTCGCCGGAGTCGCTGGCCCTGCCCAGCGGTATCCGCGACACGCTGGCTTCGCGCGGGCAGCTGAGCAAGGAGAGCTCGGAGCTCAGCCCGGAGATTGTCGCGAGGAGCGACGTGCTGTACTGCACGCGGGTGCAGAAGGAGCGGTTCGAGAGCATGGAGTCGTACGAGCTGGTCAAGGATAGCTTCGTGGTTGACAACAAGGTCATGAAGCATGCGAAACAGAACATGGTGGTCATGCATCCGCTGCCGAGGAACAATGAGATTCATGAGGAGGTGGACTTTGATTCGAGGGCGGCGTATTTTAGACAGGTATGTGGTTCCTCGCTCCCCCCCATGCCCGTTGCTTTTTCCATTGGTTTGGAGATGCGGCAGCTAACGTGTGCCATGCAGATGCGGTACGGACTTTACACGCGCATGGCGCTGTTGGCGCTGATCATGGCTTCGTGAGCGGTCGGGCTCGGAAAAGTTTGTCACGCTGTGGCGAGGCGGTTTTGGCGTTCGGGGCTTAGCATGTGGGAAAGCTTGCTGTTAAGGGGATTGTATGAGTTCCTGATGAGGCATATAGAATGATACTTTTGCTTTGGCTATGTTTCAGATGAGACAAGATGTTGGCAAAAGCGCGTGTACAAGCATTGGATGGTGTTGTGTTCTATGTGTGTCTTAGCTCTGTGTACCCGCGCTAGTTCCTGTGCATAAGTATTTGACTGTCGGCGTATTTTGTAGATAGGTGTAGTATCTCTAGTGGAATACTTATAACTCGATCCGAACGGGACCGCGTGTAGGTACTCGCTTAGCTATTAACACGTTACTATTTCTAAAATGTTTCAGAGGCACCTAGGTGGTTGTTCTGCTCCAACTCCGCATGACACTTGCATCGCGGGACAAGGCTGAGAGGCACTATAGAAGCGAACTGCACACGATAGGAGGTTTCAAAGGACAAGATCGCTGTCAACTTACTCAACGCCATGCCAAGTCTCCAAGGATAACGGTTTATCAATCATCCTGTTCCCCGTCCATCGCTTCCTCCCCTTTCCCTCCGGCTTGAAACCTGAACACACCATCCGACGGACGCGGGTGTGAGGTAGTACAGTATCCTCATGCCTTGCGCAAATTAATCTCATCCGGTCGTCAGAAGGTCCCACGGAAGCCGATGCCAGCCCGTATATGGGTGTCTGGTATCTTCCATGAACGCCGTTTCGGCATACTTCAATGGCATCCAGCTATCTGCTGGGCTGAGTAGCGTTCATCCGAGCGTGGAAGATGTTTTTCTGAGCCTCATATACGTCTTCGAAAAAGGTCATTTCGGAGCAATTTGACCTTAAGCGTCGGTTGCCTTGAGCAGCCGTCACCCAAGGGTGGAAGACGTCCATGTAGACCTCATGTGTGTCTTCCATTTTTGCGAGATGTTGTGCGGGGAGGGTCACGTAGGCGTTGAAGCGGCCGGTATAGTCAGTATCTCCGATGAGGCTTGTAAAGGCGGTGGGTACGGTCGTGCCTATAGCGCTGATGCTGCCTGCAGAGAACGATACGTAGAAGTAGCGGCAGAGGCGTCTTATGGACTTTAATTAAGATGGGGTTGGCGATGGCGGTCTTTCGTGTTTTCGAGGTACCGTTCGTATTCCCAGTCATCGTAGAAGTTACAGGACGGCGCGAAGAAGATGAGGCGGGCGAAAAGCACGGCGCTCTTTCGAAGAGGCGCGCGTGCGCCGACTCCGGGGAATCGTACGCTTACTAACGTAATCGTTCGTATAACGACTCCGATGAGCAAAAGCCTGAGTGGAGTGAAGGGTGAGCTGAGGCATGACAGGAAGGACAGTAAACAAATGATCAAGATGTTTGATTGTATTTGATCAAAGTCTTGGAAGCTGTCCGGTGAGAAGGCTGGAGAGAAGCCGAGCTGGTGCGATGGCGCGAAGCTGAAGCGTGACTCAAGTAAGAGGAAGAAGCGGCCATAACAGAGCGCCAGCTACGTGCACGCGTGTGATTGCCTATAACTCCTGGAAATATATCCTCTGATGCAACAATCTCCTGAGAACAATAATCTTGATCATGCAAGACATACAACAGACCTAAAAAGTGCGTTCTTCTCAAGGGACGGGCTCGGCGATTGTATCAGGACAGGCAATGGAGCAAAAGTCGTGAGACAGATTTTGGCGGGGACAGTGATAAAAGCGTCCAACGACTTCTGGTACATCGCTTGAGGCGTATCCGGGAAGAGCGATGGGCGTATCCTTGCCGAAAGCACGGGCTGGAGGTCACCTCGGTCCGCATCCACCGCCATAGTGGACACTGCATGCTACGCCCACGCACCTGAGACTCGATTCGGATCTTTGCTTGCCAGTCCACATAAATCCAGAATAGACCCTTATGCGGATTAGCATAACTTGTCTTGATCTCCGAGTCGGGGATTTACTATACGCTGCAAGTTCCCCTTCGAGTATTTTGACTAGCTTAATGGGTAACAAGGCACTGGGACATGCCCATCCTACAACTGCAGCTTGTGGACAGCTATGCGGTCGTCTTTCAGGCTTGGTAGCGGCCGCCGGTTGGGATCGGCCTTTACAGAACTGGCAAGAACACGTCCTAAGTTGCAAGCGGCGGCAACAGAAAGCGCTCGGGCGTTTCGGTGGTTGGGATCGCTGGCGTCCGTATCTACTGGTTCGTGGACTTCCTCAGCTGATAAGTTCTCATCCAACAGTCAACCAGGAAGCGGTAGAGTTGATTTGATAAGCCTGCACTGAAGCCCTTCGCGCCTGCATCACAGCCATTCTAGCGTATGTAACCTTGGGACCTGAGCCGTGTTACAGCAGGGCGTTCGCATGGCTGGTGCTCCTGGGGGTATGGCCTGGAAGCATTGATTTCGTCGTCCCGCACGGCTGGAATTCTCCGACAGGTGCAGCGAACGCGTTGACAGTCAGGGTGGGATGAATTTCGCCAAGCCGGGACTGAATGCAGATCTAAGGATGCTTCTTGACGCTTGAAAACGGGTTAATTAAAATAAAAAAAGCGCGACGGAGTAGTTCAGTAAGCCTACCAATGCCCTTGAGATGAAAGACAGAAACTATCGAGCCCCGCTGCTGTAGTGACATGACGTAGCTGAAGGAAAGGCTGAACTGGTAGCCGTATGATATGCCAAGTCCACTCGGAGTTTGCGTCCAACGAGACGATGATGGCGGTCAAACACAGGCCACGTGCGGTGGAATGGCGAGCGTAGGTGCCAGAAGGTGCTTGTGACCAGGCAGGAAGCCCAAGGATTGAGAAATGGAAAGAATGGTAATTTAAGGCTAGCTTATGTGGGGTTGAGAGTTATCGTGGCGGCCAAGCAGTGGTACTGTCGCGCGCGAGAGGAAACGATAAACGAGGTCGTCATAGATAGTGGAAATTTAAAGATATGGATCACCTAGACGCTTGAGGCACAGCACAAGCAACGCAGAGTAACGGAAAGACTGAAGCTGACTCCACACGACATCAACGTATACCTAAACTCACAATCGTACTTCAACGTTCATCTCTAAAACCGGACGTTACTCGTTCAGTTCAAAGTGAATCAGTCGGATTTCGACACCACAGCACCCTCAGTCACTACAAACTCCCTCCAGATGTTATGGCCTGAGCTGTGAGGCGTTTGTCACTTACTGTAGCGGAACGATAGGTGTGAGGTTAGGTTCGCAAACCGGGCATAACTTTCAGCGAAACCCCATGTGGTCCGAGCGCCTGCATGGTTATCACGGTCGTTAAGAGTTGCTTCCACCTCACTTTCTTCAACCAACGGCCTTGTCGAACGCTCTCTTCCAAGAACACATCTTTGTCTCCGAACGACCCTGATGCATGAACAACCGTGCCCTTCCATTTCGATGAAATATCTTGTCAAGCGATAAATGTCCTCTGCGGGAGGCATCCAGCGACCTGCGTTTTGGTACGCGTGGGTGTCTTCGCACTTGCAAACCCGAACCTCACGATCCAGAATCGAAACAGACCGGCAAGTCCGAGGAAGCTGCAGAACAACTTCGAGGTCAGCTTTGACCGACGCACACCCTCGGTCTGGATTCAAGGTGCCGGCCGTGACGCGCCTCGCAGTCAACCTCCCCCACATACGCTTGCCCGTCCTAGGTAATCCTACACTGACAACGAGCAAGAAGCCTGTGAACGTTGCACTCCAGCCGTTCGAGCCCTTGAGCGGCTGCGCTTTTCTCGTCGCATGACCTTTGACCGGTGGTTGGGTTGTTAGTGATGGCTTAAGACAAAATCCTGGGTTGGCGTTGATGCCAGAGCGTGAGTTGATGGCCCAACCGCAGAAGAGCTGATCTTACCTTGCGGATGACCCCGAGAAGGTTCACGTTGCATGGAGCATGATGCTTAAAAGTTGGAGAGAGCAAGGACGTATCTTGAGAGCAGCTCAGATGAGCACGCAATCTCTTTCTGTACTTTCGTGATCGTTCATGAGTGATCTCGGGTATTTCGGTCTGATTGGCGGATCCGCCGGACAGTGCCTTACATCCTCTTGCGTCTATCAATCCTGATCAGCCATTGACTCGTGCGCCTCTACCCCTCTGGCGGTCGTTCACATCTTACGTGTCCGTTCTCGCTTACCGAAAACGTGCTGCATGTTCGTAGTCACTAGCGTAGGTTCAGCGCTGCTCACGCCCTGTTCCCATGCCTCGCGATGCTGCTGCAGATGATTGTGTAAGATCACCTCATGAGAGTAGCTCGTCAGCAAGTAGCTCGTCATGCGACGTGGTCGCGCGATGCTCCTTGGTTGTCCCTTCGAAGACTTAAGGAAGCTCTTCCTCCGCTGAAAGCTCATCTCCTTTTCTGCATTTCCATTCTCTTTCATCCACTTCGACGTCTACAACAGCATCTTTCCAGTATCGTCAACGACTCAACAACATCCTATCCGTCTCAACATGGCACCATCCCTTGAGGAGCCTCAGTACCCGGCAGTGCACCAGCTCTCGGTAGCACCAAAGCAGCCAACCCCACTCAAGTACGAGCCAGGCCGCACAGCCGTTGAGGATCACGAGCACTATGAGCACGAAGAGCTCCTGCCAAGGTTCCCCAACATGCATTGGAATGCATTAACTGAGGTGCCCTACCATGACAAGGGCCTTCAAGCCGACTCACAGTATCGTAATCTTCTTAGCTCAGCTATAGATATCTTCGATTACACGCCAAAAATAGGGACGGAGGTTTGCGGTGTCCATCTTGCTCAGCTCAGCAACGCGCAGAAGAATGATCTTGCTCGACTGATCGCTACCCGAGGTGTGGTCTTCTTCCGTAATCAGGTCGACTTCGACATCGAGGCTCAACGTGAGCTTGGTACGTACTTTGGCAAGCTTCATAGGCACGCAACGACGTCTGTACCTCGCCGCCCTGGACTGGAAGATGTGCATGTGGTCTACACGAGCGAGCAATCCAAACAAGACATGAGATCGTATTTCACTCCAACCTTTCTATGGTGAGTTAACTAACGATGCACTCGTGAAGAATATATCACACCCTGCAGATGACGGTTTACCTAAGCTCACCGTCAATTTGGACGCGGGAGGCTTCGTACCGCTCAGGTATGCGTTCGCTCGCTACAGCTTCCGCACGGTAGAGAGCTTGAAAGATCTCGTGATGATTGCTGCAACTGGACGAGCAGGAGCTAATGACTCTTCAGGCACTCCGATGTTACATATGAGATTCAGCCGCCCGCGTATACATCGCTCAAAGTCCTGACTGGACCGCCGCGCGGCGGCGGTGGAGATACCCTCTGGTCTTCCCAGTACGCTGCATATGATGCCCTTTCACCTTCAATGCAAAAGTACCTGGAGAGTCTTACAGCTCTGCATTCAGCCCAGATGCAAGCAGATGGCTCTCGCGCACTCGGCCGCGCCGTCCGCCGCGACCCGATTGTCACCGAGCATCCTCTTGTGCGCACTCATCCTGTCACAGGCTGGAACTCGCTCTTCTTCAACCCGGGTTTCGTGACGAGAATTGTCGGCGTTCCAAAGACAGAGAGCGATCATATAATCAGTTATCTCAACGAGGTTATTGCGACAACCCAAGAGATGCATGTCCGCTTTCAGTGGGGAAAGAACGATGTCGCTTTCTGGGACAACCGCATCTGCGTAAGTACAAGTCTGTGATTTCCGCCACAAGGAGTCGCTGATCCTTTGTAGAATCACTCGGCGTCGTATGGCTTTGCGCCTCATCGACGTCATGCTGTGCGTGTAGCTTGTCACGGAGAGAAGCCGGTCTTTGATCCCGCAGGCAAGTCCCAGGAGGAGGAACTGAGTGCGCGCTACGGTCTTTCGCCGGTCAGCAAGGATGGGTCTGGTATCGCCAACTACAACGACTAGTCTCAGCTTAATGAGCCCTAACGAGATTAACGAACGTTACGAGGAGCCTCAACCCACAGTCTCATGTTTGCAGTTTCGCGCTTGGTTTTGTTGCTGGTTCTAGCGTACAAGCGGGCCATCGTCTTTCTTGCCAATTGGTTTCAGGTGTATATCTCAATTTATTATAAAGCACAAGCATGGCAGTGATCTATGAACGTACCGTACCGGACCATTTTTAGCCTTGGAAAACTATCTTGAATTCGTTCCTCCGATTGCATCACGTGCCTGCGCTCACGCTCATCTCAAGCTTGGTTGCCATGTCCCTTTCACAAAACGTCCCCACATATGGATCGCTTGTCCAGAAAGGCATGGCGAGCTGAGCTATCAAAGAACCGCAGCTAATGAGTAATAGAAGGGGTTGCAGGAACTCCTGAGGACGCAGTTCTGGGCGAATCGAGAAGCAAACGCGACGCGACAACACCCCACAGACGACGCGACAATGCGCGACAACGACGTCGAACTGATACTTATCGACGTGATTGAGGACGATACGATACAGGAAGAGCGACCATCACAGGAAGAAACTGCAAGTACAGAAGAAGACATCCCGCCACTTGAGTATGCGAGATACTACGGCCTCACCAACGACTATCAGGCAGAACAGCCGCTTGATCCAGCATGCCCTCCGAGTCCAACCATATTCATTTTCGGAGATGTGGATTGTGAAGATGCCTGGACTTCAGAGCTGCTTCAGGAATTCTCAACACGGGAATGCCTGACGATAGACAAGGACACAGCCGCCTTGCTCCGCGATGTGCTCACTGCGCCTCAGATGACTGAGGATGTAGGAGCTGAGGCAAAACGGTCCAGGATCAGTGATCTGAGGCAAGAGCTTCCCATCCTCAGAAGCGACACTGAGTGGGACTTGCGACACTTCGGAACGATTGATTCCGCCGACCTCAGCCGGATCAAGCTGCCATGGGAAGAAATCGATGATGAAGAAGACGAGGGCTTGTCATGGCCCAAGAAGCATCTCAACTTGCCCGCTCAGTTTGACGCGCGTGCCAATGCTGAAAGATTGGAAGTTCCTGCAGATACGCTTCCCTTCCTACAGGCGGCCCTGAGTGATCCATACGCCCCAGCAGATGAGTCGGACCTGATAGCAGAAGAAATCAGGTATCAGCGAGTAAGCCGTGTAGTATTAGGGTTGAGTGTAGGTGTAGTCCGCTAAAAAGTTCTAGAACCTGGCACTGGAGCCAATCACGCCGCCATTGCTCCCGCTCACTCCTCCGCACACTCCATTCGTTCCTTCGTCTCCAACAGGCCGCCTCGAACTCTTCTCTGACCGCACTGACCCTACAGTAGCTGAGCTGCAGACACTAGAAGACGCAATGAAGAAGCAGGACGCCATACTTCCGCACCACGGGATGAAAGAAGGCGCAGAGGACCCGATGCTCATCGAGTCGGACGAGATAGGCCATGTGTACAGTCCTCTTCGATTAATCGCCGAGCCGCCCTCTTCGTCTCCCCTCAAGCGGAAGTTCGCAGATCTCAGAGTGGAAGGACCGTTGACGCCACCCACGACGTTACCATCTCCGGCCAAGAAGGCAAAATCGGTGTCCTTTTCTGAGATGCTGCACGAATGCATCCCGGACCTACCGACGACTTACGCTGCGGAAGCCAACGAGCCAGACTCGCCTGGTAGCTTCGAAGCTTTCTTCAACGAAGTGATTGAGCCTATCGCAGGAAAAGCCAACAGGAAGCTCGAACAGGAGCAGCTGCAGGAGGTAGATACAACTAAGCGGGTCGACATACCAGTCATGGACTTCTCCTTACCGAAGGCGCCCTGGCTGGAGTATGCCCGACAGTTGCATGGCAAACATCGAGACAGCGAATCAGAGCTGGATGCGCAAAAGAAGTTGCTCGCGCGCGTCAAGCGTGAGGACTTGCAGCTCATGCAGCCCTGGCACGGGATCCCAAAAATTGAGAGAGCGCTTCCCTGGAGTCCGTTTCCAGCACAGCTTGGTAAGGTGGCGTTGGATGAAAAGATGGATGACGATGGAGCGCTTAGCCGGCTCCTTAGCGGAGTCAACCTGGATGGAGAGATGGTGGAAAGCGACATGCTTATCTGGAAGCCGGAGGGGCTTATGATCCTCAAAGACGCAGACGACAGTGACTATGAGCTTGAACCGGCAGTCTCTGAGGAGGCAGGAGATACGCAGGCGCTGATCAAGAAACGAAGATTTGAAATGGATGAAGCGGCGGAGGTGCTTGATCCAAGGACTGATAGCAGGGACAAGCCGCCAGCTAGCGAGAGTCTCACGCAACGTGCAACTGATGCACCTACTCCTGGACTAAGATCCGGAAAGGCTACAGTCGACAAAACCTTAGCACCTGCTGGGGCTAGCCAGAAACCGGATAACGGCCTTTTATTTGGAGGCTTCTCTGCCTCGACCGCGCTTTCCAATTTCATAGAAATTCACAGCGCAGTCGCCAAGAAACCCAAAGTCACGCATGACATACCCAGTCGACCGAAATCTGGACCTAAACATGAGATTCAGCCAAGAAAAGCCGCTTCGGCAGCCTCTGTTATTATCCCACGTCCTGATCCATTACAGCGGCCAGGGACACCTGTTCCTCCGCTCCCGTCACCAGCAACTCCTACTAACCTGCTGCCATGTCACTTTGTCATTTCCACGACTCTCATAAAACAGCGCTATCTTCTCCGACACATTCAGGAGCTCTATCCCACAGCCATACTCATCGAGCGTGACTTCGGCACTCAGTCTGTCGGAAACGCCCCGCTAGCTGAAGCCGATCTGCTCTGCTCTCCGGCTACCGCAATCCTTGTGACCACGCTCCAGAAAGCCAAACAGCGTGCTTTGCCGGGTCAATCGGTTCAAGGTACTGGTGGGCTCCGAGCAAGGATCGCACACGTCTCTGAAAGATACGAACGGGTGCTGGTCCTGATTAGCGAAGATGCGGGCAAGCCCGAGACAACAGCTGACAAGCGGGCGGGAGCAAAAGAATTGCGTGCACTCGATGAGCGAGACTGTGAGGCTTTGGCTTCATTGACTGCGTTTGCGGCTGCCTTGAGCGGCGACGTGTCGGTGCTGTACGTGGCGGGCGGAGAAGAGGAACTGGCAAGGTGGACCACGGGTGTCATGGCACGGTTCGGAGTGCCTGGCCTGAAGTTGCTGCAGGAGGAGACTCTGGTGAGCAATTCAGCCCTCGTGTCAGCAGTATCTGGACTAGCTGTTCGTTAGTCCCTCGACTGACAAGCTGAATTACAGTGGGAGCTGTTTCTCCGACGCGCAGGCTTAAACGCCTTTGCAGCCCAAGTCATCCTTGCAGAGCTGAAGAAGCCAGCATCAACACCGCCTCCTGAAGCGCAGAGCTCTAGTGCAGAACCCGCGCCATCCAACAGTGATGCCGATTTCGGTGTTGCAGCGTTCGTCAAGATGGCCACAGATGAACGGATGCGGCGTTTCGAACCGCTGCTTGGTGGTAGAAGAATGCTGCGTCGAGTAAGCGGTGCTCTTTGATCAGAGGTGGGTGAGTGCCTCGGATGGCTATGTGATGTGAAGGATGGGTCTAGCTGGTGTTGCTTCGTGCTACTTTGTCATCTCGCCCATGTCCAGCCATATATTGCGATCATCTATTGCTGTCACTATCTTGTCATCATCTCACACTGGTTCGTGGTAGCACCATTGAGGGTTTCCATCGCAGCTGTCCATGAAGGGGAGTTGCACAGCCTCCGCTCTGGATGCAGGCCATGCTAACAAGACGAACTTCAAATTTGCTGAATTGGTGCAAATGTTCCGCTCTATGCACGCTGCAAGTCTTTCAAGTTTGATATGGTGGACACCAGAAAAGGCACGATCCAGACCGTTGTGTGGCTTGCCAAAACAAGCGAATATCGAGCTGAGCCACACTCCGCCACCTGTTCTAGTTCATTAATCGAGCTGCACGTCAGTTCGTGGAGCCCAGCTCGACAGGGGCAAGCGGCCGGCGCGTCGTCGTCATTCGTGTATCTTCTACTGCGGTTTTTGTGTCTTGAATCTACAATTCATCGGTACGAGGTACGACGGCAGCAGAGACGGTACTGCCGAAATCCTGATTTGAGGCCGCAGAAGCGCCCGTTTGTGGCTGGTGGCTCAGCGCGGGAACACTGGACAAAGGGGACGCAAGCAAGGGGTCGTCGGAAGCAAGCGATATTGCGAAGGACTCGTGATATTAGACGATGACGGAGGAGTTCCACAACTGCCAATCTGCCCAGCTTGCTCCGAGAAACAAAAACGTAAAGCAAAGCGCTGCCACGCAAGCTGCGAGCTACCAAAACACCTTTAGTCCACCGATTCAGCTGTCATCGACCTGTCGACCTCCCCTTGGCTGCCACAAAGGCCAAATCTGGCACGCTTCTACCCTGATTTGAACCTGCGTCATTCGGCTGGAGCTGCCGTTAGCGCGGGTTGCTAGCCCCGTGTTTCAGCAACAGGGCAGCAGCGGCCATCGACTCTCACTTTCTTCAAATATCGACAACTTCTCACCATTGTATCGCCGCGTCTTCGAAGCCAGCCGCTCTGCCTCGCAGGCTCCTCGCCGAAGCCATGGATCTCTTCAAGAGACAGAATGTCGCTGTAAGTCAAGCACTGCCAACTCACGCGATCCAAACCCCTTCCGCAGATGGCAGAAAACAAACAACGCCAGCTCAGGAATTGCTCTGCGCAGCTGGTGGAGGAGTAATGCTGACACCAATTCAGGACCAAAACAACGACCCAAACATTGGCGCTGCTCAAGATCCATCGAAGAATTCGAACTCTGCTTCCACTGTACTATCTACGCTAGCTCCAGTCGCGCTCATCGCGCTAATCTGGTTTATCCTCTTCCTCATCTTGCGGCGTAAATTTCCTCAGAAGTATTCGCCCAGGACGTTCTTGGGCACTTTGCGCGGAGCTGAACGCACGCCGAGTCTACCGAATGGCTTCCTGAGTTGGTTCCCGGCGTTCTTCAAAATCCCGGATACTTATGTCCTGAACCATTCCTCCCTCGACGGCTACCTCTTCCTCCGCCTCTTAAAGATTAGCGTTATATCATGCTTCGTGGGATGCTTGATCACCTGGCCCGTACTGTTCCCAGTGAACATTACTGGAGGCGGCGGTCAGCAGCAGTTGGACATGCTATCGTTCAGCAACGTATCAAACAACTACTATCGCTACTATGCTCACGCTGGTTGCGCATGGCTGTTCTTCGGTACGCAACGATCCATTTCCATCGAATGGTTCATACGCTGACGGCTGCGAACAGGCTTCATCATCCTCATGATCACTCGGGAGTCAATCTTCTACATCAACCTCCGCCAGGCATACCTCATGTCTCCCTTGTATGCCAAGCGGATGTCGTCGCGCACCGTCTTGTTCACCTCTGTCCCACAAAACTACCTCAACGAGGCCAAAATCCGGGCAGTGCTCGGTGAACACGTACTCCGTGTTTGGATCCCGACCGACGTCAGTGAACTCGAGGACATGGTAGAGGATAGAGATAAAGCAGCGATGAAGCTGGAAGGCGCTGAGACCAAACTCATCCGATTGGCAAATGCCGCCAGGCTAAAGAGCATGAAGAGTGGAGCTGGACACGAAGAGTCAAACGCAGGACTTGTTGACGACGAGGCTGAGTCAGGGTCTGCGGCAGCTCGCTGGATTCAACCCAAGCAGAGGCCTACCCATCGCTTGAAGCCTCTCATCGGCAAGAAGGTGGACACCATCAACTGGGCTCGCTCGGAGCTGCAACATCTGATTCCGGAGGTTGAGAAGGAACAAAATCGGCACCGTGGTCTGGACGGCGCTAAACTTATTAACTCGGTCTTCGTGGAGTTTGACAGCCTCTCGGAGGCGCAAGCTGCGTATCAGAGCCTGACGCATCATCAGGTCCTGCATATGGCTCCGCGTTATACTGGCATCAACCCTGAAGAAGTCATCTGGAGCAACCTTAGGATCAAATGGTGGGAGAGAATCATCCGCGTGATCGCAACCACTACCTTCGTCGTCGTACTCATCATCTTCTGGTCGGTCCCTGTGGCAGTTGTCGGTGCCATCTCGAATATTACCTTTCTCACAGAGCAGCTTCCATGGCTTGGCTTTATCAACGACATTCCAGCAGCGGTGCGGGGCGTCATTACGGGCTTGCTTCCTGTGATTCTGCTTGCTGCACTTATGGCCTTGCTACCTATCATCCTTCGCCGTAAGTCCTCTGTTCATGAGACATTGAACGGGTACTGATATTTTGCTAGTCATTGCTAAATTGGGAGGTGACCCTACGCGCTCTGCCGTGGAGTTGACTGTCCAGAACACGTACTTCGCCTTTCAGGTCATTCAAGTGTTCCTCGTTGCAACCATCGGTTCAGCGGCCTCCTCGGCTATCCAAGAGATTATTCAGAACCCGGCATCAGTGACCAGTTTGCTTTCGACACAAATCCCTAAAGCTTCCAACTTCTACCTCGCCTACTTTATCCTCCAGGGCCTCGGTGTCGTTGCCTCAATATTGGTTGGATTGGCTGGTCTGGTCATTGCTCTTGTATTAAGTAAGATCCTGGACAAGACCCCAAGAAAACTTTTCAGGAGATGGACGCGCCTCTATGCCCCCGGCTGGGGCACCGTCTTCCCAGTCTACACCAACTTGTTCATCATAGGTCAGTTCAACCGCCTGAACCACTAATCTGAAGGTAACACTGACTTTGCGACAGCTATCTGCTACTCGTGCATTGCGCCTCTTGTCCTGTTCTTCGCCGGACTGGGTCTATGGTTCTTCTACTTCGCCTACCGTTACAACCTGCTCTACGTCTATGATGTCAACGTCGATACGAAAGGGCTCGTCTATCCGAGGGCGTTGCAACAGCTATTCGTGGGTCTCTACCTGGCCGAGCTGTGCCTCATCGGTCTCTTCGCGATCAAGCTCGGCGAGAGCGGCGCTATTGGTCCTTTCGTCCTGATGATCGCCTTCTTAATCTTCACGGCTCTGTACCACATCTCGCTCAACGCGGCGCTGAAGCCGCTACTCCAGTATCTCCCGAAGAGCCTCGAGGCTGAGGAGCGCAGCCTGCTCTCCGCTGAGAACGGCAACGGTACCGTAGACGGCAGAGAGAAGAATGGCACGCACCACGCCGAAGGCAACGCTACCCCCAATAAGAAGCCAGGCATGCTGGCCAAGTTCCTGCGGCCCGACAAGTACAACGATTATAGGACCATGCGCCGCCTTGTGCCCAGGGACTTTGCTGACATCAGCTACGAACCGGAAGTGGCGCGAGATGCCTATTTGAACCCAGCTATTACGTCCACGCCGCCGCTGTTGTGGATTCCGAGGGATCCAGCTGGTGTGAGTAGGCAGGAGGTGAGGGATACTGGCAAGGTAATCGCCATCACGGATGTCGGGGCGCATCTGGACGAAAAGAACAAGATCGTATGGGACGATCCAAACATCTCGGCGCCTATTCATGAGGAGAAAGTGTACTACTAGGCGGTTTATGGTTGTTCAGCGTGGTTTTGCGAGGCTGCCTGGGAGCGCCGAGATGAGCTCTAGGACAGTACTGCTGCTCGGAAACGGGGTTTGTGGAAGGCACGAAGCTCTTTCCACCGTCAGTCGAGAATGGTCTTCTGTAGTGGTTTCATTTCTCTCTTGTTTAGATACCACCAGCGCGTTTCCTTTGTCTCCATTAGTTCAGGCGGTAGCACGGTAATTGACGAGTTTCTCTATTAACTGCTTAACGAAGGTGACCTTGGTTTAAGTGACGAAGATATTTAACAATAGCCAGATCCGCAAGTAGAGTGCCGTTGGACTACTGTCGACGATTCTAGACACGACATTACAGGTCCCTAGATGGGCGAGGGGCCGGGAGACGCGTCTGTCAACACATGAGTCAAGCTCCTGACCCTGCCATTGACTGCATGAGGCTGTGAGCCGGGCTTCGGATGTCGCAAGTGTTCACTAGCAACCTGCACGAGTAGTCCCGGATTTGCGGGGGTGATATGTTGGGGCCCAATACCTTACTTGGTAGAGCTAGACTAACTTGACCCCAGATTCGTGAACGCTACCTAGATACCTACCTTAAGCCAGCGGCGATCCTGACCGCGGTGCTACTGGATAATGTTCGGAGTGTCCGAAGTACCGAAGTACCCCGCCAGCTCTATCGTGATCAAAAACCCTCCCCCACAGGGCGGCCATTGCTCAGTTCAGATGATGCGCCGCCTACTTCTTTCAAGCTCTCGTTTCGCCGGAGAACTCTGGAGCCCCCTTTGGCCGGCGCAATGCGGGCGCAGCTAAGGTACTCCGGAGTATCAGCCATCGATCTACTCCAACCTACCCCGCGGTTGACATCCTTGTGCAATGCGCCACGGTGACCTTTTTCCCACTCGGCTTGATGGAATCAGGAGCTGCGAGCTCGAATCACAGCACTCGTGTTACGCAGGCTACTGGCCTGGCGCGGAGCATCCGTCAACCCGTCTGGTAGCTGTAATTGCTTTCCTGGAGATCAGTCAACCAAGGCGCCAGGTGCCGCGTGCTGGTGCAGCGGACGTCTCTCGTGGAGCTTTCAGGACGGATCCCCGTTGGAGGGAAGATGGACCATGCAATTGACGGGCACATTGCGTTCGCCCGAGGGGAGCTCCGTTTACGTGGTTCCTACTGTCCGAATAGCACGTGGATTCAGCAGCCCGGGGTGACCACGATGCGGACTTGTTGCTCTCTCGCAGGCTTGACGGTCACTCAAGGTGCTACAATCTACCTGCCAAGCGCGATCTCAATCACAGCGATGGCGCCCTGACGGTGGAGAGATGGTGGTGAGATTGAGGCGCATCTTCAGAGCTGCAACGCGTCGGGGTGCCGGGAATACTCTGTTCCAGACCCCGCGGCGAACTTGCCCCGCCTTCCTCTTACGGCGAGCATTGAGACAGCAGTGCCCCTTCTCCATCACTCCCGATCCACACGCCAATCAGCCGCCAAGTCACTCCATGTCGCTACACGTCTGAGACGTCCAGTGACAGCTACGACAGCTCCAGCGCCATGTCCAAAGGGGATGTACACCATCCGGCCGACGCCTTGTTGACCCTGTGGGGTGACCGTCATCCGATGCCCCGACTGCAGCAAGCCCCAGGTCACACCTCGCGTCTCTGGGACGGGCGCTCCCCCAGCCACGGATTGGAGTCTGGGAGCCAATGGCTGAGCTGGTATTGAAGCCGTAGACAGGGTCCCAGCTGCTCTCCGTGGGCCCGGCGTTCCCGCCGCAGCAGAAGCACAGATGGGGGACCAGGGGCAGCCGACTCTATCCAGACGGATCCACGCGTTGGCACAGGACCCTTGCTCTGGACGAAGGTGTTTGCATACGTCCGAGGAGGGGTTGTGCAGCTCGAGCTCCTGCAGTGACCACTGCATGTTGATATAAGACCCTGCTGCTCTCCTCTGCGGTATCCCTCTCATCATCGACTCATTCACTCACAGTCTCGGCTTCCCAGTACTCCAGCTCCTCTAAACTACTCAGCCCTTTGCGCTCTCAAACACATCCCACTCCCCAACTCAATTAAACACTCAGTCAACATGTCCCAACCAGAGATCCCAAAGAAGCAGTGGGCCCAGGTCATCGAGAAGACTGGCGGTCCAGTCGAGTACAAGGAGATCGATGTCCAGCAGCCCGGTCCCGATGAGGTTCTCATCAACATCAAGTACTCCGGTGTGTGCCACACCGACCTCCACGCCGTGAACGGCGACTGGCCGCTGCCGACCAAGCTTCCTCTTGTCGGTGGGCACGAGGGCGCTGGTGTTGTTGTTGCCCGCGGTGAGCTCGTCAAGGACGTTGAGATCGGTGACTATGCTGGTGTCAAGGTGAGCGTTACTCTTTCAGAGCAGAAGATCAAGATGGAACCGTGCTAACGCACTTTGAAGTGGATCAACGGCACCTGCCTCGCCTGCGACTTCTGCCAGCAAGCCGATGAGCCTCTCTGCCCCAAAGCCCTCCTCTCCGGCTACACAGTCGACGGCTCCTTCCAGCAATACTGCATCGCTAAGGCCGCCCACGTCGCCCGCTTAACAAAAGACATGGACCTCGCCGCCGTCGCCCCAGTCCTCTGCGCCGGTATCACCGTCTACAAGGGTCTCAAAGAGTCCGGCGCGCGCCCCGGCCAGACCGTCGCTATCGTCGGTGCTGGTGGTGGGCTCGGCTCTCTCGCCCAGCAGTACGCCAAGGCGATGGGTCTGCGCGTGATTGCCATCGATACCGGTGATGAGAAGAAGAAGATGTCCATCGAGCAGCTCGGCGCAGCCGAGTTCGTTGACTTCGCAAAGAGCGAAAACGTCGTCAAGGATGTGCAAGCCGCGACCGAGGATGGCCTTGGGCCGCACGCCGTCATTCTCGTTGCCGTGAACGAGAAGCCCTTCCAGCAGGCTGCTGAGGTTAGTCCGCCATCATCCCTCGCTTGCTCCCTTTCCCTAAGGTGCGTCGCTAACTTCCCCTCCAGTACGTCCGCCCACGCGGCACCGTCGTCTGCATCGGTCTGCCCGCCGGCGCCTACCTGCGTGCCCCGGTGTTCGAGACCGTCATCAAGATGGTCACGATCCGCGGCTCGTACGTCGGCAACCGTAAGGACAGCGCCGAGGCGCTCGACTTCTTCCGCCGCGGCCTCATCAAGGCGCCCTTCAAGGTCGTCGGCCTGTCCGAGCTTCAGTCCGTCTACGACAAGATGGTCAAGGGCGAGATTGCCGGCCGCTATGTGCTTGATACCACCAAGTAATGGTTGTGCGCCTAGAGATATATCGGCAACAGATGGGGAGTTTCACGGGAGTTATACCATGGACATTGTGCCGTGAGGAGGGTGAGTGGGCTATCGGAGGACTTGGGGCAAAATATCTTTGGTGTAAATAGTTGAATCGATGAGACTTTGGAACTGATCGATACCTGCTTGTGTGTGCACGCGCTTGGTGAGATGACGTCATCACAGCGGAGAGCGGAGGCCTATCTCCACCCCGTTCCGCTCTTTGTCGACTCACATCTGCCATAGGCACTCCACGCAAGCTTAAAGTGTGGTATTAGTAAGAACACGCCTGAGCAGTGTGAGCAGGAACCTTCCTTTCGACATCACACAGTCTAGCGGGGACTTCCCATCCAGTCATCCTCTCTGTAGTCTAATACATCCCCTCTATCTGGCACAGCCCCGTCGCGTCTATCATGATGAATTATTGGTAACCCTCACGGTGCGATAGTACGCTCCCGCCGGCCAGAATTGGCACAGGAGACGCATCGTATACTTGGAGACCCTGTTTTCGCTCTCCAGCGATCGCTAAACGGCGGCGCTCTGTGATACTACGGCCTGCAGGTTTCACGCATAGTTCCATAATCTTGTACAGTAATTCGTTGTGAGGTTCTTATCCCTCAACTAGTTCAGCTTGTTGAGCCGTGTCATACTCACTAAAGGCCATGGAAACCAGGCAGTGATAAGTACCAGAGTGCTATTTCATCTTCACGGTGACCGACGGCGCACGCTGCTTTCTGAACGATACTGCTTCCCAGACGGTTTCAGTGTCTCGAGTGGCAGAGTATATAACTAATTGTTGATACTGCAGAGACTCGGGTTGAGTTATGCCATGACAACTACCGTTCAACAGAGTCAGTGCTACTTAGGTAGCGGCCTTCGTACCCATTCCAATGGAGCACCCAGACACCTTCCTCCACATGCTCTTGCCATCACGTTGGTTGCTTGTTCAGCTGGCTTGGCAGAGATTTCTTTCCTTTGAGTTCTCACCTCCGTCCTCGTCTTTCTTCCTCAACCACACACCTTGCTTCTCCTCGTTCAATCAGCACCTTCGCCTCCCTCTCTATTTAACCGTCTTGATGCAGCGCTGGTCTTTTTCCAAAGCCTGGACGAGTTTTCCACCTAACCGGGGGAACTCACGGTCATACAGTTTTCAGCTTCCGACCACTGGGTAAGCTTACTCTTGTCAAGTCGCTTGTGGTATCAACATCTGTTCAGGCCCGGAGCGACTACTGGAGCACTTGCTGGAATATCGGCTCCACATAGGACCCCTTTAAGGATTCTAGCTCCATCCAGTCTAGTCGTCCTGGCGAGCTGATCCGGTTTCTCCTCTTCCTCGTTTTACGCCGCAGATTTCCTCGGGCATACTCGAGAATTTCAGCATTACCTGGTTAGACCGTCCTTCTCTTCCTCAGCGACCCTTCGGAAGCTGCCGTTTCGCCTTACTATTTCTGCTCTCCACTCGATGACCGAGCTACGAGTACGGTTTCATCCCAGACAATATTCCCTCCGCCATATAGCGGATACTCCGCCTGCATCGGCACCGCTCGCCTCCGGTTTCGCTTAGCTCACTGGTGGATTGCGCGGGTTTCGCGGCTACGGGGGAAATCTTTCTGGGATAATCTTGCAGTACGCTATATCGAATTGACTTGCGAAGAACAGCTTATTGACATCAACATAGAACCGCAGTAACGGACAAGACCCATCAAAAGACTCGATCTCCGCTTCGACTATCTCCCGACAATCGGTGTTCTTCACAATCACAGATACTCAAGTCCTGAACCACCATTCTCTCGATGGCTATCTCTTCTTTCGCCTCTTGGAGATTAGCGTGGATCTCAGCTCATCACGTAACCCGGGACTATTATACCAGATGTTCTCACAACTTGTTGGCAGTCTCTATATAGTTGACCCTACCCAATGGCTGGTTCTACTCCGAAGCACCCAGAAGCTGCTTACCAGGCTTTGGGAACTCCCAATCTCGCGACTTCCGAATGTTACCTACTGGCCCAATCGCCTCCACTTTACTCAACTCATCTTGATCGCAACTATCTAGATCTTCAAAGCAGGCCAGCGCCACAGTCTCACGCTGGGCGCATGGTTCCGCAATGCCTTTCTTCCTCTTCCTGGTCCTGCGGCGCAGATCTCCTCAGCGGCTTCTACGCTGATTTACGCTCTATCTCCCCTTCCACTCTTTATTCACGCCTTCTATCCTCTCCCAGTCGAGCCTCATCTCCCCATCCTCCCTCTCTCTGCTGCAGATTTCTCGTCCGTCGTAGCCATTTTCACAGCCAGGACTGATCTCGTATTCGGCCGTGTTGTTGTACTCAGCCGTTTCAGCACCGCCTGGTACATCCCAGTAAAGGCTTCGAAGCCCTCCTACTGCCTTCAGTCTCTTCTTTCCTCAGCGGAACTCCCGGTGTTGCTCCTCCCGCACAGCGCGCTCGCGGCAACGAGACATTTCCGAGACACGATCCCGCGGATACGTTACATCGAATCAATTGACTGGAAACGTCGTATTGACATCTGTTCCAGGAACCACAACCTGACTCGCGGGCCTTGCTCCAAAGCCTCCACCAGCTAGCGACCAAACCATGAACTTCCTGTGTCTCTATATCGAACGGGATACCAACTGTACAAGGCGCTCACTTGGACGAGAGGAACAAGATTGTGTGGGACGACTCAAACATCTCGGCCGCCGATCTATGAGGAGAGGTATACCACCAGCCGGCCCGTGGTTTGTTCAGCGTTGAAGGCATGGAGCTCTTTCTGCTGCGTTTGGACGGTTGAGAACGGCTTTTCGACACTGCTTTCGTTGCTCTACAGTTTAGATACCGCCGGCGCGTTTCCTTCGTTACAGGTGTCGCTTCCGCTTTCAGCTAAATCGCCGTGGAGAATCCACATCCAGGAGCCGGAGTGTTAACCGGCTCCTCTTCCGAGAGATGCTTGCACTACGCAGTAATCACTACATAGTAGTCACTTCACAGAAGCAATGGCTGTATCCCCGAGGCAGAGCATTGCTGTATGTCGCTCCGTCTCAATCTTCTGTTATTTCTAAGATCCATGCTGACCTGGATCAAAAGCCCACCCAAGTGGATGGTCGGGAATAAGTAGTCGTAGACGAGGGGAAATGTCGCACGGAGTTTCAAAGAACGGGAGAGGTGCATATGTACGACAATGGGTGAAGGTGTTAACAAAGGGGTTCATATTGTTTACCAAGTGGTGAAATGGGACTAATCTTTGCACTCAAATACTTCGTGGACCTGAATCTTGTACCTTGATGCCTATCATTACGTTTCTGTCGCTTGCCACCATTAGGCTAGAACTGTGTACAATCCATATGTCATTATTCAATAGAGTAGCACTGTGGTGCTCTGTTGCGACAGGAACAGATTCTGGCAACAATAGGGCGAATGGAAAAGAAATAGCCATAAGCCCAGGTCTGACGAGTCACATTGAGAGACTGGCGACGCAAACAAGCTTTTGATGACTATCTGTAGCGGTGTAAGATCTCAATAGCTAACGTCGTAGGCATGAACATGGCCAGAAGCAATGAAGCATGCCGACCAGAATATCTGCTGGGGCGAAGAAACGGCAAGACTAACGCGACAACGAAGAAGTTCAGACAAGTACATCCACATGCAAAGTAAGTGAGCAAATGCTATGCTGCGTGATGGCCTACATATATCTTAGCAACGGCAGTCAGTGAAGCAAGCAGGCTGGAGGCATAGTTCTCAGGCATGTTGCGACGACCTGAGTAAGTGGTCGTCAAAAGCTCCACTCTTGAGCTCTTCTCCCATTCCGTCGCCATCACCGCCGAAAATGCTCACATATCTTGGCTGATGGTTTTGGTGTCCAGCGGTCGATTCGGAGGGTCGCTGCGGTGAAGATGAATCTTGAGTAGATTCAGGTACCAGTGAGGAGCTCGAGGCATCGTCATATCGCCGTATGCTCATAGGAGTCAGATGATGGGGCGGAGCCGCAGTCTTGGATGTTTCCTGTAAAGTCGTATGAGAAATAACTTGGACTGCAAGATGAAGCGACACCGGAGAAGGGAATACCATGACGGCGGACAGCAATAGCTCACTGGCTTTCTCGACGACTTCCTCAACGAATCGTGTGCCTGCAGCACGCTGGGTTCCTGGCACAGTGGAGGGGGGCGATAGCGTGTGTGTTGCTGTGTTGTTGCTGTCAGATGCAGGCGGAGGCGACTGCTGAGTTGATGACTGCGACGCATCAGACTCTTGGACGATGGCGTCCCTTTCATGCTCTATCGTTTGAACGGTGATGGGATCGGGCGAGCGGTGGAGGTCCCGTGATGGAGAGGAGTCTGACGGTGCCTGATCGACATGTAATGTATTTGTCGCGCAACACTGACATCCTGTCTCCATATCGTCGTTTGCCTGCCCTTCCGCGGTCTCAGCGTCGAGACTTTGGTGAAAGGTGCCGTCACCTGCCAGACTGGTCTCATCGATCCGCACCGCTACGTGACCGTCTTCCGGTTCGCTGTCGGATCGAGATTCAGACTGGGCGTCGACGTTCTCTTTGTCAAAATCTTCGGTGGCCGCAGGCGCAAGCAGTGATTGACTGGGTCGTGGGGCTTCCTCGTCATCAACATGTATGTTGAACGAGGTACTCTTTCGTTGGCTTCTGTATCGTGTCGGTAACGGTAGGATGAATGCATTTGTGAGTGGTCCGTCATCATGGTTGTCTCCGCCGTCAACAGGAGGCTCCTGCTCATCGTACTGCTCCTCATCCTGGTCGTCGTCCTGCTCCTCGTTCTGCTCATTTCTACTTCCACTGCCCAGGCTGGACTCTGGGGTGGGCGTGTCGCGACTGCTTGGTACTACGATGGCATCACCTCCCGCCGAATCACCAGGGGTGAAGGGTTGCTGAGCCGTTGAGGCCGCTCCAAGATCGTCGCCTTTCGTAGACTGTTCGTAGACGAGCTCAGGCATGGTAACGTTGCCTTCAGCCGAATGTTCTCTCCCGTCTTTCTCGATCGAACCTCCAGACCCATCGGAACAGCTAGTGGCATACGTGGCAACGTGCTGATCCTCCATAACCAGATACTCCCGTCCAGCTTCCTCATCTTCCAATGTCAGCAAGGCGGCGTCGCTATCTGCCTCATTATGAGGCGAGGAGTGTATCAACACCGCTTGCTCATCATCGAGTACTTCTCCAGGAGGATTATTCGTCCTGTATCGCCGCATCGGCAGAATGTGGAAATCCGCTTCGGAATCACCGGTAAAGTCGACTCTGGTTGATGGATCCTCGAACCAAGAGTCCACATCGTGGCGGAAATACCGCTCGCCCGGCTCCAGTGTCCAGACGCCAAGAGGTTCCGCGTATCGCTTGATAGCATGCGGGCTGTTTTGCAAAGCCCGGTCATCTTTGGTCCCTTTTCGCCCTTGAGATGGTTTGTGCTTCGTCGATGGATTACTCGCGCTCGAAGAGGTCCGCGCAGTCGAATTTGAGGAGCAGCTCTTTGATTTGTTCCGTGATGTGCTTACTTCGTCTTCAGCAGACACGGTGGCACGCTTCCAATGCCTTGGGAAGCCCGGCACACCAAGATCTGCTAAGATGTTGTCCTGTGGATGGATTCTAACATCGTAATTGACCAGCGGCTTGGAAGCTGTGCGCGCCGAATGGCGAGACGAGGTTGGCTCACGCTGTGTCCCAAACCTCCTCCGAGAATCCACACCATTATAATCGGAGCTGGACGATTGCGCTACGAAGTCTTCCTCCTCTGAGCTCGCTTCGATCACATCAGTGAGCTTTCGCCTTTTCGCAGCCTGGCTTGGACGCATGACGTCGTCCATGGGGTGATATTTCATATCATACAACGCGTCCGCACGTCCATAAACACTGGCACGCGTAGTGTGATGATGGAAACTCGAGGTCGGGTTGTCTGGCGCGGCCTCGTCTTCGTCGGACACTTCGATGACATTGTGTTCGTCAATGCCGGCAAGAATGCCCGGATGCCTGCGTTTTGACGACTGACTGGCGGTGAGGCGTGACGCCGCGCGGTGTTTGGTTGACCGGATGGCTGTCAGTGTGAAAAGCTCGAAGCGCAGCGAGGAAGCTCACCTGCGGCGGTACACACGGCTCACCCAGTTCGGAGCTCGCCATCTTCTGTCGGGAGACGTGCTTCTCATGCAATGGGAGATAGGACGCGTTAAGAAGCCCGTGTCGTTGTTGACGAGCTCACAGAATCGCGTCGCTAATAGTTTGAGTGAGGAAACGAGAGCTAAGTGGCGTGATAGTGCTTTCGAGCTCACAAGACAGATAGAGGAGACCTGAAGCGTCGAGAACTGTACTGTGTGTTACGTGGGGGAGGAGAGGAAAGAGATTTTAACGCGAGAGAACGCGCCGGCACGTGTCGTGTCGCAATTGAGGTGAGCGCGAATTCTCACCATAGGTAGAAAAGTCGGAGTCCTCGATCCATGAGACCAACCTCGGCCGCAGGCGATAATCGGCCGCAGGCGATAACCGGACACAGCTTACCTCTCGGCAGGAGACAACGGAAACAGTGACCACGTCAAGGTTGGAGGTGCATGCGGCACTCGAAAGAGAGTGCTTAGCGGAAATATGGCTATACGCAAGTGGCTCGGTGGAGCGTTTTGCTGAAAGGTCAACACGGTCAGTGACACCTGTGGCAGCACGCAACACAAGTATATCAGCGAGAGCGATGACTTCGATTACGCATCTAATCGGAAGTTCTGACGATACTTTTTCCAGCAGATTGAGATAGGAACCGACATCATCCTCGTGGGTCACGTGGTATCTATCAACTTCATCACCCACCCAACCACTTAGCCATAAAGATTTTGGAGTAAATATGAACAAGAAACGAACCGAAATCCAAGAGCACGCAGTCCTTCTTAGCGTACGCGGCCCTTGCCTGTTCCAACCCAATGGTTTCCAAGAAAGAACTCCGCCGCAGCGAAATAAGACAAAAGTACGCTCGCTCAAACGCAAGACAAAACACAGAAGGTCTCCTCAACACGCTCTAGATGTCAATCGTATCGGCCGTGGCGGCATCACAAATTCCTCATCATCGTCTTCGTCGTCATCGACCTCGATCATCATAGGCTGGCCCATTTTCGCGGGCGTCGGTGAAGACACCTCCATACGTTCGGGCTGCTGCGATGGCTCCTCATAGGTCTGCTTCTTCTCCTGCGACAATTGCCTCTCTTCTTTTTTTTTCTTCTGCCTCTCAACTTGGGCTTTTAGCTTTTCAACCTCCTTCACCGCCACGGCCAGCACCTCTTCGAAGCATTCTTTCGCACCATCGATCTCGTCCGAGCAGTCACCATCCCGTAAGAACTGATGCGCACCCTTCTCACACAGCCCTTGCGCCTTCTCCAGCGCCTTATCCGCAACATCAAAATGCTCTGTTGCTGCCCCACCCAAGCCGAGCCCCGGGCTCTGTCTCGACCTCGTAGTCCTAAAGCCAACCGCCTTGCTAGGCCTATACGCAACCTTTTTGAGCAGTTCATCTTCATCTTCGTCTTCATCCACCTCCATCTTCTCATCCTCGTCATCCCTACTCAGATCCGTCAAAGCACTCATCCTCGCCGCCATCTTCCCTTTTCGCAGCAGGTTCCTGCCCGTGCCGATGTTCCTGACCATCCCCTCAAACGCCTTCTGCACTTCGCTGTCGTAGTACACCACGATCATGCTCCGCGTCCGGTACTTCAGCGGCCCAGACATCGCATTCCCGCTTATCACGGACGCGGTCTTGCGTTTTCGGTTCGCTAGCATGGCTTGTTGATGCTGGCGCACAGCGGGCGGTACGTCCTCGGACGGTACCGGCGAGGCAACGTCGTGGGCGATGGCTTGATGGACAGTCTCGAGTTGGTCGTCGTTTGGCCGCAGTGATTCTGTGGAGCCGGTCTTGCGATTGCGGAGAGGTGCTGGTGTCGGCGAAACGGGTATGGGGACCATGGAGATCTCGTCATGGCGGACGTTGATCTTGGAGGTTATGGAGGTGAGTTGGAGGAGCCATTGGGGAATGTTTTCGTTGAAAAATGTGAAGGGATCTTGACGGTCGGCCATGTTGCGGGTGTGTCGAGGGGCGGCGGTTGACGATGGCGGGCTGATGCAGAGGAGCGGCGGAGATAGGATGGGTTGAGACGATGCGGGGTGTCAGGACTGGCAGGTGTTAAACCGCCGGTTGAAGTCGCCAATGCAGTGACAGACAGCGGCGGAGAGGAGAAAGGCGGTGTCGCGGAGGTTTCGGTGTTCGGTGCTTGGCGGTAGATGATTGTCGGTCTGTAAACGTTCACAGACTCCTTTGTGTGGGAATAGCAAAGGCAAACAAACAAGCAACAATCATATCGTTGAGTCCAAACGGGCAATTAGAGAAACGGTCGTGGGGGAGTGCCAAAGTCGACGACGGCCGCAAGACAGAAGCAATAAGACGACGGACGCCAGCGCGGGCCGCTAAAGAGGGATCCCTTGAGGAGACTGGCCCCTGTCGGGCCTCCAAGGGTGAGGCTTGCTTCACGCCGCTGCTTTTGAGTTGGCGTCATGCAAAGAAAAGCCCCCGCGCGCGGCAGCCGGAAGGAGCACTGACCGTAAGCCATGCGCGAGAGCGAAGAGGCCCACGTCGGGCGGGATAATGGAACCACGGGCTGCATCAACAACAATGCTGCCTTCAGTATCACCGTAGTTAATGCTCCACAACACGGTCTAGATAGCTTGCTTAAGGCTCGTCATTTGACCGTTCACTTTTAAGAGTGATTGCAGCTGCTGATTGACGGTGAGAGAGCGCTAAATCGCCTTCGTGGTGAGGCCATCTCCCCGCCTGACGTGGCCTAGCAACTTGCAACGGCTGTCTTGTTCGACCAAGGCCCATCCCGGGGTGCTGTGGACAAGCTCGTGGTTGATTTCGGGCGTCGTTAGGGATTGATAGAAAGTGTCGGTATTTATTGGACAGGGCGGGAGCGTGATGTCGAGGGATGAGGAGAAAAGAAGCGAAAGAACAGGTCAAGGCCGTCGGTGTCGCCGTGTGCGATGCAGCAAGCCTGGCGACCATGCTGCTGGGAAATCGTTTCTCGTCACCACCAACTAAAGCATCGCTTCGCGTTCCGCACGCCTGAGGTTGCGCCGGCATACACAGATGAAGCAGGATTTCTTAGCGGTGGAGCTATCTAGAGGCACACCGCTTCAAGGCTCACGTGGGTATTAAAACTCAAATCACCAGGAGCAATCGGTGCCTAAACACCAGTATCTGAAGGGGTCTGGTAGAGTACACGTATCCAGGCACGGGTCATGAGGGAGAACAACACTGCAAGGTTCGGCATCCGGCTCACCAATTTGGAGAATCCCCGTCTCTCACAGACGGCTTTCCAAGCGCCTGCCGCGCGCCCCCATCCTGATCGAACCACCTGTGTATCCAGCGAATCCAATCACCAACACCAAGAAACGTCTCATCGTCCGCGATCGACAAGCCAGCGACGCCATCCGTGCTGCTGCCATCTCACCCTCTTCCCCCCGCTTCCGTGTCCAAGATGGGAAGGCAGATCCTCGAGGCTGCTCCGTTGAGCGAGACGAAGCGGCCTCGCGTGGCCTGTCGCCAATCGATCGAGTTGATAAATAGCCTTGACCAGGGACGGCGGTGAAATAAACTCCCTTGCCGTGTCCATCACAGCGGCTAATGCAGCGCAATGCCGCTGCCGCCTGTGACTTGCTGTGCCGCATCAACGGCGATGCAAGATGCTAAGCGATGCGTCTGACGACATGGCTTCGAGACGGCTACCTGAACGTCTCCCGTCGGTCTTGGATACTCGACGACGACGAAGCGCACAGCCCGGACATGTACGAGGCTACTCTAGCACATGCTAAGTCGTGCGAGTGCAACGGAAGCCGCGAAGAATGTGCGACTAACGCATGCGACGTCGAGCGCTATCGTCAATAACCATCGTCATAGCCCGTTAGGGTACTGTTCGTCGTGCATTGAGTGGCCTTAAACTGCCCGACCTTGATGCGACCACCCGTCCTTAGGCATCCGTACGTCGTGTGTCCTACTTCGGACATGGTCGCTCGTGATTTGCGGAGGACAAGATCGCTGAGAGTCTATCAATTGGTCGGACAGGTTTGAGGAAGACTTGTGAGAGAGCACATCTTAAGGGCGTTTGTTTGCATCTTGCCTTTGCATAGTGCAATGCTTCTATTTACAGATGCTTGAGCGTTCCAAGGTGTATAAACGCACCCTGATCATTACAGGATAGAGTCGAAAATAATGCATGAAGGAAACTGCGGCGTTCTATGGCCACGTCTCTTCAACTTTCCACTCCTCGCCTTCCTTGCCAACATACGTGTACCTATGCCGCCGTGCCGTCGCCGGATCGCTTATATCAGTCGCTTCGACCTCTTCCGGCTTGATGATCACAACCCTGAAGTTCTTTCTTGCTACCGGGTCGTACAAGTCCTCGACTTTCGTGCCTAGCTCGAGCTCCTTGTCATCGTATGGCTCGCCCACCGGACGCCCAGGAGGCGGTGCGCGGAAGGTACCTGCGATGGCAGTATTAGCACAGATTCTCTGGACCCCAACCCAAGCCGCAAGTTCTTCATAGCGGAGCCATCGAGACCCCTCCACGTCTCCTCCCCATAACGCCTAGCACAACCACTTAAAATCGCGAAGCACCACAAAACTTACCCCTAAGCCCCGGCGAATTGTTCCCAAACTGCGCCGCCAGCTCCCTCTTCCAGCTCCACCCCTCCTTCCCCTCCTCCTTGACACACCTCATCCCCTTCCCCACCTCACTCTTCACCGTGCGCACCCCACTGCTCTCTTCCGCGTCCTCAATATCTGGCCCCACCACAAACGCCTTCCCCTTAATCCTCCACTGCGTGCCCGTCTCCTTAACCCACCAGACCGCCTCAACCGGCCCTCCCCCACCACTCCCCTGCGCCTGTTCCACGCTCTTCGCATGGCCCGCACTGCTCGCGAAGAGCTGCGGAATCTTTTCCATGCGCACATCCGAGGTAAAGGTCGGCATCTCGCTCTCGTAGACGCGCTCGTTCATCGGGGCTTCGTTGTGCTTGTTCTCGGGCAGCTCGGCCCACATGCCGCGGAAGATGCAGAAGCGGGCGCGGGGGATGTAGGGCGTGGGTGAGCCCGCGGGCGCGGCTTGGAGGGTCGAGAGCACGAACTCGGGGGAGGGCATCTTGGAGATGTGGGAGAGGAAGTCGGCTTTCCATGGCGCGGGCGCTTTGGCTTGGGAGCCGGCGGTGGTGGACATGGTGCGGAGGAGGTGGATTAGGCGGGTGAGGGGGTTTGTGGGCGCTATGGTTGCGGCTTGGGATACGGTGCCGATTGCAAGAGGTCGTGGAGAGGCAATTGAGGCAGGCAGAGCGGGATGCTGGTGGTTTTGAGCTTTGTTCTCTGACGATGAAGCTCTATGACGGCATTGATTATTCGTTGATGCTGTTACGGTGGCCGGAGCGGGCCAGAAGCGATGAACCTCCGAACTATTGAACTTCTCCTGGGTCGGAGCATTCAAAATGGATATTCGCTCTTACGACAGCATCAGCTTGTTGCATCGCTCTATCCAGCTCCTTGCAGATGATGGCTATTGATAGGGATATGCGAACAGTTCATGCAAATTCACCTCAACAGTCATGTGTTCCGGAAGTTACACTCCGTGGTAAACACTATTATCACCAGCAATGTAAGCCTAGGTATGACACGACTCCCTGGACCGATGCAAATTTGCTTCCATGACTGAAAATATCCCCTGACACCACCCACTTCGCCATGTCAGCCATCAAACGCCCCATGTCACAGCTGTGACATCACTCCCACCCTACAGGCCAAACGGATAGGTCTCGCCCTTGGACGGTGACTCCTTCGGCTGCGCCGTCTCAAAGGCATGCACAGCCTTGCTCTTATCGAACCAGACGAAGGCATCGAACTGCTTCGTGAGACAAGCCTTCATGTAGTGGCTCCAGCGCTCCGTATCCGGGCGATAGATGACCCCGATGAACCGCTCGAGTCTCGGCTTCTCGAGCGCCTTGAGAACCTCCGCATCCTGGAAGCCTTCGCGCAGATCAAGCGTGAAGGACGGGATGCCTGTATTGTGCATGACCCGCTCGTAGCTATCCTCCCTGGACGGGTTGACCTTCATGACCTTCATCGGCTCGTCCCACTCATCTGCCGCCGCGACGGTGCAGTCAGGGCCTCCGTCCGTGCCGGTGCCAATGATGGTGACATCGCCCGGGTTGGTGAAGTGCTTGCGGCACAGCTGGCCCAGATTGATCTCGTCCCTGTTCTCGCCCATAGCGGTAGCCCTAGCATCGCCCACATGCGAGTTGTGCGCCCAGACAACGGCCTTGGAACCCGGCTTCAGCTTCATCAGCCGTGCTAGCGTCTGGAACATGTGCGTATCACGGAGGTTCCAGGACTGGTTGTCGCCGTAGTACATCGCGCGGTAGTACTTCTCCGAGTCCGCGACGACGCGTGCGTTCATCTCGGCGTCGAGGAAGCCGTCCCCATCGTTGCCGGCTTGAGCGTAGTCGGCCCTCTTCTGCATCAGGTCTCGAAGCATCGCCATCACGCCGGCCTCACAAGGTCCGTACCCTTTGCTCATCGCCATGCGGCCGTACTGGGCAGGATCGTCGGCCCAGGGGATAAGGCAGCTGTAACGCTTCCTGGCTACCGCCGCTGTCTCCGGGTCGACCTTGTCCAGATACTCGATGACGGCCTTTATCGATGTGCTCATACTGTACAGATCTAGACCGATGAACATGGTGCGCTGGCCGGGTGAGAGCTGGGCATTGTGCTTGCGGAGCCAGTCAACGAAGCCCTGGACTTCGGTGTTGCGCCACATCCACCGTGGGAAGTGGTCGAAGACGCGAAGCTTGGAAGTCTCAGAGGTGGATGGGTCGTAGCGGACGTAGCGGTCGACGGCGCGAGCGTCCGGCCAGTCGCCTTCAATGGCTACGATGTTGAAGTCATGCTGTTCGACAAGGCGCTGGGTGATGGCGGCGCGGGCACGGTAGAACTCTGACGTGCCGTGGCTTGAACAGGGTCAGTAATATAGTCTAGAGCATCCCGCAACACTGCAAGGTTTCGGAAAGCGGCACATGCAAAAGACGATGATGGGTACCGCAGCGTGTGGAAGAATGTGTCAGATGGGCCGCCACGCATTGCTCTGGAAGGTACAAGTAGATCATCTGAAGCTTGGTTGACCAGGACCGGCACCAGGTCTATGTGTGCAGACAGAGAGACCTCGACACTGCTGTACCCGCTTCAGCCGTCCTCGGGTTTCGTGAGTTGAGCCATTGTGGCATGACGGTCTGGAGGGTCCAGGAAGTCCTGAGAAAGCTCTTTCGGCGCACATGGACGGTATTGAGAAGTGTTTCGAATGTCGGACAGCTTGACCATGATATCTTCTCTGACCTGCCAGTGGAAAGGCATTTCCAGGCCTGGCTTCTGAAGACAGACGCGAGAACAGCTTACCTAGCATCACCAATAAGAACAACACGTGCCTGCCCGTACTGATCAAAGTGTGAACCAAATTCTGGGTCGTCGATTGGCGGTAGCTTGTGCGCTACGCTCCTCACGAGATCTGATACTGATGGTTGAACCATTCTGGATTCGCTGGTGGCTTTAGAAATCTTTGAGAGTAGAGTCGAGCGAAGGCTTTGGAGAAGAGTCATGAATAGAATTAGAAGTTATTCTGTTCAGAAGTTGACGGCTTTTATTGAAGTCGCGATGTTGCGGATGTTGCGCGTGATTTGACGTCAGTAAGGGTAACGATCCGCGCGAGTGGCGGAACCAACGCCATCTCGGGGAACATCGTGACAAGAAACTGAAGAAAAGAGGGAGGAATGCGCAGGAAGACCTGAGAAGCATGCATGCCTTTTTGAGCAGTGAAGAGCTGAATGAGCCGTCTATATCGGATGTTGATCACTCAGACTCTATCCAAGCCTTTTACTTACATGACATCCTCCCCACATATCTGCAAGCGGCCACTGCACCAGTAGCAAACGCGAAAAGGGGTATGCAAGAATGCGCTCCAACTGATTACAAGAAGTAGTCCGCCACCGGCTTCTTCGCCGGCATACCTCTTGAATCCTGCGGTGCAGCCTCGAAAACCCGATACCTCCTTCCAGGAGCGCCCCTGGGCTCCCTCTCCGCTTTCCGCCCAGCATCACCGTTGCTTCTCGCGACATAGCCGCCATTACTGCCATCCTCACCCAGCTCCAAGATGGCGGCAACGTTGCCGCACCGATAGCAGTAGTTCGGCGCCGACCACACTGTGACGATCGTGCTGTCGAACATCTCCTTGAAGCCCTCCATGACAAGCTGGTGAGCTCGCGCGATCAGCGAGATGTCGTTCTTGTGGTTGAAATGCTTGACGATGTCTGCGCCGAAGAGGAAACCAGCTCCGCGCGGTGATAGGCCCCAGCCGTCAATCTCATCCGGGTCTGACCATAACAGATCGCACATCGCCCCTTCGTGCGGCACCTCCTGCTTGCGGTCAAGCAACCGTATCTTGTCAACTGTGTCTATTAGCGGACTCAACCCTCCATGTACGCACAGGACAGCGCCGCCGTCGTTAGACAACGAGCCGGAGCTCGAGCCGGACGCGCCTGTGCCTGCAGGGCCTGTTCGCGCCGGTGTGCCCAGGATGGGCGAGCTTGACGGCTCAGGCTTGGGTGTGGAAGGTGCTTGCGGTTGGCTTCGAGGGAAGCGGTTCATGATGTCGCCGTTGGAGTTGAGGATCTCGATCTCAATGTCTAGATCGTCTGCTGGCATGCTGTTCTGCGGATATGACTCGGCGAATCCAGCGCCGGTTGCTTCGAGCTTGGTAGATGCGCCTGTGACCAGTGCGCCAAGTGCTAGGTAGTCGAAGACGTCGCAGCAGTATCTGAATCAAGTCAGTCTTTCGCTGGCATCCGACCTATCGTAGCGATATGCGTACCTCCATACATTCGCGCTGCCGTATTTCCGCAGACATTCGTCGTAAAATCCATAAACGGTCGTGATCTGTCTGGACTCGTGATTCCCCCGTATAAGGGTTATTCGGTCCGGGTATCGTACTTTCAAGCAAAGAAGCAAAAGGAAAGACTCAAGCGAGTAGAAGCCGCGGTCGACAAAGTCGCCCATGAAAAGGTAGTTGGTGTCCGGTACGTCGCCGCCGACGCGGAAGAGCTCCATCAGATCATGGAACTGGCCGTGTATGTCGCCACATATTGTTACCGGCGCATCAACGCCCACCACGTTTCCCTCCTCTATCAGCAGCTCTCGCGCCTTGTAGCATAGCTCCCGCACCTGTGCTTCTGGTATCGGTCGACATGCGCGGAGTTGTGCGATGGCTTTGTCCAGGTCGCTCATGGCTGTCTGTCCAGTCTGGTGGCCAGTCCACGGCGCGCGACGCGTGGTTGGGACGCTTTCGAAGGTCCTTTGGCGCGTCCCGACTCTAGTCCTGGTTGCTGAAAGTATGTGCTCGCTGTCAACGGATCGTTTGGCTGAGTCGTGAAGGCGATGATGTCGGCTTGGGCGCTAGTGTAGTTCTGTTCGTCGTGGCAGATAAGGGGGATAGAAAGATGGACAGAGTCGGATGAGACGAGATCAGCAGAATCTATACGTTGTCAGTGATTTGAATGAGACTAGCAGCTCTTTGTGGATTTTGCGCCGCGAACTGGCAGCTTTCGCATGAGACAGTCAAGGTTGGGGTTGGCGCGCGGTCCCTTGGTCGGCAGTGGACCGCACCTCAATCCATCAAAAGCATCATCACCACCACCCTGCGACAGCTTCGCCCCGCAGACGGCCACCAACCTGCTCCGTCTCAAGGAAGGGTACGAAAAAGCTTCCCTGCTGAACAGGAGCGTGTCACACTGACAACAACCTCCCAAGCTCCCCCAATGCGCCCACGATAGCCCCCTCCACCCCGCCCCGCAAACCTTTCTTGCGAAGGCCCTTCCTCCAACATGCCGCCACATCTCCATCCGCGGTCGCGCCTCACAACCTCCCTCTTTACCACCACACTCTTTGCCTCCTTCCTGGTAGTCGGCCTGCCACACCTCCTCCCCTGCCCGGCGAATCCGCGGGAATACGCAGACGGCGACATGCCTGAACTCGACCCCTCGGGACGACGGCGGCGAAGGAGGCGGAAGGTCGTCGATGAGGAGCCTGCTGTGGCTGGTGCGCAGCCTTTGGCGAGCGAGGCGCCGGCGGTGGAGGAGTCTAAGGCGACAGAGAGTCCTTTAGACGAGGACGGCTGGGACAGGCGAAGAGCGAGAGAGTGTCCGGTGCCGAAACCGGGTGGGCTGATTGGGCAGGTGTTTGGGTTTCAGAAGAATGAGAGGCCAGGGCCAGTGGTTAGGATTGAAACTGTGCGAAACAGAGGGCCGGAGGGCAGCGAATAAGGCAAATGTGGGTGTGTTATCAAGTGTTACGGCGGCATTGGATGGGAGCATGGGAGAGGGCGTTAATGTGCACTTGATGGCATTTGGATATACGATCGGTTTCTCAAAGTACGGAGGTCTTACTCGTTGAGCTGTCAACTTGGGGTAAGTAACCTGGCTGTCTACGCTCCCCCCGCTTTGACCTGCCAGACCCGCAGATTGTAGAGGAGACCATCAACGGGCGCTCAAGATCGAGGAGTAGCTGAGAACGGCTAGCCAAGCAAACTACCAACGCCGATTATGAAGAGGGCGGTGGAGAAGCAGCCCCTACAATCGCGAAGTTAAATCGAAGGCGCGGGTCACGACTCCAAGGAACTGGCTCTGGGATTCTTGCTCTTGGTGTTTAGGGCGCTGCTGATGCGTCTCTGCGTTGTTCTTGCTGGAGGTTCGACTGCGTATTTGCGTTCCTTGTATCCGGTGGTCTCTCCGAGCATGTCCGCTGGTATCATTCAAATGCGTATCATTCTGCAGAACTCATCGCCGGCATGCTTTCAATGGATGGTGTGTTTCGAGACTTGTGGCGAAGCTCATCCAGCTCTGAAGTACTTCCCCTGTTCGATCCCTTGCCCATAAGGTCTTCAAAGCTTTCGCTTCTGTATCTTACTCCGTATCGCTAGAAACAGCAGACAAGAACGATGACATGAAGCGGACTTGAATACCGAAGAAGCATTTCCAACCCCAAGAGGCATGCTTAAGGAAATGGCATCCCCAGATGGACGCTTTATAGCTGTGACGTCATGTGATCCAGAACTCTTAATGCAAACCACAACGCGAGAGCCAATTGGCGCACCACCATACGTCGAGCAACCATGACACTCCTCAAGCAAATCCCCCGTCGCATCACTATCCCAGTCCACCACGCCACACGACCCTTCTCCCACACTCCCGTCCTCGCCGCCAAAAACCGCATCTACACTTCGTATCCCACCCACTCTCCCTCCTCCCGTCGACCGCGCTGATGCCTCAGCAGCATCCGCACCCCCGACGAGCTGCACACCCTCAACCTCAGCTCAACGCATAGCAGCAGACCGCTGCTGACGCTATGGACCGCGTCGTGGTGTCCGTCTTGCGGCGAGGTCGCGCCGATACTGAGGGAGCTGGTTGAGGAGGAGGGGGTGGGAGAGCAGGAGGGGGGCGTGGGGTATGCGGAAGTGGAGCTGGACGCGATGACGATTGGGGATATGGGGGTTAGGTTCATGGTGAGTGGTGGTGTGGGAAGGGGGAAGGGGGTAGGGGAATATTGGGGGGATAGAAACGCTGAGATAGGAGTGCGGGTGTGGGATTGAGAGCTCGCAGTGCTTATGCTGACTCTGTTATGCCGGTAGATCAACTCGATCCCAACATTACTGGCGTTCAGTCGGGCAGAACCGCAAATGGAGACACGTATCACGAGGTTAGAGGAGCTCAAGAACAGGGAGCTTCTGAGGACGTGGATCCGGAAAGAGGCGAGTAGGAGAGGGGAAGGTGGAGCAGGCGGGAGTCTATTTGGAGGATGGTTCGGACGGTGACGATAGGTGTAGAGCACAAGATGCGTCGCTTGCTCATATTTGGAAGCTTGCCGTACCATCCCCCGTTCTAGATATTCTCGAACACTAAGACAGCTACAGTGAGCAACCTTCGATATCTGAAATCTCCAAGATCGTACCAGCGACCGAGACTGTTCGCTCAGCGCTACCCGCGATTACCTCCGCCATCGATCTAACCCTAGTTCCGGTCAGCAGTAGCATCGCTATCAAGCATTTGACATGGCAGCGACAAGCTACGAGTTCCATGGCCGCGAATGGTGAAACCATGCGTTAGGGCCGTGGATCCACATTGGTTCACCTTCATCGAAGAATGGCGACTTTTATCAAATGGCGCAGAGAACTCTTCTGCTGCTTGCGGACTGGGCTCGCCGCTTCTTTCATGCCAACAAGCCAGAGCTGTTGCTGCTTCGTAGCAGAAGAAACCGTTCGTGAGCTCTATCAGTCAACTGGTGACTGAATAGTTAAATGGAGAGAGTTCCGCGCCAAAGCAAGAGGCTCATACAGGGCGCGGTTTCATCAGATATTCTCAAGGCTCATCAAGCAACGAACTATCCCGTCACTGAAGTCTCAGCATAAAGACAGGGTAAAGGCCACCGAAAGCATGTCATCCAAACGCCGCCGCGCATCATTCGGCAGCGAGACGAAATCAAAGTGCTCTCAAGCTTCCCACAACGGGCACGTTATGCTAGTGTAGTTGTACGTGACAAATCTTCATACGGTGCTACAGCTTACTATGGATCAGCAGAGCTTTAACAAAGCCTTACTGATTACACGATTGATGAGGAAAACATACTATAAAACATCTACAATCTACTTCAGGTTCCTCCCTGCGGCTTAGCAGCAAGCTTCTCCATTCGCTCGAACCATCTCATAAAGTCCTTCCCCAGTCCGCTATCAATTTCAATACCGGCAGCTACGAAAAAAGATGTTACTACGTCGTGTTGTACAGGCGGTGCTTCGAGTCCGGCAGGTGCCACACCCGCCGCAGTCACTCCCTGCGAGGAGCTAGTGGTGATTAAGGGGATCATGCCATCCTGGGCACCCTGGTTGAACACATACGGATCGTCATCGCTGGCAAGCGCGAAGCCAGCTTCCACGTTCTCCACGTGCCTGATGTGGTTGAAGAGACACACCAAGTCCTGAGTGTTGCGGAAGCCTCTGGTAACCGGGAAATGGCGCTGGTTGGTCATGTCGTAATTTCCAAGAACATAGTTCTTACACTTGAGGAAAGCATATATCGTCCAGAAGTCCATGTACCCTGCGATAGCGAGATCAATGATCTCAGCTGCCGCTTTGTAGAATGCCTCGTCGGCTACGAAAGAAGGGTTGGGCCGCAAAGTAATACACCACGCCCAAGCGTTTAAGATTGTGTGAATGCCGCAAGAGTCCCCGTTGGTCTGCTGAGCCGTGGGCATGTTATGGATCTGCAGCTTTGGTACGGTTCCATCGCCAATGCTTCCGGGACGAGACCATTGCAAGTAGTTAATCCATCTGCGCACTGAACGGAGCACCTTGGGATCTTTGTTCGGCCCATGCGGCCATTCTGTGGCGCTGTCGAACCAGAGCAGTTGAGGTCTTCCCTTCGGATCTTGTTCGCGGATGTGGACAATCGCTAGGAAAAAGTGATTGTGTATCTCGTCCGGGTGTTTGACAAGAACGGGAAGAACTAGAGGTTTCCTAGGTCGCGTTGCTCGATAGCCCGTATCCGCATCAAATACTCTTGAGATCGTGCAGCCAGGTTCTGCCACACCGAATGCATGAGCCCCCCACTGAGTGATAGCCTCTGTGACAGCGGCGATGGCTAGGAAACAGTGATCATCCGTTAGATATCCATTCCATGGAGTTTTTTCGAACGACTCCCCCGCATGCTGGCGGAATGCATTGCGCCATCTGAATAAACCAGCCTCATAGTGGGAACAAGGGTGTTTATCGATAGTCTGCTCATCGGCGTTCTCAGGGGCCTTCCGCACTGGCCAGGACTGTGCACGGAGTACACAGTTCAGCTTCTCAAGGTCTGCTTTGGACATTGAAGCTGATAAGCTGTTTGCCTGTGTGGAAGGCTGGTCCTGCGGCGGCTCTTGCGGCGGGTCTGCCGGCACATCCGGTGGTGGTGTCTCTGCACCCGCGTCAGCGACGACTGGCACCAAAAGCTCATGGACGAGGTTGTAATCCTTTTCGGGCACAGTATCGTCCTTGGATTTGGGATCCGCGGCGTCTCCGGCAGGCGTGCCGGGTTCAATTTTGTATGCACGGTCCTTGGGTCTCCGCCAGAAGAAGATTGGAAGGCCGTAAAACTCGATGACGTTGAACCCGATGAGCGGTCCGTACAGGTACGGCGCTTTCGAGCCCGCCTGCGGCTGCAGCTGGGAGAGAAGCTGGCCATTGAGCTTCGTTGCGGCGAGCTGACCTGTCTCCAAGAAAAATCCAGCAGCCTCGCAGCTGTGCTTCGTGCAGCTTGCAGGCAGGCGCCGGATGATTAGGTGCACGTCGCGGAGGTGCTCCGGCAGTTCTGCCGCGGGACTGGAAGTGTCCTTAGGCTGGTTACGTGCGCTGTTCATAGTCAGCAAACCGATCATAAATCGACCTTCCATAACATGATGAAGACAGTAGGAAACGGTGAAGATACTCACATCCTGAATTTGATGTCGCTGTCCACTATCAGGCTCTCGACGCCGTGCTTCTCCTTCGACAGATCGTAGCCGGCCTGTCTCATCTCATCGTCGGTGATGAGCGTCCCATCCTCGTGAACAGGATGACCTTCTTCGTTGATCTCCCATAGGGAATCGCTCGGTTGCAAGTAGGCCAGGCACGCGGCTTTCGGATCAGTGGCTTCCTTGCAAAAGCCGCCTTGAAAGGTCCCATCCTTGCGCTTAAGGTGACGGATCCGCGAGAAGAGCCGGCGGGCTGCGAAGGACGCCGCTCGGACAAGCCTAAGTCGAACCTCATGTTCTCGGCCGATTCGCACCTTCTCAGCAGCCGCTGCTTGACGCGTAAATCTGCGTGGCACTGGTTCTAGGATGTCGTAAGGTAGCACAGTCAAAGGGGACCAGATCTGAGCCGATCTTTGATTTGGCAGGACGAACGTGGCCTGGGTGCCGGGCGGTGAGTTATAGCGGATGCCGTCCGCTACGAAATGCTCATCTTGGGGCACAGCTTGTGCTTGGATGTCAGGCTGGGCTGTCGTTGGGGTCTGCTGGTCTTGTGCTTGATCAGGGGTGGGCAACGTAGCGGAACCCTGGCTAGCAGTATTAGTTTGCGGTGCGACTGCATCTGTTGGTAAAGCGGGCAGAGTTTGTGCTTGGCTGTCAGGTTGGGCTGTCACTGAGATTTGCTGGTCTTGCGCTTGGCCCGGGGCTAGCACCGTAGTGGGATTCTGCCCAGCAGAGTCATCCTGCGGTGCGGTTGCTGCGGTCGGTGAAGCTGAAGCTTGCTCATTGTTGTTCGAGGTGCTGCTAGTCTTAGCTATCTTCGAAGGTCCTGCCTCCGCATCTCCTGAAGCTTTGCGCTTGGGTGACATTTTTTGCTTCAGTGATCAATGTTTGGGATAATAGATAGTCAAGACAGATCGGTAAAAAGATGTTTGACCTCGATAATCAGGCCTCATAGTTGAGGACCTTGCTTCGTTTTACATGGCTTGGGACTCGACAATGGACGGGTAAGAGAATGGTTTGCCATTCAAGGCCGGACAATGGGTCAACAATGGCGCACCAAAGAGAATGAACAGGAGCATGAAAGGGAAGCGAAAACTGAAAGAGCCATGTCGTGATTCATTCAATATTGAACAATATAGATTGCGTATGGCTGTAAAGGCGCATGCCATAGACAATGGAATGGTGCCTGTTCTCTCCATCTCACCTGAGAAGCCTCAATACACGCCTTACAGAACTACGAGCCTATTCTAGCGCCACCATCCAGATAAGCAACGTGACGACTCACTGTTAGATTGCTTCTGTATATCCAGTCACCTCGAATGTATTCCGCAGGCGTTCAGTTCGTGCCCTAAGAGGTTCATCATTGAGCGGCGGAGCCCGGATCAAATAGATGTTTTGGATCGTCCTACAGCCAGTTGCCGTTTGCTTGACCAGTGGTGTTCGCACAAAACGGGTTGACAATCTTCTCTGCAGCCAGCTCCCAGGGCTGCTCATGCTCCGGCATAGCCGTCTCCATGGGTTCGCTTGCTTCTTTGGTAAATTCGTCCGGTAAAATCGAGCACCGTCATTTGCAAACTGAAGCCATTTCTGGATCCGACGCAGCGATGGTGACTCCGCGGCTCGAAAATCTCTTCCTCGGACGTCGTCGCCATGGAGCTGCGATCATCCGTAATGGTCCGTCCACATGGTGGGCCACCACATCGTCATTCGAAAGTCGCACTTGAATCGCATTCCGCCTTTGCGATGGCGCATGGAGATGATGACCTGGGTCCGATTTCACAATGACATTCGTTGCGCGGAGTACTTGTCCATCACGTCGAATACTGTGACATTGTTGACCTCGCAATCCGTGCCAGCAGGATTGCACCCAAGATCAGCTTCAAGCTCGATGCCAACGTCCGATCTCATGCTCCGGATAATGTTTGCGGCGTAGACGCAGGAAGAGGTGCTGCCGTAGTCCACGTCTGGGGTGACCGGAACGGGAACGTCAGAGACTGCGGGCCAGAGGCTATCCATCGGCGCACCATAGTGATGGCCTGCGGGATGGTACGTGTCCACAGTGTAAGCAAGGTTCGCAGTTGTCGGTGGTAAGGGGTAACTGCCAACGACTGATGTATATGAAGTGTCTGGTGCTGGTGTTGCTACAGAGCTCGACTCAATCGACGAGGAACTTGTATGGTGCAGCAACGGGACCGGTCGAGGCTCAATAGCGGAACACGCCATACGCGCTTGATGTTGTGACACCGCAGGCACTGGCGGCACCGGCAGCGTAGGATTGGGTGATGGATTCGGGACTTCTGTCCCGCATCTTGCGTCTGCCGGACATGGCCTCCTCCTTCCCAGCATCAAGTCTAGCGACACCCCCACCGGCGGACACTGAGGGTTGTCCAATCCATCTTCCGTGAACGTATCGATCTCGTCCTCGGAAACGCCCTTCTGTCGCAGCAGCGCGCGTAGCCGCTTGTTCTCTTCCAAGACGCGCCGAGCAGCTGTCTGTAGTTCCGCAGACGCCTCAGCACCAATCTGCTCGCAGTTCCGGTACTTGGTCTCTAGTTCTTGCAGGTACTCTTTCCGCCGGGCGCGCGAGCGGCGCTGGTTGTCGCGGATGCGAGTGAGATTGTTCTTCTGCCGCGAAAATCAGCCCATGACCATGGGAAAGTGAGTGGAAGTTTGGCCTTACGGCTGTGTTGGAATCCATAGTTATGTCAGTAGCAAGCAAAGTCATGTCCACTCCAGTCTCTGTGGGTGAAGAAAATGTGCATGTTCGGACCTTGGATTTCGGGATCGAGGCTGCTTTCCCGGGACGGAAGGGCTCAAACAATGACTCGTGTTGATCGATGCTACTCCTGAGGCAGCAATTTTCACAATTAGAATTTCATTCTTCGTCCGAGCACGCATTTCAAGCGACGGGTGACAAATTGAGAAGTTCAGAGTGGTTGTTTGTTAAGCATGCCTGACGCATGGAACGCTACTGTAAGCGGACCAGGTTTAAACGACCCTGAAGCCCGACAATTCGGAATGGCACTTCAGACAGACGGAAAATCTTCGATGGATGAATCCCGAAAAACGCTGGTAGAGACAGCTCCTCAAGGGCCTTCTCCATCTTCAGAGTAACCGGTTGAGGAAGTCATGTACCTGTCACGTGACGATTATCGTAGCCCGGATGCTTAAAGCATACTATTCCTCCACGCTTGACAGAGCATGGAGTACTGATGATAGGGGCAAGGGTAAGCTGCTGCATCTAGTAGAAGGGCCAACGACAATGCACGTATGCTGATGACATCTCGAATCTACCTGTATTGACGCTCCACATCGTGTAATGATAACGTATCTCGAAATGTATCGAAAACGCTCCAGGTCCCAAGCCCAAAGTGTGACGATGAAAGCACAGGAATCGCCCGATACAGAAATCCTCGAAACCCACTCCTCGGCTGGACAAGTGGCACCCTTGGCACCCTGGTTGCAATATCCCCATACTAAAATCACACAAACGAAACACCTTGATCAACACCGGCGTACCAAACAGAGATGAACCGGTGACAAACGAAAAGGGTGGGCGGACCGGTGAACGGACCGAATGCGATGCTCCCTAGGCGCATGGTATAGAGCCAGCGGAGATGTGACTCCTCGTAACCCGGCAAATGATGTTCTTACTGCGCGCCCGTGACCAAAAGGCCAGCATAAGGCGGTAGCTGAGATGGGTTTGCCAATAGCACGTGATGCGATGTTTCCTTCAAGATCCTGGCAGTGCTTACATCACTGTGCAACCACAGCATCCCTTCTCCCTCTCTTCCTTCTCCATATCGATCCGGTCTGTCGGCCCGTTGTGGTTGCCTGATGCTGGTACTCCTGACGGGTAGGATGACATTTCCCTGTTGTACCGGCGGATCTCTCTCACGATGTCGTAAAAGGCGTTGTCGACGTTGATGCGCGACTTCGCTGACGTCTCGATAAACTTGCAGCCGAACGACCGTGCCAGAGCCTTGCCCTCTATATCCAAAGAAACGTCAGAAACCCTTTGTTCATTCTGAGGTCAAGGGGAAGGGGGGGGGCGACACAGACCTTCAGTTGACACTTGTCGCTCGCCCTCTAGATCGCACTTGTTGCCCACAACGATTATTGGGAAGTAGTCCTTGTCCTTCACCCGCAGTATCTGCTGCTGGAACGTCTGGATCTCTTCGAATGATTGCCGCGATGTTATTGAGTAGACCAGTAGGAAGCCTTCGCCGGTTCGCATGTACTGCTCCCTCATCGCTGAGTACTCTTCCTGGCCCGCTGTGTCGAGAACGTCCAATAGCGCCACCTCATCGTCAATCACGCACTGCTTGCGGTAGGAGTCTGATGCGGCAGAATATCGTTAGCTACTTGATGTTCGAGGCGGAGAGTTTCCTGGTAGGGGCGCAGCAAAGGGGACGGACCTTCGATGGTAGGATCGTACTCATCAACAAAGTGGCTTTGTATGAGTTGAATGGTCAAGCAGGATTTGCCCACGCCGCCGCCTCCTACAACCACGAGTTTGTATTCGCGGAGGAACTGCATCGATGATCTTGTCAGCGCTCGGTCTCCAGATCTTGGAACGTCCCGGGCAGTTACCCTCGAAGTCATCTCGTATCGATGTTAAATTGAGTTATGGTAGACGCAAGGGGTGGTTCTTCGTCGTCCCAGGGCTGTGGGCGCTTGTTCGCGAAATGCCGAGCTTCTGTCGATCGAGAGGGCAGGTGGCGGGGATGGAACGAAGGTACGGCGGGAGATGCGATTCTTCGTTGCGGGGTCGACGACGGGATGGAGTGAGTGGAGCGAGTTGGGCAATTGATGTCCTGTTTGAGGAGGTGTTTGGGTTCGAAGGCGAAGGTGTTCTGGTGGACGTGTTGGACGAGCCCGGGTTTGCAGGCCCAAGAGCCTTAAGCTTTGGCCGCTTTCGGGACCAAATTGGACAGGGTTGCTGATTCGATTAGAAAGGCCAGGGTTCGTGCAAAAACCACGCCCAAAGAGGACTGGACAGCTTGACAGGGTCCTGCCGCCTTCAATACACAACCACTAACTACGTTTTGCGTCTTGCTGCGCGATATGACCATTAAAACTGACACGCCGTACGTCTCCTATTGGCCCAGTGTCCCGATATTCAACGATGTCGCGTGAGTTCTGGCAGCATTGAAGAGCCCGGAGACGTCCTGCGGAACGGATAGGAAGGCAAGCAGCCCGGGTTCTTTGTTGCCGCGCCTCCAAGCTGCTTGTGTCGAGCTTGAACGGCCGCCCACGGCGCGAGCGCTCGCTTCTCCCCACGAAAGCCTCAGATTCGCCTGCTGTCCCACAGGCGCGAAGGAGGCCAATGCGGTCTCTCATCACGGCAGCATCACCGTATTGCAGACGCTATTGACTGTTCTGTTCGCTTTGCGGTCTTGTTTCGATAGCGGGTAGAGAGCCAGAGGAATGCGACCCCTTTTCCCGCGCACAACAATGAGAATCATCTTGAATCTTTGCAGGCAAGAGCAACGACGGGCTGCCGGCGGCACGGCAAAGGGACGGCAGGCTGTGCGGCGAGGCTGTCGCCGTAGGGCAGAAGCGTAAAAGTTTAGATTCCACGCCACGGCGTTGTGGTGCTTGGATTTCACAACGCGCAACATCCTGAGCCATCTTGAAAAATTTGCGCCCTAAGTCATGGGATCTCGAGTCGACGCGGGTTGGCGAGAGGGCGCAAGCCTCATCCAGTATCCTCTGCACAAGGCTTCCCGAAGCGTGGGGTCTGGGCGACGCCTTCTGGTACGTACCGGCCGGCACATGATGTCAAGCCGAAGACAAACAACGTCAGTCAGACTTTCGACGCTCCTCTCTTTGATCATGAGGACCTCGGGAGCTTCGGCTCATTGTCAACGGCTACAGCACGTGGGAAACATTGCTTCTGGGATTCAAGAAAGCAACGGGATGGGCCGGCGTTTGAGCCGGGGGGCCATCCTGCTTCCCCCTCCTCCTCAGGGACCCCGGCTTGGCGTAGAATCACTGTTCAGGGGTTGATACTGGGGAACGTGACTCAAAGAACAATACTGGCGACAGTAACAACTAACGGACTCGAATCAATGCGTCTATGTACAACGACCTCATCCCGCACTTCTTCAATATTGGCGCCTTACTACTTCTCTATGTCCGAGTCATCTTCGCCTTCAACACTGACTCTCTTACCCTGCACTCCTTTCTCAACTTCCGGTACCAAACTCTCCATGAAATCCAAGTCTCGTCCGACAAGGGTCACCGTGTTGCGTGACTTCCCCCATCGCGGGTAGCTCCCGACCTTAACGCCCTTTGGCTCCGCCTTTGCGGCCAGTTCAGTCAGATAACCGGCAACAGCACTCTCTGCTAGCGGCGTCGAGAAAAGTATCCGATAGACTCCTTTTCCTTCAGGATCTGTCAGCCGCGGCAGTAGCATCGGCTTCAGACCATCGATCATCCTCTCAAACAGTCTCGGAACTCCTGGCAGAATGTGGATGTTGCCGTTCACTACACTGACGGGTACCCATAGATTGTCGTCGACGAATATAACTTGCTCGTCTGGGTTCTTAGACTCGTCAATTGGCAGCTCTATCATGCGTAGCTTTGCGGTGAGCGCCGGAGAGGGCGTATCCCAGTCGAAGTTTGGTTGCGACGGGTGTGGCTTCGAGAGCCGCTTCATCCTCTCGAACGCTGGCTCGTACAGCTTCAATGGCAGATTGAAGGCTTTGGCTATTGACTGGTACGTGATATCGTCGTGTCTGCAGGGCGTTGCGATCAGCGCTGTCAATATAATACCCTAGAGCAACCAGCACTCACGTCGGCCCAATGCCTCCGGATGTCACAACGAAATCGTAGTTCTTCGACATCCTCTGTGCAGCTTCTATAATCTCTGCCTCGTCATCTCCTATCACTTCTATGCGCTTGAGGTTCATGCCCAGCGAGAAGCAGAACTTAGCAAGGTAGGCGGAGTTGGTGTCGACGGTCTGCACTAAGGGCGCTCAGCATGCGCCAGTCGCTTTTGTCCAATGCGTTGGTAGTGACCTTGCCGCCTAGAACCTCATCGCCTATGATTATGCATCCTGCGGTGTGGATCATGCTCTTCTGCTGTGCCATTGCCGATGATGTTGTCGGACTAATGCACCCTGTGAGACCGCTTCTGGTGGCTGCTGCTGAGCGGTGCGCGTAGTTTGGGAGAGGTCGTGTGAGGTGTCTAGCGAGCTGGTTCAATCGTCCGAACATGGGTTGAGAGGGTGGATTCTTGTGGATTCTTGTGCCTGAGGACGATGATGCGTGCAACGGAAAGCGAGACCTGGAGCGCCAGACCATGCATGTGCGCGAGTCATGCTTCTGGGGAAGCTTCCGCCCCGCCAGACCTCTCGTCAGCCCTACCAGAAGCCATCTAGGTACTCTAAGGCATCTACTGTTCGCACTTATATACCTTAGAACCCACTGCGTCCCCTCTATAAGCACATATTCGAGATGGTAGGAGACGGCGCGGCATTCGTACCTGTTAAGTGCTAACCCTATACTAGTCCTCAGAAGCCCGCCTCTACACCTTCTCCCAAGAAACCAAAGACAAGCTGCGCAAATTCCGCCTAGGCACCTCACGCGCCAGAGACCCGCAAGCCGTTATCTGTACGCACTCGCTCCTTCTCCATCTCCCCTCTTCTCACTACTCTGTCCACACTCCATCCGTAACCCCCTAGATCTACTCCTCTCATTCCCCCACCAATCCCGGCTGACACACCGCCCAAGAAAGACCAGATCGACAAGAAAACCCTCGAGATCGAGCAAGCAGACGACAGTATTTATAGGGACATGCAGTCGCTCGCCGAAGAGCTACCAGACCACTCGCCGCGCTTCGTACTGCTCTCGTACCCTCTGACCCTCGTACGTCCCTCATTGTCTCAGCCTCCCCCTCCGCTACGCCTGAAGACAGAATGGCCGAATCTGACACCGTTGTATTGTCTCAGGAATCAGGCAGACTATCAGTGCCGTACGTGATGATATACTACATGCCAGTGACGTGTAATGCCGAGCTGCGGATGGTGTATGCGGGCGCCAAGGAGCTGATGCGGAATACAGCTGAGGTGGGGCGGATCATTGAGATGAAGGAGGCCGAGGAGCTTGAGGAGATTGAAGAACTGCTGAAGGGGTGAGATCGGTGGAGTGATGGGAGGGACAATGAATGAGAAACCAAAAGGCTGGATGAGGCGTTCGAGGCCTTCTTGAGGCCAGCATCTTCGGCGGACACAGCCGAAGTAACAGGCGTAGCAGAGGACTTGCCCAGGGAACGTTGAATGATCAGATGAGTCAATGTTCGGCGGTAGTTTCCACGAAGCTGTATAACCTCTTGTACACGCACCTTTAGGTGAAACCCGAGCTGTGCAAATGGGGAGCGGATACGAGCGTCTCCGCCGCCGCAAAACCAACTTAACTGGTGAGTCTTTGTCCAGGTTCAACCTATCCTACACGTACACCCTATCTGTCGCTCAAGCGCCACAGCAAAAAGATCCGGGGTATCCCAACCGCTCAAAAGTAGCTATGCTCCTGCCCGCCATACTCCTGCCCGAAGCCCGGCAACCCGCTCTGCTCCATCTGCTCGATGTCATCCAGATTCATAAAGTCATCTAACGCCACATGCCCTCCATCCTGACCCGGATCCTGCATCAACTGGTCCCCACCCACATGACCCAAGCCCTGCTGATGTTGATGCTGCTGCTGCTGCTGCTGCTGCTGCT